TATATAAGTGTTCGTTACAACATTTTTGCAGTGATATAGGCCTAGTTCGTGTCTTGTAAAGTTTGTATTTGGGAATTAAAAGAGTTGCTGCGGGATGTCTGTCCATAAAACGACAAAATTTCATAAAAATTACCCTTTCTCATGCATGATACGATGGCATGGACCTGAAAATTTGGAAAATAAAGAGTCTCGTTTTTTAGCCCGGACAAAAGCAAATTAATCATGCACACTATATTTGTTTGTTTTTTTTATTATAAAAAGTTGTTTACCTGGCAAGTGTTACAGTCACAATGTGCCCATTGTTTCTGGTGAAATATTTGGTATACAATTTTACATTCCTTCTGCAAGTCATTTATTCTATAAACGCTGAAAGTAAAGCTACTTAGAAATTTCAAACCGGTATGAACATTTATGCCACACTTCTAAGCCTTCAAAGCCACAAGAATATAGATTCATTATACTCCTCATGTAACGTAAGACCCTGCGATCAGTAGCGTATCCTGTGGGGTGGGGGTGGGGGTGGGCAACATGGTTAATTCTTTAGAAAGTGGCCACGCACAAACAATTGGCGTTCGTGAAAATTGTTATAAAGGTGGACGAGGTACTGGCGCTATCATTTACCCAAAAAATGGCAAAATATCATGTCGCCGGGGAAGTGTGCCCTTCAGGCCCCCCCCCCCTCCTCGATGGATATTGTGCCTATATTTCTTTCTTTTATTTGAAACAAGCCCATATCCGGGGAGTGGGGCCTGTGGGAGACCACAGGATGCGTCTACACTCTCCTTAAAAAACTAACGGTTTTTGCGTGTAATTATCGTGCGAACGAATTTGGTCCATGGGTCTGGGGTACAGAATTTTACTCCTCAACGAAAATCGAACCTTTGAAGATCTATAGTCATAATTCTAGTCGCAAAACAGTTCTTTTCAAAAAGATGCTTCAAACGCGGCTTGTTCACTAGGCCTTTTGTGCGCGATGTTATAGGTTTACTCAAACTACATGTAGTTAGATGGCTCAGTTATCCACTGTTGGAAATACGTATAGCCAAAGCCAACAATTGCTGCCGCGTAAGATGTAACCAAATTTGGGTGGGTTTTTTTTTCTTCAACATTTTCTCGGTAAATGTAAGACATGACCCCAAACATTTGAAACATCAGTTTTGGCGATCTCTGAAGTGGACGAAGATACACCTGTTATGAAAGCGCGCCCTCAATGCAACCCTTACAGGGGATTTCCCGAGATGAGAAATGGCCAGCTTACGTGTGACGTACGTGGAATTTCGCTGGTTCCCGCTTTTACAAAACGAAAGTACACATCCACTTGTAGGTACGATAGAGCCGAAATAATTGATATTCACACGTATCCGCCGTCGCACATTGATTTTTGCTCCTCGACACACTGTATTTTTTGAGACCGATATTAGAAGTCTTTTGTTAGAATTTGCGCAAAATTATGGCGTTCAACTCGACCCGTGCAGCGTCAACGCAGCCTAGTGAAGGTGGTCAGACAGTAGTTCAGCACGGCGACCATCTACCTACAGAAACCCGGGAATGCCTCGTAGAAAAATCGCTGTGTACTCTGATGTCTATTGGCAGGAAAAACCTGCCCCAACGCAGATCGGCGCTCCAGAATGTCTTGAGTCACTGCGCCATAGTCGTGCCATATATGGATGCGTTGGCTGCAGCCAACGAGATATCACAACCGACCGTGGCCGTGCACGTTCCTCACGCAAAGGAACGGGTGTACGTAGAGCTAGAAACAGTGGAGGCGGCTCATAAAAAAATCAGTGGGAAGTACACTAAGCTGGCGAAAAGAGGGAGCGATATTGAGAGAATCATCGTGGACGACGTGGTCGCTTGGATAAACAGTGAGCCGGAAGGCACAGAGGAGTCGCTAGTGCGTGAACTTGTCCAGAGATACAACGAAGCCATCAGCAACATCACGATAAACCCTTCACGATTGTTCAGCATGAACATGAGACGAATAAAGCACAGGCCGGTGAAAGAGCAGAATGACGCCGAGGCGTCGGAACCCGAAGAATCGCAAGCCAAGTCTGAATCGAAGCCGAAGACAAAATTCGAATTTGCCATTGGGATTCAGCCTGGAATGAAATATGCACAACAGCGTATAGAAATCACGCCAAAAGGATTGACGGGGGTTGAGGTATGGTCCACGGGCAAGGTTAACGAATTGATGTTTTTCGTTGGTGCGGCCAAATATAAGCGGGAACGTAAAAGAATGAGAGCTGTCGGTCAAAGTAAGGCACTCTCGGAGATCTTCAATAAAAGGTTGACTGTGGCCACACGCCACCATAATGCCATCATTGTACCTGCAAATGATCAAGAAAAGAACGACACCATTGCTAAAGTTATAGCGTGGATTAACTCCATGCGCCACGGCCCAAGCTACACTGACCCGACTAGGCGCGTGGTTGCGGAGGCTACCCCAGCTCATCAAACGGTGCCCAAGCTCCAGCAGGAATTGGCCAACATGTGCGTGGGCAAAATGCGACGTCTCACCCCTTCAACCATCACTGACTTGCTCCAGAACGCCGGTTACATCTCCATCGGTGACGATGACAAAGTGACCTACTGTCTCCCGACCAACCGAGGAAGCAATTCGCCCTCCTGGCAGCAGAAGACAGTCGAGTCAGCCGTCAATAGCTGCAATCTCTCAAGCCTAATGAGGCAAGCCTATCCTCGTTATAAACGGAATGAGTGCGGAGAGAAGATTTTGAAAACGTCTGGGCACTGGCAACTAGTGAAAGGTCCAGGCCAAGAAGAGCCAGTTTGGAAGTTGAGACATAGAGATGATCCAAATCATTGCGCACAGCAATAACATGAGACATTGAAGTCATACAATATCGTAATTTGGGGTCAAAGGGGACAATAGACTGGTTTGGATCAACATTGAAATAGACTTTCGATGAGTGATGCAAGGATAGGAGGGAATCCCACAATGAAAGAATCAAAGAACTAGAAAAGGGAAACAAAATTTAGAAGAACGTTACTTTTTAAATTCTACCTTACTAATTTAGGGAACTTGTCTAAATACATGTATCTCTTTGCCGCGGCGTCGCATCTTTTAAGACTCCTAACGATCCATTCCATATTGACTAAAGGTGAAAAGTGCTCACGGTATTAAAAGAAAAAAAGGGGGACAATCTCACTAAAGAAAGCCTATTTAAAAACGAACCTGGCACTTTCTTGTATAAAACATCGTACAAAGTATTTAGGATAAATGTATTTGTGATTATTTCAGATATCTAGTCATCACTCATCAAGTTTGAGCACTATATCGTAGCTTATTTGATGTTTATAAAAATGTAGAATGTTTTTGTTGTTGTAAATTCCTATTCGTCGTTATTAAGCTAAGCTTTAAAGACCAGTGATTTCTTGGATATTGCAGTTTGGTGCATTGTACTTGTAGAATTATACTTACTTTTTAGGAATTTGTATGATAACTTTTGGGGGGAGAGCTGTGGTTTTTCGACCCCCCCCCCCCCTCTGGATCCGCGCCTGAGTACACACTGTTTGTATCCAAGTTGACCAGCCAGCATATGCCCTTTTATTTTAACATTATGACAATGTACGTCCCAATAAAAAAAAATGGCCTGCCCCCTTGTCGAGGCTTCAAGTATAACTGAATCGAAACCAGTCTTTGTCTTTTTCTATATGTAAATTTTCCACCCGTCATTCGCGCCTGTCTGTTACGTATGTTATTTCTTGACTAGTGACTACTGGTATATACAATTTAATTATACGCACCAAAACCAGTTCACAGGTTTTTCAGCTTTCGGCGAAGGATTACTACATTCCTTATGAATAACCAGCTACCCATACATTTTGTATTTAATAAGCCTTTTGAGACATTTCGGACACAATAGCAGGGCGCCATTTGGTTTGGGTAAACTCTTTTGCATTTTTTTTACACTATCCACAAAGTGCCCTCGTGTTGTGTGTGTTGCTCCCTCCGATTCTGAAACTTCATCTAAAAAATCCACCCCTCCCTTGCCACACATGGAGGGGATATCTTTGGAGCTGAAAAAAGTGGGGTTCGATTGAAACATCCAGAAGACACCTGGCTTGGCTTTTTCACAGTCTCCAGAGTTTAGTTACCGATTGTTTTTTCCCCGTCGTGTTCTGATTAGATGATATTGATACACACGTCACAGACACGTATACGCAGGGGTTTGGAGGGGGGGGGGTTGCTACTGGACGCTAACTGACTTCAGGTGGCGCTGTTCAAACCTGTATACATGTAGTAATTATAGGCATAAAAGTATACGTGCACTTCTCATTTTTACTGAACTTCCCCAGTACGTAATGCTGAATTTACGCGTAAATGGGGGGGGGGGCACTATCAGAATCTTGGAGTTGGAGCTAATGTGCAAGAATATTAATATTTAGGTAAGTTGGATACATCCTCTATGCACTCGGAGCGTCTTCTGCCAAAGGTCTACCCCCCCCCCTCCAAAAAATTAAGAGGAACAAAATATTGTAGGCCCCTACCTCGAAATTCACATGAGAAATAATTACTCGAAAACCACCCTGTTCCAATTAATGTATTGTTCTGTACACGTTCATATCGTTCATTGAATTGAATGATTTTTCATTAGTAATTTTATCGTTCAAAAACAAAGCCCATTTATTTTGAACCGAAAGCAGCGGCATTCAAGATAGTCTTATCAATATTTTGATTGGTTGGCTGCTCATAAAACTCGCATAAATTGCTCACAGAATATAGCAACTTATAATATAGTCCCTTTTCCCCTCTTGCCCACATGTTTTCCTACCTATATGATCACGGTAAAAACCCGCTATACAATCGTTTTCTGCAGCAAAAAAAACTTAGAAAGCTGTCTTTTGTGTTGTGCAAGCTGTGCAAATACAGCCAGCAGCATGTGCACCGTACCGAATAATGACCCATGACACGTATTGTTGCTATGGGTATGGGGAAATCCCTGATGAGAAATACATACCGGTAATGTCATATGCGTGTCGATATTGATCTGTCCGCATATCCGCAGAGTACCAGTCAATTATTATGCACACGTACGTACGTATACATGTACATGTACATGTAGTAATATTTTGAATGACAATGCAATCATTTCAGTGTGAATAATTCTTGTGTACTGGGTGCGGTTATGAACGTTCTAGTACATGAACTCGACTGAAACAGGATCTGTTGTAATTAATTACAAACAAGTGAACTTGGAATAATGGCGTCCACACGTAGCAAACCTATGGAGCATCAGATTGACAGGCAGAAATCGGGTACAGCAATAACAGGTGAACTGCTGAAAGATGCCAATGATTGTCTCATTGATAAGGCACTGAGCACGCTCGTGGCTATGGCACAGAACAAACCCAAACTCAGTTCAACTCTGCAGAATGCGCTTGTGCCATGCACGGTAGTTGCACCGTACATGAATCCACTGGATGCGCTGGCTGCAGCTAACGAGACATCCACTCAACCAACAGTCTCCGTCGATGTTCCTCACGCAAAGAGGCGGGTTTACACGGTGCTGGAAACGGTGCAGAAGGCAAGCAAAGCATGGCTGGGATTGAAAAGATCGGAGGGGCGGAAGTACGATTTGGCACCGCGACAGAGCGACATAGAGAAGGAGATTGTGATAGGCGCCATCGAGTGGCTACAGAGCTTACCTGAAGGCACTGAGGATTCCCTGGTGGCTGAACTTGTCCAGAGATGCGAGAAAGAAGCAGACTGCTCCAGGTTGGTTCTAAAAAAGTTCCAGAAGGCAGGTTATTTGCGATTGGATGAGCATGGTCGACTCACGTACCACTTGCCGCAAACTAAGCCAGGACCGTCATCTCAACCAAGGGGCGCCCAAGCCCGTGTTCTTTGTCGCCTGCGTGATTGTCCACCCACAATCAGGCCAGTGACAGAAGCCAAATTTCTTGAGTTTGTCCAACCGGTCTGTAAGGCGTGGTTCACTGTCCCACCTGCTAGATTTCTCGGAATGAACATGAAACGAATAAGGCACAGAAATGTCAAAGAGAGCAAAAAATCTGAATCGGGGAAGAACGATTCAAAATCTGAGCCGCAAAAATCGAAACAGTCAGAGACAGAATCGGCATCGCAGATGGAAACCGAATTTGCTATTGGAGTATACACTGGAGAGAATAATGTCCGAGAGCACATTTCCATCACCCCCGGCGGAGTGACCGGTATCGAAGTATCGGTTACTGGTCAGGCCACCCTAGCCAAGAGGCTTAAGAAACCATCTGCCAAGAGACTGGATAATGCCAACAGGATGCGCGCCGTCGGTCAAACCAAAGGCCTATCTGACTGCCTCACTCAACGTATGACCGTCGCAGTACGTGGCCATAATGCTGTCCTTGTGCCTGCTAACGAGGAGGAAAAGAAAAACATCATCTCTAAGGTGACAAGTTGGCTTTCATCAATGCACAACTGTTCATCTACATGTACAGGACAATCTGCACAGCAGCAAACGGTGCCCAAGCTCCAGCAGGAACTGGCCAACATGTGCGTGGGCAAAGTGCGACGTCTTGCCCCTTCAACCATCACTAACTTGCTTCAAACCGCTGGTTACATCTCCATCGGTGGAGATCACAAAGTAGCCTACAATCTCCCGACCAACCGAGGAGACAACACAAGCAAGACGGCGACGCCTACCTGGCAGCAGAAGACAGTCGAGTTGGCTGTCAAGAATTGTAATTTCTCGAGTCGTCTCCGACAGGCTTTTCCTCGCCGTAAGACAAAGGGTGCGAAAGAAGTCCCAGTCAAGAAGACTAAAAATGTCCAAACACAGCAGAGCTACACGGCTGCTATGCTTCAGGATGATGAAGACATCGGTGACGATTATTTATGTGGTGACTACGGTCTCGATGATTACGGCGATGCCTACGATGATGGTATTGGTAACTTTGATGATGTTCTCGACTGTTACGATCCATATGACGATTATGGTTGTGAAGACTATTAAGGTGACGTGATGGAAAAAAGGGGGAAAAATTGAAACAGTGCATCATAGCTCTCTGATTTAGGGGTGTTGGTATAGCTTCGTATACGATCAACAGTAACCTTTGAGACCGGCTTGTCATTGCATGCAGTGCAATGTCAGCCCTTTATTACTTCGGCCGCGTAGATTTTTTTTGTCGCCCCCCCCCCCCCAAAAGGCGAAAAGTGCTTGTGATTTTAGCTTTCTGATGTTTTGGAATCTACTCTACGAAAATGCCTTGCAGATGCATGTATACCACTGAACCCTTGATATAAAGGGCGAGTCAAAAAAAGCGGAACCAAAACCCAAACAATTATATTTCATATGTAGAAAAATATGTAGCACCAAAAATAATAATGACTGGAAAGTCATCATAAGCTACTTTTAGATGAAAAAAATTACTGAAATTGCTCATTCCGTTCAACGAATATCACCATTTAAACGCAATTACCCTAAAACCTGTCTCGTCAAAAAAAAAAGCAGTATATCGTGTGTTTTGAATGTTTGGAACAACAAAAAAAATGACACAAAATACTTTTTTTCAACAACTGTCACCAACTGTAGCACACAATAATATCTTTATTAACAACCCTGGTTAGGCCAACAATATGATTTATAAAATCTGCTTTTTTTTAAGACGAGCCTTCAAAAGGACTTTGTTGAATATTGTAAACGTTTAAAATGAGATTTTATCGCTGGTGATGTTTGAAGACAATTGTGACGACGATTCTTGAAATCGCGTTTTTTGGACGAGACAGGTTTAGGGTCATTGTGTTTAAATGGGGATATTCTTTGAACGGACTGACCAATTTCAGTACTTTGTTCATCTAAAGGTAGCTTATGAAATGGGCTTTCCAGTCATTATTATTTTGGGTGCAACATATTTTTTTAAATATGAAATAAAATTGTTGGGGTTTGGGTTCCGCTTTTTTGACTCACCCTGTACATATATTTTTTAAAATAAGTTACCATGATCAAAAAAGGATATAACTTCAATGAACCAACATGCAATGTCAAAAGTTGCATGATGTTGCATGTGATTTGTTCTTATCAAACGTGGTCAAAAATTGAAGTTCATTATTGTGTAAATTTCGACTTATTACCTCATTGTAAATATAAATCCATATGAGCGATCCCATGAAAGTAAATTTTAGGAGAGAATTTTTTTTTACATATCCGCAAGGTGTTGAAGAAAATGATAGAATATTGTAAGTCATGCGGTCTTGTGAACATGTTTTAATGGGCGTTTTATACATAAACATAATGGATTTCCGGACTGGGTCACACAATGGGGACAGAAGAAACGAATGTCGGACTAAAAGTACTATTTCGACAGGAATGTGTGGCGCGGACTGTATATAATTACTAAATTTTGATGTTATGATTGTAAATTTAATGTAAATTTAATGTTAAAACACAAGATGCTTTTGTAAAGATGGACGTTTACTGATTGACGTTTTACTGGTTGAAACGAGTTACTGGGAAAAATTGTTGTCCTTTATTTTAATCACTGATCTTTATAATGTTGAACAATCTGCCGACAACTTGTGGTGTACGTTCTCTGCTTCTTGCGTCTAATTATCAACATGCCTGGAAATGGCACTATGAAAATTGAAAATATAGTTGCACGGGCTCGATTTGCACTCCAAGGGTTTAATTTTGTATAAAACCTGTTACATGGGCCCTTAAATGGTCCATGCGATCAATATTTCTTTAAGAACAAAGTTTGCCTAATTTTCTACTCCCCTTAAATGTATGAGAACCATTTGACATCCTATTTTAATTAATTTTATAGAAACATGCACTTATTTAAGCCTAAACATTTAAAATTGTCCGTGCTTTTATTGACAACTGAGGGTGTTGTTGCTGTGAAGTCATTTCAGGAAGACGCTGGTTAAGTTTAGGGATTTTCTGTTCACATCGTGAACCCAAAATTTGCTCGTTAAAAACATTTGTAAGAGACGGTAGCTCATTGGCTTACTGCCATGTACTTAACACAAAAATGAATCGCCAAAGAAAAGAACATTAATTTATGACAGCAAAATATCCAAAATTCTAGCAACTTTTGGTGCTAAAATAGCTGTTACATTGAGGTTTCTGCCCCGAATGACTTCACAGTTTTGCTCATGAATATGGAAATTACCATTAGCATGAAAATCGAAATACACCAAGATTATAACTTCGTAGATCAGCGCATTTTGAACCAGTATGCATATCACCGACGTATACATTAGTTCTGATTTGAATATGTCTGGGGAATATATGGTTCTCACTTCTCAGTTGTTCATGCAAATTATTCCATACAATTATTTGCACCACTCACAGCGAAACGTGTGGCATAGCATTTCCTTTTTTTGGCGAAAGGGACTTTCAGTGCCATGTTAGTTGATTATCTTGTTTCACTAATGTTTTGCGGTGTGAAAAGATTCGTCATGTACGAGGAGTCATGTTGTTCAATTAAGTGACTTAAAGTTTATGATTTGTATTGAATTCCTTAAAACAATAAGTTTCTGATTTGACATTGCAGCAACAGCACCTTCTGGTATTGTCATTCAATAAGTCATCATTTTTGTTTTTGGAAATAAAATGAAATGACACCAGTAGTATTTATCTGAAATGGAAAATTGTCCTGCATGTCGTGTATTTCCAACGATCGACTAAAATACATTGTAATCTAAACAAGACAGGCGAATCTAAAGAAAAGATGCAGAAAAGTTGCAGAAAGAAAAGTTGCAGAATGACGGATCAGAATTTTTGGGGGGCGGGGGGCTAGCAGTTGCAGGATCGGCTGCAGCTTATTTGACGCAGCAGGCGTGCTCTTTCCTGACCCTTTTCCTTTCCTTCTGTCTCTATTTCATGAATCCGTCAAGGATTGGGGATGATTTAGCATCGATTGAAAACAGTTTGTTCACTCCTGTTCTGGTCTCTTACCCCCCCCCCCCACCAAAATAAAGATCATTGCCATGGCCCCCTGACCACACCCCTTTCGGATCACCAGTGATTAACAAGTGCGTGACCGATGGTGCTACGTCGTAGTACTAGCTCATACGATCTATCAATTCTCCCAAAGATGCCTCTTCTTAACCCAGACTTTCAATTTTACGAAGGCGAGTGCCCGTGCCCCTCCCCTTTGGGGCGTGGCTTCAAATCCCACAAACATCGCCCCTCGGCTGGAATTACCTTTCAAATAATTAAATCAAAAATAGCAAAGTAATGAAAATGTATAGTGATTAACAGAGGTGGCAGCAAGCCATTTTTTGCAAGTCCAACAAGTCAAGTCACAAGTCATTGTTTGCAAGTCCAAGTCAAGTCACAAGTCATTAGGTCCAGTCACAAGTCAAGTCACAAGTCATTAGGTCCAGTCACAAGTCAAGTCACAAGTCATTTGGTCTAAACACAAGTCAAGTCACAAGTATCTTTGTCAAAGAACACGTCAAGTTGCACATTATTTTGTCCAGCTGTAATAAGCTAAAAGAACCTGGCGTCAACTTACGAGTTATTTTGAACATGCCTCCTTAATTCCCCTTTTTCAATGTATTGCAAATATATTCTTGTAGTTTATCACATATTTGTCGGATATTAGCCCTTTGTATACTTTAATAAATTTACTTTACATTGTAGAAATAAATGTTGAGATGACATGAAAAAATACTTCACTCACTCGATTACATGTAGTATACTAACACTTTATTGTTCCATTTTCATGTATACTAAACGCCTACCAATGGGTTAGGCTATCCGGTATTTTACATGCAAAACAAGCCACTTCCAAAACCTTTGACCAGCACACATTTGTATTGTTGCCATGGAGCTTTACATGCAGACATGCCCGATCTGGAATTAGGGAAAATATACATTCAGTCAATAGGGCAGATTTTCAAGTACTAGAGGCTAGAAGTTATTTAGATTCAATAGCCATGTACGCGTACGCAACGTAACAGCTCAGCTCACTGATAATGATCTACAGCTGCAGCTGGGCGAAGTAGAAACCGCGTAAGCCAAAGTCCGTTTTTTAATGCACGTAAGGCGTACTACCGAATAGCTAATTAAAAGTGTAATAGCTTAATTAAAGTGTATTGGCCATTGGGTCGCTCGAGTAGCGTCTGACTTGGGTTGGTAACAAGTCATTTTTTGCAATCCCAAGTCAAGTCACAAGTCATTGTTTGCAAGTCCAAGTCAAGTCACAAGTCAAAGCTGGTATTTACAAGTCAAGTCACAAGTCACAAAAATAGCGACTCGAGTCCGACTCGAGTTCAAGTCACATGACTTGAGTCAGCAACTCTGGTGATTAAACGCACTGAAACTAAATGGAATGGTGAATAGGTCTCGGACAAAACGGGAAGTACACAATAAGCCAGGTTGTTTGGCGTAAAGAAGGGAACACAGAATAATAATGCTTGGTGGGGGGGGGGGGTCAGTATTCTAAAGGCCATCAAAATGCAAAAACAACAGTCAGCTTGATAAAGTTGATTCTTCTTTTTTATTGAGATGTAGGATAGCACGTTCAAACTTCTAGTCCCAATGAACTTGAATCATCTATTAGGCCCATTCACAAACGCCCTCCCCACAAACAACCATTCCCGCCATGAAGCATCTTAAAGGGAATAAACAACATTTGCAAACATCGAAAAAAAATTAAAATACCAATTTTTTACGAAAAACCTTACTAGGATGTTGGTAAATGACAGTCTAAAGCATCCTGTAAAATTATGGCACCCGGTGTGAAGTCATTTTCAAGAAAAGTGGTATTTTTGTATTCAGTTTCAATTACTGCTCCAAATTTACCATTTTTTTTCAGTCCAAATATTGTTTGCTATTGGTTACATGTTCATGAACGGGTGCAGGCCAGCTAGACTGGTTCCCTTATACCGTACAATTTTCCGGCATCTATAAATTGATACATTTCATAATAGTGGAGTCAGGGAGCCAGACTACTTGAACATTTTTTGTTTTTGTCTTGGTTTTTCCCGCATTTTCGAACACAAAACTTCACAAATGTCAGTGTAGCAATATTTTGATCTAATTATACTAACCCGTCAACTAGTTCATTTCTGAAAATTACAGCAAAAGCCAATAATGTACATTCCCTTTAATTGAATATTGAAATTGTAACATTCAGTGTGTACAAATATTTACAGGTTCGGAATTATTTAGACAAAAGTGTTTATAGGAAAATGTTCGACAGGAATTGTTTAATATAATTGTAAGAGCGTAAGTGGAACACTGAAAATTAATGTAGGCCGCGCCGGGGGGGGGGGGGGGGTTACGTGGGATGCGGACGCCATTTTCCGTGTTCCACGCACTGATCTCTGAGGCCGTTCACACCAAAATCATAATAAAAAATGTATAAATCATTTAGTAATATTGTTGCAAATGCTTTCAACAATTTATTTTTATCCATTCAGCAGTTAACAACTGTCGACTGCTGTGATATTGAATGTATGGCGATTTTAACACCCGAAGTGGCTCAACTAAGCGCCCCGATGAGGGTGTTATAAACGGCATTATCCCACTCGCAAGCTCAGCAAAGCTTTCTTATATCGTGCGGTTCGAGCCAATTAGTTAAAAAGATAAAAGTTTTAACTTATCATTGAAGAAATAAAAAATTAACTTCACTGCAGTTTAATCTTTTGTTTACTGTTTGCTTTCTAGTTGGACATGACGGTTAGAGGCGCGCGAGCCCACGCATCATTCACGCGCGCGCAATATTATGCAACGCGATGTGCATAAGATAATTCATATGCAACGCGGTGATGAAGTAATAATTTATAGGCAATCCAACGCAGAGTAAAGTATCAACCGTCATTTATATAGACAGGAAACGTGGCCGTTCTAGACCAGTGACTAGTATCCAAGACTCTATGTGATAATTTAATAAAGTTCATCATCATCATCACTAGATTCCAAGTGTTTCGGCTTCTTGTTCATTCGGAGGCAAGCCCCGCCCCGTCGTTGCTTCCTCTTTCCGATCTTCGTTCTCGATGGCGTACGCGCGCAGACGCCGGGTGGGAATGCACGCTTGAAGTAGACGGAGTAACACTTGCTCACCGATTGCCTGAATTCCTCAGCGTGTTGCTGCCACGGGGCCAGGCCGGCATCTCTGCGCACCGGGCCTAGATGTGTTCTGACGTCAGTTATGTTGTAGGTAACCTCCGGTGATTCTCCACTATGAACGGTAACGTAGCCGCTCTTTTGCAAACAGCGCACGATGGTCCCCGGGGCAATTCGTCTTGGTCTGATAGCGCAGAGGCCAATGAACTCCCTTTGCAACTGCTTGATGGATTTTAGTTTCCTCAGTGGGACTTTGTCTCGGTCGTCATGGCGAGCGGGTGAGCGGTGTGCATCCACCCACTCCAGTATGCGCGAGATCGTCTCTTCCTTCTCACGTTGAGACGCTAGGACTGGAACGGCATTACTATTCTTGGCCCTACGTGTCAACTGCTCGAAGAGGGTTGCCGCGAACTCCTTTGACAAGCCATTGGCGCGTGGCTTATCTCCAGGAAGCCAGTTGGGTGGAGAATCCATGGGCGTGGTTTGATGCTCACTGGGATTGACACGTGCCATTGGTTCTGGATTTGGGGTACCGATGTGAGCGTGGATGCCAAGTAGGCCCTCTGGCGTCAGAGGAATCAGCTCCTGTGCACTGGTCTCGCCTGGTGCTATGCCAAGCACAACCTCCGTCCGCACCTGGCTTTTTTGACCACCTCTGCTTTTCCGACGCCTCCCACCACTGCCTCTCATGTTAGTGATCTGAATCTTCCTGTGTCTTACCCGACTGGAATTCTTGTGTAGAATTTGCGAGGGTGGGACGGCTAAAATCAGGCTCTCCGGTTTGATGAAGTTAATGAGATCGCTGAGGGTATTTGGTCTGTCCTCTGGCGGCAAACAGGACAGCAAATATGCAACAAAAATGTCCCGGAGGACATCTTCAACTCCATCTCTGGACACACTACGAAGGGTGCCATGATTTTCTGCGGCATCGTCGCAAGAATGTTCATCGGTGTGCTGCCGGCGACTGTTGTTGCGGCCCCAGTGCTCGACGTCGATTAACTTGAAGCCACCATAAACACTGTAAACATTCTGCAGCAATGTGTTCGAGTCCAGTTCAAGGTAATCTCCCGTGCAATGACCCTGGTACAAGTGAAACAACGTGAAGATATTTTTGCTGGCGCCACTGTTCCGGAAATCCTCCAGTATTCGAGACTGTTCGCTGTCGAATTCCGGAAGGGAGTAGCTTACTTTGTCTTCATTAACCTTCCAGAACCCCCTAGACTGCAGTCTTGAGATGATCTCGAATGAACCGCGGTCTACCTTCTTCTGGCAGCGCTCGAAGAGTCCCTGGACAAGTTGTTCTTGCGTCCCCTCTCGCGTTTCCCACTCGCTCAGCCACGCCAAGGCGTTTCGAGTGATTTCATCATGGGTCTCCCCTCCCGGCAAAGCGAGGTCGTAATCTCGCTCAGACTCTTGCGCATTCATAAGCACGCTCGTCTGAAAATCGTTGTCACTACGGGGATTGCTGTAAGACACCTTTACCTTATTGTGCTGGACGTTCAGTACATGAGGCTCCAGGTGTTGAGACCTTCTGTTGGCAATCTCAAGCGCCTCCAACGGGTCGACGTAAGGCGCGACCATCGTGCACGGGCGGAGGACATTCTCTAGTTTCTTCAGTGACTTGGGTCTGCCGTGGCTTCCCATGGAGATGAGCATTGACAAGGCTTTCTCGATGAGACACGGAACGGAGGAAGATTCCATGCTCTCAGTTTCTGCAAGCATGTTAGCGACAGTCTGTTGAAATTGATTTGTACCGAGCTGTAGAAGTTAACTTTATAGAGGACCCATTATATAGGCCTATGAAAATCTTGACGTTTATAAAACGTTTTTTTTATAAGCTACATTGAAGCCTAACGTCAGACTGCAGGTTTGCTGACAACACAAAACTATTGTTGGTGAAGGCCTATATGCTTATTCACCGACGACAGCGAATCGTTTCCGCATGAAGGTGACTTTGTATTGTGCAACAGACTATGAGTCATCAGACAGCTGCTAGACTTCACTCGAGTCTGACTCTTGCTCGATCATCATAATCGCACCTAATTCGCGAGATGTGGCTTTTTAATAACAACTTGAACTAACGAGCAGTTTTTTCACCCGCCGGTACTAGTGGCTTTAAAACTCTGCAGTAATAAATACGGTATGCTCTAGATTCGGTGTGTTTTTTGCCGATTAAAAAAAACAGCAGGCTCACAATAATAATAATGATCGAAATTTCAACTCACGAGATACACTTATACTTTTCGGAAGAATTAAAAACTGTGAAAATACATTTTCGTTTTTATCGAAGCAAAGCAAAGTCAACCTTCAAATTCAACTCAAACTGAGTTGGCCTAAGCCTAGACTATTGCTTAAAGGCATCAGTGGCGCACCTAAGGGGAAGGGGGGGGGCCCTCGGGGGGCTTAAGCCCCCCCCCCCCCAACAGGTTGTCCTTTTTAAAAATTATTGTTTGGGTCAAATCTTTTTTAGTCCCACGATTTGACCGTGGTGATGTATGTGGCCTATTTTCGAGTAGTATAATATGGGTGTAAATGCCGCCACAAATAGTCCCCCCCCCCCAAAAAAAAAAAAAAAAATTACATTTTCTGCAGCCAACAATTTTGGGGAACATTTCTGGGGAAAAAATCAAACCTCTAAAAAAGTGGGAGCCCCCCCCCCCCCCCAGCCAAATCTTGGGTGCATGCGCTACTGTATCATTTAGGCGCAAACCCATGCGGCGTTAGAATTTCTAAATGAATTGTATATTGGTCTCACATTGAATTTTAAGATAAAAACTGAAATGTATTATAGTTTAATAAAGTATATAAGTATGTTTACTACATGTTTTTGAAATATGACCTTTTCTCAAAAAGAGGTATTTGCCGTACGTGCTATTTTCGACGTTTATTCCGAAAACAAAATTAGGCATAGGCTTACTTTTTTAAATTGCTATTTTTTGAATAGCAATTTCTAAATTAATTCACTTTGAATGCGACCGCGACATCGACCGACAAAACTTAAAGCGGTCGACGGACGTTTGATTATTTCAAACGGTCGGCCGTTTTTATTGTTTCGAGTGGGCATGCATGCACTTGGACCACATACAATAAATTATAATTATGTCTATGACTTGGGCCTGCAAATATGCGGCATTCCCGCGGGGTAGGCTGTAGCACGCCCATAGAGCTATATATGAGCACGCCCCACTTACGAACGGGATCGGGAGCGTATAGCAGCTCAAGGCGGATTTGTTTGTGTGTCGGACCTTTTACAGGGGGTTGCACAGACCCCCCCCCCCCCCCAAAAAAGAGAGAAAACAACAAGTAACAAACAACCAACCCAAAGCGAAGAAGTGTTTTTTGTTGGGGGGGGGGGTGGAATAAAACATACAAAGTGAACCTGTATTTAGAATAAAATCGAATTTGCAGAAGATCACGGGGACTGAATAATTGTCGAGTTGCATTTTTATCACTTCCTTTACGCATTGGGAAAAAAAGGAGGACTCCGCTAAAAAAAAAGTGTCCCGTATATCCGGCATGCATGCACCACGCGTAAAGGCAATGTATGGATCATGCAATCTTTATCATGCATCATAAACAGGCATATCGATGTTGATGTCGTAACCTTGGCCTTCCCCCTTCCCATCATGCATCATTTCAAAATGGCCGCCAACCGGGACTTGTTTCAACGGTTGCCTGTGAAATACCAACTTAAGTCTTACAATTCAGGTCCTTAAGCAGCCACAGACATACCGACGGTAGAGTTAAAGCAGAAGACAGTATGTTTAAGTATAAAGCAAGCAAAAGAAGCTCTTCACAGCTTCCTCCAAAGAAGAAACTCAAGGTGGAATTGGAACCAGCAGCTGTCGACGGTGAGATTTCATTTTTCGCCGTGGATATCGTTACGGCAGTCGACTGTATGGTTCCCTGACGTGACAGTATTCGACGTCATGATCTTTTGGTCTCGAAACCAGACTATCAATCGAATGGTTCTTTATTTAAAAAAAATACTCTGGCTCTAAAGCCACGGATCATCACCAAAAAAATATGAAAAGGAAATATAGCCTAGATCTATGCCAAGGCTACTTTTAAAAAGTAGGATTTGGAAAAAAATGTTGCAACCTGACGTCAATCTCAGCTCAATGAGCATTGAGCTTGTGTTGAGGGTCAGTCATTGCAAAAATGATGATAATATTAATAATTGATAAGACATGAATCTGACTGGGACTGAGAAACATTTCCTATTTTGTTCGGAAATACTTTTAAAAAAATTCTTGACTCTCCATAGACTTTGTACACAACCGCTGAAGTGGTGTCAGGTTGCAACATTTTTTCCTAGGATTGATGAATTTAAAAAAACAAAAACAAAAACTAAAACAAAAACTAAACAAAACAAAACAAAGAAGAAATTAATAAGAACAAAATGACAGCTAATAAAGGCAAGCAAATGAAATATAATTCTACATATCAACGACACAGCCCAAAACATCAAGGTACGACGCAATTGAAATACGTAAACCCAATGAAAGAAAGACATCACACAAGTAATTTAGCATGTCAAACGAAAGAAACAAAAACAAAAGAGACACCTATACAAACTGCCCAACAAACAAACAGAAAACGAGCAAACCAAAAATACCCCAATAAAAAGCAAACAAAAACCCAACAAACAAACATCAGACACCCAATTACCCCGCAAACACCCCAACAAGCAAACAAAAAATAAACAAACAAACACCCCCTACAACCCAACAAACAAACAAACACCCTGCAACAATCAAACAAAAACATTCAAAATCAAACAAACAAACAAACACCCCAAAAAACATAGAAACGAAATGCTACTTAAAAACACACACATAAAAGAGGAGTTAGACTTAGAGATATTTTATATCAGGTGAGCACCATAGAAAAGTTATCCAAGATCTTGGAAGTGGTCAGACCGAAGCAGGTCGTTTCGTACCCAAGTCGTTTCGTACCCAAGTCGTTTCGTACCCAAGTCGTTTCGTACCCAAGTCGTTTCGTACCCAGTCAATTATGATGCACTAAGGAGATTAAGCCAGCGAATGTAAGTAAGAAAACAATAAATACAAGCATTTTTTGATGCACAAGGGTTGTTGAGAGGTTCTTTGTAAAGACAGACAAGATATAAGATTTTTATTTTTATTTATTCAATCAGTTTTTATTGCCGATACAATTTTTAGGGTCGCAGCCTAAAAATAGGGTCGGTCGGGTAACCGGAAGCAGAACTATTCTCTTTTTTTTTGGCCTAATTATAAAAAGTACAATTTCGAAAAACTGAAAAGCAACCAAAGAAAATCACGCTACAATATAGAAGACAAACATCGTCGATCATAACCCAAGCTCAAAAGACCCACAAACCGCAGGGTAGATAAAATCCAAGCTCCTAGAAGAACAAAAAACATGCAGTGGCAGGTTAAAAACATCAGACAAAACACACCGCAGCGCCGTCAACACAAGTCCCGTGAACCACCAAGAGTGATTGACAGTAGCATTGTTGTTCAATAGAAAAGGATTTGGAACCCTTTGTCACGTGTGCAATGAATCCTGGGTGCGAAACGACCTGGGTACGAAACGACCTGGGTACGAAACGACCTGGGTACGAAACGACTTGGGTACGAAACGACCGACATTCGGTCAGACAGGCTTCTGTTAGATGAACTTAGAGAGTCAAGTGTAACTGAGTCTTTAATATGAGAGGGAAGGTTGCTCCAGATGCATGGAAACGAATGGGTGATGGAGTTCTTGAGGAGGGCAAGAGTTCTGGCATACTGGTGGTTAAATATGACATGATCTTGGTGGCGAGTGTTTACTGTTATATTGCTACAAACAGAATGGCAGTCAATGAGACCATACAGACATTTCACTACATATGTGATGGACTACTTTGTTCTCCAAAGACATCCAGTTCAGGGCTTGAAGTCTCTCCTCGTACGTACATGTAACTATAGCCATTAGCAGTTGAGAATTGCATTTCGGCTGCCGTAACGACAACCACTGGGAACTACGTTGATTTTTCCAACATTCTTTTATCAGGGTCGATCATCGCATGTACATGTATGTGTTAAAGGGAATATACAACATTTGCAAACATCGAAAAACAAAACTTTTTGCGAAATACCTTACAAGGATGTTGGTAAATGACAGTCTAAAGCACCCTGTAAAATTATGGCACCTGGTGTGAAGTCATTTTCAAGAAAAGTGGTATTTTTGTACAATTTTCCAACAGTGGTCGGCCAACCACCGTTGGAAAAACCTAACTATTTTTCAACTACTGCTCCAAATTTACCATTTTTTGGTCCAAATTTTGTTTGCTATTGGTTACATGTTCATGGACGGGTGCAGGCCAGCTAGACTGGTTCCCTTACCTTACAATTTTCCGGCATCTATAAATTGATCCATTTCATCTTTAGTGGAGTCAGGGAGCCAGACTATTTGAACATTTTTGTTTTTCTTGTTTTTTTCAGCATTTTCGAATACAAAACTTTGAACATATTAGTGTAACAATATGTGATCTATTATACTAACCCCTCAAATAGTTCATTTCTGAAAATTACAGCAAAAGCCAATGATGTACATTCCCTAAAGTTTAAGGGAATACAATGTAGGCCTAGGCCCAAACAACATTTGCTTGTGCTGTAATTTTCAGAAATGGATTGATTTGGGGTACTTCTGAAATCGGAAGGCTGCCCAGCAGCCTTCTGATTTCAGAAGTTGATTTGGGGGGTTAGTATTTTATGGCAATTTTTGTGACCTGTTTGAAGTTTTGTGTTCATAGATGCTGGGGGAAAAAAAAGAAGGAAATATGCTGTTCTTGTAGTCCGGTTCCCTGACCCTACTTGGCAATTTAAAGCCGTCGGATAGGTCAAGGAACCAGACTAGCTGGCTTGCACCCGTTCGCGGATGTGTAACTCGTTGCAAACAAATTTGAACCGACTAGATTGGGTAAACTGTGGGCAGTATTTGAAAAATTAGTCCCAAAAATTCACTACACATAGTTCAGTGGGAGTGCCGTTGCAAGAGCCAAAAAATCAGGGACAGGCTCATGGTCAAATACCGTGTGCACTGCTTTTTGGAAAATGAGAAAAATGGGGAAAAAAATAATAAAATGTCTTGTACATGTATTTACATTTGTCTATTTGCAGCATTTGAGTTCACAGACTCCGGCAGTGACGATGAGCGGATGCCATCCTTCAATCTGAATCGCAGGACCTCCAGCAATGAAGCGATCAGCCCAAGCCTGGCCCCAGGCCAGGGCCAGAGCCTTGACCATTTCTCCCCAAAGGTGGACAGTTCTAGTAGCCTGGGTAGCCAGCTGGCCAGCCCAACCTATGCACCATTTGCTGAGTTCAGGGAGTCCCTTTCCCCTGAGGCCCGGCCCAAGCTAGGCCACGGAAACTCCAGCGGCGACAGGTTTGTCCGGTCAGAGAGCCATTCCTCAACAGACGACTCAATGTCTGAAAAGGAGGTGTCGCCTTCCTTTTCCCATCCGCCACCGCCAGTGCAACGGGACACAAGCCTTGATGGCAACTACAGCAATATGGCACAGAAGATGATGGTAGGTAGTGTATTGTGACAGTAGATCTCTTAGAAATAATTCATCTCCTAACATTAGTACCTAACTTAGCTTTTTACTGGCAGTACAGTGACGTGTCTCTCTCAAGGACACAAGCATCCCTGATGATTAAAATATTCTCTGAGCATCCTGCATCGTTCACTGAGATGTAACCACCACCCCTCCCTGTCCCATTACCACCCTAAAGAATACTTGTTCTAAACTTCTTCTTTTTTTTCCTGACCCAAGGAAGATCTTGTTGATCAATCAGCTACATACAAGCACTCAATAATTATGTACATGTACATTTTATAGAGTATCATGTCTATACAAGTAACTTTTTGCTACCAAGCATCATATTGACATGAACGTGAACCTAACCTCTTCGAAGCTTCAAAATAAGTCAAGATGTATTTTCCTTTATTGGATCACATAGCTCCTGTTTGGTTGTAGCTGGGTGTCTGGGTCTGTTACACAAATTTCCTGCTTATTCTTGTCAATGCAGTAGGGCCATTCCAGTGTTATGAAGAAAATGTAATGTAAGGCCCAAAAAAAAAAATATTCGGTCTCTGGTCAGACCAAAGTTCCGGAATTGACGCGGGGACGCGGCTTTTTTTTTTTTTTTTTTGGCTTTTTTTTTTTCTTCAAGCTTGGATTGTACAGACAAGGTGGGGTACTATTTTGCTGTTTGGTGTCCTCATGTACATTGGTGTCCTCCATAATTTGCCTTGGTGCTCTTGATCGTTTGCCTTGGTGCAATTTCCCATTCCTTGGTGCTCTTTGCGGCAATAGAGGGCGCTGTTGGAGCTACCGCGGAACATTTTGGGAAAAAAAAAGATTGACGCGCATGATTAAAATCGACGCGCGCGCTGACCAGAGACCGACCTAATTTTTGTTTGGGCCTAAAGTCTCTATTTTTGGAACTTGCGTGTAGAAATGAAAGCAATGAAACCAACTTTCATTACAAATGAACACCAGTCTGCTGATGAATAATTAAAAAATTGTGATGAAACGCACCCTGATGTTTTAAGCCACATAGTAAGAAAATTTAAAGTGAGGCTTGGAACGCACTCCAATCATAAAATTGTCTGGCACCATCCCGTTCAACAGTGTACAATTTATAAAATAGATTCAGGGGACATGATCAAAAATGGTTTTTTGAAACCAACTTTCATTACAAATGAACACCAGTCTGCTGATGAATAATTTAAAAATTGTGATGAAACACACCCTAATGTTTTAAGCCACATAGTAAGAAAATTTAAAGTGAGGCTTGGAACGCACTCCAATCATAAAATAGTCTGGCACCTGCACTAGAATGCAGGAGGTCGTGGGTTCGAGTCCCACCCGAGTGATTTTTTCCAACTTTCACTCTGGAGGTAACACACTAAGTATACAGTGTTTAAACGTCGGTGAAGGGCAAAACCTAATTTGATTTATATCACCCCGACGCAAAATTCCATCTTATAAAAATGGTTTTCTCGTGAACAAGATCTATTTGCCATGATATCTAATTCAAAACTGATCCATAACTCCTAGTCTGTGATCTCCTTGACCATTACTTAATGATGTACGTATATGATTTGAAAAATACATGTTTTAGTGAGCCCTAAGCTCTGTCACAAACATAACAAATGCTGGATTTCCCAATAGATAAACATTGTCTGCCCATTTCACAAATGTAATGACCCTCTAGTTTCCCACTGCATCTTATGGTCAGTGTAATTGCTAACAACTTTTGAAAATGTCTGCAGCACAAGAAATAATTGGTGCACAATAGTTGCTTTTATCCCCAACCTCAATACCTCACTGCAATCTTTTTGATGCTAAATGACCCAATTAAAGGGAATATACATCATTTGCTTTTTGCTGTAATTTTCAGAAATGGATGGAATTGGGGGGTTGGAAATATATAGCAAATATCGTTACACTGACTTTTTTTAGGTTTTGGGTTCAAAAATGCTATAAAAACCAAGAAAAACAATCAGTTTCCTGTAGTCTGTTTCCCTGACTCCATTTAAGAAGAAACAGAGCAGTTTACATACATTGGGGAATTGTAAGTCAGGGAACCAGTCTAGCTGGCTTGTACCCGTTCATAGGTGTGTAATCGATTGCAAACAAGTGCGATGGTCAATTGGGGCCAGTATTTGAAAAAAAGCCAGTTTTTTTTCCAACGCTGATCGGCCGATCAGCGTTGGAAATTGATACAATAATACCACGTACATGTATCTTGAAAATGACAGTATACCAGGTGCCATGATTTTACAGGATGCTTTACACTGTCATTCACTAACAGTCCAGCAAGGTATTTCAAAATGATTTGGTAGTTTTATATTTGGATGTTTGCAAATGTTGTATTTTCCCTTTAATGTGGATACCCCCTACCCACATGTACGTGTATTTTGTCAGTGGCGGCTTTTAGACTTGATGTATAACTTCTCACCACGTCCATGTTTTTAATCAGAATTTTTGTTTTTTAATATCAGGCCAACATGGGATACCAGAAGGGCAAGGGTCTGGGTCTTCGCGGAGAAGGTCGGGTGGACATCGTTGAGTCATCTAAGCAGCGCGGGAGGCGTGGCTTGGGTCATGTGACTGAGGGATTTGAAGCCAGCGATGACCTAGTGTGGGAGGACAACGAAGAGGTAAGGAATTTTTATTTAATGGCTTTGGTACCTGAGAACCACTTCTATTTTAAAAAAAATGGAAAATTTTCAGAACTCGCAGTAAAATTACAGGCAAAGTATTTTTAAGACAACAGTAATGAAAAGTTTGTTAGACTTAAGATTAACAACATATGTGCTGTATAGGAACACAAATTTTAAAATCAGTGATCAGGTGACCTGTGATGAATTGTCTACAACTCTGATTAACCCCAGTGTATATACTTTAAGAAATTTGATACATTTGCACACAGAAAAAGATAATTTAAGATAAAAATTAGTTGGTTTGAAAATAAAACCAATACATTCCATTTGTTGTCAATAACCCTAACAGTCTCCATCAAGTCAAAGTCCAACACCAGGGTTTGTTGGAATCTGTTGGAGTGAGGACTGCACTAGTAAACTGATCATGCTTTACATGGGGTCAGGCATACCACCATAATCAGAGTCCAACAGTTTGGGTGTTGAGTTTACCATATGTTGTTGGATTTTGCAAGAGTAGGGATGGTTCCTAGTAAATTACTCAAGGGGATTAGGGTTAGGTGTACTTAAAAATAATTATCAAACTGCTGTTTGGTACTGTGTGAAAGAAGAATCCTGAAAATGTGTGATAATACCTTAATTTATTTTGAAAATAAAGGTTTAAAAATCTCAGTCCTTCAAATTCCCCAGGAGGTTTGTAGGAAATCACAGGACTATGGAAGTACGATCATAACCATCAGTCATTAACTTGAGTCTGCAGATTTGGGGATTGGAAGGAATGCATAGGGTTAAATCTGATTTCAAAGTTCCTTTGTACTGTAGGATGTACAAAATGAAAGACCTATATGGAAGCAATGCTGTCAGGGACCTGTACGTCTGCCTCGGTTTGACCAGTGCAGATCATAGTATTTTGCTGGTGTTTCCTTATAGGTTTCTGCCCACGAGACGTATAAATGGATGCCTCCCTGCAATCCAATAGAGGAAGCGGAATTGGCTCAGTGGAGAGACTGGAAGAGAGAGAAGGTACATGAATAGTCAACCTAGTTGAAACACAGCCTCAGTATCTCTCACGGCAGATAAAGAGTCAGACAATGGCCAGTGCATCATTGACTTAATGACCTCTGACATGGGTGTCAACATTCAGCAAGTTCGGGCTATAGTTAACCATAGTTCGACTAACTTTGCTAGAGCTAAGAATGTACGGACTACTCTATCTAGTCGACTATTTGGAAACTGAGCCTGAGGCACGGTTTCATCACTGGTTACCAATAGCCACGGGCATCGTAAAGCACAACGGGGAGCCAGGACTTTTGACCATCGTTTGACTAGAGGCATTTGCACGTTGCTGTTAGTGCGCAGGCTTAAGATACGTCACAAATCAACCACTAGTTGACTAATGGTAGACGAAAAAGGAGGCCATGTAGAACAATGTGCTTCACACCTTACTTAAAAGAATTCTCATTGGCTTTGTAATGTTGCACATACAAAGCCAATGGGAATTCTTACAATAAATCCCTAACCGCCCTGAATCCTCCAAAATCCTTTTTGCAAATTGGAGGAATTTGCAGGATTGAGGTTACATGGCAAAAGTGCGTTGCTGATTTCGGAGTATGCACTGTGTCAAGGTCTTGGGTCGGACCTTGTGTTGTTTATGCTCAGCCGTGCATAAATTTAGTCCTTGATTATACTTGACATCCTCTGCACTGCTCCAGGATGTCACTGCCTCTGCCTCAACCTATTGACAGTCCTAGCCGGAGGATTTTGCAGGATTCAGGCAGTGGTCACCCCTCCATGGACCATATTCAAGAAATAACGGAGGAATTTGCAGGATTGAGGCTATATGCTATTTTTCCATGAGGCCAATTGGAGGATTTTGCAGGATTGAGGCTACATCCTAGCAAAAAGGCCTAGGGAGTTAGGGTTTTAAGGTATGACACACGTCGTTCCAGATGGCCTCCTTTTCCGTCTACCGGTCCTCGCCTGAACTTGCTCTTTGATTTCCAGGGGTGTGTGCATAGGGCACTGCCTTTTGCATGCAGAAATATGCCAATTATACTAGACGGGGGAGGTTGATCAATCATCATCAAGGCGCATTTGGCAACCAAGACAATAAAAGATACTTTGAGAACATTGCCCGTCCTCCCATGCGTGAATGACATGCAATGATGATATATTGTCAGGTCGCTAGTCTATTGTGATCCACCCACTGTTGGTATGCCATTTGTCAAACAGATTTTTGAGACGTTTTGACAAACAGTATCACCAAATCAATTCTATCAGCGTTTATGTTATTTTTGATCAACATTCATTTTGTTGTCCTTTCTATTTTTCCTTCTCATGGTTCTATAGGGTGCCTCTCTCTTACCACTATGTCCAGCTCATGCATTAATTACCTGGGTCTTTGTTATTTCTTTGTCAGAGAAAAGACTACATTGATGATGAAACCCACTTCTGTGACCCAGACATTTTGAGAAAACTTTTGAGTGCAAAGGTAGGACGAAGCTGTCTGTATTATGGAATTTGCAAAGGGGAGATGTTGTTTTTAGGAATCGGGTACCCAATTGAAACTAACACGGGGACCCTAACCCTAACCTTCCCAAATCCTCCAAAATCTTCTTTGCATAACAGAGGATTTTGCAGGATTGACGCCATATGGCAAAATGTGCAGCTGATTTTGGAGGATGCACTGTTTCAAGGTCTTGGGCCGGACCTTGTGTTGTTTATGCTCAGCTGTGCATAAATTCAGGCCTATATTGTACTTGAAATCCCCCGTACTGCTCCAGGATGTCACTGGCTCTGCCTCAACATAAAGACAGTGATTGCTGGAGGATTTTGCAGGATTGAGGCAGTAGTCATTCCTCCAAGGGCCACATTCAAGGAAAAAACAAGGATTTTGGAGGATTGAGGCTGTATGCAATTTTGACATGGATGCAGTTGAAGGATTTCGCAGGATTGAGGTTGCATCCTAGCAAAAATGCCTAGGGAGTAACATGTAGGGTTAAAGGTAGAGAAGATCATTTGCAGCCATCCAAAAAGTAACTGACAAAATTATTGTTGAAAGTAACGGCAATAAGCTCCCTGCAAAATTATTCTTTCTGTCATTTTGATGAAAACAATAAAAGAAGGCAATTTCCAAAGATGCACCAAGTGACGCATTTTGGGAATTTCCGCGCATGTAGCATGTAGTTGGTTTGTAATTTGGCAAATCAGTGAACAGGTGTTTACACGACGCACACACGCCCGCGGTTGCACGATTATTCATCGGCTCTGTGAGTGACATTGCGTACATGTAGCTGCAATTGGCTGAATGAGAACGTGTCCTGAATGCTGATTTCCGGCATAATTCAAAACATGACTCTGCAACTTGGAATACCGGTATACGGCATTCACTGATCTAAAACTTCATATTAATTGTTAAGCACCTGTCATCCGATTTTGAGCACTCTGTTGCCCCAAACATTAAAAAAGTGCCCAAATGACAAATGATGTACACTACCCATAAATTCATGGATAACAGGAGCATTTTGAAATACACTGCCCCACGGAGGCCACTTTTCAACAGGAGACATACGGTGAATTGTATTGAATTATCCTGCAATCAATTATTCTTCATTGTTTTTCACATGTTGGTTACACACAAATGCAAAGGCATTTAGAATCCTTAACACTTAAAGGTGTCATCATTGAGGGAGGTTAATTCGGTTTGTTAGTAAAGGGGGCTTTCACGCGCGCGCACCACTGATTACTAGCGCCCATTGGACAAACGCTCGAGTTGCGTTAGTTTCCCGGTTCCAATGGTTCCAACGCTACTTTAATACGTCACACTAACGAACCGGATAGGAATGTCATTGCCTTGACACATGTTCGGCCTAAAGGCAAATGTATTGGCTGCAAATTTGCAAAGGCTGACCCCATTTCAATTTGAGCAACTTTCAGCAGAAACATTTTGTGACATAAAAATTGCACTTGTGTTTTCATTGATGCTGTGTACGAACCAGTGCTAATAAGAAATAATGTAGGAGTCATCTCATTCAGTATCTGGGATATGATGTGAATAAGTTTACCTGCAATAGGCTGATTGAGTTGAGTGTTGACTGTGGGATTGTGAGCAGCTTCAACAGAAACATCCTGCAATGAAATTATGAACATTGTCTACAATGTTATTGCGGGAAGATTCCAGAGAAGTTGCTCAGAATCCTTCAACTACATGTAGCACATGATACAATGGGCCTATCCGGTTCATAAGTGTGACCTCATTTCAACTTAAACCACATCCCCTACACACGGAGTAGCACTAAAAATCAGTGGAACCATTGGAACCAGAAGAAGTGTAAAGTTGTGTGTTAAGCCAGTGGGTGCTAGTTATCAGTAGTGCGCGAGCGTGTACGACAAAGTCACTTACGAAACGGATTGTGGAGAAACTTGTCCACAGCTTCCCAAATATTGAATAAAAATGACATCTAAAAATCCATCGAAGCTGCTGAGTACCTGTTGCAACTTGTGAAATGATATGCCGTCCTTGTTGATTCCCAGTCAGCGTTTGACAAGCTTGACGATCCTGAGGAGATGAGACAGGCCCGGACTCGGTCCAATCCCTTCGAGACGCTCCGCGGTGGAATCTTCCTCAACAGAGCTGCCATGAAGATGGCCAACATGGACCAGGTCTTCAACTTCATGTTCACGTCGCCCAGGGATGGGCATGAGGTGAAAGATATTTGGATGTTTTCCCCCCAGAGACCAGAGTTGTGAACAGGTCCATCACAAGCCAGTCACTAGTCAAATCACAAGTAAGGGGCCTTGTCAAACTTACAGGCTGTTGGCTCCAGACAAGCTGCAAAAGGAAAGCAACAGGCAAATGGTTATTTTCTAAGGAATTTCCATAAACTGTCAGAAGAGAATGTGTTATTTCAGTGAAGATTCCTTGCATTTGGTTGCCTGTAAAAATTGACTTGTATGACTGGGCCCATGGTCTTAAGTAAAAAGGGATGAACAGTTCATATGAGCAACCTGTCACTTGATTAGAATCTGGAAGATGTGTCCAGCAGCAGATTTCACAAACATTTACGCAATTGCATATTAAAGTTAACACCGCCACAATTTATTTTGTAAGTTGCGTCACATTTCATGCTGGGCAACATTTCTGTAACGACAATTTCACGAATGTTTCGTAGTGCATAAGTCTGTGACTTTCGCAACAAATGATGGCGTAACTTGCATAATAATTTTAGGTGACTAAGTTGTGGTGTAGCGACTGAAAATGAACTATTTTACCAGCAAATCGTGATCGTCGTGGAGCCTGTTATTGCGCAACTTATCAAGTTTGATACAAGACACTCACAGCTTTGTACTTGAAGTAAACAAATTGCTATTTTTAGAGTTGCTGCACGATTCCGAAGAAAGTCAGACAAAAGTATTTTCAAAATGGCAGGCAGAGGTGATTTAATGACTGTTTCATGAATGAACAAAATCATTCACAAACAGCCATCGTAAATGCTGTTATTATCCTCGTCCAAGATGTTTAGATTATTTAAAATGTTGCACAGCTACGCCACATTTCGTGAAATCGATCGTTAGTTTGTTGCGCAGCTGCGCCGCTGCGCAGCAACAAATTTGTTGCGTAAGTCCTACTCAACGCAAGCTACGGCCTTTTTCGTGAAATCGGCTGCTGGACTCATGATTGACTTGTGAGGACTTTAATACCTACACATCTGGTCTTTTTGCATTTCATATTTTGGTATTGTGCCAGGGCAGGGGCACTCATTTCAGTATTCTCCAACCTGTACAACAAACCTGGCACCCCGCCAAGCTAAAAAATATAGCTCATGAAGAATGTGAAGCATGTACATGTACGGTCAGGATAGTCAGGTCCGTGATAGGTCAGGAACAGTGGCAGACAGTGGTTATACAGTCACATAACAGTTATTTCGTAAATTAACAGATCTTTCTCTTCCTGTGTTTGGGCAGAGACCTTTGGTAGGCCACAATGACCTGCTGTACTTTGCGGACATCTGTGCTGGCCCCGGTGGCTTCAGTGAGTACGTCCTCTGGCGTCGCAAGCACAGGACCAAAGGGTTTGGCTTCACCATCAAGGGACCCAACGACTTCAAGTTGGAGGAGTTCTTTGCTGCATCGCCTGAATACTTTGAGCCTCATTACGGTGAGAAGAGATCAATCTGACTCGACTCAAATCCATCGCAAGTCAGTGATAAGTCAGATAAAGCAACAAGATGGAATAAATAGTATTATGTTGTCACGCTCCATTTGAATAGCTTGTCAATTGAATAATTTGCCTGGCTATCAGTCATCATGGCAAGACCTCAGTTTAATGCTCAAGGGCAAATGATTTCAATCCCCAACCGAAGCAGCCCCTTTTCACAGTGTGAAGAATTTTACACAGCTTACATAACAAAGCACTGAAATTGATTAAAGGCAAGGAACTTGGTCACAGTGTCCAAAAATGTTGTTGTGATCAATTGACAATTGTGCAGTGAGGCCTAAATTAGAAACTCATAGGGGTTGAGGCCCAGGATTTAGGAGTATCTGCACAATTCCAAAAATTCAAAATTTACTTTGTGATTTTGTTGTTATTTTAAAAAATATTTCTGGGGAATGTACTGTAGAGTAGATGTCTTGGGAGATTGACTTGTCAGAACTTTTGTATTTTTCATTTTGTTGGAGGAGGGGAAATGTTGTCCGTTGGACCCACCTGCTTATACTTGTACGTTTTCTTTGTTGCCTAGGTGTGAATGGTGCCAATGGGGATGGGGACATCATGAGCAGTGACAACCAGATAGAATTCAGGAAGTTTGTCTTTGAGAATACAGACAACAAAGGGGTGCACTTTGTCATGGGAGATGGGGTAAGATACTCTGTCATTGACCCCAGACCTCGCCTTTGAGTTCCTGTAGACATGGGCGTCGCGAGGGGGGGGGCACTTGCCCCCCCCCCCCCCTGGAAAAGCAACCAAAAAAAAGAAGAAAAAGAAAAAGAGGCGCGAAGACAAAGTGGTGTAAATTTAATGAGTTGGGGGAGGCAAAATATCCCTGCCCCCCTCTAAAACTGACAAATCGAGAATGTATTGAGAAATACAAGCATTTTTTGGCAAAAAAAATTGTTTGCCCCCCTCTAGAAAAAATCCTGGCGACGCCCATGCCTGTAGACTCCATGCATGATAAGTAGATCATGCTTTGTGACCATCAAGAGCTCCCGTTTGTAGAACACACCTTGTGTGTGGTAAAGCATTCCTGACTTTTTGTGCAAACCATGAGGAAACAAAATAAAAAACAATCATGTGATAGGTATAGACAAATCCGGCGGCAGCCTTTTTCTGTGGTGGCCCCAGGCTCGTGCGAGTCACGCTTGTGGAGTACGCACACTCTCTGGGCTCCTTCGACCAATAGGAATACCACAATGCCAGTACGTCTCGTCTTTAAGAACACATGCAGCATGCGAGTGACACCACGGCAATAAAAGCTTCTAAATCGGGTCGCCGGATTCCACTGTTCGCAAACTATTTTGAATGTCAAATGTTTTTCAAAAGAGAGTCTCCCAAAGACCCATCAGTTTTTTCATAGACAAGATAAGTTTGCGGTAGCACCATGTGAATAAATCTCTTTTGTGAGTATGTGTGGTTCTGAAAAGAACCGGAGGGACTCAACGTTTCGAACAGTATGCTCTGCCCGTCGTCAGTCTAGAACCACACACACTCACAAAAGAGATTTATTCACATGGTGCTACCGCAAACTTATCTTGTCTTAGTATCTTTTCACCATGCAAATCTTCAAATCTCAGTTTTTTTCATGTTTCAGAAATGTTTTTGTTTATGCGCAGGGGTTTTCAGTGGCCGGTCAAGAGAACATTCAGGAGATACTCAGCAAGCAGTTACTACTGTGTCAGTTACTGGTCGCCCTCTCTGTACTCAGGCCAGGTAAATTCTTAACCAAATCTTTCAGATCTCCAAACTGTGTGGCCTTCTCATGAGAGCCAGTGTGTGAGGGACACAGTTGAACTGGTTTGTGCATGTAGTTGTGTGTATATACTGATTTGTTTTGGGGGGTTTTCCGTTGGAATCCCTCAGTCTCCTGACGACGGTCAGAGTATACTATCCGAAGCATTGAGTTTTTCCTGGTTCTTTTCATATATCATATCTGAGATGTTCTGAGATATGATAAATACAAACTTTTCGGTCCAAAAGTCAAAACAAGTCAAAAATTATAAATTTCTAACGATATTTTTTCAACAATTTTACTTCATGTTTTTAGAAACACCCCTGTAGCTGTATTGTGGTAGTGTCCATGTCGTAATCAACGCCTTATATGGAAATTGGTGCGTGCGTCGCGCAGAACGCAGCTGTGCTCGTGTAGTGTGAATTTAGGACTATGAAATACTGACTCACTGGTAGTATTGCACATGCCTATGTGTGCATTGTGAACGTTCAACCAATAAACCGGTAACTAAAAGGCATCGGATTTCAAAGGAATCACAATTTCATGTGACACTGGAAAAGTGTTTAAGACCAGCCAGCCATGTCTTTATCAACCGTTTAAAACCGGCCACGTGACGGACTCTCGACCAATAGGAATGGGTAAACTGTCTTAGGTATTTATGAATAGCATTTTACTGATGCTGGGAGGTGCCTACTTTACTGAACTTGGAAACTAATAGGTTAGCCCTGGGCCATCACATTTGTTCCTAGTCCATTTCATTGATTGATTTGCATATTAATTGTCTTTGCAGGGGGTAGTTTTGTATGCAAGACCTTTGACCTTTTCACGCCCTTCAGCATCGGCTTGATGTATCTCCTGTACAAAGCTTTCTACCGAGTATCCTTGTTCAAGCCGGTCACAAGCAGACCTGCCAACTCAGAAAGGTATTGTTGATTTGTAATAAAAAACAATTAACATCAACAAGAAACAGAACTTAAAGGCATTATAGGGGCAATTCCATGGTAACTAACATTACATTTAACAGGGTTCTTCCATCAACTCTGTGCTGTTATTCTATAAAGAAGATCCCTTGAAGTTAAGTGTCTCAACTACAAAAAAGAGGCCAACAAATTAAAGTTTTGTTGGTTTGGCAATAAGTTTTTTATTGGTAACTCACGTTATAAAGAATGGACATTGCAAAAATGTTAATATCCGGCATTTGAAAGTTTCTTCATACTGTGCACTGTTAGTAGAATCTTGTCAGTGCCCTTGCATCATTAGGGTGTAATTTGTATGCTACCATAACAATTAATCAAAAAGAGAGTCCATCATGAAATCTCTTAGAGGGATATATTTCAGTAACTCACTTTACGGTAACACGTGCAAGTTAACACATGCAAGTTAACACATAAAAGAAACTATAAATAATCAAACAAAAAAATCTTTTTACATAGAATATGAACCTCTCTCTCTGCCTACATTTGACCCATATTCCATACCACATATTTTCAACTTTTCAGCCATGTCCACTTTTCCATGGAATTGCCAAAATGCAAAGTAGTTTTTTGTGCTTGTAAAGCTGACAGGTCATTTGATGCACCATTGGGTAGAATACACATACAGCAGGGTTTGAGGGGAAGAAGTGGGAATTACTGGTCCTGAGGTGTAGGTCAGCTTGACTACCTCCTTACGGGAAGAAGCCTCACTGTCTTTTAGTAGCCTCATTGTCTTGTCGATAACAGCCTTTGTAGATTTTGCATCTTTATTCAGCACACTTCAAATTCTTCTTCACAGCATGAAATAGTCTACTGCAGTAGTAACAAGGATTACAACAACAGACGGGTTCCGCAAAGATATAGACTACATGTCTAAAAGGCGGGTTCCAGAGGGAATTTGTGGTGCAACCAGAAAAAAAATATCGCACCGCAGTGAGCTGGATAGTCCCCGGGATGACGTCACCTGGGCACGTATCGTTTTTACTTCCCGGACATGCGGCGTAATCGGTCAATGACGCGCTGCAATTTCATCATGAATATTTATGAGGTGTAGTAATAGGTTCTAGGGACAATTTCATAGAACTGCTTAATGGTTAGCAGAAATGTTGTGCTAACTACATGTCCATATCTGGAAAAGCTGTGCTTACCGAAGTGTATTTCAGATGAGCTAATGGTTGCAAGTGCATTGCAAATTTTTTTTTTTAATTATTTGTGGGACAAATGGTCTCTAAACACTGATGATGATGATGATGATGATGCATGACTATTTGAAGTGAAATTTGGCCGCCTGAGGTTAGTATGCTCTTTGCTGTGCTTAATACTTAAGTTCGCCATTAAATGTGGATGCTCTGTAAGCAGAAAATTGTGTGCTTAGCAGCGCCATGAAACTGGGCCTTTGCAAAATGGTCTTTCATTCATGTAAAATTTCTAAGCACAAATTGTGTATTTGAAAGTTGACATGAATATGTGTGTCACAATGCCTCATTGTGACACACATATTTGACTTGGAATTTTCATTGATGTGAACCTCCCTCTTTCCCTCCTTGCGCCCCCCCCCCCCCCCCTTGGCTTCACAGGTACGTGGTGTGCAAAGGCATGCGGACGGGCGCCAACCTGATCCATGATTACCTGTTTGACTTGAACAAGGCGATGAACAGACTGAAGAACACCGGCCAAGACATCTTGGAGTGTGTTCCCCTGGATGTCATCAAGGCAGACGCCCAGTTCACTCAGTACATCAAAGACCAGAATGAGAGGTGAGGCTCCTTCATGGCAGTTGAATTTTCTTTCTACAACCAGTTATTGTAAATTTCCATAACGAACACGCTTCAGTTTTCAGCGGAATGGTTTTGTAAATTAGTCGTCTAAAAAATCCTATCAGATAGATAAATTCAACCAGTGAAGCAGCATCACTGCTTCCATGTATGCATGAAGCAAGGGCATGAATGTATACGGGCAATTCCACTGTTACTCACGTTACATTTTCGTAACGTGAGTAACCGATGTTGTGCGTCTTGTTTATCATACATAACACATTTTTCTGGATGTTATCTTTGCCGCTTAGGTAGGTCTAGGTCTACTCTATCTACCATGGGGATAACAGTTATTAAACCTTTTCAGTAAGGTAATTACAGCCCAAGGAAACTCAAAACTACATCAAAAATGTAACGTGCAGTGCATATGGCCGTAAACTACTTACAGCACTGTGCATTTACACCACAATAGAGTGGTTTTGCATCCAAATGGATCCATGTATACATACGCATACGTTTAGCTACCCATAACCGTTATCGACCATTCCATTGTTTGGCATCATATACGCGTATGCATACGCTTAGTCATCGAAACTGTTACCAATAAAAGCTGTAATGTAAAATGGCAGCCACCAATGCAAGCCTCGTATCTGCGGATAATCCTGCTTTGAAACGCAGACAAATGGCACATTATATGTTAAGCAGTTCATCCTCTTTCAATCAAATCTTACATGATTCAGTAACTTATAAAAGAGGGTAAAGATCGACAGTTTACTATGCATTTTGCATTGACGCACGATATCTGTGCCATGTACACGCGTAGTGGATAGCGAGTTGCATATGATGTCACGAGACCACAAAAACTGATGACTTATCCGGTGTGCTATTTATGTTTGCTGGCAAAAACCTCTCTAATATGCCCATTCGGTGATACAGTTTTGTTCGTCTGTAGTTCTGTATTTTGTAAAGTGAAGCAAGATGTTGTATGCTGTTGTTGTAATGGTAGAACAAACAGCAATAGTAGCTGTCTAATAATTGGCCAAATCTGTCTCTCTTCTGCACAGCCAAGCTCGAAGCCAAGCCCAGGGTCTTGCCAAGATCCAAGCCTTCGTCCGCAACACCACACTGATTGAGCCCAAGCAGGCTGATATGAGGGAGGAGTGCCTTAAGCTGTGGGGGGTAAGCATCGCCGGGCCAAAGCCTGTCAGTTTGATTCAATGACTCAAGATGCACTTGGAAACACGAAAGCTTCAAGATCTTTAACATTTATTTCTGACAATATTTAAGATTCTTCAAAAAAGCCCACAGGTTTCTTTTTTACGCTACGAATACAAATCCAGTTTCAAGACCCCAAAACTTGTGCATATGTTTTTTCCCCTGTTTCTCAATATGTATAGTATCCACTGAGCTGAAACTTCAACAAGTCAGCTATGCACCCTTCTTAATATTTTTAGCAATTTTGTTGCTTTAAAAAAAAAATCACAAAAAGCCAATGATCAGTTTTACCTTTAATGGATGTTGGGCATCCTAAAGAGTCACAATAATGTAGGGAGTTCCAATTGTGAATGTTTGATTTACCGTTCAAAGAGCTGTTCATTTTAAGAGCTGTACTACATTTTCCAGATGGCATTTCGTGATTAGTTTCTTCTTCACCGTTTTATGCTTATTCCGCAGGTACCAGGTGAGACGAGGTCCACCCCCAAACTTCCAGACCCGATGACAAAGTTTAATCAGCTCAATAAGGTCAGAACTGAACGCTAAGTGGCCTTAGAGAATCTTGTATGGTTGAACTTATTGACTTTGGCGTTATTTCCATGAATTCTTCAGAATTGAAGCAGTAAGAAATTGATATTATCCAAGTATGAACCGAACACAGTGGCGCACCCAGGATTTGGCTTAGGGAGGGGGGCTCACAAGTTATGAATTATTTTCAAAAAATGTTGCCCAGCTTTTTTGGTCGCAGAATTATTTTTTTTTTTTGGGGGGGGGACTTTTTTTACATTGGTGGCGCCATTTACACCCCTATTATACTACTCGAAAAAAGGCCACATACATAATCACCACGGTTAAATCGTGGGACTAAAATTAAAATTTACCCAACAAAAAAATCAAATTGACAACCTCTTTGGGGAGGGGACCTCAAGCACCCCCCCCCCCCACCCTTGGGTGCAGCATTGGCTGAATGTTTCCAGCAGGTGCCATCTTGAGCTGTAGATAAAGTGTTGAAACACTTACTGAATGTTCCAATAAAAAATACGACAACCAAAAAGAAAATTCTGTGCCTATCAAAACTTTTGGCGGGTTGTTAATCACATGTAATTTAGTTATTTGCGGCGCTCAAAATTGAAGTTCCGTTCCATGGTAGATAGAAATTCGCTTGCACAGTCACACTATTGTGGCATTATAACGGCTTTTATGTTTCTATTGACAAGGATTTATTCAGGCGTTGTAAAATGAACGTTTCATGTTCCTGCAATGGAAAGAATAATTTCATTCTGTGACACATGCAATGTTCCATTCCATAAGGCTTCACCTCGTAGAATGGAACATTCCATCTGTCACCTCGTGACATTATTCTTACCATTGCACTCATAAACATTCGTTATTCATTAGTTGTATAGTAACTCTGGCAAATGATCATTTCTATATTCTACTTGTTATGCTAAATTGAGTAGATTTGGAAGAATTCCTTTATTTTATCTCTAAAAGACTGTTTAACTCTTTCGCTACGGAATTTAATTTACCTTTTTCGTCCCAACTGGACGTAATTAAAAGCTGAAAATTCCGCCGAGCGTCGATGTGGGCGCCGCCATCTTGAAATGTATCTCCGTAAACAAACTGCTCACAATAACCAAAAGCGCACCCCGGCCAGACGGAGAGCCGCTGGCAGCGGCTCAAACTAGGGTCAGAGGTTATACGATATAAATTATGTAGATATGGCCCACGTCATGGGGATACCCTGTTTTTTCATAGCGACGCAACCGAGCCGCTGCCAGCGGCTCTCCGTACGACCTGTACAATTTGTATGGGCCGCTGTCAGCGGCTCGCCGTAGCGAAAGAGTTAATAGAAGGTTGTGGTCTGATGTTTCTGGTCATTCTCTTCACCAGGATGACAGTATCGAGTTCTTCCATCATCCCCCCACGGTGCTGGACAGGGAGAGCCTAGGTAGAAGCATCCGTAGTATCTTTGACTATCGCTGTATGGTGTCTGGTGGAGAGAGGCTCTTCATCATCGGTATCGGGGTAAGACACTCAAGTCACAAGTTTCAGTGATGTAAATTTTTGTCCGGGAGATTTTAATTCAGTATAGACCTTTATCATGCTGCCACCATTTCAGTCATGTTCCCTGTAACCAGTAACGGTACTGAATGATAGTGTGTTTTGTGCAAAAAGGAACCAGACTATTTTTCCTTCCAGCCTTGCTTTGGTTACGTTGATTTGAATGGGAAAAAATCAAGATGGCCGCAACATGATCATGGTCCTTTGGGTTTTGCCCTTTCGCGACGCATTTTCACAAACTCTGCGTACTCTCTGCTGACTGAGAGATACGTACAAAATGTGGATGGGACCAATAGATGGGACTTCTACACTTGCAAGCTGGAGGTCATGGGTTCAAGTCCCACCTGATTGAGCTTGCCAATTTTTTTCTCGCAATCTCTAGTACAGCACCGAGTATGCAGTGCGTGTAGAATTACATCAGCTTAAGTGTAAAGCCCAACATTGAAGCCTCAGACTGTTGCACCCTCTAAAACAGAAACGATTTTTGAGACTACTGTTTATTATCAAAATCAGTTTCCGTTTGTGGTTTATTTGAACATTTGTAATAAAAAAACCTGTATCCGCTAGCATTGTGACTTTGGGCGTGATCCCTGGCTACATGGGATATACAGGTTTATGGTTTCTGACTAGCGTCCCTTGAACAAAGACATTGACAAATTGCGGATCCGCCAATGTAGGACTGGATAGCTCAGTTGGTAGAGCACCAGAATGGCAATCTGGAGGTTGCAGGTTCAAATCCCGCCCCAGTCAATTTTCTTTGTTAACCTTTGTAAAAAATTATTAACAAAATCATAAGACGACTGGACTCACTCACCATGGACATCACTAGTAGAAGTCTCGGTCAGTAAAGTAAAGTCTCGATGGGTAAAGCAAAGTAAGGAAAAAATTCACCCTTAATACCTTCCGAGTTCCTTAAAAACCACCAAAATTTGGAGACTTTTGCAGGTTTCAGGAAAGAAGAGATTAGCCGCCTTGGGATGTACGGCCCTTGAAAGTTCACATACAAAAATGCGCCATTGGTTTCCAACACACCAGGAGGATGGTGGAGGATTTAGGATGGATTGTAGCAAAATAGTTCTTTGAAATTGGGCTTGACGTGAATATTGATTAATTGTGTCATTGTGGGACAGAGATCACATGTGTTCCAGTGGGACGGCAGGCCTGGCAGCAAGTGGAGCAAATTGCAGCATTGTAACCTACGGCTTCCTGGAGACACGCTGTTTGAGGCTGAAATGATGGAGGAACTACGAGGAGAGGTTGGTTGGGATCATAAAGCCATAATTATTACCGAGAGCTAACTCACTGTACACAGTGTAGCCTGCTGGGCGACACCATGTTTGCACACAAAACAGAGAGCTCAACAATTTTCTTGGGGTTTTTGTATTGGTATTTGTGTATCTACATTTGTGATGTGATCAAGCTAAATGAGTCTTTTGTCTGGAATTTTCATTTGGAGATTCAGGCCAAAATAGGGCCACTTCATCACATCACTTCATCACATCTCTTGGTGTTCCGACTTCCATAATTTTTGAACTAAAGATGGTACCAGCATGCGGTTTCCACACAGCAGTAATGCTGAGATTGTGCTCTTTTCAAACCTGTAAAAAAAACAGGGTTAACAAACGACTCATTTAGATTGATCGCATCACATTTGTGTTTGAAACTGATACGTGAATAAAGCTGATATCTTCAAAACTTCCAAAGTCTCAGATGATCAGAGCATTCCACTTGTTTCCTCAGGGCTATGGCCAGAGAAGGATGTGTGCCTTACACATGCTGGATGCTATGTGGTTGGGAGGTGAGGATGTCAGGCAACTTCATTTCACTGAGAGGTAAGAGAGACACATTGCGTGTACCTGCCACTGTTTGATGCCGTAGGGGTTAGGATGCAACCATACCTTGCACTAATAGCAGACTTCTGCTTGAGTCACCAAACATCGAGTCCGAGTCCCAGTCACCTATTCCGAGTCCTGAGTCATGCAGAAATACATGTTTAATATGTCAAACACTATCAAGTTTGCATTTATGCAATATCAAGAATGGACGCTGCGGTACATATTTCGATACATTGATTTCCCAAATCAATATATCGGAAACAAGCCAGCCGCACGCGCTGTGTATGTACATCACTTAGCTGCGTTTCCTCTGCACTGCACTGACTGTATCGCTTGCTCATGAGAGGATCGTTTTTCAAAATAATTTACAGTTACATTGTTGAAAAAAAAAAAAAGTGATTTGTAGTAATTTTGGTTGAATCCCGAGTCACGCAGGTCGAGTCATTAACCCTTACTCTCTGAGGGTAGTTTACTGCATGTCAGTTGGTTATGCCAATGCCCTCCAGCTGCAGTTTATCGGAGGATACTTTGATGTAGCAGTGAAGGCTCCAATTGGCAGGAGTTGGAGGCCCTGGAGGGTGCCTGATACTGACCAGCTGGGGGCACTTGATTGTTATCAGAGGACTCTCATTGTTCTCTGTGGCATGTATTGGAATGCCTGTCCAGTTACCCTTGAAATGATATGGCAGATATTGGAGGGCCATGCAAAAAACATAGGAGATTTTCTTGAGGCACAATTGGCATGCGTTGGAGGGTCTAGTAGGGTAAGGGTTAATCATCGTGAATCGAGTCTGAAAATGGGACTCGAGTCCGAGTCCAAGTCATGAGTCGTAAAAGTCTGACTAATAGCCATTCTGAATACTCACAATATAAACAAGAGCACATGGCAGGTCTCACCAGTTTTCACGACGACTTCATGCCAAAAGTAATGTCTATAACACCCGCGTCTATCCATCAACAACTCGACACTGAAATAGCCTGCCATTCCATCCTTCATCAATGCCCCCAAATCTAGAACAATTCAAACATGCCATCCCTGTTTTCTGTGCAACACTAATATCCCTCATGGCTCCTCTGAGTGGATGCAACTGGGTCATTCCTTGCCAACTGTCCTAAATTTATGAGAATTTTTCTGGTCACAAATTTATTTCAGTCTCCATAGTGGCTCCGTGCAAATTGGATGAACCCCCCCCCCCCCCACACACACATAACCATTTTCCAGACAGATATCTTGCTGCAATTTTGAGATGTAGTCATTTAAAAGTGAAACAATCTCCAGACACAACAGAAAAAGTGAAAAATAGGGGCTGGGATCGTATTTTTCAGGGGGTCATACCATACCTTAAAGTGATGTCGGCAGCTAAATTTTTTTCATAAGAACCATAGAAGTATATTTAAAAAAAACCTTTCATCCTAATTGGAGTCGGTGACCTGACAACCTCATTTTGCTAGAGAAACGCTGGTTAAAATACAGATACTTTGCTGTATCAAACATTAGACTGATCCATTAAGCCTTGTCCACTGCGCACGTGGGCCACACCACTTGTTCCTCGCCAAGACCTTCCTCCCTGTTTCAGCTCTTTGTATCATGCGAAGGTGCAAGCATGTCGGACTATTGTGCAAGCATGTCGGACTATTGTGCATGCATGTCAGACTATTGTGCATGCATGTCAGACTATTGTGCATGCATGTCAGACTATTGTGCAAGCATGTCGGACTATTGTGCATGCATGTCGGGCTATTGTGCAAGCATGTCAGACTATTGTGCATGCATGTCAGACTATTGTGCATGCATGTCAGACTATTGTGCAAGCATGTCGGACTATTGTGCAAGCATGTCGGACTATTGTGCATGCATGTCAGACTATTGTGCAAGCATGTCGGACTATTGTGCATGCATGTCAGACTATTGTGCATGCATGTCGGACTGTTGTGCATGCATGTCAGACTATTGTGCATGCATGTCAGACTATTGTGCATGCATGTCAGACTATTGTGCATGCATGTCGGACTGTTGTGCAAGCATGTCGGACTATTGTGCATGCATGTCAGACTATTGTGCAAGCATGTCGGACTATTGTGCATGCATGTCAGACATTAATCGCCAGCATGATTGGACACAACACCATAGGTCAAGGTTTAATGGATTGGTCTTTTGCCTTGAAGGATTTTTTTTTAAAAGAATGTCTGCCCATTTTCCATTCCATGAATACAAGGATGGTTCATGCACCACCCGAAAGAACATTTGAATGTGAATTGATGCTTTGTAACAAGAAATTCAAGGCGTTAATTTACAAAGGTTTACCAACTTTGAACTCCGGTAAATTTTGAAGTGAATGTTTGGTGAAAGCAAATTGATTGACATCTGCAGTATGAACAGGTCTAAAGTTGAACTGGTCTAAAATTGTATTAAAATTCACGTGTATGAATTCTGATTTAAAAAACACAATATTTTGAAATTCAAATGTTGTGCTCAAGGTATGTTCTTGATTGGGTGGTGATTTGTAATTGGGATTTGTTTGTCACAGGATAACCAAAGCCGAGCTGTTTGTCAAGGCCATCCACAAGCCCACCAAACCCACCCTCACTCCTCTCAGAGTCAAAGAAGTCTTCAGATTTGAAGAAATTCACAAAATCTTTGACAGGTAAGTGAAACCCCAAAATATGCAATCTATGATTAATCTATAAGCTTCAGAGCAGTGTCCAGAGTGAATATTTTTCAAGTTTTAGGAGCATTGTATTTATGATTACCTTTTTCCCAAGGGGCAATTCCACGGTTACTCACGCTACATTTTTGATGTACTTTTGAGTTTCCTTGGGCTATAATTACCTTTCTGAAAAGGTTGAGTTAACGTGAGTAACCAAAGAATTGCCCCAAGGCTTTTTTGGGGGGCAGGGATTGAGGACCCTCTCAAATCCTCAAAAAAACTTTGGAGGATTCGAGACAAAATTCTGTGTACTTGAAACTTGGTAGGTGCATCGAGCATCATTTTTGTAACAGTCGCTGGGCTACAGACCAATCCAGTCACAGAGTTGCTGTACACTCACAGTGGCCCCCATTAATGGCAGAAGCACTGTGTCGGTCACTGTTTAGAATAACTGTCATGGCATGGTGGTTGTGCACAGAACATGTAGCTGACACAATGCTCCCGCCAATGCTGAGGACTACCGTGAGTGTAAAGCAACTCTGTTCCCAGATTGCTCCTTACCTTCCTTACTCCTGAAAATCCTTCAAACCTCGATGTGGGTTTTGGTAGATTTGGGGGTTTTAAGATCTGTCTTGCTTGAGACAGTGTTGAATTTGTTCGTGAATGATAACCGAAATACAACAACAAGTAGCTACAGATTACCCCTTTTCCCCTACTGCTAAAATACAAAGTTTGTTTACAAACATGACTTTTCCTATCAGATTTTACATCACACTACAGCCAGCGCTCTTAGCAATCTAATATACCAGTGAAGACCTGTAAATTAAAATGAACCTTGTAAAGATTGGAGATTTTTAAGCTCCATTGATGAATTTCCTCAATATATGTTCCACTCGACAGACTGGAATTCAAGCAAGTGAAAGGATCTGGAAGGCAACAACGTTTGTGCTTCCGAACCAACACAGAAAGACACTTCATTCCCACCGGTGTCTGCCTGGTCAAAACTATCAACGGTGAGTTGAAAACGTCCGGCAGCTAACGAAACAAGTCTGGCACAATTAGGGGTCAATCTCATGGAGCTGCTATGCACAGAAATGTGCTGTAAAGCACAGAAATATGTGCTAAGCATTTATGACTATACGGCTGATTTGTCAGACAATCAGCTCATTGCTTTCTTTGCTTGTTGACAGCTGATTGCCCAACAGTTATTTTCTGCTTAGGGCCCTAAGCATCTTTTGATCACTATGAACCAGGAATATCTGAAACCTTTGTTTTCCTTACAAACTGTCTGAATAATGAACAATGGCGAGTATATTTAAGACATTTGGTCACAGATTCAGACATTTTTGAATCCCCTCAATAGTATTTCAGACATTGTGAATGTCTGAAATGTAAACCTGTTAAAACCACTTACATTTCAGATGTTCTGTTAACCTCAAAATATCCCGTTAGCTCAGTGGTCGAGTGGTAAGACATCTGCACTAGAACGCAGGAGGTCGTGGGTTCGAGTCCCACCCGAGTGATTTTTTTCCAACTTTTACTCGGGAGGTAACACACACTGAGTATACAGTGTTAATACGTCGGTGATGGGCAAAACCTAATTTGATTTACATCACCCCGATGCAAAATTCCATCTTATGAATACTCAAAATATCTGAAACATCAGCCTATCAAAAAAGTGGCTATTTTAGGTTTCAGAGATTTCGGGCAACCTACAACTAATTATCTCCAATATATTCAAGGCCTACTTGGGGATGAGGACAATGTGTTCTAACCAAGACAACTGGCCAACCTTGATCCTAGTGATCCAGTGATCCTAGTTGTTGGAAGCAACTTGTGGTTGCCTGCAGAGCAGCTGAACAATGATGATGATGATTGTTCACGTTCAGACATTTTGTCCAGAACAAACATGCGTTTTCAGATATTCCTGGGTCATAGTGTTGTAATCCCATTTCCCCTCCAGATCCATGGACGATGCACTGGAGTAGGACTAACCAGAGGAAATACTTCTACAATGCAAGCACTCGGGAGTCCAGGTTTGATTGTCCACCTGACTGCATTGCATCATTCAAGTAAGTCACCGTTGTGGGTGTTGATCAGTGATGTTAGGGGACAAACACTGGGAATGTGAAATTTACAATACTTGACTGCTGTGATTTGGGTCATTGATGTAATACTAGGACCCATACTTAATTTTGAGTTGCTACTTTCTGTGATGCTTATTTCTAAAACGAACATTTTGTACTTGCTAGTGATAGAGTTAGAAAGGTTTTTGTTTTTCAGTATTTAACCATTTCCAAACTGATCGCAGATTATTTTGAAAAATCCAACTTATTTCCATTCTACTATATTTTCACTCTGACTTGTGGCATCTCCTTTGGTCATAATTACAAACCCCACAGTTTTCCAGCGGAAAAAAAGATTAATTATCTTTGATTGAAATATACCAAACTTGAATCTTAAATTTGTTTTTTTGTACTTGTAGAGCTTGCCATTTGAACAGACTTCAGTGGGTTTGGGAGGAAGGGGTTCAGATCCACGAGAGGCAGTTGCAGTATGACCAAGAGAAGCTATCCAAAGATGACATGCTGGACCTGGTAAACAGACAACGGGTGGTGTGAACCTTGAACCATCCTCAACCAACGGAAAAAAACAAACAAAATTGGTCATGTCAACTCCATGCAAAAACAGTCGACGGGGCTGGTACATGTATATTAAACCAAATCATCAGGCTACAGTGCATGCCTGAACTGGTTTAAGCACGGATGGCGTGGAGTACGTACAACCAATATTCATCTGACTGTTCACCAGCCCGTACCATCTTCCAAGAGGAATGCACCGGACTGTTGGCACATTGCTCCAAGGGAGCTACCAGTGTCCTTTTGGTCGCATTCATTAATTCTCATTGTTGAGGGGGCTTGTGTGCATGGAGACCACAAGCAACCAGATAATCACCATGAACTTTATTTCTCTTCAAGGAGAGATTTCCAAGGATACTGCGTGAGGCCAGGAGAAAATGATATGCTGGACTTGGTGAACAGACAATACATGGTATGAATCTGGATCACCCGTTCCCCCTCCCTTCCCCCTCCCCCCCCCTCCCCCCCCCCCCTCCCCCTCCTCCCTCCTAAAAAAAAAATGTCTTAGATGTTAGCCGCATCCAAATCTCTTGTCAAGAGCCGTTATCTAGTTCTTGGACAATAACACCCATGTGGGCACATGCTGACAATAGACGTAGCCGCAGCTCTAGGCGCCTGTACCAGACACGGCTTTGCATTGGAAGGATTTTAGGGTCAGGTCAGCATGTTGTCACAACTTTGTCTCAGACTCTTTGGATTTACAAAGCATTGACCTTTTTTTATGAAGGGTCTGGTGATGAAAATCAAAAGCGAACTTCAGCTGCCCGATTCCTTCACCAAAAAAATGTCACCCTCTCAAACTTAGATTCAAAGGTTTCTTGACGAGATCAGCATGGTGTCCTCACCAAACTATTTTCAGAAGTACATGTATTGTGAACAGAAGCAAATTTGTTAATTTCAGTGCGAATGCTCTGTATCGAGGCCAACATATTGAATGTTTCAAGACAGGGCTGTGCCAAATATATCAAATATTCAAATTTCCAGTCATCAACTGAATATCCCGATAGCATTTTAATTTTTTTCATCGATTCAAATATTCGAAAAAATTTGAGCGGTATTGAGGAGATCATAAAAAAACATCAACAATGTTATATTAATCGTATAAGTTGCGTGGCTGTGCTGTATGTCAAATCCAGATTTGGAAAGCCACTTTTGCCAATGGTTTGAGAGCTTCCATGAGGACTATTAGCTCAAATTGCATCTCTAAACAGGTCAAATATCAGCCAATCCACTCCCTGTTCTTAATATTATATCATTTTAATAAGTTCTTTCACAATTTTCAACAGGTGCAGACGCACGCAAATCCTAATCTGTGGCCACTTTAGAATGGCGCATGTTAAACCTGATCAGCGGTTGTTTGAATTTCAAATATTCAATCAAGTCCAAGTTAGAATAATAGTGCACTAAATTACTCGAAAATGCACAGCACTATTTCGGGTGTATGCAATAAAGGTGTGATTGGACTGCCAACTGATATTCCCATCGACAAAAAAAAAAGGGAGGAAAAGGAAAAGCAATACATGAATGTGGGCAAAAATGATTTCGTTGTACAAACAACCTGATTGTCGCCATTGACGACATGCCTCCTAAAGGAAGAAGAGATTTCCTAGAATACTCTGTGAGTCCAAGTCACTCATTTACATTAAGGTTTTTTTTTAATTTGTCGTCAAATTAAAAATTGTAACAAAAACTAAGACCATTCTTAATTGATCCATTGACCTAATAATAATAATGTGTCTTAATAAAGTGCAGGTATCCACTAGTATTGGTGCTAATAAAGGCACTACATCATTATTACCCTGTTCATTGGGCTAATGAAAAATTCAAAATACCATCTCAGCTCCCTGGGGAGTATACAGCTCGATGCTGCCATTTCGGCGCAGAGCAGCTAAAATCAACCACAATAACCATATCTGCCCTCAAAGCTACCCATTTACTCCTGGGTGGAGAGAAGCAATGAGTGACAAAGTGCCTTGCCCAAGTGCACACGCACCATAGCCGCAGACTGGAATCGAACCCACAACCTGCAGAATTACTCGCAGACCACGAATTCAATGCTCCAGACCACGAGGCCATGTCACTCCACAAATATAATAATTACCATAATAAATATCAAATATTGAAATATCAAATAGTTACCTAATAATGATCATAGGCCTGGACTCACAATCCTGGTTCCGATTTTGGAGTCAATTCTTAAGCCTAAGGCTGAAAGTGGGAATGATTAAAGAGAGGAATTCGGAGAAAGACTTTCCTCCAGATTAACCCGTTACAAGAAAATTGGAGATAGCAATGATTGCAAATTGGACCAAATTCTTGTTTTCTGTTGCATGTCAGGCGTAATTGTCATGAAAAATAACATCTTGCATATTTTTTTTGCAAGTTCGTTAATCTAGAAAATTTAGGATTTCATAGGTATCATTATTTGGTCGAGTTTTTCTCATAGTAGTGTAAATTAACCATGCAAGATGTATAAAGATTTGATTCATTTAAGGCTGTTCATAGCAATTTTTTTCCATTTGACAGCTAGCCACAGTGATTAACTGCAATGCTGTTGAGGTATTAACATGGAACATTCTAGGTTTTTTTTCTCCAGTTAACAATTTTTTTGGTTGGCTTCATCAATGGTACAGTTCATGATAAGAATTTCTTTATAGTAAGTATTTCTTTCATTGCGATTGTCTCAACATAATTATACTTGTGAAATAATTTGGAGTTTAAGGTCTTTTGAAAACTTGCCACTTTTTTAAATAATTTGAAAATTTGACATATGAATGCCTGGTGTGTAGAATGCACAGTGGAAAATTAGTCTGGTGCCGCAAATTAATCGTAGAGTACCAATGAGGCTTAGTCTAGTAACCCATATTCCACCGTCCTCTTGGGGTTTTTTTAAGCGTGTTTTGATGTGTTCCTTTTAAGCTTGCCAACACTCAACAAGAAAACCAACTCTAACACCATTGACACTTTCGCTTGGCTAACTTCCAAATCTTATCCTCCCTACAAGAAAACAAAACTGCAAAACAAGAATATCAGAGATATATATTTTTTTTTCAGTTACCTCCAGCCATCTTCTCGCATTAGCCCCGAAAATTTTCCAAATATTTTGATACATATTTGGTCTCCTGACCACCTTTAAAATAAGAGGGAAAACAGTTTTATATGTGTATAACAGAAACATAATATAGCTTTTGCATGTGATGCAACGTATGTTTCAAAAGTTCTTTTCTTCAGTTCCATGCATTTTTCTTTTGTAGTTTCCCCTAGTGTGCAATTTTTACATCTTTTTACCAACTTTTTTGTTTGTTTTTGTTTAATACGTTTCCAAGCCATCACAAGTGGATGTCTTAAATACTAGAACAAGAAGTCCCCAAGTGACTAGTATAGAACACATTATACATGGAAAATGGAAACAAAGTTTGTTTGTTTTTGTTTTTTTATTTTGTGGGACGGATTGAGTAGTATGGACAGTGCATGTTATATATATTTTCAAAACATCTAACTCCACTTCATTCATACTTGCGTTTGTATTGTTGGGTCAAACCAGTTTGACTAGTTTGAGCTATAGACCAGTACGAGCATGCTATCGAGACATTGTGCTAGCTGTTGTACAAATCAACTTCCCCATGACAGATTAACTGAACAGAAGCCAGCACAATGCTTTGGCCATTGCAGGGGGCCCTCTTTGAGTTTACAGTGACAGTGTGCTCGCATTTGTCTATATCACTAGCATGGCTTTTATGTTGCAGTCGATAGGAGTTTATGTGACCATAAAGGCCAGAATTTCAATGCTTATAGCGGCATGAGCATGAAACTTCACGGTGTGTAAAATCTCGGTCCAGTGTCATGGAGTGCTTGATGGCAAATGTTGCAGAGCAAATGTATGTGCTTGGACACAGTCAGCAGCTAAGGCACAGTCATAAACAGTGTTTGAGTGCATGAACATTGCATGACAATTTGGCTAGTAGACTTTTTGCCGAAATTTCTGTACTCAACCATGTCAGCGGCACTATGAAATTAGCCCCTGTTGAATTTGCTTCATTTAAGGAAATGCTCTCGGCATACAGCATTGCACAGAAAAAATGTGATTAGTAAAAGGGTCAATTATTGGTGCACAATTGTTGCCACATTGATGCCTCCGTCATGTGGTACATACGATCCTTCCATGGTCTTTCTGTCGGAATGCTTGCAACTTTCAATGTTTCACGTTGGACAGCCTCTCAGATTTACCCATTTTGTTCACTGTATCGTTCAGTGTTTCTCTCGTTCCCACGTCACATTCCCAAGACTGGTTTGTGAACCCAGACCCGGAGGGTAGTGACCGACATCTGCCGGGCAGATTAGTCTCAGCATCCGTGATTTGCAAATGCAACCCCCCTTCCTTCCTTCCTTCCTTCCTTAACCATGGCACGATACATTCATTTCAAAGAAAACCAATTCATGTAGTGTGGTACATCCATCACGGTGACTCACTCAGTGCTGAAAGGAAGAAGGCAATCTTGGTGGTTTTTTTTTTTTTTCCTTTTTGGGTCCCCTCCCCCTTTTTGGTAGACGCATTACAGATGAGACGTCACAGTGCTAGCGTTGTATCCATGATCCGTGCGTGGGAAACCTGTGCCACTTCTTACTTCGGAGTGTGGGCTGTAAATGTTGTCTTCCATTAGATAAGATCTTTTTAGGGCCAAGGGGATTTTTCACACTAACTCAGTTTGTCTGGGCCCCGGGTATTATGACTAGATGTCAGGGCTGAAATTAGGGCTAGATTGTGCCCTGGTTTGGGGACGAGTTGACCCAGAAAGCTGCTGAACAAGAAAGACTTGAGTCGAAACCACTTGATGCAAATTCCAGAACTCAAAAACAAGTATCTCCTGTACAATGACATCTAAACCAAATGTTCAGAAAGTTTCTCATCTGGAACTGTATTTCTTCTGACACTACGAAGTTTGTACTTTGGTTCTATGTCTAAAAAAAAAATGTCGCTGAGCAGAAAGTCCAGAATTTGTCAAAAAGTGATCAGGGGGCAAATGATTCCAAATTGCCACCTATTGCTTAGCATCTTATTTTATTATGCCATTTGTCACAAATAATGCAAAATAGTGCAAAATTACATAGACAGAGTGGCACTTATTTTGTTAGCTGTTGACATTATAGCTTGGCTCATGCTCTCATTTGTTGCATGAAGAAAACACTTGAGATAAAATGCAAAAATCATGCCATGATCAAAAATAATACAGTTGAGATGATAAAGTAGGATTTATTTCTTAAGGCCCAAGTACAAGTATGGAATATGTTTTGTTACAGACTGGACTGTATTTTATAATAGTAGCATTGTTTACTCAGATTTTTAACTACCTAGGCGTTAACTGTTTTTTATTTGACCTTTGAATGTTTCACTTGTCTTAGTTTTTGCCTTGTAATTATAGCATGCATGCTTCTGTGTTTGTATTTATCTGTTGTTGCATTGAATGGCGGTGCATAAAGAATAGCTTCAAAAGCACTTTTGAAGGGTACTGTTTTGGTAGCTGCCAGAAGTAGTTTACTTAAAAATATTACAGTAAAGTGTCACAAGTTTGTTTGACAACCCAATCATGTTCAGAGACTGGTAACGTTTGGCAACAATTCTAATCAATCAGACGGGTATATTCCGTTGTCATATTTCTTTCAGGGGATTTGCTAATCTGGGCACAATTTTTTGGGGAGCTGCCGTGTTCAAAATATCATGCTTGGCAATTTCCTGTCCTAAGCAAGCCAGCTGAGAACTATTTACTGGCAATATCTGCGTCACCTGCTAATCATGGCTGATAAGCTGATATTGCGAAGCAATCTGTGCTTTACAACTCCTGTTGAATTTGCCCATGGATTATTTGCCAATTAGAAATTAATTGTGATTTCAGGTTACCTTATTTATCAGGTGTCTGGGGGCGCTGTGGTCCAATGGATACGGTGTCAGATTCATGTGCTGTGGTACGTGGGTGCGAACACTAATGAGGAACTTGGTGTTTGTGCCCTTGGGCAAGACACTTTACCACAATTGCCTCTCTCCACCCAGGAGTACAAATGGGTACCTGTGAAATACCTGTAAAGGTAGAGACTAAATGGCGCATGGTCTCGAGCTGCTGCAGAAAAAAAAAATGGTCTCGTTCCTGATGAACAGGGACAGTAATTGTAAAGCGCTTTGGAACCTTAGGTATAAAGTGCTATGTAAGCACCACATTATTATTGTTATCTAAATCAAGCTTAGAATTGTTGACCAATTTGACGTAGTCCTCTCTTTATAATGCCAGTCACATCTCATGAGCTCAGTTATCAATATTTTGCAGTTTTGGAGAAAAATTTCACGCTACAGCAATCTCTGCATTGTGCAAACGGTACCAGTAGACCTTGTTCACGAGGAGCCATTTTTGATCGTGTTCCCTGAATGTATTTTGTAAGTTGTAAACTGTTGAATGGATGGTGCCAGACTATTTATGCGTTCCAAGCCTCACAATGAATTTGTTTTTAAATGTGGCTTATAACATTAGGGTATACATGTATTTAATCACAAATTTTTGATTATTCATCAGAGCAGACTGGTATTAATTTGTAATGAATCCTTATTTCATTGCTTTCATTTCTTCTCACAAGTTCCAAAAATGAATAATTTACCTCGCTTCAATTTAATATGGCCGACTTGTGAATAAAGCCTATCAGGCCCAGTTTCATGGTGCAGCAAAAGCAGGCATTAGGCCTATTACTTGTGCTTCAGTTAACAGTATGAGAGCAAGTCATATGGCCTTTTTACTGTGAACAAAACTTTTGTCTCACCGGTTTCACAAAAATGACCATATTGGGAGTAATAACAGTGTTCATTGCATTATCATCAATAGTCTATGCTTTTGTTTAATAATGCATTGTAATCCAAATGCTGCCTGTGTATACCATTGTATATATTAAACAAGTGTAAATAATTTTCAAAGATGCAAAGACACACAGTGACAATGATGAAGATGAAAACTCAACTCAATAAAGTGATCTGCAAGTATGATTTCCAATCCGAGTGGCTGAATTTGACTCTGTGGTGATTCTGTTTCGCACTATTATGATTTTAATGATTTAGTTTGTCAAGTTGGACCAATAGTAGGGCAGATATTTGGGAGAAATTTTAGGGGGAATCGTGCCTTTAATGATACAAGCGTGGCATTTGGTACACTAGTCAAGGGTATGAAGTTGATTTTGAAAAAAAAAATTGTCAAATGATTTGACATGACAAAGGGCACTCTACCTTGGACATAGGACACTGCCCAACCAATTTATTCCCTGTTAATAAACTACTGTACAGTAACTACAAATACTTAAATATTTTCAGTGTTCAAAAACACTCTTTAATTACCTGGTGCACTGGCCATACTCCCTTATATACAAATATACATGTCTATTTATGTACATTTTCCCCTGGAATTTTAAATACGCTGAATACAGACTATCAAGGGAGGTCATGAACATAAAACTGTAAGATCAAATCTTTGAGTTATTGTTAGATTCATTCGTTAAATAAAGGTCCTGGCATTGCTCATACAAGTGAGGCACAAGAACTTAGATTTGCTTTGAAAAACCAAAAAATTAGGAAGAAAAAACAAAAACCAACCAAATTGTACATATTGAATGAAATCTATTCCTAATTTCATGACTCATCGATTGGGGACATCTGGAATAAAATTCAGAAAGCCAAGTGCCATCATTCCAGAGTCGCCGACTTTCAGGCATTGTACTGAGGTGTCAGATGTACTATCAATATTTCTCTGAAAGGTGACAATACAAAAAGTTTATCAAGTCAAACACTTGTAAGGGTGAAAGGTTGCTTATCTTTAACTGTTTGCAAGATAGCAGCGACATCTCAAAGCTTGATCGTTTTCATCCGAACTGTTGAAAGTCATGTGTTTTCACTTCCATGTTCAAACCAATAACAACTTCAGGGCAAAAACAAACATCAAAACTCAAAAAGTTCTTTCCCCGGCGGACAACGGCACGAATACAAACAGAAGAAAAACAAGTTCAGCAGGGAGGTCGGTAACCGGTTACTGACCACAGCTCATCCCAGGGTACATTCACATGAGAGTGCTTCCAACATGTGTAAGAGTTGCTGTATAGCTAGGCGACTCCCCTTACATTCATTAACCCATATCTCCGCAGAGAGGGCCGTGAGTGCAAGCGATGGTAGGTCTTTCACCCTCGTGCGCGAGAGCGAGACGATCCCCACCTGTCAACGCTTTCTCCCCCCCCCCCCTTCCTTCGCTGATAGCTTGCAATGGGAGCCTCATGATGTCTAATCTGGCCCAAAACTGACAACAGCCCCCCTTCCCCCCCATGGTGTGCCAAGGTACAGGCAGGCGTCGTAATGAGTTAGTGCTAACATACACAGACCAACAAAAGCCTGACGCTGCTGATGTAGGTGATGATTTCCACTCATGACTCGCTTCATGTAATCCTATCTAAATCCAATCAGATATGATCAAGCCTGCAAGTAGGGCATCATTACGCACAGTACACACACAGAGGTAACCATGACTCATCTCCACTTCGCCCCATCGTCCCTTTCTCTACATGTAATTCACACGTATCACATCCCCCGGTTTTCTTTCGTCAAGTGTCTTATGTATTTCTGTATTCTTCTTTTGTCTCTTTAATCCTCGTCCCAGGCTCTGTGTCTCTGTCGAGTGATTGCACATTTGGGGGAGGAATCCGATTTGATGATTTAGTGGATTTATCGCGAGCAGGCAACGGTGGGAAATTTACAGTACACCGGGCGTGCCTACTTTCCACAAAATTTGATTATGCTTCAAGACGTAAAAATAAAACATGATGTCCTAGTTACAGCTCTGTAAATCACAGTGGCTGAGCTACACAACGGAGCGTGTGCTTCAACTACAAATTGGCTGCTGACTATAAAACATAATGTTTCTCCCAGTAATTTGGCTTTCTGTTAACAGGGGCCACATTTTTTTTTAAACTTCTTTTTTTTCAATTATAAATACAGTATGAGGCTACAACAGTCCGACAACAAATGTCCAATTCTTAGGATCTGATGGTATGACAAGAAATGCTATGATAAGAAATAACATTTTAGTCATTGACAATTAAGTTCTGGTTTAACCATGATCCCTTTTGTTTTCAACAAAGACAAAAAAGCTGATTCTGATCTTGCAACTTTTGTGGCTTTACACACACCTCCGGAAAAGTCAGTCATTTGAAACCTGTGGCAGCAAACTAATCAGCAGTTTATTGCAGAATGAAACCTTCCTTTAATTTAGACTCCACTTTTTCTCTGAGGAGACATTATAACAAACAAACAAACAAAATAACAATACCCCCCAAGAAATCATCTTCAATAAGTTTTCTGAAACTTTTTGTGGTTACTGAAAGAGTCCAGTTCCATCTGAGAGAACAGAATCAATCAGATGTCAATCACAATTCAAATCTCAAGCCAAATCACAAGTCTGGCCACATACAGGAATGCCTTTGCTGCAGCTAATACTGCAATAGGTTGTGACTTAATAAGACTGGGAGAGTGCTGAACTTGTGATGGCTTGTGGTGACCTGTGAATGAGGCCGCATCCAAGATACGTGGCTATGACTGGCGATAACACACGCGTCTATTGGAAGTGGATGCAGCCTCATCCGTATGTGTGTTAGTTATTAACGGCTCTAGCAAAGTAATTCGGACGCGGTCTGACTCTAGAAAAAAAAACAGTAGTCTGGTGTATATAGATGTGCATGCATGCGTGGAATCCTGACCGCATTTTAACGTACATTGTAGACGCTGACAGATTGAATGAAATACTGTCCCAAGACACGAGTCCCAAAGATCCAGACACTCAACATGTCAACACTCAACATGTCTGGAATTCGCCTCAATTTCAGTAGCCCACCCGAACTCTACTTGAGTCAAGACCAACTCTAAATGTAGCAGCACCTTTTTTCACGTTGAAGCCCCACCATATTGATATATTTGCATCATTGTAGAACCGCTACTCCAAGTCATCCATTTCAAAGCCATCTTGGTAGTCATCAATTCCTGTATAATGAAAACCAAAAAGAAAGAAAAAAAGGCTAGAAATTCTTCATATCAGTAAAGTACATTAAGTACACACCGCACACCAAAACGGTGAACTGGACAACTTCATTGGCAGTTTGGCGTGACGAAATGAAACATTCACAAATAAACAAAGGAAGGGAGAGGGCGATGAATGAATATGCCGACTCATGACAAGTGTTGGCATAGCTGAGAGGTTCCTGCAACATAAAAACACATCAATCTTTGGGAAGCTCATCAGATTTTTTTTCATAACGAAAATTCCTGCCAGCTGTACATTTTCCTTTCCCAGGTTTCATCAATCAATTAATAAAATGGAAGGTATAAAGGGGGAATTTTAATTGGTGTGAAATGAGGAATTGCCTGCTGAAATATGTGTGCAGAATTATGTGCACTTTAGGCTCAGTGCTCTTTGTCTACACTGTGCTTCTTACTATGAAAATTTGTACTAGCGTAAAAAGAAATAAGATTAAATTAAAAAGGTCATCAATTACTAAAAAAAAAAATCATCAGCGAATAAAAACAATGTAATACAATGTAGTACAGGGGTTAATCATGGGTTAAGAGTAAGTAGGGCTGTGCATCGGAACCGGGTACCAGAGTACCCGACCGTCGATGTCAGGAACCGGTTCCAGATTATGAGATCGGGTCCCCGTAACAAACTTTTCAAATAACTTAGTAACTTCTTAGACAGTGGAAAAGAAAGATTTTGAATGCCATTTGTGGGGAATTTTCAAAATGAAAATCAGGCAACATGGGAAAACACAACATATTTCACGTTTATGACGTTTGCGAAAGTTGCAATTTACACCGTAAAGCTATAAAGCTCACTGTACACAATTTTATCTTGCTGTATTGACGCACCGATGTAGTTGTAATATCACCGATGTAGTTGTATTATTATGAACAATCTGAGCAGCATCTTTCAAGATTTGAATTTTGGGGTTGTTTTCTTTAACAGGTACTCGCTACTCGGGTACCCGGGTACCCGGGTACCCGGGTACTCGTGTTTATTTCAATCGGGTACCCGGTTCCCAAACTACCTGTAAATGCACACCCCTAATAGAAAGGGGTAAAAAGAAGAAGCAAAAAATGGTAAAATGGAAATACAGCTTCATACCTAGGAATCTATGTTACAAAAACATCACAACACTTTAAAGAATAAAACAGAGGGAAAAAAAGTTGATTGGAGAGAGAAACTTTGGGTCATTGACATTTATGTTGTGACGAGCGTCAGCAAAATGCCTGGAGGCGAAACATTTTCCTGAAGAAGTTCAGGTTGCAACAGTAGAATGTGGAATTAAACAAGCGTTCTCCTGGAGATGACAGGGAGAGAGACGGTACTGATTGAAGAAAGGTCAAGTGAAATGGTTCGTAAAAGAGCCATTCTCTGGGGGAAAAGACTAGAGAAACTAATTCTTATTATCTACCAATCTATTGCTTTGCTAGGAAAATTTCTCTTCGTTTGAGTATTTTTTTAATGGTGTTAAAAACAGATTCCCTAGCCCAAACTTCCCGAGCCCAAATTGCTAAAATTCACTTCCGCCTGAACTTTTTTATTTACTTTTGATTATTCTTTCTCTTTTGTGGCATTCAATAATGAGTCGTGTGCGGCATGAAAATCTTTTCGCCAAATCAATGTTGAAAAAACTGAGCTGAACCCCAATTTCATGGAATTGTTAAGCACAAAATTGTTATGTGCTTTGCAAAACAATTAGCCGAGGAAACAGTCACAAACAAAATATCCTGTATGATGTTTTTAAGATGGTAACTTGTTTAACCATTACAAGTACTTAGTAGCTCGGTGAAATCTGCCCCAGATATTAACCAGACACAAGTTTGGTATGAAATTTAAGATGCATCTCCGACAATAAGCAGCACATACACGGATGCAAACACACGCTGGAAAAAAAAAGACTATCGGCAAGAAAAGAGAGTCCACTGAAGCATCTAGAGGTTTAATGAGAAGCGACGGTGCATACACCTGCATCGTCGCAAACACTTCTCCTACCGGGGGGGGGGGGGGGGGGGGGGGGGGGGGGGGGGGATGGAGGAGCAAACTTGTGATCCAGAATTAACAGGGGACCTAGGAGAAATGAACATCCGGATATTGAGCAGATGGAACATTTGCCAGCGCGCGGCTTCCATTAAACTGTCTGAGTAGATACGTCACCGACGGCCGGGCATGTCTGGGGGGAGAGAGACAGAAAGAGATCAAGGTGTCTTCTCTCCTGCGAGCTGACAAGTTACCTGCAGCCAGCCGAGGTCAACCGAGATCTGGAGCAGGGGAATCTAGACCAATACACGCAGTGTGTTCTCATTTCTAGAGTGATGTTGATGTACGCGCAGCCTAGTGGCATAGTGACAGAGAGAGGGTTCGACTAGCGATTGGAACTCTAGAACTTTCTCTCCCATCCCCCCGCAAAAAAAACATAAGGGAAAAAGAAAGATAGAAACGTGATCTGAAGCAAATATTTTAATGTGAATTCAATTTGACTGTAAACGCAGCTCTCTACATGCATGTAGTCTATTTCATGAAAACCGCCCCTCTCCCTAGTTACGGAGGACGTTTTCCCAGCCACTATTCCAACTACCCTCCCCCAGAAAACCCAAACACACAAAAACACCCAAAAACCAAAACACAAAACAACAAAATCAAAAACAAACAAAAACCAAAGCACCCAAAAAAAAACAAATTTAACAAATATTTAAATAATCATTCCATGACTGAACAATGTTTTAGCTTCTAAACTTTTATCAAAGCAATAATAGTAATAAAACAAAAAACACGAGTAATGTTGATGAATCCTCAATCAAAAGGATGATTGGGAAGACCAAAAAAAAATATGGAAAACCTATTACTATTTCTTCATCTAACAGGAAAATGTTGACCCTATGCAAGAAAATGATTCTGAAATCATCAAAGCTTCTTTGAGTAACGACCACTTTTGCAAAACTTCCACTTTGAAAACAAGTAGGAATTGCAAACATTTAGACCCACAAACAGATGTCAAAAACTGCGATATACAAAAATGAAGAGCTGAGCATACTCGTTTTGATGTAAAGAACTCATTAATTGAAAAAACTTGATGAAAATTGAAGAAATTAATTCACCTTGATGGCCCATCAGCTGAGCAGCACTTTGCAATGTTGTTTCTTCTTCGAAATATTCCCCTCCTACTTCCTCCTCCTCCATTCCCACCCCTTCAATAGAATCAGCTGGCCCGTCTTCTGTGGCATACTCCACTGGGCCAGACTCCACCACTATGTTCGAAGGAGTGGATTTCTCCGGTCGAACCCCCAGTTCTAACTTGAGGTGCTTGACAGCAGACATCTGAAATACATGTAGAGTAGAATGGAATGAATTCACATTTACAAGTCAATCACAGAAGGTCCTTTGTCAACATTTGCCCCTTGTTTCATATGAGCTCACTTATCATATGACAATTGACGTGACTTGTGGTTGACTTCAGATTTGACTTGTGAATTCACTTTTGATTGACTTGATATCCATTTGTGACGATTGACTTGACAACACTGCATTTGGACAAGGGCGGATCCAGAACAGTTTTTTGGGGTGCCAAAAAAATTTTGGGTCCCCAAAAATGGGTCCAAAAATTACGGCAAGGGGCTCGGGGCCTGCTTAAGGGCCCAAATTTTTTGATTCTAGATGCTCTGTGGTGCGATCTGAGGCAATTTCTGACCACTTTTAACCAAATTTTTGTAAGGAAAAGATGGTGGTGTACACAGTGCCTGCCTTTTTTCGCGAGGCCATTTAAAAAAAAAAAAAGGGTTTGTTTTGGGGGGGGGCCATGGCCACCATTGGCGCCCCCCCCCCCCTCCCCCGGATACGCCCTTGCATTTGGATGCATTGCCACATCTCTGGGCACGAAACAAAAACAAATACAGAACAAAACACTGAAAAGAGAGAGATAAAGCAAAGTAACCCCAAGCCGATTTACCTCCTTCTTAGCTGAGGCACCTAGGAGGGGCCTGGGTCTCTTGTTTACAGAGGCAGCTGGTCTCAGCGGCAGGGCCTTCTTGATAGGGCTCTCCAAGATAGTAGGGGTGGTGGGTGTGGATGGTGGCTGCTGACCTATTGCCAAAGAGAAGGTTTCCAAAATAACATTTTCATGAAATTAGAAACAAAATGCACCAAATTGTCAGTTGAACCACAAACTGACATATCTTGTATGCTGGGTGCACCCAGCATGCCAAGAAGTGAGATAACTGGTGAATGAATTTGATAGGCAAGTTTGTGGTATACCCAGATTATGTTTATTGTTATTATAATTTGAGGTGGATTTATCTTCTACTTAGTAAGACTGACCTAATGAAGTTAGATGAGGTCAAAGGTCAAAGATGAGGTCAAAGGTCCAAGAGTCTAATACCTCACCTGATGACCTGTTGAGGTCTCGCAACACCTCATAGTTGATCTTACTGGATATCTTCCTTTCTATCAAGAGTTTCTCGATGGCCTCCCCCGCCGTGCTTGCTTGTATCGGTGGCTTCCGCACATGCTTTTTCCTCTAAAAGAAAAGAAAAGAAGGAGATTGTTTGGTAATGTTCATCAAATGTGACTTGCTTCGTTTGTGGAGATCCTTTGTGGAATACCTGTCTTGATTTATGGGGCACTTTACTGTTGGACATGAGCAAGAGATGATGACAGCAGAAAATTGGGAGCCTCTACACACGGGAGTGCTCATATTTGGTGCTTTACCGTAAGTTTTACGAGGACTTCAATTGATGTTTCAGTGTGCATGTATGTCTTGCCTGAAGTTTATTAAGCTCGGCAACTTTCTTTCTTTTTTCAAAATAGTGATAACTTTAAACATGAGTTGAGGCAGTTTTAAGATGGTTTCAAACTATTTCTGCAAATTTTGTTTAGCAGGTTTGGAAGTGTTATGGCAAAAAAAATTTGACCATAAATACATTTTTATGGTTTACAACAAATCTAATTTAACCTCCATTAGGTTAAATTACCCCAGTTCCCCTTGACATTTCTTTATGAGCTTCTTTATAACATGATTTTTTTTATGAGCTTCTATGTGGAGAGTCAGGTTAGCGCAGTGGTGCTTTCCTCGCCTTTCAGCTCTATGGCCCGGGTTCCATTCCTTCCTTGGTCCACATGTGGATTGGGTTTTCAGTCCCTACCCAATTCCGTGGGTTTCCCTAGAATATTCTTCAGGGGTTTTCCTCCCACGTCTTATAATAATAATAATAGTTACTTCTGTGTCTGGTGCTGGATTAAGTAAAGTCCGTCATGAGCCAATGTGGCCAATCAGACCGGCATGTACATGTACATGTACAATGTATCTCCGGTTTCAGTAGCATGAAACGACTGAGAAAATTTCTATTCCCCCTGGATGGGATGCTAGTTCGTCGCAGGTTAATCCCCAGCTAATGTCGGTACCCATTTATACTCCTGGGTGGCGGGAGTCAAGTGGGGATGAAGTGGCTTGCCGAAGGACACAGCATATGACCAGCAGCTGGATTCGAACCTGTGACCCTCTGATCATGAGACACGAACCCTAACCACTTCGCCACACTCCCCCTGGATTATGTAACCTGGGTTAATGACAATTTTTCCTCAGCATGAAGATTTTCATAGCAATAGGTCGTGTCCCAATTGCTTGGCTACGGGTTGAAATTATTCACGTTTCTATGGGAAGTGGCTGCCCCATAGACTGGTGTGTGATATCAAGCCCTATCCAAACACGACCATAACCGATACAAACTGTTACTGGAACTTGGATAATTCTTCTTTTTTTGCCAAGCACACAAAATTTGCTGAGCTGCTTAAGCATGACATGTCGAGGATTAACCACCGAGGTCTGAAGCTAGCCACAGCCGCTGTTGAATCCATTAGTCCCTATACCGCCCTCAAGTGCTCTACCTGTTACTCCTTTTACTGCCCCAAAGTCGCTCGTACCCCCCGCCCTGCAAACAGGACGCTGGGATACTCTGATGAGCTGCACAGAATCTTGTGAAGGAAGTGGCCTATGACCTATGTATAAAGCATCTGGCTACAGCTGTTCAAGACCGCAGTTAGACAATGTGCGCAAATGCTATCCAAAAACTTCCCATGGAATTGCGCACATTCCATGCCGGATGTGATTTCTGTTTCATCGCGGACCATGTGGACACAATTTTGAGCGTCGCATAATGCAATCCGACCGTTCGTGATTCGAAACGGAGCCTGAGCGAGTGACGGGAATTGTGAATTTACAACACAGATAAGTTTTACAGAATTTCTTAAATTATTGCGCTTTTCAACGAGAAAAAAAAAATCTCTAAACTGGAATAAAAGAGTAATGAATCAGTCTTAACGGCCGTTTCAAACCTTGCAGAGTCATGACCTTGATGACGCGCAGGTCACTGGTCACGCATAATCCAACCAATCAGAGCGTGAATTCATCAGAGTATCCCAGCGTCCTGTTTGCAGGGCGGGGGGTGCGAGCGAATGCCCCAAACTGCCTCAATAAGCTACATGTATGGTTGTATGGATTCAACGAGGAGTTTAAACAGTGTAGTACAATCATGCTAAAAGATCTATTACCTTCTTGGGTTCTTTCGTGATTCCTTGTTCTTTCTCAAGCTCCTCTTTCGCTTTTTTCTCTGCAAAATAAAAGACAGAATAGACTTTTCTAATCACTTTCATCCCCTTTAAACTACAGAATACATTGCAGTTTGACAGCACTGAGGTCCAATGGTTACGGTGTTCGACTCACGTGCCGCGGTACATGGGTTCGAACCCTGGCGGGGAACACGGCGCTTGTGTTCTTGGGCAAGACACTTTACTACAATTGCCTCTCTCCACCCAGGAGTATAAATGGGTACCTGTGAAGGTAGAGACCAAATTGCGCTGATCTCGAGCTGCTGCAAAAACTGGTCTCATGGCCTGATGAACAGAGATAATAATTGTGAAGCGCTTTGATACCTTTGGTATAAAGCGCTATATAAGCACCACATTATTATTATTATTACTTCCCCAACAAAATTCTTTTAAAAACTTGTGCAAGGGATTTTATTTTTAGTCGAGGGTGAAGATTATGACTAGCAACCAATATTACCAATAATTCCTGAAGTGAACAATCAAATGTGGACAGTAGGTGTCACAAGTTATTGGGCAAATTCAGCATATCAATTCCAACTTGTTGAATTTTACTTTGGAATTTGTTTCACCCATTTATCCCCAATCAAAGCAGAGAGTTGTCAGAAAGGTGTGTATATCATTTAAAAGCCCCCCTCCCCTTTTTTAAAACTCCAACCTCATCAGGAGCATGCCATTTTTCTAAAGGCTTCCAGCCTTCCAACACAAATCAATTTATGAACCACACCGGGGTCTCGGGGTTCTCGTCGAATAAAAAAGCCACAATTTAGCCAGCCCAGTGTTCCTTAAATGACCTGGATGATTGGATTGGACTGGTTAAATTGATTCTGGCAGTGGCAAACAAGCCAGACAAATTGATGGCATTAACGGCAGCGAGGTATTCAGAGGGTTTCAGCCCGGACACGGAAGCCCAGTGCCAGACAACAAACCTGTGAATGTTGGTTGATGCACCCCAGGCGTAGAAATCATCAATATAAATCGCCAAGTGAGAGAGAAATCAGGAATCTGGGAACTCGAGCTGTTGTTTTGGTGCGAGTATGTGAGTGTGAAGAGATTGGATGTTTTTGCCTTGGGTGCGTTTTCAACATTCGAGTGCCTTTTTTGCCATAAGATGTGAACTGTAGAAGACATGTTGGGATGAGAAATTAAAAGCTCCTGTGAAGTTTGATATAAACAGACACAGGGGACACTTGTAAGACATGGGGTAAATATCTTAAGAAACATTAGGTCAGTGTGTTTTTTTCATGGGGGATGCGTGTCTCTTTACCTTCCATTAGCTTGAGGTACTCGGCATTTTCTTTGGTCCATATCTCCGTTTTGATTGCAACTTCAGCTGGGTTCAATATAAACTGAATGAAATAAAGGAACAGACAATAAATGGTGAAGTCTGTCAACAAGATGTACAAAAACTTTACTAAGAAACGAGTCATGTGACATGTCAATTTATCCCCTCAATACATAACGTCATGTACAATTACCCCTTGGTAGCCATCGTCATCTGTCTTTGTTATTTAAAGTTTAATGTGCGGATTAAATCTCAGAATATTTTGTCCCGTCCAGGGCTCACCTTTGAAGGAGAGACCTCAGGTGCGAATCCAGAGGAGGGGTTGCCCCCCCCCCCCTGCTCTGACAACCCCCCCCCCCCAAATAAAATAATAGTAACAATGTGCTGCATTACCAATACCAACATTTGGACATTAAAAAATCCGACGGGCCAGTACCCCCCCCCCCCCCCTGCAAAAATTCCTGGATCCGCTCCTGGACCTTCAAAGGACATTTCAGATTTTGTTCTTGGTTTGTTCTTACTATCCTAACAGACAAAATCATATCTTGACCCCAGGTACATTGGCATAAAGAAAACAACTACACCAGAAAACAGTTTGTCATGATTCATCAGTTAAATTTGTTTTCCCTTTTTGTAGAGGTGAGATACAAGTCAGTAAGGCCAGTAGAGCAGCCTAGACGCCGAATACAACCCTTGAATACAGAAGATGGTAAGGTAAAAAGCCAAGCCAAGCTCTATCCCACATTCATCATGATGGATTAAAGCCGCTGCGGCTGTGACAATCTTCACTTAGCGATTCCCCACTACCCTCCCCTGCCTGTTATCATCCCCTATCACAGGCAAATTAGCTGGGCAGCGGGACAGATAGACCATAGCATGTCTGCCAGCACCAGCGGTGTGACAAGAGTGTTATGTCTGGCCATGTATACAAACACTCAACCGGTCCAGCCCTGCTAAGACTCTGAACTAACCCAAATACCCAGGGCAGCAAAAATCACACAAGGGCAGATTTATCACACGCCAGCAAATTTATGGCGATTCCTGATTATTTCAGCAATCCCATCTCGGAAACCTTATCGCTGAGCAACATTTTTTCTTTCCTTTTTTTTTTTTTTTTTTTTTTTTTGGAAAGGTAATTTAAGCATATTGAAAAGTTTCCCAAGCATAATGTCAACAATTTCGGAATAGGACACCAATCATCCACAGAGCTGACATGTGCTCTCTTGAATCGCAAAATCATTTCGTCTTCAAAACATTTAGTCTGGATATTCTGTTTGTTAATATAATATAAACTCAGTGTGATATAGTGGGAGCCTGCTTTGGCATTTTGATGTTGTAAAATTTGCCTCGCCTTTAATCTTTGTATTTCTGCCCCCCCCCACACAAAAAAAATGTACCAGGCAAAATTTTAGAAACTTTGGTATGATATATGACCTGCTGCAACAGAATGAGAGGAAGTTCCCAAAGCAAGCAGAAAAAGAGCTCACAGTACAGTACGTACCGGTGTACATGTACATTTTTTTGTACAGTGTATAATACTGCTGATGCAAAAGGTTTTACTGGAATTTTGCAAGAAATTACATCACTTCTGTCATTACACTTTACAGTCTTAATGTAACAAAAACTACAATTGTTTTCAGGCAAAGGACATTTGACCACATTTTTTCACACATTTCATTACACTATATACAGCAATACTTTACCCAAAACTTTACTCGTAAATATACCAGGTCAAACAAATATCAACCACAAATAAAATGGATGAAAAACATGGAGACAAACCGAATCAATTTCTCTGTCGTCGATATCCGTCAAGTCCAAATCACCAGACTCCTCTTCAGTGCCTGTGAAAGGGGAAAATAATACTGTTCATAAAAAGATGCCCCATCTTAATTCTGGTGACTACATCTGTCTACAATTTGATATATGCATGCAGTTACAAGTAAGTTCGCCCAGTATTGGTTTTGTTGCTGAGTGTGTTTTGTTTTGGTTTGTTTGTTTTGTTTTGTTATGTTTTAGTTTGTATTAATTTGGTCTCTAGCAGGAATTGTACTCAGTGCAAATTGAAGATATGAATTTGTCATGAACTACAAAAATTGCAGAGCATGTTTTTTTTTAAAGGTATTTAAAACAAAGATTAAAGTTTGTTTGCTGGCTTATTTCTGTCCAACCTATATTCCTAAATATTGTTTAGTGATACCCAAACATAATACATGGTATCAAAAAAGAAGGAAAAAACAATAAAAAGGGACAGTGTTAATGGGGGTGGCATCCAGGGAAGGACTGGCCTTCTGTAGTAGAAGTACACAGGACTGCTGTCGACAATTACATGTATGGTTTTTTTTTACATTTCAACATAGAAAAAAAAATACATAAAAATGAATTAAGAGCACAGTGACCCGCGTTTCACTGATAAATTATCACAAAGAAGTCCGGCTGACACCACACTCCTGGATACAACACCAGAGAAAGATATCTTCTAAGATAGGACAGCACAGGAAAAAGTCTTTCTGAGATAGGCTATCACAGAGTGACGTCTTTTTGAGATACAATTTCAGGGTTTTACGCAATGATGTTGAATCCTGAAAGCCACAGACACAGTACATCGTCCTCCCCTGATAATTTATCGTGGAAAGACAGATAGTCTCATGCTTGTATATATGACTGCATGACAAGACGAAATTACCCATAATTTTATTCATGCACATGTATGTATTTGCATGCATACATGTACGTATTGTCTTAATGGGTGTACAGATTTTCCCAACCGGATTACTTTGATTAAACCTGACAACGTTGATTAGGCCACCAAAAAAAATAGTTCTGCTTCCCTATTTGAAAATAGGGTGGGTAGGTAGGGATTTCAATTTTTTTGGGGGGGGGCCAATTTTTTTGTGTACAATCATATGGAGGTGTCTGCGTGTAATCAAGGGTAAAAGGTAGAAATTGATGGTTTTCAGGTTTTTTTCCTCATTTTTCTCCCAAAAAAAATAGGGTAGGGGCTGTCAAACCAGGGTAGGTAGGGTAACCGGAAGCAGAAGTATTATTTTGTTTGGCCTTAATGACGGTATCCGACTACCATGAATGATGTACATGTACACATGTATTTGTATGCTGTAGTCCTTTTTCCACATTTAGTTAATCAAACTTTGTTCTAGTACAGTCTTCTTTGAACTACACCATGTAGTTACAAATTTCTTGTACACTGTGCAGCTGAATGCCACCACCATTAAGGCAATGAACATCAAAGGGTCCACAAAAAAAGAGGGGTAGTAGCTATTACTTTGTGTATACTACCTCCGGCTGATGGATCCAAAGGACTAGAGATGTTTGCTTCAGCCTTGCGCTTGGTAAAGTACGATTGTTATATTTTTTATAAAAGCATCATTCTAGTACCTAAGTTGTAAACGTTTTGTTTTATCCCCTGCACACCCTAGGGAAGCATTCCGTTGTAAGCAAACATGCCACAACGTTACCCAATCTGATAGCCACTTGCGGCTGTCCAAACACCTTGTGAGCTCTGGTGTTGTTGTCATAACAACCTCAATCTAAATAGTGGCATTATGGGCATGAGCGGTCATACTCTGGTATAACCACGGGCGGCCACTTAACTTTAAGCCATGGATGTCACTCTGATTGGGTCACAACGCTGGTGGGGGAAAAAATAGTTTCTTGTCCATCACAGTGCTCAACAGATGGAATTCGAGAAAAAAAAATTGAGGATTTGAATGCAGTACGGCTGTATTTAGGCCATCAGTGTATTGCAGTTTGCAGCGTTCCCACAGAAATCTTAAAATGAAATTCCATAACTTTTCCCGGCCAAAATTAGGGCTTCCAATGACCAATTGTTACGCTGTTTTTTTTTGACATCTGGCCTGCAGTCATCACACTGGGGCAAGGAACGCCACTGCCAGACTTGAAATGCCCAGAAGTGTTAATTGCCTTTCTTTTTTCAACTTTTCAGACATCTTTTGTGCATACTGCATTGCACACTGAGAGAAGTGGGTCACTAAAAGGTTAAAGATCAGAAATGGATCCTAACTATGTAGTTTTTCTTCTTGAGAGTTCCCATCATCAGGAAGGGAAAAAATGTGCCGTTTCATTCATAAAAATAATAAGTTGACTTGCTTCGTGAGAATAAACAAAGAATTTGTGTTTGTTTTGATAAACCAATGGACCCGGCACCAGACTGGGCATGACAGGCATAACACTATGACAGCTGGGGAAGGTCATGTCTGTTCTTGAAACAGAATTCAAAGAATGGTAGAGGGTGAGTTTGGAAAATGGAATACGAATGTTGAGAGTCTTTTCGAATCAGTCGTTGAAAACTTTAAACTCTTCATGGAATACCACGTAGGCTTCACCCCCCAACTCTCCCAGATCTTGAGGTTTTGGCAGATTTTCAAGGATTTCACAAGATTGAGGAAGATGGGTCATGTGCAAAAAATCAGGCATTGGATTCATGCACAGTGGTGGATAAATGAGGATTCAGGAACATCCCTCATCCAAAAACGTGTTTGTTAAAGAATTAGTGTAAAGCGCTCATGTAACCAAATGTGTCTAATTAACTAATTATCACTGCAACTTTGCTGAAAGAGTGGGCCAAAAAAAGAGAGGAAAACAGTGTTTGCTTTCCTTGTAATATTTTATTGCAGTTCGTAAGGAGCATGAGAAACAACACAAAGTTTGACTTTGACTCTGACCTTTCACCTCGGGCTGTCGCATGCACTCCTCGATTGTCTCAGTCAGGCCTAGAGACAGGGCCGAGGGGGGCAGGCCCCGAGGGGCCTCTGCCCCATTACTGCCCCAGGGTGGGGGCATCAGCAAGGAATCCAGCACATCACCCGCCCCACCGCAGGAGTCATCCTGGGGAGCAGGGACAGGCGGGTCAACAGCCCCCGAGGGCGAGTCTGTCCGCGTTCTGGCTTTGGCCTCCTCCTCAACCAGAACGGCGGAGGTACATGTTTGCCCTACTTCTGTCCCTGGCACCCGGGTCGAGAGTTCGTGGCCTGATTCCGGTCGGGGTTCATTCCCGGCAGGGGAGCAGCTCTGTCGCTCTGTTGGCGTATCCTGAGGGGAAGTGGAGGAAGAATTCTCCCAGTGTGCGGCATCTTTGCCGTCCCTCCTCAGAGGATGTGGAATGTGGTTCACATCGTTCAGTCTATCAATGATGTCAGAATCATCCTCGTCATCGTCACCCATTGATGAGGTAATGCTGGCATCTACGAGTGAGAAGGAAAAAAAACAGATTCAGTCCAAATCTCAAAGAATGTATACAACTTAATCTTTTGCAGAGATAGTCAGGTGATGAAATGATAAGAGGGGTGTACATTTTATACATGTGATCAAATATGACTACATTTGTATTTAATTAAATAAAAATTAAAATCTAGTCTCAAGGTGATTTGCTGAATCAAAATGCATATTATGGGTATTTGTGTGTCTCCCTTTCTGAAGATAAAGCTGCAATGGAAACCGAACAGACATTTATTGTATGGGCAAAAATGGACAAGACGATCTGCACAAAAATATGAACATTACATGTATTCTATTTTCAATCCATTAGTACCGTCGAGAAATTTGCAAGTTTGTCATGTTATAGATTTCTCAATTTGACTTGACTGATTTTCCAAAGATTTAGTATTCGCACTTTCAGACCTGGGGTGAATCACACCAGTGGGGATTGGCAGGAAAATGAACATGTGGCCAGTACACAAAAATCGTTTAAAACAGTTGTTCATTTTTTTTCATTCAGTTTTTGTTGAAGATCATATAGGCTCTATACATTCACAGCTAAGTCAGATTGGCTTCACGCGCGGGTACATGTAAACTATAAAACAAGATTTTGCCATTTTGCAGTCCATACGCAGTTATAGAAAGAAAATGTTGGATGGCTTAAAGTGATATTTGAGGAAAACTACTGTCTTTAAGTCAACTGCAGTAAATGTTGGATATTGGTATACTGGATGAATTTCAGGAGTTGTCAATGCTAAATACACTTTCTCAATATGAAGGCAAATCTGATTTTTGTTTTTAGGGACAGGATGGTGTGGGGTGGGATCTACAACATGTCAGTGTGGATAATTGAATAGAAAGATTAAAGATATCCTAGAGTTCTAAACTGATGCCATTAAATGTATAAAAGGGACTGGAATCTGTGTACGACTAGTCGACTGGTCGCCAATGCTCAAAAGCATTGGTAGTCACGACTATCAATTTACTCGACTAGTCATTATGCCTCGACTGGTTGTTATGCTGCGACTAGTCATTCCGCTGTGCATATTTTCCATGCTCTACAGTGCTATGCAGCATCCCTACATTTGTTCTATGAACACATGTACATGTATGTGGTATTACTGGATAAATAAATGTGTTACTACATGTAGTTGCGACTGTTGAAATCACCCCCGTAAATTTTCAGTGGACTGCTTTTGCTTCTTTCCGCCAGGCCCATTAATGCACATGTTCACATTAAGTTGAATTTATTAATAAAAAAGGTCCATTGACCAGAGGTATTACTGGAGAAATAAATAATGTGTTACTAGTCACGACTAGTCGCCGGCAAATTTTGTATCGCAACTAGTCGCAACTATTGAAATCGTTAGTCGCCCACGCCTATGTCACTCTTGTCACTTGAGGAGGAAACGTGGACGAACGGGATCAGTCAAGAGGAAACATTTCTTGTTGGTCAGGGAAAAAAATAGTGATGGATGAAGGTGATTTGACAATCTGATGAGGAAATTGGTTTGACACATTTGCAGTTGATATGGTGAAGAATGTATCACATCATTGGATGGAGGCATCATGGGCTCATAAATGATGCACACATAGGCCCATTAGAGTGGCGAACATTCATCGTAGAATTAATAGGGTCTAGGATCATGTTAAAGGCTTTGATCACATACATGTGCCTGTATGTGTTCAGTGCACTTATCAGATAACAGGACAAAATGAACTAACACAATCTATTTTAATATGCTTTCACACGCAGAGTGTCACATTCCCAAGATTTCATTGAAAAAAAAAAAGGTGAGGGAACACATCTATTTTTGCTGAGGCAAATGTACAAATCGAACGTCTGTAATTGTCTGACCATTACTTTAATCCTCTGTGGTACTAGAAACGTAGGCAAAGGCATACAAATGCTGCTTCAGAAAACTTACTTTTGTTTAGATTATGGAAATTTTTATTGAATTTACACGATACTGTCTTCACTCTGTACAGTAGACTGTCTGGTCGATTCTAAAAGACCATTTTTATCGTCAACATTAGAAAGTGAACCCTCTTTGACATACATGTAGATGCGTATATGGTGCAATTTATTAATTTTTTTAATTCATGGAAAAAAATACGTTAACTTGGCAAAACTTACATCTGAGCTTTTTCTAGCTCCAGAATCATTAAGAAGCCTTTAATTTGCACAACAAAAAATTGAGAGACTCTGGAGTTTGGCCCAATATTATCATGATTATAGGATTTTATGTTCCTGAAGTAAAACATGAATCTATGAGCCAGAGTCCCCAGAATGGAAGGGGGTGGGCGGCTGACGAAATCTCATGGAGCCAAAGCTGAAAAAGGAACCATGGTTTCGAAACACATTCCCCTGGATATATATATTCAACATTAATCTCACACTCTGCCAGGGAATGTACCGTAAGCTAGAAATCATTGGACTCTCTTATAGAGGGCTCGGAGTGCACAATATTTATTGGGTTCAGCAAAAGGTTTAGGCCTTCGAAATAGATACCAAATGGAATCCATCTCTAGATCTACATGTATGCACAAATGAAAATGGATCAATGCTCTTTGTGCGATGCCATGAATTACCGGCCAGAGATGATGAGGACAACAATAACTCAAATTTATGGCACGAAACAATGTGGAATTTACAGTGCGGTATGCTTAAAATAGAAAACCATCTTTCTTAAGTAAATTATACGTACTTCATTTCAAACACTACAGTAAAATGTCAACATATTTGAAAAATCCCATATTTTTTATATCAAGAGAAACAATCTATTTTAGGCCAAACTCTATGCATTTGTGTAGAGAATCTTCATGACTTCTTCAAACATCTTGTACATGTATTTCCTTGCTCAACGTTTCATGCTACCAGATTTCGTAAGTCAACCAAAAACACAGAACCTCAAATTTCCCACATCAATGTCCCACATCTCCCACAAAAGTTACACATCCTTAATATTTATTTTGTCCCCTGCTTTCCCACCACCACCACCACCACCATCGTTTGGGGGGAAGAAATGTAGGATCCAGCCCCATTCCCGATGACAGGTCACGTTCATGTCCCAAGCCTCCCAATGCATTAATAATGAGTGTCATCTAATAACACCGACAGCTCATCCATCACACCATGTGCCACACATATATAACTCACAGCCCAGGGAATGTATGAGGTCTGGTTGCATGCCGACACCCCTAGGGCAATATTTCAACCAGGCTGGAACATTTCCATCCATCTCAACTTTCACGGGGTACTTAAAATTTAGAGTATCACATTCGTATTTCTTAATTCCCCTTCTCGTCCGTTTTCATGATATACACGTAAACCAAGACAGACTTCATGACTTTCTTTGTAACTCGACCGCGTGTCATCAGTAACAAATGTGCAAACTTTTTATGCATATTTGCCCTGAACAAGGCTAAAAGCCACTCAAGGTACAGGGCTACAAGAGAAATAAAAGGAAGAGAAGGTACTCAGAAAAACTGAAGGTAGGAATTAACATTCCTCTTGAAACTGGACAGATCGTATGTTACAGGGAAACAAGCACCAGGCAAGAATTTTTTTTAAAAAGACGCAGCACGTGGGAAAAAGCTAATGGAATATCTTTTTGTTCAAAATGTACATGTGGCTACCGTACTACAACACTCTATGGATGAGAACAGGCAGAAAACTGAGTTTCTCTCAAACACTCTGATTGGTGGAACCAGGTTGGATATAGACTAGTGGAGCAATGACCATGAAAATATCTGTAAAACAAACTGAGGCTGGCAACAGACCTATGGAGGGAAATAAGGCTGTAATAACAAGCCTAACTCCACACCAGCCAGATTAGCTATACGCATGTAGGCTCCTTATAGCTACAGTCCATCATTTGTAATTTGTGCATTTTGTTCGTTTGAAGCAACAAAAGAGTTCAAAATCTAATGAAAGATACTAAGCAACTAACCTGATGAAGTTTCAGCTAAGCTTCAGCTGTACATTCCGAGAAAAACAGCATTCTAAGATCTCAATTTCAAATCAAAGGTTACTGAATCATGTTTTGAATTGTTTTGAATTGCAGCTATACGCGGCGTCGCGCACTGATCCGACGAATTATAACAACCGCGCGCGCGTGTGCGTCGTTCCAATACTTGTGCGCGCTGCGCTGAATAACAAAACGAACTACTAATTTAAATTTTCCTACGGTGCTTCTTAAGAATCACCGTTGGAAATGCCTTCTTTCGTTGATTACTTCAAAATGACAGCTTCCCAGAAAGAATAATTTCACAGGGAGTTTAGTCCCCTTACTATCTTTCAACCAAGTTTGTTTTTCAACAGTATTTACGCCAGTTACTTTTCCGATGGCTGCAAATGATGGACTAGGCCTATAGCTTTAAGTGACAGGCAGAAGCTCCAGCCCAGACAATGCCAGATGTGGCAGCAGTACTCCATATACAGACCCTTTTACACTATTAAAAATTCCCTTGTTGGTCCCCAGTCAAACCCTGAGATTTTAGCCACCCCTTTCACACTAGCAAAATTCTGACACAGCCTCTACACAGGTCCAACACTCTTAATAGCAGGTGAAATTCAGCCGTGATCGGGACCAATTTGAGAGGCTCTACCTGGGTAGAAAATCCAAAATCTACGGCCTACCCCTGAAAAAAAACGTGTTCAATTAGACCTGTGATGATTTCAACACCGAAAGGCAAATTAATTTTTCTTTGAGAACGATAAACGGTGATGTACCCGGGGAAACTTATTTATACCGCAGAGTCCAGCAGCTCGTCATACATGAACTGTTACAGTATGTCACATGAACAGTTCTCAACCAATTAAATTGTAAAATCGTTACCATGGTCAAACAAAAATACTTGTTTTACAAGCTGTAACAATTTGGTTCAGAGGACCTCTTGTGTTGGGGAGGAAAAAAAGGCAAGCTGGCTACTGGCAGAGAACTGTGCACAGTGCCCCTGTCAGCCTGTCAGGACAAATTTACGAGTCCTTCTCGGGTACTGCACATTTCTAGCCCAGTTAGTGCATTCTGCTGCTACTACTACTAAGTCTTCATTAGACCGCAGTCTGCAGGCACAGACACAGCACAAACACACACTAGAATGGTTGTGTTTTTCCAATACCTCGACTGAGAATTGAATGATGGGCATGGGTGATGGCACGGTTGGACTGCAAGTCGGTCAACAGCTGTCAAACCAAAAAAACCTCAACAAAATACAAAACTTCTGCGGCCTCTGCAAGATGTGCAAAAGATTTCCTGTTGTTCATGTTATTCAATCATAATATCAGCATTTTCTCATTTATTTTTATTTTTCTGACTTGGTTTCCTGATTTTAAATTTTAAAAATCACTAATGCACATTCAGCATTGTATATTTTGTCATTCGACATTACATGTTTAACATCAAAGCGAAGGAAAATATGCCTGTGAAAATGATGTTGAACACCATGCTTAGGCTGTTTTGGGATTTTTTTTGGGGGGGTTGTTGTTTCCAGTTAGGTGAAATTAAACAGAAAAAAAACTGCATAGTCAAAGAGACCTTACACAATCAATTTTGAGTTGTCTCATGCACGGTAGCATGCACTTTCAGCACCAAATTTTGTCCGGACAAATACAGGTAAATGGTCATCATTTGACTGGCAACTTTAATTTCACCCTCTCAAGGAGTACATAAAGAATGAGACCCATACATGTACATGAGATACCGGTATGTTTCAGACATGTGTTTCTTCTGGGACTACAATTGAAACAAAATTTTATTAGTCTCTGCTAACAGTTATTTTCATACCAGAGTGGACATAATTTTATAAGGAATAGTGACCCAATAATTCAGCAATTCCCTGGAGAGTTCTGAAGCATTCAGATCAGGTAAATACCTGGACCAAGTAAAGCTCAACACCCCTCACCCCCCCCCCCCCCTTCACACTGTACTGTAGTCCCTGTGGACGACCACCCCTAATTGGAACTTCAAAGAGGAATGCCGCCGTACTAGTACGTGTAAAAATGGAGGGGCTCGAAACGAAGAGGAAGGGAAAAAAAAACAAGAATCCTAAGAATTCCGCCATTTTTATGAGGTCTTTCAATGCGGCTTTGATGAAGACACCTGCCCAGAATACCTTGGCCGTGGCAAAATTACGATCTATTTTCAGCGTCGTGTGGATCTCGGCTGCACTGATTGATGGGGCAGAGGAATACTTTAAATAATTTTGTTGGTCTTTTTTTTATGTTCGTTTTCCTTCCTGGAAGATCAATAGCGGCGACCCAAGTGCTGCATATTCTTTCAAATATCAAATATCAAAAACACTTGTGCTTAGGGTTCGGTTTGATTTTTTTTGCAGATCTCATTTCCCGATTGAACAAATTGCATATTTCAAGCAAATACCTATTTCTTTTAAAGGGAATATACTGTACAACATTTGCAAACATCGAAAAATAAAACTACCTAGTTTTTACGAAATACCTTACTAGGATGTTGGTAAATGACAGTCTCAAGCATCTCGTCAAATTATGGCACCTCGTGTGAAGTCATTTTCAAGAAAATGGTATTTTTGTATACATTTCCAACGCTGGTCGGCTGACCAGCGTTGGAAAAACCTAACTATTTTTCAACTACTGCTCCAAATTCACCATTTTTTCAGTCAAAATTTTGTTTGCTATTGGTTACATGTTCATGAACGGGTGCAGGCCAGCTAGACTGGTTCCCTTGCCTTACAATTTTCCATCATCTATAAATTGATCCATTTTATCTTTTGTGGAGTCAGGGAACCAGACTACTTGAACATTTTTGTTTGTATTGGTTTTCCAACCTTTTTGAACACAAAACTTCAAAAATGTCAGTGTAACAATATTTGATCTATTATACTAACCCCTCAAATAGTTCATTTCTGAAAATGACAGCAAAAGCCAATGATGTACATTCCCTTTAAGGAGAAAACTGTGCACGCGCGGATGTAAAAAATGTTATCTTAGAAAAACACTTGCGAGGACTCAGAGCATACAGTACCACTAAAGCGTTGGTCAAGTTAAGAAAGTTTAAAAGACTGACAGACAAAAGCAAACAAAAGTTTACAAAATTAAAGTATTTTAACAGCTCCGTGACATTTGCCTCCAGGTAAGTACTTACCATCAGCCAAGCCCGTTTTCCTCATCAAGGCTTTCTCTATCTCTTCCTGCATCGTGGAGATCTCTCCAGATAACTCCTGAAACTGCTGCTTGCTCATCTCAGTCAGCTAACAGCGAGAACAGAATAAGGAAGAATACTGAGGATTTATACCACTTCAATTTTTTTTTTTTCAAATAAACCTCAAAGAGAAACTTACTAGAGTATTATAATAATTTAAATTTGACAAAAGAAGTTGACGAGGTTTGAACCTGCGACCTCCGGATTACCGTTCCAGTGCTCTACCAACTGAGCTATTCAGGTCAAGGTTGGCAGTTCCCCATTTTGTCAATGTCTTTGTTCAAGGGGCACTAGTCAGAAGCATTAAACTTGTAGCCATGGATCATCACGCCCAAAGTCAAGATGCTAACATTAGAAATACTGCAAACCTCGGAAATGGCAAACGGGGATCAATCGCAGGGATATAGCTTTTCATTTACAACTTTTGAAATAAAACACAAAAGGAAACTAGGTGCATTATAATAATTTTAAGTTGAACAAAGACATATTTTAGGGGGTGATGTAATACTCGGACTAGCACAAACAGCAAAGTGTATTCGGTCAACTGACTTGATGACAGAACTGACCTATCGCCGTTTGCGAGTTAGCCACGCCCCTTAGACAACCCTATGGAATTTGTGTACACTACGTTTTGTTTGTCTCCGGTTTTGTGAGTTCCGCGTCCATTTGTATATCATGTTATTGGACAATATTTCACAAGCTGCGTTGACGCGATTCTACCGCGATTCTACCGCAATAGGTCAATAGTGCATGGTGAAATAAAGCATTCTTATTGTACACACATAGTTTTGTCAGAATTTTGTTTCTGAAATTCATGTATGAATTTGTGATATGCTGCTTCTTTTGTTTTTGAAAAGCTTTCTTCTGGTAAGAACACGAGGGATTTTTAACCCTTTATCACATAAATCAATCAAACCATAGAGTGCTGGAGCCGTTTGGGGCGGTTTGAGGAGTAAATGGCAGGGTGGTTGGGGGCGCTGTGTAGAACACTTCATGAATGACATGGCGTATCACAAACACTTCCACTTTAAGCATTCTTTAAAACTACCATAAATGTTGCACACAGACACCAATGTTGGATAAAAATATAAGTGATCAATTGTCAAATTTACTTGTACAATGTACAGTAACTCATATAAATTAAAAGAAATATCAAATCTTTCCAACATGTATATTCGACAGTTCTACTGTTCTTCCGAGCTCCATAACACACAGAGAATGACATGTGACCCACTTTCACAAAGTGGGTCGATCACTCTGCACAGAACATGATTGTACATGTATGTGTACAATGTGCGTGTTTATGGTGTACATGTACATTATAAATCGATGACACACACGTGCAACATCATCGATGAATCGAGGACAGGAACTGAATCGAGGACGACCCCGATTAGAAAACGTGTACAAAACCAATGAGAGCTGTTGCAAAAAACTTCAGAGTATCAACAAAGGAAAAGGGAAGAGGAACATAGAAAATCCTTGATTTACACCATAAACAAACGTGCTTGTACATGAACGTGTATCATGCTTCTAACCTCTGGTTATTGATTTCTACAGTCATTTTCCCCATAGCTTTAAACTCAGGATCTACTTTTCCCGGGCGAGGGGGGGGGGGGAACAAACTTTGTCTGTGTCAAGATCTAACTTTGAGTCACCAACACCACAGCCAATGTTTGCTTTGAAGAAATCCAGTGCTCCTACCCTCTGGCTTACCGGGGAAATAAATCTGGCCCAGCGCTGTCAAACATTCATGATTTCTAGCTCACAGTCAAGAGTGTCCTCAAATGTGGCTCCAAAACAATTTGCACAACTATAAATAACAGATGAGGCAGAAAAGAAAGCAACCCTGCAAGTTCTCCGAGGAGGATGCTCCATTTCATGTGATACCCTGACAGTTGCCTCAAGTAACTCAAAACCTCCCCGGACACTTAGAGGATGTATGTGATGAGAATGTTCTGCCAGGGAGTGAGAGACGACGGAACACAAGGGAGAGTGGTGATCAGGTTCACTGTCTGACATTTTGCTAAATTAATCATAGTTTTTTGTTTTTTTTCCCTTTTTCTTTTCCCTCCTGTCGTCGTTGCCTATCAGTTTGGTTGTTTAGACAGCTACATCACCTCATTGACAAGGGAATCCATTATGACGGAATGCCAAGCTTGCTTTCCTCTGAACACTCAGCAAGCACACGAGTAAATCAGCCGGATGTCTCTCTCTCTCCCTCTACTTCTCTTTCACTCACTCTAAAACATACCGTTACAAAGGCATTCCCCGCATCTCCATCGCCACTCTAATAATGCTGGACCGTCTACATAGCCTAAATGCATCTAGTCTGACGACACATCCCCCCCTTCCCAATGAAATATATGACAAATGTCCAAAGAATGCTACTTGATCATAGGGAATACTTCTTCTATTTATTTGTTTCGCAATGGAATACCTCCCTATCTGAGGGTCCCTGTGGAATATTTCAACAGCTTTTTCTGTGGAAACACTTACAAACTGGGCGATTCAATGTTACAAGCCAAATTCATGCAGGACTTCTATCCCACGTTCCCTCACTTTGGGATGTAGCTGAAGCTGTTGTTAAATTATCTTGTGAGGAAGACTTACATGGTTACTATAAACCTCTAAGATCTGTCAAAATCAGGTAAGATGCTTTACAGGTTTCTGCAAGAAATTTCAGTCCGGGCACTGTTACTTCAATATCTTGCTACAAAGGAATATCTTTTTTGCAGATTCCTAGCAAAAAGGGAGTTTGGGTTAATTGAAAAATGGCATTGAGAAGTTTCTCCCCTGTATTTGGCTTGTGTTAGGGTAAGAGAAATCACTCCAAACCAAAAAAAATAGACACATTGAACTGAAAATCTACACTGTACTTGACACACATTCTTCTTCTGCTTATTAAGGGAATAAATGTGTGCTCCGGAGGTTTTTATCACTCTGTTTAAGATCGCTTAGAGTCTGGGTGCTGATAATTACCTGAGCCGGAGGCGAGGGTAATTATCAGCACCCAGACTCTAAGCGGTCTTAAACAGAGTGATAAATACCGACCGAGCACATATTTATTCCCATTCATAAATACCTTTTCGGTAAAAAAAAATCAAATAATTCGTTCAAAAAATCCCGATTTTGTTCAACAAGTTCACTTCATGCTTTTTGAAACATCCCTCTAGCAAAATAATGGAGTGTTCAGCTGGCGAGTAAGATGTAAACAACCCTTTTATGGAGATTGACGCGCGCGTAGAATGTTCTGCGCGATGTCACGCAGAACGCACCTGGGGCGTTGCATTTTGAATTTAGAACTATAAAATTTCGACTCGCTGGTAGTGTTGCGCATGCCTACGTGAGGATTGTGAACGTTCAACCAATAAAACGGTAAGAGGCACTGGATTTTTAGGTGTCCACATTTTATGTGACACTGGAAAAGTGTTTAAGACCAGCTAGCCATGTCTTTATCATCCGTTTAAGACCGGCCACGTGACAGGCTCTCGACCAATAGGAATAGCTAAACTGTCTGAGGTATTTATGAATACTCAATAATGGCTAAAACAGCTCATATACTGTTCCCTATTATAATTGTTGGAAGAAACATACACGTATGTAGAATGCTAGCCATAAACGGATAGGAAAATAAACCACATCCAAACAAAACATAGTGCACCAACTCCACTGTATACAATGTACACGTACATGGATCTGTGATGATTCATCTCAAGGTTTATGGGCAATTCCATGAGGAAAGTGAACATGACTGAAAATAGAAAATTTATGAAACCTTCCAAACTACAAGCATCACAACCTCAAACGTGGTATCAAATTAAAGGGGACAAGACCTTTCATTCAAGTCATGTGGCAGTGAGATGGAATATGGTCAAGTGTATTATTTGTCAAAAACTGGGGTTTTGGGGGCTGAAATTATGGAATTTACGTGTAGGTAGTCAAAAGATGTTTTCAATCAATGCACAGTATGAGGAAAACTTTCAAATGAAGGGTATTTTAAATTTTTTCTATATCCTTTTCTTGTAATGCGAGTTAATTAACGTGAGTTACCGATAAAAAAAACTTATTGCCAAACCAACAGAAGTTTATTTGTTGGGCTTTTTTTTTATTTGTCGTTTAGTCACTTAATTTCAAGGGCTCTTCTGTTAGAAAAATACACCCTTTAAATACTTTGACTTTAGAATAAAGTTGGCAGATGACCCTGCTAAATTCAACGTGAGTTTCCATGGAATTGTCCTTTTATCAAATTCATGCTTGAACTCGGTGCATAGTAAGCTGACTTGAACTAGGGGGTATTCAAAAGCAGAGGGGAAAATGATTTTCTTGATTTTTTAAATAATTTTATAATAGTCATCAATTCGAGATATTTTCAATACATTTGTTATAAATTGTAATACTTTCTTTTCCTTTGGAACACCCATTTATTGCAATTGATTGGATGGGCCCATTCAGGACACAAAAGAAATGCAAAAAAATAGTATGTTACACACATTGTACACGGTGCCCAAATGTGCTGTTTTCTCGTAAATCTCTCAAGTTTTTGAGGTCAACTTGCACATGTATGCTCTATCAGTATTAGATAAAACAGCTACATATACTAATTGCAGGAATTCTGTGCTTTTTATCCATACCTGGGCAATCTTGAGTTTCCTGCGCCCTTTGGTGAATGATGGAGGGTCCTGTTCTTCCTCCAGGTCAATCTTATTGAACTCATCGATGGTCAGCTGGCCTGATGGTGTTTCCTCAAACTCTGTCAGCCTGTGGAAAAAGGAAAGAATGAAGAAACCACGTTGAAAATCAAAATGCAACATGAACACAACATGAAAACAACCCAAACGAGAGAAAAACGCAACATTGTTGCAAGACTACGAGAAAAAGTACATATATGTGTACATGTATATGCAATGTCTTGCATTAGTAACCAATGCGCACGTGCTCAAGGGTTAAGTTAATTAACGAACAAGCCTCTCCTTCAAGAAACTACATGTATATCCTTATCAGCATTTGATAATTATTACAAATTTCTGTCCCCAAATTGGTTAAAGTTACAATGTACGTTCCCGTGCTCTTCAACAAATTGCCTTTTTGTTTTTTTCTTCTAACAACAAATTTTCAAAACAACACCTTTTTTTCCTTGTTTTGAACGTCTAACAATCCGCTGAAAAAAAAGGATTTTGTTTTGGGCACAAACAGATTCGCTTTGTGAGCAGACTGGCTCCTTGTTTGTACCGGTATATTATCGAAACTGATTGTGGGGCAGGACCCAGCCTACCCCGCAAAAATGGAAATTATTGTCTGGCAGCCAAAAAAATTAAAATTGTGAAGTAATAATTCAATAACTAAACATGGGCCAATTGTTTTGGTCGATTTCTCATTCAAAAGTGAATAACTTCAGTTAACCAATTGGTTTCTATTCACTTTGGTGCTATCAAACTTGTTTTGAACAGGTTTCATATGCAATTTTGCAGTGTACAATTCAAAAACAAAAAAAATACATCCAAGTTCCAACAAATGTATACTTGGCACAGTAGCATATCTTGTTAATTAAAAAAAATTATGAAATATTATGAAATATATTTCATAAGGAACCTATATATTTACTCTCACACCAATTTGCATACACATGGGCATGTGCATCCACATGCACTCATCAGGGCCGGATTAAGCTCATCATAGGGCCTAGGCTTCAGCATTTTCACGTTATGGAATTGGCTGGGAAAAAAGCCACGGCTAACTCAATTTATTCTGAGGTTGATTCAAAACAATACCTCGTCCTTATTGATTTGGTGTGAATGTGTGTGTTTTTTTGTGTACCCTAAAAAATAACCTTGCTACATCAACTGCAGAACGATATCAGATTATCCGACCGGCCACGAAAATGTCACGAATGACGTTGGTTCCGACAGTTGGGCAAGCAGTTCATCAATTTCAGTGCAGCTTGGGCAACTACTTCCTCAGCGCAAGATCTGATGCTGTGATGATGTGATCATCTATCTGATCAACCACCAATCAAACGGACTAGAAGGTGAGAGAGGGAGTACAAATTGGGACGGTGAGATTCATGGAACAAACAACCCTAGGCAAGGTAATCAAACTAAATTTTGTGCCGTCCAACAACAATCCGTGTGCAGGGTCCTTAGACGAAAGGAGATAAACAAGTTGCTTTCAGTTACCAGTAAATCCTGAAATGTCAGAGTAATACTAACAACTATTTTTGAAGCTTTGGAACATAATTGAGCCTAATTGATGCCATTTCCGCTACAGATGTCAGGTGTTGGGACCTTTTCTCGGGTTCAATATCATGGTGTTCTGTTGACTTTAAAAAAGTTGTTTTTATGGGCTGCATTCAAACGCCGAGCTCATAAGATTTTATGGACAAAGGCAAAATAAAAGCAAGTACGCGTGCATATTAGGGTGGTTTATATTTTTGGCGAATGGAAGCACTTACATGCATGCATGTATTTGTGATGTCGTAAGGCAAGCTTTTATACTCCGAATTCGCAGAAGTTTAAGAATGATTTTGGCCCTCACAAACAGGTTACAATTTTTTAGAGATGGGAAATTCTACAAATTTAGGAGCCAAAATGTGACATTTTTTCCTGTCCCTATCACCTTGGTACTTTGCCATTCAAGTATCATTAAGAATGACTTCAGACAAATGTTATTTGTTGGGTAGGTAGTTTGCTATTCATAATCACTCTTGGAGGAGGGCGGCATTCAGGAGTGCATCAGAATTATAAAATCAAAGATGTCCGATGTAACAGGGACAGGAAAAAAAGTGGACCCCAAATTTATAGAATGACCCATAGATGCGTCATTGCCTGTCAATTCAAACACTCTCCTGGGTCAATCTCACAGATTTCCTTTAAATTTGCGGACATTGACCCAAATTTGGAAGTTTTGGGTCAAGCAGTTTGTGAATTACAAGTCGTCAAACTTTTGACTTTGCAATTGTTCGCTATAAATTTGAATGTTTGTATCTCAGGTTAGAAAGGTCGGACAAAACTGATTATTATCTTTAAATTAAAGTTCTTAACATAAGAAATTATCTAGTTTGCATATTGAAAAGAAAAATTTGAAATTTCAGCATGAGGTCAAACAAAACAAACTTTGAAAATTTACTAGAACGCAAATTGAATCTTTCATTTTTTTTTTTTGGCAAAGAAGGCCTCAGGTGTACTCAGTGTGCTTGCAAAATATAAAAATGGAATCTCAAGAGGTTGAAACAGGATGTCAATTTATAATTAAAAAAATGAGAGCAGTACATGTACCTCAAAATGCATTAAAATGTACACGTCCGCCTTTGAAGTTAACTATGGTCATTTGATGCCTATATAAAAATTATTCCATGTAATGCCATGTAATTATATATTTTTTAACAAATTCTTATTAAACTACCTTTTATTAAAGTAAACAATCTTGTATGGTATATTGCCATCTGACTCAAACCCATTTCCAAGTTCTATCTAGGTATTTCAGTATCAAAATTACCTAAATTAATGATTGGAATGGTTACTTTTAGTTACACGTAGTAAAGCCTGATAAATTTTACATGAACTGGTTAAAAGATTTCTCAAATCATAAAAACTAGAAAACAAAATCAGAAAGTGGTAACAGAAACAGTCTCCTACCTTTTTCTGAGGGTTGCATCGCAGACTTTTACAACTCGAATGATATCCTTCTGTGTTCGATTGAAATTGTGCAGACGGGCTGAAACCAACAATGCTATAAGAAATAACATGCGACACAAAAAAAATTGTCACTTCAAAACTTTATAGAGCGGAAAATAATTGAAAAATTCTAACTGAGGTTGAGTTACATTCCTCTCTTACATGTACATACATTCCTTTTTTCAAAGAAAGAAAGGAGTTTCCCATCTTGGTGAAATTTTATTACAGTGATATTTTTTTAACTTATGATTCTTTTCTGTGAAGGGGATTAAAAAACAAAAGAGAGGCAATTTCTGTTTAAAGAATTGAACACAAATTCCAATCAGCCTAGACTCATGAACTCTGAGAGAGTTGAGAACTGGGTGGAATAATCAAGCAAACAAATGAACACCAGTTCACCAAGTTGTAAAAAACAAAACGGACCACGAGAAGGTTCAACAATTTACAGGATTCCTTCTTTGGAAATTTCTTCATGCTGCAAATTACAACATCATTTTTACATGTACTTTCAAAACATATATATCTTAAGAGTTTTAAACACCTCCCCCCCCAAAAAAAAATCTTAAAAAGGCCACACAAAAAAAGTCTCCAGTTTCTGGTATGCGCGCGCGCAGTAGCCATGCGCGTCGGCAAAATGAAAAAGTTTACAGGATTGTCTCATAAAACCGCCAAACTCACTGGTTTGACTGGAATCCTGCTGCTGCTCAATTTTAACAAGTTTTTAGATGGGGTTACGATCGAGTATAAGCTTTATGTGGCCTCTCTGGACTCCCATATATTGTGCAATAAATTTAGTCTGGCACCATTTGCAGTCATCAGCCGACATTTGAAGAAATAAAAAAGTAAAAAATTTTTAAAAGCCGCGTCGCCGCACCACTTATGGGGCAAGCTCCATACCAAAAACCAGAGACTTTTTTGGGGGGGAGGGGCCATATCTTTTGATTATAATTTTGTTTATTATAATTTGAATTAGCTGATATGTTCATTTGACATCCACTAATAACAGTGCTTAAAATGACAGCTGAAACAGTAACTTCTGATGATTGCAAGTAATTTCAAGAATGGAGTTGAGATGGATATTATTATTAAACCATCCATCAATTACAAGTACATCCCCAAGGACCCTCAACACATTAGCCACCAGGCCTACAACTGTTTTTTTTTTCAGTTTGATGGTAGAGAAAGATGGCATATGTGCATACCAGCCCCGCAGAGGCCTGATGGTCTACGCCCGGTATGCATCCAGTCTCGTTTCATTCGCCCAACCAACCGCAATGCCGTCATGGAGACTTCGTGCGTCTTGTCCGTAAACTCCAATTTGTGGGCAAAACGGTGGATGTATAAACATGGATCTGTAAACAAAATATTAAAGCAGGTCAATGAAAGACACAGAAAGGCTAAAGGGGATACTGAAAAAAAAAGTTAAATTTATATATCACTTTACAGTGTGTCCCAGGAAAAGCGGGCCCGAACAAATCAGCTGCCATATCTAAAAACCTTTTCACGTCAGACTAAATTTTGTTTTTGTGTTACCATGATGTTGGTGTAGTTGTTTATTGTCTGTGAAGAAATAAAGTGAAGTGATTCAACATTTTTACAACTATGACTAGAAACGTAAGGGCTCTGAAAATCAAAATTGACACATTTTCACGTCAACAATCTAATTTTCGTCCAGCAGGATTTCGGAACTTTTTAATGAATTTATTTGTTGAAATATTATATTCAAGGGGCAATATTTAGTTTTATCAGAATCAGATTTTATTAGTAAATTAGTGGAGAGAGGGAGACCACGAACCTGTATCACACACAAACACATTTCACATGCAAACAAGAAGAGACTATGTCCTTAGTTCATAACACATTTATTTGTCATGTTCATAACCAGCACAAGCTAATGCCCCAAAAAGTGTACATTTTTATTTTATGGAGTTCTTACGTTTGGAGTCATGGCTTTAAAAGTTTTCAATCAATTCAGTTTATTTTTCCACAAGCAATATACAACATCAACAGCATGAAAAAACACAAACAAAATTTAGTCTCACACAAAATATTTGTTTAGATATGGCCGCTGATTTGTCCAGGCCTGCTTTTTCTGGGACACACTGTAGGTAGAAAAATATGCACTGGAATTTGTTTTGTGTTGGGCAGATCCACAGTGTCAGACGTACATTTTGCACAATTCAACATTGTGCATAATAATAGTTAATTATAAAGCTGATTCAACTGATATTCCGTATCAGTTAGTTACTACATGTACAATGATTTTAAAAAGGAAATTATTTCTCCAACTTTTTATTGTAGAAGAAATCAGATAAAAAAAAAAGATGGTTATCGGATGCACTCAGGCAAATAGAGTTTTTGTGTTAGGTGTGCATCTGAACCGTGCACCCGGGTTTCTGACCGCTTACGAATCGGGTACCCACCTTTACAAATTACTTACCGGTAGTACATGTAATTTCTCAGACAATGAAAAAGAAAGGTCTTGCATGCCATTTTGTGAGGAATGTTCAAAATGAAAACCAGACTTCATGGAAAACTAAAACAGATTTCACATTTATGTGCATTTAACGCAGGACAGATTAGTTAATTGTGTGCCCGCTAGTTAATCTTTCAGTTAAAAGTAACAGCCAAACTGTTGAACATTATTAGAAAAAAATGTTTCAATAAAATACATCTAGTTTTAATTTTGGATTTTGGACCATTTTGAAATTTGATGTTATAATTCTGGGGAATTTCCCCCTTTTATGCCTCAAAAGGAAAAAACTGAATAAATTACAACAATGTTTTCATGACTTTTGTTTCGCATCTATGGGCCAATAATAGAAATTGCTGGGGCAAGACATTCTTTATAACGTGATTATTAGCAATAATCCCATAGACTGCCCAATGAACACAGTTCCCCTCATATTGTGCTGCACTAAACACCCCCGCTTACTACAATAGTTCAGTCCAGTTGGCCTTTACCAATGCACTCTGGGTAATCAATGGCTGCCAGGCAGGAATAACTTCATTCTGATTCACTCAAGTGATTGTCTCTCAAGTAAGCAAACCTCTTCAAGTTACAAATTATACAATTGCTTGTGATACATGTAACAGTCACATTATATACGTTAGTTTCTGTTTCGTGATTAAAGGGTATTCTTATATTATTAACACTCTCACAGTGAGTGATTAACACAGCACTTAACTTTATCATGCATAGACATAGACCATATCTGTTTTCGAGGCATCAGGTTTTCGAGGTTTGAACTTGTACTTTGGTAGCAACGCACACGCGCAGATTTGTACCACGCAACCAATTGATTTGTTACACATGTATGCGTGCAGTACGTGTTACTGTTTCACCGCCAGCCAAAGAAAATTGTCGGTGTTTTTCTCTTGCTTGAAATAGGCCTAAATCTTTACAGTATAGTCGGACTCCCTATTATCGCGGCATCCCTATTATCGCGGCATGGGAAATTTCTCTTTTTACAGTGTCAAAACTCCTTCAAGTGGCGATTTTTATCCAGTTCACCAGTCATCAAGGATTTTCTACCGAGTTGTATAAAAAGGACGATTAAAAAATGTTGTGTCTTTCGGGACTTTTAACGATTTTAATAAATATTAACGTTTTCCAAAACTTGCAAAATTTTCCCTCGCCGTGTCTGCTAAAAGGTACCGTTTATATTTTAACATAAATCTTTAATTGCGCTCTATCCATGAAAGTTCCATTGTTTGGTTCCCATTCTTCAGCTGCAAATGTAAAATGAAGTCGAACGACGATATTTGCAGCGCGAAATCGTAACAACTTTTACGGGATCAAATAAGCACCGCGCGTTAGCGAAAATAAAACGGCACACCGTGTAAAGTGAATGGCGCCCTCAATCGCCGATCAGTAGACTTGCCTCAGGGATTTGTGTTCTCCTTTCGGGGGAAGGGCAGGGTCTTAAGAAATCATCCTGCAGACATTTTGTCTTTAATCAACTTGAACGTTACAGGGAAAATATCAGACTTTATTCAGGGGGTGTTTTGGTCAAAGATAAACTATGAATAAAAAAGTTGGGATCATTATAAAAACCACTTCCCGCATACCGCGATAATAGGGAGTCCACCTCCGTTCGCACACTCCGCGCATGTCTATTTTCACAGGCATCGTACACGGAATAAACTACACCACCTGTCAGATTTTTTTATATTAATTTAAAAAGGAAGAGTTATACTACACATAAGACAGGACAATTCTGGAAGGTTAGTGGGCAATCTCTATTCCGAACGAGAAACGTGATAAGTACCGCGATAATACGGCGTTCCATCCTACACCCTCGAAAACCGGTACATCGAGGACACGTAACTCAGTAGGCATGATATTGATAGGAGTGCTGTTTTCCTTCCTCCGTACAAACATTTGCATGCCATAGTCCATGCGGCGTACATGTAGTTCATGCCAGCTTGGAAAACCCAGCTCTAATTAGGCTCATGACATGAGAAATTCTAAATGACAAATTTCCCATGTCACGAGTCTTAATTCATGTAGGCCTAATTGGAGCTGGGTTGTTTTCCGAGCTACATTGTAGGTTCATGCTATTGGTATTGCTACATGTAGTTCAATCAATCATGTCAATTAATAATTATTGATGTAAAGCCTAGGCTTTACCATGCTTACCATTACCATGACATGTTAACTTTTTTGTAAATTGTATGTTGTCTGTACCGTGTACATGTATAACATGGTGACTGTTCGTGATTTAACATCATGTCACACCGGTAATGTCACCAGTGTTTCCCCTGCCCATTCAAACGTGAGGCGGCCCACCTCGCTACTTTCAGTGACCACCTCGCTCAATTTTTGCCAATATCACCAAATCGCTGTGAAAATTTACATTTTGTGTAATTTATGAGCGTTTTCCTTGACCTTTATGTATCAAGAACTCACAATTTGGATGTTTAGATCTATGGAATCGTCTCGCATTTTTGAGAGCGCTGCATCCTTTTCAATTCACAGACTGCGTCAAGTTTGTTTCAATCATCAGTTTGAATTTTTACCACCTCGCTCAGTTCATTAGCCAGGGGAAACACTCAATGTCACACAGGCCAAAAGAACACTAATTTAATTACAGTTTTAGTTTTAAGGCCCACATGTGCAATGTACCATAGTTCTTCTTTACCAGTCCTGCTTAGGGAAACTTAACATATATTTTATTTCTTTATTTTTATTTAAACTCAGTGAATGTATAATTATGCCAAGTTCATCTTTGAATTTGGTTTCTTCTTCAGTTTTCATTATATGACATGAACTAGACATACCGTAGCATGGCCTATTTGACAGTATAGAGTATTGTTCATGCCCCTAGGCCTACATGTATAGGGCTCGCTCAATGACGGCCATCTCTGTAGGAGAACTGCAACTGCATATTTTAAGCAATCAAGCACGCATTACGCAGTGTTGAAAATGTTCCAAACACGCGCTCTTGTTGCTCGAAATGTGTTCGAAATATGACGCTCAAAATGCCGATGCACGTGGATGATCTGTAGGAAGTGATGTCATTTGAACGAGACCTAATGTGACCCGGCCCTAATGTGGCGCACTTTGATATTTTGCCTCTAGTGCCTTGCTAGAGCTAAAGTTTTACTTCAAGTTTCACAGTAAGTGAAATTTCATCGAGCTCTAAACATTCCCATTCATAAATCTTGAGTTCACCTACCCGTTACAAAGTTAACAGAGAAGTTAATTTTGGCGCGATTTTCTGATTTTAATTTGAAGTGCACACTCAACCCATTTACAATGCGCCAAAAAGAAGAAAAACAATTTCTGACAAACTTCTAGTTGGGTGTGCGATGGAGCTAATAATGGTCTATCAGAATTTATAAACTAAAAAAAATTCTTTAATGTTAACTTCAGATTTTCCAAGATTTGTTCAAGTGCACCACTTTAGGGAACACTTGGACAACTTTGTGCCCAATTTCCAGACACCACCGTTTTTGAATTTCGGACTAAATTTCTTGAGACTGGATTTGTTCACAAATGTTCAACAGCAAGCATTATTAAAGTAAAAATACCAGAATTTAACTGAATTAATTTGAAGTTTTTCAACAAGGAGGTTTGGCAACACTGCATTTACATGTATATGGAAAGTCGAGCTAGAAATGTCAAAGTGCGCCACGTTACGGGACTCCACTATATAAAAAGTTGTCCTACTCCAAATTTCATAGCATGGTTGAAACCATGACTTGTTTGTCATGTATGTACATGTATGTACACAAGTGGAGCCACCATCACAATGAACAGTCGGTACATTTTTTTGAACATGTAACGGTGTAAGACAAATTCCTGTTTTCCAACATGTCCAACTTTCATGTTCATGTTTAACTACACTGGTTTATACTGGCATGCTCCTGTGACTTTTTTTATTGTACATGATTGAGATACATCTCCTATATGTACATGTATGTACATATGTACCTCGATCCAATTTATAGGCCCAAATGACAGAAATGTCAGGGTTTCTCTTTTATTTTGATGTATGTAGTAGTACTGGTAACTGTACGTCTTATTAAAGATTGTTTTCCTAGCAAAAATATGCCACCCTCTGCAGTTGCCATTTTCTTGTGTGGATCGGGCAGTTGGGCGAATCAGTGTCATTTTATTCAACCACAAATTACATGTAATGCAACTGCTATATAATTCCTTTATCAATACTGTTTTTTCACAGACGATCTTAGTTAATTCCAGCAACTTCATTCTCAGATGCCGAGTGCCTGCCTCACATACTGATATGGAGGCGCTAAACCTCGGAGAGCCCAATCTGCAGAACCTTAGCGGCGGGGAGAACCGGGAGGTAGACACCCGCCCCCCTAAGCACCCGACAGCCTCAAAGAGTCCCAGCAGCACTACTGCTAGCACCACATCCGGCCAGGGTGTGTCACAGAACACCCTACCTATCCCTATCCCATCCAAGGACCACCGTACCCCCATCCAGGACGTCATTCAACCCGAGAGCCCCATGCTGGTCACCCCCCGCCGCCCACTGGGTGAGAACTGGCAGACCAAAGGGGCCACAGTGCGGGAGCGCAACGCCTACTTGTTCAACAATGACCTGATGAGCGACGTCAAGTTCCTGGTGGGGCCCAAGAGTGGGGCACAGCGGGTGCCGGCCCACAAGTACATCCTGGCATCTGGTAGCTCGGTCTTCTTTGCCATGTTCTACGGAGACCTGGCTGAGAACCAGACCGAGATTGTCATCCCTGACGTGGAGCCGCAGGCCTTCCTCACCTTGCTTAAGTAAGAGCATTTGATTTGTTTGTTTGGATATGGATTCTGTGGCACAAGTTCCCTAAACGGTCAGACAAAAAAAAGAGTTTGATTGGACTCTTGAACACATTTTGGCCAGGTGCTAATGCGAAGTCATATACGGTCGTGTACCTTTAGAAGGAAAACAGTCTTGCATACTTTGCCCCTATCAGACATGTAATGTAATACATGTTCCAGTGTACATACACACGGTTCCTTGTGGGGCAGAGTAACAATAGACCCCACAAGTCAGTCTTTAGAAATTTACTACATTGTATCTGCCCCATAGAAAAAAAGAAACCGAGATATTATTGCTAATTGGAACAGAAGTAGGGCACATGTGAATCAAAGGGAGATATCCTCTGTTAGGGTTGAATCTCCTCTTTAAAACGACACCCTGATCATGTCCTTACATTCATGGTTGACTGAGCAGTGACCAATTTTAAGAAAGGGTCTATTTAGAGAATTGCGCCACTTTTCATGGTGAAATCTCTTTTTTTCCCCCATCTGTCTTGATTGGCAACCATAGCCTTTCACTCTGTGACAAATGACACCACAAAAACAACAATTGAAAAGTGGCGCAATTCTCTAAATAGACCCTTTCATAAAATTGGTCACTGCTCAGTCAACCGTGAATGTAATGACATGATCAGGGTGTCATTTTAAAGAGGAGATTCAACCCTAACAGAGGATATCTCCCTTTGATCCACATGTGCCCTACTTCTGTTCCAATTAGCAATTATATCTCGGTTTCGTTTTTCTTTTATCCACCCTGTATAATATAAAGGAAAATGCTATGGGGTTTGAGATTTTAATAGAAACAAAGGAGAACAAAAGAAGAGGAACAAAGGTCTTCCCCACAAGTATACATGTATGTACATGTATGTAAGGCCGTGTGGATGCACGTGTGTCCAGGTGTGTTGTCATCTACTTTTCATGCACAGACTTACAATTAATGTTGCACACTTTCTTGAGTAGCCACGCTTTCAAATGAAAGCAGTTATCATCGAATGTATGTCCTGTCTTTCATTTCTTTTTTTCTATTTTGCTTCCTTTTTTTGTGGGGGGTGATACTGGCAGTTCTTCTTACAATGGTTATTTCAGGTGGAAAAAAATCTCATTAAAAAAATTCAAAACATTAAAATAGACTTGGGTGCATTGCAAATTAATTGCACGTTGTACATGTGCATGTGCCAGTATACGTATGTATTGTACATGGATTTCAACAAGTTTACATGTACAGTGTACATGTATATTAGATTCACACCATTTATGTGCATTGTGTACGTGTACATACTGTCATGACTGTGCACGTTATTTGCGTGCACGTCTTTGTTTCACTTTCATATTACATGTAACAAGATATGACTATAGTGTCCATTTCAATTTTTATTTTCATCCAAATCCTAGTATTACTCATAAGCTATGTATGTGTAATGTACACATTTAATACCAGGATGACTCATCCAACCACTAAGCACATGCCCAGTCTGGTGTACACAATGAAATGCCCACTGGCCACAAAGACACAAATACCACAATCAGACAACCAGTAATAATTATCATGACTCACGATGACTGCACACAGTGCAGTCGTCTACAAGGAACCAGTGGAATTAAAAGCTCAGAGAGATGAGTAGGAAAAATTACTGTAAAAGGAGAATTGCGAATGTCTGGTTGGAAAAAATGAGCACATACATGTACATACCGGTACATGTAGCATGTAAGAACCATCCTAAGGGTTTGTGGTTTACTTTGGATGGTTGGAAATTTGATAAAATACTAATGCACACTACATAATTTCAAAGAAACCTTATGGCGTGGGTATTTGGCACATTAAAAATAATTTGACCAATCACAGTTCCATTTTTCAATGAACAATAGCTTGAAGCAGAACCATGGTCTTTCTGAAGAAAAAAAATCAAAATGTTGCACTAATTTAGGGGGAGGGTGCAGAGGCTTTTTTTAGATTTTCTTTTAATTATTTCATTTTTTTTTTGGGGGGGGGGGCGGTGTTTGGTGGAGTGGGGTGGGGTTGAGATGGGAAAGGGTTAAAATCAGGGTTTTTTTAATACCGTTCTCCAAAAATTGACTTATCGCCGTTTGCGAGTTAGCCACGCCCCTTAGACAACCCATATGGATTTTTGTACATTAAGTTTTGTTTGTTTCAGATTTTGCACGTTACGCATCCATTTGTATATCATGTGATTGGACAGTATTTTAAAAGCTGCGTTGACGCGATTCTACCGCGATAGGTCAATTGACGTTGCTCCATTTGTTTTTCTGACACACAGTGTTTTGAGCAACAGTGGGTTTATACATGTACATGTAGGAATCACCGATTTCATTTTTCAAATACACTTTGACACTGTAAATGTTGATTGTAAGTTTCTTTCAAAATGGCTTATGTTGCAGATACCTCTACTGTGATGAGGTGGACCTTACACCAGATAATGTTCTGACAACCCTCTACGCAGCCAAGAAGTACATAGTGCCTCACCTTGCCCAGGCCTGCGTCAGCTTCTTAGAGCGCAGCTTGAGTGCCAGGAATGCCTGCGTTCTGCTCAGCCAGAGCCATCTCTTTGAGGAGCCTGACCTGATGCAACGCTGCTGGGAAGTCATCGATGCCCAAGCCGAGGTGGCGCTGGCATCCGACAGCTTCCTAGAGGTCGACCATAAGACCTTAGAGAGCATCCTGATGCGGGAGACGCTCAACGTCAAGGAGATAGTGCTCTTCCAGGCCGTCTCGAGGTGGGCTGATGCCGAGTGCAATCGGAAAGGGTTGCACCCCAACCCCGAGAACAAGCGCAAAGTGCTGAGTAAAGCCCTGTATCTGGTCCGCATCCCCACCATGCCGGTGGGAGAGTTTGCCAACGAAGCAGCCCAGTGTGGCCTGCTGACCCTCCAAGAAACCACCGACGTGTTCCTCCACTATATGGCCAACACCAAACCCAAACTCCAGTTTGTCTCCATGCCCCGCAAGGGCCTGCGTACCTGCAAAGTCCACCGTTTCCAGTCCTCGGCCTATCGTAGCAACCAGTGGCGCTACCGGGGCCGTTGCGACAGCATCCAGTTTTCCGTGGACAAGCGTGTCTTCATTGCGGGCTACGGGCTCTACGGCTCCAGCTCCGGAGCCGCTGATTACAGCATCAAGATCGAACTGAAACGGAGCGGCAAGGTCCTTGGAGAGACGCAGACCAAGTTCTTCTCTGATGGCTCCAGTTGTACCTTCCCCGTCATGTTTCCTAACCCAGTGCAGGTTGAGCCCCATGCCTACTACACGGCCAGTGTGATACTGTGCGGCTCGGAACTGAGCTACTTTGGCCAAGAGGGCCTGACAGAGGTCACCGACCACGCAGTGACCTTCCAGTTCCAATGCTCACCGGAGAGCACCAATGGAACTGGTGTCCAGGGAGGCCAAATCCCTGAATTGATCTTCTATGCATAATTTATTACACAAACTCAAAAACTGTTATTAATCTTAAGGCATCTTGTTGAATGAATTGGTTTTTTTTTTATAATTTACTATGACTACATGAATGAGTTGTATTTGCGCACATGTATGCTGTATTTTACCATGTATGTCGTTTTACCATGAGCAAGTTCTAGGTAATTGGAATTGAAATGGAAAAAAAAACAAGTCACTATTTGGAAAAATTCCGTAGTTGTACATGTATATCAAAGCTCCTCCTGGCATGCTGTATTCTCAATAAATGTACATGGATAGTATGTTGATGTAAATGACACCTCGCATGTTAATGTACATGTACATGTGTAGCTAGTCACATAGGAATTCCGCAGTTAAAATGAGATGATTAGGCTATGCACTTGTACAAACAAGCATCGTTGGTTCATAAATCTGCATGCCATTTCAAAGTTTGCTAAAAAAAAAGTCAATGCGCAGCTAGCCCAGTAAGCACCTTTTAAGCCAAGATTGAACGATCCAAGATATGTAATTTTTAAGTACATACATGTACATTGTTCATGCACCGGTAGTAGTTATACATGTACACCGTAAAATCAAGTACAATGTACATGCAGTTGACTAGTTTCAGTGTGAATTGTCACTTTCGTGTACCATATACCAGAATACGCAAACTAAGACACGTATTTAAGTCCAATATTTAATCCTTATTTAAAAGATGCATTCGAGTAGCTCACCCGTATCGACTGGGGTAAAACTAGACAGGTTAGCCACGACAGCCTAGCCGGGCTAATCGAATGCTCAACCACGGCCATCACGATCCCCATTGTGACACCCGTAAAACTCAAAAAAGTTTTGGGCTGGAGTTAGAGCCTCTAAAGTCGCAATGAACTCAATAAAAATGTACCTTTAGATTTCAAATAAACTTGATTTTTTGGGTCCACTTAATATTTCTGCCGTCCAGCCACCATATTTGTCTGTTTCTTGGAATGAACAACCGGCATGCGTGACGTACTTCCACCAGTGACTCCACGAGCAGGGTCTGTGGTGGCTGACCCGGGTGAGCCCTGAGAATGACGTCAGAGCTAATCGCACGGCACGGGGCTAACCAAAGCTGATTCGGGTGAGCTACTCGAACGCACCCATTAACTGACCATATATGTTTTTATAATAACACTGTATTTTTTCGGTCCCAGATAAACTTTCCGGGGTAGGTTAATAAAATATATGCGGTAATCAGAATTAAACCTGTCAAACAGTAGCATTTGCAAGCTAGTGCAGATGGCTTTGCTATTTGTAAATATACATATATGATATAAACTTCTGTTAGTGAAATCCTGGACAAGAATGTTTTAAAAACTGCATCGTTCCTGCCAATCTTGGGAAACATTTCACCGACAAGTTTTAAACGACAACCAGTAGCACTCCCTATTTTGATGGGGGTTGCTTGATTTTATTTAATGTGTTTTAGGTTTACACATCATACACATTACATAAACAGGTCTATTTTTAGTCAACCCTTCAAAATGAAGGCAACTGGGTCATTCTATAAATTTGGGGTCCAAAGTGTGACATTTTTCCCGTCCCTGTTACCTTGGTACTTTGTCATTTGCCATTCAAGCATCATTAAGAATGACTTCAAATGATTGTTTATTTGTTGGGTAGGTAGTTTGCTATTCATAATCACTCTTGGAGGATGACTGCATTAAGGAGTGCATCAGAATTATACAATCATAGATGTCAGATGTAACAGGGACGGGAAAAAAGTGGACCCCAAATTTATAGAATGACCCACCTGCTTTAGATGAAACACAATCATGACTGTTATCCTGTAAATTGTACCATGAGAATTTTTAGATTTTTTTTTAACAGCACAATTACTGCCTGTAATAAAACTGCCATTGTCTGAAAGAAGAAGTGCTGTATAATCAGAATACTGTCTAGTCTTGTGCAATGTTATTTATAAATCCAAAATGTGTACATGTACACTGTTGCCTTTTAGCCCACCTTAAAATCCAACCACTGGTTTGAGTGTACATGTATATGCATGGTATTTTAGCCCATTATATGGACTCCTTCTATGTACACTACAACAGAGTACATGAAATAACTATTTCAAAACCATGGGAAATAAAAATTGTAGAAAACTTCTCAAAGCTTTATAATACTGATATGAAATTGTTGAAACTTCCCATACATGTACATGTAGGTCCAATGTTCTGTGACTTAACACCCCACAAACATCAATATGGCAAAAGTTGATCAGTTCACTCCCTCATATTGCCTGTCTTGAGAAGTTTTAACCCCAGAAATCATTGGTAAACTCTTGCATTCCTATTCCTAAACTCTGTTCATCATTTCATGCGCAAACAGCCACCAACATTATAAGCCTTTACGTATGCCCATGCAAGCCAGCTGCTCGACAGATGAAAACAGCGACATTAAAGATGCATATAAGTACTTAATAATTATCTCTGAATAAAAAAACACAGAGTCTAAGCTTTGAGAAATTTCCATGCAACTATTTCATCACAAGCAACAGGGTCGCGATATCAAACCCCAGACCCACAACATACAGTTGTGAACAGACTAACAGTCACATTTAACCATGTTATGAAATCCTGATGCTTAAAAATGTAAATTGTACATGAAAGTCAAGTTGTGAACTTGTGACTTAGTGTTTTCAAGTATAATCAATTATTGTACACGTAATTAAGAAACCCACAATAAATTAAACAATGTAGTCAGGCATGTCAGGTAGATTGGTGCACAATATGATGGAATTGTTCATTTGATGATAAAAGCATGGCATTTGGCACACAGTCAGAGTATGTCATGGAAAGATACTAGGCTATAGTGCCATCGCAGATTTGTTCTTTGGAAAAAAAATCATAGAATAACATGCAATGGCCGCCATTTTGAAAATTTTGAAAATTTCTTGTTATCCTGTGATATTTTTTTCAAAGGACAAATCTGCGATGGCCCTATTGCCAAATATCTTTCCCATGACATACTCTGACTGTGTGCCAAATTTCATGCCTTTATCATCAAACTGAACAATCTTATCACCAATCTGCTGTACTTATTTACACTATAATAAACTTGGGTTTCCCTGACACAACTGAAATGAATTTGTTCTTGTTCTTTCTTGGCTTTGTCTAATAGCTTTGCTGTGGTTGTACTGTCAGGTACAGAATAGTAATACACATTTCCCACCTGAGAGGATTTAGCAGGCAGAACTAATAACAGTCAATCATCTTTGTTCCCTGTTCTGTTGCTGAATGAAATAGTTGTTCATTTTGTAATCATGTTTTACCCTATACAGGGCGAGTAAAAAAAAATGGATACCCAAATATCGGGACTATTGTTTTAGTGAAGTTCTGCATGTAGCCCTTTCAAAATCTAGGATACGAAAGCCCAATTCATAGGCTTTCTTTTAGTACAAGAATCATTCAAATTACTCATGTACATGTACTTTCAAGTTATGGAATGTTAAACACAAGCACTGTTTTAAAGTTCTGTCCACGGATCACAAGAAGGTAAGTGTTCTTCCAGCAAATCGAAAACAAATCACATAGGGATGTGTGAGAATTGTTTTCGTTTTGCTGAAAGAATGCACACCTTTTTTGTGATCTGTGGGCAGAACTTTAAAACGGTGGTTGTGTTTAAAATCCCGTAACTTGAAAAGTACATGAGTGATTTGAATGATTCTTGTACTAAAAGAAAGCTTATGAATTGGGCTTTCATATCCTAGATTTTCAAAGTACTACAGGCAGAACTTCACTAAAACAATGGTCCCGACATTTGGGTTTCGCTTTTTTCACTCACCGTGTAGTTTTGTTTTGGAATGTCTCAAGAAGATAACTTCAACAAAAACGACAAACCACGAGGGAAAAAAGCAAAATACTGCAATGTTTTCAGATCAAAAGCGATAGACCTACCGTACATATGTATGCGTGTACTTACCAATTGCAGGCACATTGATGTGAAGTTCTTGGGACAGCTTGAGGTATGTTTTGCCCAGCACATAAACATTTACCTGTTGGGGGGAAACAAAACAGCCTTGACAATGTGTTTAAAAATTTTGAAAAGAAAACAATGTATATATACATACACACAGCATGTACATTCCATGTTTAAAAATTAAGGGATAAATGAGTGATGAAGCAGTTTCAAACTTTAAGGAACCGAAGTTGCTGCCAACAGCTGTAAAAGGAATGTTTTCCAAGAAAAGTGAGACTTCAGTTTTGCTGAAAATGGCCCCCCCAAAAAATGAAGGGAAAAAAAACAATTCATCTTACCTGAAGTAAGTCACTCAGATCCAAAAGCATATCTGAATGGAAACAAGTTAAAGGGAAGATACAACATTTGCATACATCACAAAATGAAATATCAAATTATCACGAAATACCTTACTGGATTGTTAGGGAATGACAGTCTAAAGCATCCTGTAAAATCGCGGCTCCTGGTGTGCTGACATTTTCAAGAAAAATTATATTTTTCCAACGCTGGTCGGCCGACCAGCGTTGGAGAAAACTGGGTTTTTTTTTCAAAAACTGCTCCGAATTTTCATAATTAGTTATTCCGCATTTTCTTTGCAATTGATTACACACCTGAGAAGGGGTACAATTCTGCTAGACTGATTCTCTGACCTTACAATTCCCCAAAGTATATAAATTGCTCCATTTCATCTTAAGTGGGGTCAGGGAACCAGACTGCAAGAACATGATTGGTTTTCTTGGTTTTTCCAGCAACTACAAGCCCAAAACGTGAAAAAAAAATCATTTTTTTATGTTTCAAGATTCTTCAAATCCATCTGGAGGTTTTGTAGGCTTCTTCAGGATTTAGGGAGGTTGAACCTAGCCAATGTACTACTTAAAGGTAATATACAACATTTGCAAACATCAAAAAAACAAAACTACCAAATTATGATGAAATATCTGACTTGACTGTACATGTACATGTAAGTGAATAATAGTCTCAAGCATCCTGTCAAATCATGGCACCTGGTGTGCTTTCATTTTCAAGAAAAGTGAAATTGTTGTATCAATTTCTGACCATCGTTGGAAAAAAAATTGGTTTTTTTTCAGATATTACCCCCCTTTCACCACATTTAGTTAATCCACATTTTGCCAGCTACATGTAGTCTGGTTCCCTGACCTGACAATTCCCGATGTCTATAAATTGCTTTGTTTTGTCTGAAGTAGGGTCAGGGGGCCAGACTTCAAGAACAGCCATTTTTGTCTTAGTTTTCCAGCATCTATGAACACAAAACATTAAAACAAGTCAGTCTAACAATATTTTCTTCAAAATACTAACCCCCAAATGCATCCATTTCTGAAAATTACAGCAAACGTAAATGTTGTATATTACCTTAAACATAGGGCTTAGGCCAAAAACAAAAATAGTTCTGCTTCCTGTCACCCTACCTAACCTATTTTGACAGCCCCTACCCTAATTTTTTTTGGGGAAAATGAGGGGAAAAAACGAAAACCTTCAATTACTACATTTTACTCTTGACTACACGCAGACACCTCCATATGATTGCACACACACACAAATTGCCCCCCACCCAAAAAAAAAAAATTCCCTACCTACCCTATTTTCCAATGCCATGTAATCGGAAGCAGAACTGGGTTTTTTTTTGGCCTTACCACTTCAAAGTAAAAAGAACAAAGTTTGTGCCGCATGGTTTCTGTACACATGTAGTAGAAAATATTTGGGGTATTCAGGAAGGTTTCACTGCAAGGCAAACTGGCGCAGGTATCATACAGCATGTAATGAATCTATAGATTGAAGTTGAACACATGGGGACATTACATGTGCTTAAAGCTACAGTCCATCATTTGTAATTTGTGCATTTTGTTCGTTTGAAGCAACAAAAGAGTTCAAAATCTAATGAAGGATACTGAGCAACTAACCTGATGAAGTTTCAGCTAAGCTTCAGCTGTACATTCCGAGAAAAACAGCATTCTAAGATCTCAATTTCAAATCAAAAGTTACTGAATCATGTTTTGAATTGTTTTGAATTGCAGCTATACGCGACGTCGCGCACTGATCCGAGGAATTATAACAACCACGCGCGTGTGTGCGTCGTTCCAATACTTGTGCGCGCTGCGCTGAATAACAAAACGAACTACTAATTTAAATTTTCCTACGGTGCTTCTTAAGAATCACCGTTGGAAATGCCTTCTTTCGTTGATTACTTCAAAATGACAGCTTCCCAGAAAGAAAATTTTCACAGGGAGTTTAGTTCCCTTACTATCTTTCAACCAAGTTTGTTTTTCAACAATAATTCCGCCAGTTACTTTTCGGATGGCTGCAAACGATGGACTATAGCTTTAAAATAGGGCTATATGGTGCATGGATATCCGCTGCAGGTACATGTATACACTTTCATTTAAATGGTGCCAACATGGCTAATAGCCATTCACCTAGCATCTCCCCCTAATGCATGTTTACATTTCTATTATATCTACTCTCAACAGACTTCTTTTTTTTTCTTCAAAATTTAGAGCCTCCCATCTGATTGTTTATACAAAATATATGCACACATGTAATACTTTGAATACTAAAAATGTTTTCGGTTCGGCTCAGCTGTTACTACAAACAGTATTAAATCATGAGATTTAATATAGTGTCTGTAGTAAATTTTATTCGCATTTATCAAATTGTTGGCACGCTTGAATCGCTCTCTCCGGGCAGTGTAAGTGAAGACGTTACAAAGCCAGCCTGAAAGCCCTTGCTTATTTGCTTTCACCATTTATTGGGCATTAAACGTCTGTGGATTACATTTTAGGCAAGGCTGGCCGTGCGCTGGAATTACTTAACGGGTGAGATACCCGTTTCCCAAAGTGTCGAGAGAGACTTCAATGAAAATAAACCATCCACGGGAGGATGCGTCTGCTCGCACGAGCACGTTTGCCCGGAATTATTAAGAGGGTAAGAAAAACATCGTAAAACATTGCAGCATGAAAACAGTACCCAAGGGACAGAAGCACACTCAGTATGTGGTGTGTCTTGGGATTTTTTTTTCAGGGAGAAACTGCAAGCTCTGATTCACATACATGTGAGTGAACTCGGCTTTTTATCTGTGTCACTTTCGTCTTGTGAGGCAGCCTCTTTTCTTCCTTTTCTTTTTTTTTCTTTTTTATTACTTTATTTAACTTGAAAGAGAGTGAGGGAGCTATTAAGACAAGTAGCACATGCCTCATGCCTTGGACAGCTGGATGCATGCTGGAGAAATTGTGACATCGTGCAAGCCACCAGATTATTGAATTTGATCAGAAAATCTTTCTGTTCAAGACTGGAAGTGTTGTCAGTATGCCTAACTTATTTATTTCAAGACCTGTCAAGGTCTCTCTGAATTTGAAATAAAAGATATTAAAATATAAAGAAAATAAACCAATCAATTTGGACACAATATTTATAATGAGCATTTAGTATTCATGAAGGCTTTTGCATTAAATCAAACATGCTTTTTATGGGGGGGATGCAGGTTGGACAACACACAACATAGTATTGCATTTGCACTCCAAAATCAAAATCCTATTTTTTTTTCTCAGAATTCTTGTTTCAATTATCTCTTGAAGACAAGAGACAACAAAGGGAGGAACTTCCACAGGAATACAAGACACACAATTGTGGAAAACATGGCATACAACATACATAAGCTTTTGAGACAAAAACAATTCAGATGTAAGGGCATTCACTACAAACACTCTTCAGGTACTTCCAATGTTTTTTGTTAAAGCATGCAAGACCACAACTAGGCTCATTGCAACTTAAAATTAAAACTGATACTTTGCAGCAATTTCTTGAACTGCGAAACAATCTGTGATCTGAAAATTGATAATCATAAATATAAAAGAAAGCATTTAAATGGTGCTTTTACGCAGCAACGGGGTATCAAAGCGCTTTACAATTATTATTTTCCCTGTTTCAACAGGCAAACACTCCTGAAACTGTCTCAACTCCCTTGGGAGTATACATGGCTGGTACATGTAGGCAGCCATTTCAGCGCTCTTGGCTGTTATCAAACTCCCACACTAACCAACACAGCCCTCACAGGTACCCATCTACTCCTGGGCGGAAAGAAGCAATCTGACAAAGCGCCTTGCTCAAGGGCACACACACCAAGACCCCAGGCTGGACTGGAACCCACAACCTGCAGAATTAACCACAGACCACAAATTCAATGCTCCAGACCACGAGGCCACAGCACTCTTTTTCCAAAATTACAGAGTTATGTATGTGTTCATTATGCACATGATGTAGCTCCTCGGCCTCATATGCCTTTAGCCACCCCCTTAAAGTTTGATTGTGTGCTAGTTGAGCAAATACACGTACAGGTAGTACATAAATCTCAAGAATTTGGCCTGGCTTCGGACACATTTTGGAAACATTTTTTTAATGACTGCCCACGGACAGTTCTACTCAGAATGATAAAAAAAGAAAGATAATAACTGTAACATATTACTTGTATGAAAATCAGGTAAATTACAGTTTTTCTAACTTCAAGATATATAATGCAGTGAAAGACTATCACAGACGAAAACGGTGCAATAAACCATGCCACCATACAGTACGTCCGATGACCACAGTCACGCAAACGTTAATCCTAGCCAAGGGGCATAGGATTACCACAGAGTCTTTCTGCAACTCATTCATCAGTGCTTGAGGGGGGGGGGGGGAATCACTCAGTGTATGCACTCCTCACCCCCCCCCCCCCCCCAAAGGTCCGTCTCCTTTCAAGGCCGCTAATGCACCATCCTTTGGGATAAGTTTTTAATTGTCAAATTCCACAGTGCCAAAGGCCGCAGGAAGTTTATTTTGGCTTGAGCATTTCAAGCGCCGATTCATTGATTAACTGTGGTCATTTTTTGTTGTTTGTTTGTGGACGTTTACCTGCAAGCTACTGATGTGGTGCACCGCCAATTAAAAAGCTCTCAACAGTAAAAATCATTCTGAGCAATGTACCGTGGATAATAAAATATCTCAAAGGCTCACTGATGCAAACAGAAGGAAGAAATCGTCCCTTTCAGCTGGACTTCCGTTGTGAGCCAGCCAGCCATCCACCCCCCCCCCCCTTGCAGCAATCGACCTCTTAATTGATTGAAAGCCAAATATTATTTTTGGACCGCAAATTGAGCATGAATCAGGTGAATTCTGTCCCAGGGCGATCAAGGAAAGCCAAGGATAGAGCAATTAACTGAAAAAATGGCAGCGTTTTGGAAGGGCCTTCAGCTTTGGAATAAACGCTTATAATTTGTGCACAAACGATGCATACTCATTTCCATTACAGATCAGACACAATTGTGAACTTGCTACAGCGTTCTAAGTACTAACTCTGTTTTTAATTTTTTTATGTATATAAAACAAAAATGGGGGGGCAAGGAAATAATTTGGGGGGCAGTCAAAAAATATCTCAAGCCTGTGTACGCGAGCGCATACCATTGTCAACGGTCCGGAAATAAGCCACTAGAACACTTAGAGGTGTAGTCATGTTTATGAACGAGAAATGTATCAAACCGCAGAGTGGTGTACAACAAATGAACATGTATAACAAATGTACAAAGACGTTGGCTGCACGCTATCTACGGCTGTTAAACGCATGTGTGGCGTGTGCCGTACTGGATTTTGAGAGTCACGGTATATACCGCCACAAAAATATTGAGGTATTCGGTTTTATAGGGTTCTTTTCTGGGCGGACTATTGCTATCAAAGCACGATAAGACATGTGGTGTTAGGGAAACTGCAAACAGGCAGCATGGGCAAAGGCCCTGCTGGATGACTAGCACAGTGTTCACCTTACAAAAATGTATCTAGACAGCGTGACCACAAGGAATTTAAACAATCATAGCGAAGACCTGGCCAGGTTGTTTCTGTCAACTTTTTGTTAAAGAATGCGAACCACTATGCGGCTGAATCATAACAAGCACTCAACAGCTCGATTTTTCGGAGACAAAATTGTGACCCCGAAATTCATTCTTGCAAGAATAACACAAAAAAGCCCAGTTTTTAAAGGGAAAATACATTATTTGCAAACATCAAAAAATATAACTTCCAAATCATTTTGAAATACCTTGCTGGACTGTTAGTGAATGACAGTGTAAAGCATCCTGTAAAATCATGGTACCTGGTATACTGTCATATTCAAGAAAAGTGGTATTTTTGTATCAATTTCCAACGCTGATCGGCCGATCAGCGTTGGAAAAATCTGGCTTTTTTTCAAATACTGGCCCCAATTGACCATCGCACTTGTTTGCAATCGATTACACACCTATGAAAGGGTACAAGCCAGCTAGACTGGTTCCCTGACCTTACAATTCCCCAATGTATGTAAACTGCTCTGTTTCTTCTTAAATGGAGTCAGGGAACCAGACTACAGGAAAATGACTGTTTTTCTTGGTTTTTATAGCATTTTTGAACCCAATACCTCAAAAAGTCAGTGTAACTATATTTGCTATATATTTCCAACCCCCCAATTCCATCCATTTCTGAAAATTACAGCAAAAGCAAATGATGTATATTTCCTTTAAAGGATGGTTGTGTGGACGTTTATATTCTACTTTTAAATGTTCTTTCTATTTAATATCATTTCATTTAAAATGCGTTTTCTAGCCCAATTGGGCGCATTCCAGGTCATAATGTCCCCTTTACCCCCTTAGGTTTACTTTGTGGTAAAATACCACATACTACCTAGTACTGCAGAAATTATGTATGCAGGCAAAGAATACCAGAAAATACTATGAGTGCTGTGCCCACTTATATGCTGAAGTACTGCATACTACAGTTCACTACTAGTAGTATTTGTAGCTTTAGGTGAGGTTAGGGTTAATTAGTTACATTAATTGCCTTAAAGGGAAGATACAACACTGCAAACATCAAAGAACGGAATGATCAAATTATCACGTAATACCTAACTGAATTGTTAGGGAATGACAGTCTAAAGCATCCTTTAAAACCATAGCTCCTGGTGTGCTGTCATTTTCGAGAAAAACTGTATTTTTCCAACGCTGGTAAGCCGACCAGCGTTGGAGAGAACTGGCTTTTTTCAAAAACTGTCCCTACTTTTTCATATTTAGTTATTCTGACTTTTCTTTGCAATTGATTACACACCTGTGAAGGGGTTCAAGCTTGCTAGACTTATTCTCTGACCTTAAAATTCCCCAAAGTGTATTAATTTCTCCGTTTCATCTTAAGTGGGGTCAGGGAACCAGACTTCAAGAATATGATAGGTTTTCTTGGTTTTTCCAGCATCTACAAGCCCAAAACGTGAATTAAGTCAGTTTAACAATATTTTTTATAACATACTTACCCTCCAATCCATTTATTTCTGAAAATAACAGCAAAAGCAAATGTTGTACATTCCCTTTAAGCGACATTGAGCTGATGTATCAGCTTGCCATTTTTAGCAGTTACCATTATGATCGGATACATTGGCTCGCCCTGGAGTTAACTCCTTACTACAAGCCTCCTAAAACTAACAGACTTTGGTCACTTGCTGCCAGTACTAATTGAGTGGGGCTATCATTAGAAATTGATTGATAAATTGACCGTGAAGAGCGGTAATTATTCATACTTAAGCAGGCTTGGAAAGTCAAGGTCTGGGCAGTGCTGTGTTGAACATGTTGAACGTAACAACACGGGTGTTTTCAAGCCATGCATTGTCAATCTGTGCTTCAAACTCAAGAAATATAAACCGAAAGACTTTTTTTCCGTCCAATTCTATTGCTCTATTTGTAATCAGACTTCTGTGACTTATCAATCTAGGAACAGAGGGTTTAGGGTGTTTTCTTACGTACAGCAAATGACTCATGGAAAAATTCAAACGAAACACCTTTTTTTTCCCTTAGGGACAAAATGTTCATTTGTACTCATGGGTGAAGAAAAGGGAGGATGAAGTACATGTACATTTAGTTACGGATAGGATTCCGTTGTCTGCCAGATAGAAATTTAAACCCTTATAACTTTCAACATTTATGTGATGCTGACATACTTTGTACTTTGTCCTGGGCATGACCAAAATACACAGGTCACAATTCCTGTTAACAATTCTAGGCACTTCTTACTCAGCATATAAGTGAAGCAATGTCTTGACCAAATCTGAAAGTACATGTATACGTATCACCATCTGCTGGACTCGTGGCTGGACATTCTCAAAACCAATTACTATAGTACAGGGACTGGGCATCAAAGAAACACCAACAATCAGGAAAACACACACAAAATATTACACCTTTATTACCTTGAATTCGCAATTCGCTACTGTAATACGCTACTTCTGATATTCACTACTAATATTATGGAATATGGATGTTTTCCTTTTTTTTTCGCCGGCAATAGAACCGGGGTCCGCTCATAAGTCCGACGCCTCATAGGTCCGACGCTACATAAGTCCAACGCTTCATAAGTCCGATGCCTCATAGCTCCGACAAATTAAACGCCTCGTTTTTCCGACGTCGGATTTATGAGGCGTCGGACTTATGAGGTGTCGGACCCATGAGGCGGAATAAATAAATGTTATGTCTCATAAGTCCGACGCCTCATAAGTCCGAAATTTCGGACTTATGAGGCGTCGGACCTATGAGGCGTCAGACTTATGATACGGCCCCATAGAACCATACTTGATTGAATCAAGATTGATTCCAAAAATGTTGAAGTCGCCCAAGCTTACACAAAAGGACCTCACTGTGCATGCTTACCGCACTGACCAACCAGGATGAGGGAAGAAAAAAAGGATACGAGGTGTGCCCTCTGTTCTGCAGACGAGATACAAACACGCAGCCACTATGTGACTGGTTTTTCTTCCTCGGGTTAGCTTCTTGGAGACGGCCATCTTGAAGAAGTTGTAAGCAGTGTCCAGACAATGCTGGTTCAACTGCAGCTGGCCTCCCAGCGCATTGATTTTACCCTTGCCTGCAAATAGGAACCATGCCAGATACTCATTATACTAGGCTCTGTGCTTGAACAAGTAGATGGCACATCGTGACCACTGGATAGTGTACAGAGAACCACAGAATGAACTCATTTGAAGCCATATTGGGGAGACGGGTCGTTGTTCTATAACGGCCAACTTGCTGTCTTGGTCTTTTCTCAAGCGGTTGTGATTCACTTTTGTAACATCTTGTTAACATTTTGTCTGCCACGGTTCACAGTGTTTCAGACATGCGTGGTTCACTTTCTGAATGCCGCAATTCACATTTTGCGACATTTGGAAAGTATAATCACGGCAGAAACTTGACCTTTTTTTTAGAACATCATAATGTGTGTACGTAAACAAAAAGCATGTCAAATCTTAATACTGCGCAGGCTGTACTTGTGTGTACTTGTAGAACGTTTGTATATCGGCAGCCATTTTTGGAAGACCGGGGACGCACTGGTCAAAAAGCAACAATAAGTTAATGTACGGTGTAATGGGCATACGCTATCCAGTCAGTTTATAGAGATCTGTGAATGAGAGTAATGAAGTCCATAATGAGACACAGAAAGAAAGAGAACGGCATTGTCATACTATGTGTTTCAATTCAATTTTACCTGTTTGAAGAGTAATTGCCCTGGATTCCTTGCCAAATCCATGTCTGAAGCCACTTCCTAAAGAGTGACTCTTTCCACCTGGGAGAGACAAATAACATATTATCTGGTTAATATTGATTGTAATCTCACCAGCATAGAGTATTATTTGTGGTGGTGTTTTTTTGCACAAGTTGCTAAATTTCAATGAAAGTGTGGAGATTTTTCTGGAACAACAAACGGTAGGTTAACTAATCGCATAACAATGTACATTCAGTGTTGCATTATCTTTCAAATAAACAGCAAACTAACATAGTCATTATATCATTTCTGAATGAGCAGAAACTGTGCAGAAAACCTCCTCAACAAGGCATATCAAAAGATGGGTTTTCCAAGTGAAGTATTTATTATTGTATTATTCCCTGATATCTCTGACCCACCTTCTGTGGGCACAAACTGGCCAATCACAGACGTTCCCCCGATGCTATTCTCGGCAAAGTTGACCTCCGAAACGATAAAGTTGTCCTCAATGACCGAGCCACAGTTTACACAGACTGCACTGCCCCGTGCCTGGTCGGTGTCTATCTCGCTACCCCCACAGGTTTTACAGACGGCACTCTTGGGTTTCGACATGATTCTGTGGGATGTACAGAGAGTTATTTGGCATGCTGAATGCATATATGTTAAAGATATACATTTTTAAGAGCACAACAGACTGCTTATTTAACCCTCCAAAGACATGTTGAGCTCAGAAACTTCTTCCTGAATCTTCAAATCAATCATTGTGCAGGAAAAGAAAGGCACAATCTTTGACCTTTAAACTATTCCACTTTCACAAAGGCGCAATTCCATTTCGACAAAGTCTGAAAATCCACTTTACATGTCCTCAGGACCAGGGTACTAAGGTTGGACTTTTTGGAACAGCCCCATTCACTTTTTGTGGCTTTGGAGATTGTATTGGTGCTCTTTCTTCAAATACTGGACTTCCTCCATAGAGCCACACAGCGATACGTGCTAAGTTTCCAAAAAAGTTGTTCCCTAAATTTGAAATCTAGGCTGAATATTAGGCCCTATAATAACCACGGAAGATCATAAGGTCACAGTACAATGTACATATGTGTAGCTTGGGAAACCCTACTTCTAGAACTAGACCGTGTGCCTTCTAGCACTACCATTTTTTGGGGCCCCGTAACACTATGGGATTGTAAATCCAAAGTTGATTGACAAATTACTTGCACCCAGAATTTCACTTTCTCATACAAAAATCTCTCAAAAAAGCAACCCTGACTCGTTATCTCGTTAAAATTTGGGAACAATTTTTAGGACGACGGACCAACATTTTTTTTTAAATCAGTATTTTACATCAGATTTTCAAATTGATGCCAACCCATCAAGATATTGTCCCCCCTTTAGAAAATGGATTGCTTGACCTACAAAGTGACCTCGTCGCATACAACTGTCAGCAACAGGCCCCAATTTCATGGCACTGCTAAACAGTTAACAGAAACGTTGTGCTTACTACAGCAGAAAATTGTGCTAACCTCAAGCACTATGACCTGGAAATGCGAACGGCTGCACGCGCATGGAGATTCCTATTGTTACGTCACTGATTTAAGCAACGTTTTGCTCTGGGTTAAGTGTGCTTTTGTGTGCTTACTGCTTGCGGTCTCCATGAAATAGACGGTGGCTCAGTTAGCAGAAAATTGTGTGCTTAGCAGGCAATAGCAGCCCCATGAAATTGGACCCAGGTTTGCATCAAGTGTATGCTGTTTATAATGTTTATAATGTTTGTCAGGTTGAAAATCTGATGTTGGTGAAAACTCTATTTCTCAAACAAAATTTGGTCTGACGTCCTAAAAAAACAGTGTTCCCAAAATTTAACAAGATATGGATCAGTCAAGGCTGCTTTTTTTTCAGAGATTTTTGTATGAGAAAGTGTAATTTTTGGTGAAGGTGACTCGCCTATCATCGCAGGAATTTAAATTCCATAGCATTATAGGGCCCCCAAAAATGATAGCGCTAGAAGGCACTTGGAAACCTCGGCTCTAATCAATATTCAATACTCATCAGAAATTTGCCAATTAGATTTGAAGTGACTTGTTAGAGTTTACATGTGGGTTTAAACATTTAGGCCAAATTTTTCCATTTCCATCATCGTATCAAGGAAACACTAATCAAAAATCATATAGCAATCATTCAGTTCATGAAGCCTGGACCCACTCTAATTGAGAACACAATCAAGTTGAACAAGACAAAAAAAACATGTGCTTATGGTGCAGTGGTAGGGTTCCGGTCGTGCGCAAAGACTGTTCAGCGCTGCGTAACAGACCAAAATATTCTGATTTAATAATTTTGTTTGATGATGCACTGTAAGTGGTCTACACAATTCATACCATCTTCCAAACTGACCCATGACCATGAGAAAAAAGCGATTGTGTAGTTACGGGCCCCTCTTTAGTTTTGGTCAAGTTAGAGTCAAGAGTGTTTTCTATAATTCCGAAATATATGAAATACATGTAACTTCTCCAACCTTAAGCAGACTTCTCATGACCCAATTTTGAACATACAAACTGTATGAGACTGATGTGAACATTTTCAAGTGTTTTCTCAGTAAATACTTCAATATTTTCCCTGCTAAATTTGACTTTTTAGGACATATTATCACTTTCTGATGGCTAATACATGTAGGTCACTGAAGGGAAATATTAGTGATGGCCAGATATGGGAATCCATAACTACACAATCGCCACGCCCTTGAGAAAATCTTGCGGTCACTTTTGGACGGCAACCGGCAACCACCATGACCTTGGTGATCATGATGACCACACACTCCCCAAATTTCTCCCAAAAATTAGGCTTACAGGATAACTAGATGATCTAGAGCTGAAACTTAAGTTTTCCTGATTAATAAACTAACCAGGTAAGTAGCTAGCATGCGTACTGACATGACTGAATATCAAGTGAAAAAAGTCTATTAACGGAACTTAAAACATTACATTAGGTGTCCTAAACTACAGGATTACCCGAATCACTGCAATGTTTGTGCAATCGTTGTGGCTATTGTTACGACAGCCGTGACACAATTTTCAAATACTTACTATTGCTACGGCATTGTATTCAAAACACAATGCGAATGTTGCCTATATTGCAACTGCCCAGCCAACCAGAATGCCTCGGTATTAACTCGATTGGTACAGACATAAGCACTGGTTAGCTCAATGAGCTGGGGACCCTGGTCATGCTGGTTCGAACCTCTGCATTGCCATTATTAATTTGTAAGCCGCACTGACTAGTACTCAATTTTTTTTTCTTTCTTTTTTTGAATAGATTTTTAAGTCTTTTAGTTTTTTAATCAAGTTGTTCTTTTTATCATGTTTATTTAGGCCAATGTACTATGTAGATTTCATTTAATTTAGTCCCTTTGCTTTGAAATCAGTGGTTTTACTTTTGGAGGATTTTTATAAAAAGGGAAAGAAAGTCAGTGGGAACATTTGGTTGATAGTCTGGTTCCCAACAGCCAAAGATCATGACGCTGAATACTATTACGTCGGGGAACCAGACAGTTCCGTAATGATAGCATTAATTTGCAGTTGAACTAGAACAGTTGAAAGCCGCGTTACGAATACGAATGCCGTAACGTTGAGCAAGAATTGAGACCTTCGTAAGCTATCTATTTAACTATCAACAATGAAGAAGTTAACATTTTAACCTACCTTGGTATTTAATCAATATTTTAAGGTACTCTCTAGTCTACTACTTCAGGAGAACGTTTGCACGTGTAAGTAACATGGTTTTAACTGCTGAGAAAATTATTCGGTTTACTCAACCTGCCGGTTCATGGAGTCCGCCATGTTTTAACCTCGACCCCAGGGCCTACTTTATTTTCATCTTCCTATCTAATGAGAGAGAAGGTAGTGGGAGCGTACTGCTTAACACCACGAGCACGAGGTGGGCCAATGTTTATAACTTTTCTGAACGGTCTGCACATGCGCACATTTCGATTGTTTGTGTGAGTGTGATGCCTCCACGTATGGAATTATCCATTGATTTTAAGGGGTGGCAGTCAATGTTTTGTTATGGGATTTTTTATCGTGCAGAAACTCAGTGTATTTCACTTTTCAGCGATCTGAGCAAGTCTGTGATGACCTCCGGTTAAACAGTTTAGAGGTAATTTTGTTCTTGATGTAGATCGTCTTTGGAAGTTTGGTTGTAGGACAGAATAAAAAATAGAATGAGAACAATATACAGCCCTGATAATGTCTCAAGAATATTCCAGTAATATTCTTTCTCCCTAGAGTTCCTCAAAACGCTTGTAAAAAAAAAATGATTTTCGATTCTCCAGCAGCAAAGTAACCGTGAGGAAATGATTAGGCGGAGTTACTTGTCGACAGCACACGGGTCACATTCCTGTCATTCCCTCTCATTCTCATGATTGACGAAACTAATGCGGCCACCTTCCAAGGGCGGATCCAGGTGGGGGGAAAATGGGGGCAATGCCCCCCCCCCCCAAAAAAAAACCCTTCTTTTTTAAGTGACGTTCCAATAAAGGCAGGCACTGCGTACACCACCAACTTTTCCTCAAGCAAAGTGGGTTAAAGTGGTCAGAAATTGCCTCAGATCGCATCACAGAGCATCTAGAATCTCAAAAAAATGTCGGGCCCTTGAGCATGCAGGCCCCGAACCCCCCCCCCCCCCCGGCCCCCGTCCCCCTTTTGTTTTTATTTTTATACTTTTCATTTTTATACTTTTCATTAAAAAAAATCAGAGGGCATAGTCATGACTCACTTGGCATGATCGAACCTTGTGCATGTATTGTTGTGTTACTAAAGTAAAATGACAAAGAACACCCTCTGAGCATAAGCACGGCGCTGAGCTACCTGCTGCCACGGTGCCGAATTTCGGCTAAATTTGACATAATTTTTCAAACGAGTTTGACAGAAAATTTAGCAGAACGACTTTTTTAGCAGATTTCTAGCAGAATTCTGTAAAATTGGCGATCTGACAGAAAAATACGGCAGATTTTAAAAATAAAGCTGATTAGTTTTGATAAAGTAAGCTTCAATTTGAGGTTTCCTGACCTGTATTAGTACGCAGTAAAGTACTTGTACGTGATATTTTTTTAAAAGGAAATTTTATGATACAAGTATTTGTTTTTGTTTAAGGAAATTTGATAACATCAACATGTGAGTATAAGTGTTTATAATGTATTTCGCGCAATAATAGGTGATTTAGCAGATTTTTGTTAAATCTGGCAGATTTTTTAAGAACATCTTGCAGAATTTTGCCATTTCCTTACGGTCACCCTGCCTGCTACAACGTTCACATCGGTGTAACGTCAGGCTAGCAATTGGTTCGCTGTATATTATCCCAGCTCCCCAGACGATCGAGCGTCAAGGGGGGGGGGGTGTCCTGTCTTCCCTGCAGGGACCATAGAATAAGGAAAGGATGGTGCATGCCTCTGGCATTCGCTCAGACCCTTGCACCAGAACTTAAAACCTGTTTACATCCCCGCCTGTTTTGTTGGGTTTCTTCTTTTTCGTGTAAAAAAAGGCCAAAGTAATTTCACGCAACAGTTGATAATTGCCGAGAGAAGCCGGGACCGGCGGCAATGGATAGCCTCCACCAAGGAGTTGGTACAGTTTTTTATCACTAAAGTACTTTTTTTGGTAGTCATAGCTGTGGGGTGACAAAAAGTGTAGTACTGACGCGGCCCGACACTACATACGTATAATACAGGGTATACATTGTATAGCCTTGTGGAGGCGTTCTTGCTTTCTATCCGCGGAAGGCCTGAGGCACTCAATACCGTACGTGTCTTCAACTAGCCTTGACCAAGGCGTTGGGCTTATCGATTCGCCGATAAAAAAAAAATCGCCGATAAGAAAATCCCTAATCAACTTGGCAAGGCATAATTGCGTGCACATATCGATGCCCGTACGCTGCTAGTGAGAAAGTAACTTGTACCATACAGCGAGGCTATGCTTGCACCTACGCACGTACATGTACACACACGTACTCGTACAACAGCCATGCACACACAGTACATGCATGAGCTAGTCCGCGTTCGACAGGCCACGCGGCGCGTATACGTGTGTGTGCTTGCTGGTTGTGTTAGCCGTTCGTACGGACAAGGGTCGTACACGCACAAGGGTCGTACACGCACGTAGCCGCGTTGATTGTGGGTGCAGGGCCCGGTTCAACCTCGTCCCAGGGTGTCGAGCAGTACGCGCCCACCACTACCTTTACTATTGGAAACGCGGTTGGAAATAAAGTAAGCACTGGGGACGAGGTTGGGCCCGATTATCTCCCTTCGACAAAAAGCCGAGAGACCGCATTGAACAAGGCTAGTCTTCAACCCGTTTGCCGCGCACGCAGAAACCAGCATAATGCCATGCATGCTGAGCTTGTCTTACATACGCAGTGTGGACTTCCGAACAAAAGACGTCCACATAATGTAGGTAGCAGCGACGAAGTGTGGACTTGCCCACGTCCACACAGTGTTTCCCCATTTCTGGAAAACAGGTTTAGAGGCATTTTTGGGTTAGGTTTATCCGTAGCAGAATGAAGAGAAACACTAAAGGGAATCATTGAAAAAAAATTGGGTTGTAAGAGTTTTTACAGTTTGAGAAAAATGAGTTTTTCCACTGGTGTTCCTTAACTACACGAAAAGAAAGGAAAGTCCACACTAGGTATGTGAAACAAGTCTGTGTGTTCATGTGTGTGCATAGATAATTAGGAGAGGGACCGGTCACGTGAGAGGGTTTAACCAATAAAAGGGGAAAAGAGTCCGATTCATACGAGTCCGATTTTCATATGACACCGGCCCTGTAACTAGTTGGCCCATGTAATGTAATGTGTTAATACCATCCTTGAATACACACAATTGTGCCCCATTAACCTTATTCTCAATTTTCATTTTTGCCATTTTAAGGGCATTTTGGTGCCTTTTGGTGCCTTTTTGGTTTTTATTCTGATGCAAATTTCCATATTCATGAGCATTATGTGATGTCATTTTAGAAACCTCAATTGTACAGCTATTTCAGAACCTAAATTTGCCAGAATTTTTGATAATTTGCTGGGGGGGTTTTTTTAGTCGTAAATTTTCGTTTCTTTGGTGATTCGTTGTTGTTTCAGTACAATACAGGCCACTGAGCAAAGTTTTCTCATAAATGTTTTCAATTAGCAAATGTTGGGTTGACAATTTGAACAGAAAACCCCTGTCTTCCTACATCACAGCAACAACGCCCTCATTTGTCAGCAAAAGCATGGACATTTTTAAATGTTGAAAAAAAGTTCACTTTACAAAGTTAACCAAAAGGGGATGTCAAATAGTTTTCATACATGTTTAAGAGGAGTAGAAAGTTGCACAAAATATGTTCCCAACTAAAATTCATGTCATGAGCACTTTAAGCGGTGTCCGAAACGGGCATCCAGACTTTACGTCTATTGTCAACTTGTTCCAAAGTTGTCGTAGGCCTAACGGGTGAAGACGTACACAGTAGCTCAAGACCAGAGATTCGGATGTAAGAACAACAATGCTGGTTGTGTATGCCGCCGCAGCAGCACCTATGCATTCAATTTTTCAGTGGTATGCTCGGACAGTACGACGGTGTCCTCCCGCAGACTACTGAGACCGCCTTGGACAAGGCTAGGGTACGGTATAGATGGTATTTGTGCTTTCAGAGGGAAAACGCGGCTGAGAACTTTTATTCCCAGTGAACTTCGCTTGTATAAGCTATAGAGCTTGGACCTTGTGGTTGAATCTGGGTAGCTTCTGTCTTTTTTCTTCCTCAAATCACGATGCCTGTAGCCAATTCGGTCCTGATGGAGGCTAATTTCAAGTTAAGTCATGTTACTCTAAATATTGTACCATCATGAGGCTTGGCGACCCCTGGCGCCAAATTAGAAAAAAAGCCTTGCGGGCAAAAAGTCATGCTGAAAGTAAAAATAATTCCGCGTCCCCAAATGACATCCGGGCATCGCACGATAACACACGCCAAGCCTAATGAACACGTAGGCCTATCGGTACGTAATCAAGGCTTTATGCAGGACCAAGGTCATTGTCAATCCGATTTACACGCATATCCTTCATACCTTATCTGGGCTTTTAAATTTGATAGCCATAGGACAAAAGCTCTTGCAGGAATTTTGACAACAATCGCGCTTTGTGCGTGCGTTATAGGTAGGGGGTAGGGGCAATGTCCGGCACTTGGTTGATTTAACAACCTGTCTGCAGCTTGCGTGTGATTTACAAATGCGGCTTTTCTTTACACCTGTGCCATGTCTGATTGATTGTATGTTTTCAGGGGGGGGGGGGTCAACACGGTTGCATGAATGCGACGTCTGTATCTCTTCGGCCAAGTTCAACCAAATCGCAAACCCCGGGGCCCAACATAAACTGTAAACCATAAAATGTGAAATATGAGAAGTCTCTGAAGCTGATTCACCGGGCTGGTGATAATGCTAGAATTCCTTGGAATGTAAAGACTGAGAAGTGTTCTATTTCCCCCTGGGTGGGAGGTTACTCCTCCGTTGCCGATGTACCATTTTTTAAGCTAAATGCTCTCGGGTGTGGCGAGAGGCAAATGTGGTGAAGTCGCTTGCCCAAGGACAGCAGCAGAAGGATTCGAACCCATGACCCTCCGATCACGAGTCACTAACCCAAGCCACAAGGTCCACCACACCCCTCATCCTAATTCGTGGGCGCGCATGTAACTTAAGCAGCATTTAGGCCTGTAGGGCCCTACCTGTTTTTAACAATACATGTATACCTGATGCAGTGATTACATTGTGTCATCTTCATCATTTTGATGGGCGTAATGTGGAGTTAAGGTTTGCTCGTTTTTGTACCAGCACTAATAATGCATGGACAATTCTGTGTATAAAAACTGCAGGGAGAAGGGAGAAAAATCAACAAGCAAATAAAACAAACAAACAAACAAAACGCGGCAAACGTGTAAATCTGAAACAACATACGTCCGAATAGCAGTAATATTCATCGTAAACTGACCGCACTGTTTTCCCTCTTGTGTGTGTATAATTGAGGTAACACTATGTCTAACTGATTTATAGTGCCCAAGAATAATTCATATTTAACGCAGGCTGAACGAGATTATTTAGGTAATACCAACGGTATGCTCGAATGCACGATAATGGTTTTGTCACGCGACTTCCCGTTTAGACGTCTGATGAGAAGACCATGGTTGAACTTGATGGTATATCTAGCCACAGTGTCCGTATCCGCTGGCCTTGAAGCTGTCATCGTGGTCTTGCCTCGTCTACAGAACCATCCTCGTGCCATATACTAGTATATGCATGCAGTCTTTAGTTTCATCACTGCTGCGTTATGTGCGCATGCCCGAGGGTGGCGATTGACGAATGGACGATCTGTCTCCGACTCGAGCGCGCGCGGTGCGGCTGACTGAATGATGACGGGAGGAACATTATTAATACGAGATCCGAAATGAAGCATGTACCATTGCGTGACTCGCTGATATTGCCGCCCACCTTCGTCAATAATGGCAGTGAGCGGCTGAACATCGGTGTTCTTTTTTCTACCATGAGTGGTTCGCGGGGCTTAAGTACCGTTACATTATTCATCAGTGTTGGTAGAGAAGCCACGACGCAAGACATGGTAATGGTTTCTTGCTGGAAAAAAACCCAGTAATTAAATAATACCCGGCGTATGAGTTGAAAGTCGTCTGGACCACAACCTGAATAAAAGGCCCGAGTTGTTCCGCATGTGTGTCATTTTTTCTGTGCCACCGATCGAGCCGTCTTCGCCTAGGCCTGAGATTGCCGGTGTTATAGTCTACTGCTTGGGAATTCCATCCGGAAGTCTGGTAGTCTATAAGAGCAACGGATGTACAGTGTGGTGGCTTAAACTTGACCGTGGCGTAACCCACATCGCGGTATACCACCAGCCGTGTTGAGCTCAGTGTGGCCGGCAGTGAACTAGGTCAGTAGACGACCCATAACAGAAACACCGAGTACAGTTTCCGCAGAGCCCATACATATCGACAAACAGGTAACGAAGTAATATAGAACATATTCGCCACCGTACTTTGAACTCGTCTTCCGACAACTAAACTGCAAACAGGACCTGGCGCCATGGCGAACGAGGCTGAACTGTTGAAATTCGCTGGGAAATGGAAGCTGGAAAAGAGCGAGAATTTTGACGAGTACCTGCGGAAGATGGAGGTGATGCTGCCCATGCGGGCGGCCGCTAAGGTCATGACGCCCACGTGCGACATCGTCGTACAGGGAGACAGCTTTGTGATCAAGATGAACGTGCCCGTCATCACGCTGCACGTGCAGAAGTTCAAGATCAACGAGAACTTCGAGGATCTCCTGCCCAATGGCAACAAGCAGCTGACCCAGGTCGGATGGGAGGAAGGCAAGATCGTCCTACGGGAGGTGGACAAGGGGGATCCACCTCACGTCGTCACCAGAGAGGTCAACGAGAACGGAACAGAAATGATCATGACATGTATCAAAGGGGACGTGGTCTGTAAAAGACACTACCGGAAAATGTAAGATGAAGAAGATGCGTGAGGTCTATAGATGTGCATTTTACTGTGAAGTGCTAGGGCCAAACAACCGTAATGAGCATACATAGTGCGTATCGCGTGAAGGCACCGAACTCTTTTTGCCTCTCCAAAGCTTCTTATCTCCTTTAAAGATTCAAAGAAAGTTGTGGAAGAACCTTGCCCCAAAACTGAGCGTCAGTCCTAAAAGCCTGCCCACCGGCTCAAAAAATGACTCACCCGCCCGCTAATCTCATCACACGCTTCCGTGTCTGATGTCAGCACGGCCTGTCAGACGGACGTACCGACGTAGTTCGTCCGGCAATGCTACAAGGTCGCTTGATCGACCGTTAACCTTCAGCGCACGCCCGTAGAAGACGGAAACAAAATATTGGATTGCCACGGACGATTCTGATCAAGCAAGTATTGCCCATCCATCCAAACTCTATATCTCTATATGCCTGAGTACATGTTTCTCTACTTTAAGATGTTCCGCTCGTCGAAGCTTTAAGGGGTGAGTGCCACACATAATTCAAGTTCAAGTTCGCTCTAACAGCAGACTTTGCAGCGGTACTCAGCTATGTTCAGTTCTTTTCATTTCTAAACTGATCATTTGCAACATTTAAATTTATGAATCGAGCAGCTCAAAATGTGTTACCAAAGAAAAGTTTTTAAAGCACACCGCCAATTAAAAGTTGATTATAGGAAATAAAAGTAATGTCTTATTTGTACGTTGTATAATATAAAACCGACCAAAAATGCATGCGGCATGTATTTTTGTCACTTTGAGTAATTGTTAGGGCTATAAGTCGATTAAAAAAATGTACGGTTCCAACGTATTTATTTATCAATCCTGTGTAATAATATATAGGCCTAAGAAGCAACACTGGTTAATTGCGATTTCAGTGGGAATTTGACATGCAGTGGTGTGCTGTACAAACACTATAAGTTACTTTTATTGTAATAGAATTATGTATAATGCACTTGTTGTCGGACAAAACAGTAACATTTCAAATTGCTACTCGGACGCTACTTCCCTATTAGAATTAACCTATGATGTGTCGAAAATAGTGCAGAACCAATGAAGGGTTAATGGTGACTTCGGCAGTCTTGTGTTTTAACGATTTCAATTTTTCCCAATTAAAAAAATGTTAAATTAAAAAGATCACATCTTATGTTCACATACAATTCACTTTTTAACTGCGAGACATGTTTTTTAATAAACCATTATTGAATTGAATTAAATTGAAGGAATGGTGGAAAAAATCTTCCATTTTCGAGGATGACAAATGAATTAATTTGGTTGCAGATTTGATCAACACTTCACCAAATTCAGCAGGATTTATTCAATTATTCATATCTGTTGGGAACTAAACCGGATTTCCATCATCTATACTACGTTGTGGGAAAAGCCATGTTTGCCCGTGTAAAAATAGATTAATTCATGCAAGAGGTAGGGGGAATGTTTTTCCCGTGAAGTCTGTCCTGTTTTGTGGGGATCATTATGATGATAAATTGCCCTGCTGTTATGGTTTTGCCGTCTGTGTGCGAGACACGAGATAACCTTGTTATACGCAACCACGGTCGCTTGTCCGTGCGGGTATGTGACGGTTGAATGGCGTGTTACGCGCCCGCTGAGGATAATTACTGATTAAGTACTGTGTCAAGTCCAATATCCATAATATCCCCTGTATCAACACGAAACCATTCAGTCTCACAATGTGGTAAAAGATTCATGTTTACATGAGTGCATGCAGCGAACTATACCGTTTGGTTCGAGGTATGGGAAATTTAGATTTGTGCGACGCAATAATCATAGTTACATGCGTCAAAATGCAAAGGAACGGTCTATGCAACGCATCTAATGCATAATAAAGCGAAGGTCGGAGAGGGTTTTTGAGGGCCAGTGGTTAAACCCCCCTTGCTACTTATATACTTGTGAAAACTATTGCCTGTAAAATATATTGTGAAGTTAATGAGATTTGAATAATGCAAATTGTATATTTTAGATAGATTTCCGTGGTGTTGATGTTTTGTGATGCACTCATTATTGAGTATAAACAACAAGTGTGAAACATGACTGTGTTATTTGTGTATTGTAATCTTTTTCAAGCGCACGTCGCACTAAAGGTTGTGATTGTAGTAGCCTATATGTATCAAGTCATGAATTCAAGATTTAGCTTTTGGTACGAAACAAAATTAGTCTAAAGTATTTTATTTGTATCGCTTAATGTTTAGCAAGGCCGAAATTGCGCACTTTTTGTCTGTGTAGGTCTATAGGGCTCTATTTAAAAAAGAAAGTGTATTTTGACTCGTACGGACCCTATTCTGTAAACATGCATCATAATCAAAATGCTTTGAGCAATAAGCCGATACGAAAAATAAGAAACTTTGTTAATTATTTGTATTCCTTTAATACTGTTTTTGTTCTTATTCCAATTTGTCGTGAGAATAACGATTTTATACTTTTCGGCAGTTTTCTTCCCGTTAAAACATAATACTGCACATAACAGTATGTATTTCTCGTTAATGAACCCTTGCCAGAAATTGAAATGGGAACACAACAAAGTTGGCTGAAGTTTTTATATCTGTATAATGTTGTGTCGAAATGTATGCACAAAACCAAGTTGAGTTAAACAATTACCGATGAATATATGTGAGCTACATATATTTTCTGTCAGCTGAACCACTGAACCACTTCAATGGAACAATACTAAGCACACCCAAAGTAATTATCAGCCGCATTGCTGATGACCGCTTCTTGGCTGAATAGCGACAAGTTCCTGCTTAGAAATTCCATGAAATTGGGCCCAGATGTTGGAATCACAGTTCCGTTATACAATCACTTTCAACACTTGCTGATGATATGTCAATAGTAACTCGCATTTTCAGAGCAATTCATGAAATCTTAATAAATAGGCTGAAAACCATTTTATAAAAATGATGTCTTTTTTTTTTAACCAAAATCAAGCAATGTGCATTATAAATGTACCGAATATTGTGTCGTGCACTATGACAGAGGCTGCATTGTCTCCATTCATTTCTAAACTACTCTTTGTGACAGCGTGTAGCACGCTCTAGATTAATTGATTAAAACAAATGGTAAAATAAAATGTGCATTTTACTCGTACCATATAATCATTGTGTGTTTTGTGTTTCAGTCGGCGTCCATACGTTACTGTGTGTATAGCATTAAAGGTGGAAGTCCGTCCAGAGATCGCTAACAAGTTTGCCGTATCACGATTTATTCACCACATTTGAAGGACTGGTGGTCAAAGGGAGATCCATTTAAAGGTTTAACATTTGCAGAGGAAATGTTCAAAAGCCTTTTAAATTACGTAATATCTGACGACGCAGAAGCGGATGCAAGATATTTCATAGGTGAAAGTGAAGTGAAGTGATGTCCAGAATGTTTGAAATGGTGGATTGGTTTGGGTTGGTCGAATGATTGAAGTTGTCACATACAATGTCCACAAGCAATCAACCCAAGAGTTTCCAATATTGTTTTAGAAAAGAAATATTAGGATACTTTTGAACAATTACGATTGGTCAGAAGGAATGGGGTGGTTATCCGTGACCCCACACATCCCCTTCATGGGGCTAACCCCGCCCTTGCGGGCTATTACAAAAATGGCCCACGTTGAATTCAACAACAACCAGTGAAATCATTGTACTACTTAGAATTACAATATTTAAGAACTGATATACAAGAAAACCAGTTGACGCTGACTTTGACTAAGAAGGTTCTAAAAGTGGAATGTTAACAAGGAATAGAAAATCAATGAATCCAATTTTGTCGTTTTACGGGAGACACACGAGAGGACCCCTCTAGGCTTGCTCTAGATTTGACGCTGACTGCTAGTCTGCTACACACTCGAGACGACCGGTGATTTCACAAAAATCGTTGCATTCTTTCTAAACCGTCCGAATGACGGACGGAGTCAGCTGTGCGCGTTCTCCGTACCCTTCCGTGAGCTTGGCACCGTGCCCCGTTATCGCTTCAAGTTCATCAGGCGCCGACAAAAATTGGCGTCACGCACCCTAAACATTTCGAAATGTGGAGCGGGACGGGGATATGGGGGATCGCCAGGGAGGAGGCTTGTTATGCGAGGAATGCCGGCCGGGCGCGCCACGCATGCTGCCGACCAGAAAAGCTAAATGTTCCCCTTTAATAATAAAGAACGCAGGTTCGCGGATGCTCGCCAGTTATACGTTTTCTCGGATGTACATGTACTTCATGTCACTGTATCGCATTGTATCTTGGTCGTAATGGCGATTTCGCGATTCATGCTCACAGTATATAGTGATTGAGTGAACAAGATTTTGTACAATCGAGCACCCCAGTGATTGACAATGGTAGGGATTACATTAAAAAAAAAAAAGAAGATCACTCTTCAATCAAACTCAGCTTTCACTATTTAAATATCTAAATATCGTTCAGTTTTCTGTAGACGTTTAATATCGTCTGGACATATTTCACAACCAAAGTTTCATGGCCGAATATAACAACAATAAAATGTTCTCCGATTCCGCACTATTCTCCTGCCAAATACTATTTGGACTGAAGGTGACCGGGGGGACTGCCCACTCCGAATGGGCGTGAAATAAAGTGATAAAATGCAACCGTAGTACTTTGTAAAACGCATGCCATTCTTGCTGTATTAATTTTTTCCCTTGTTTTCTATTTTATATACATGTAGTGTTTATATTTCTAACTTAAATTTTTTTTTTATTTGAAATTCTGATTCGTTTTTTGAGGGGGAGGGGTGAGGGCTGCCGCTTGTGCTTTGATCCCCAGTAGCTTAGACTATTGATTACATGATCTAAACTCCCCTATCCCCCCTCCCATCCCACCCTCCAACCCACCCCAAGAAAAAAAGGTCGTTCTTTGATTTACTGCCTCAAGATGAGTATAGGGCCTACTGTAAAGGCCGGTCGAAGCATAAGGGCGCGGCGAGGAGGGAAAGTCAGCCAGACAATAACGAGTCGATGCATAGGCGCGTTTGGAGGGGGATGAAGACGAACAAACATCCCTCCCCATCATCGATCCCTCCCCCCTCCTTAGCCCATCGATTCCCCCTTAGTCCCCCCCGGGGGCTAACACGATCATCGCCAGGGAGGTTTGTCCCCCTTTGTCTGCTCCGGAAGAACAAATCACCTGCCTCCTTCTGACAATCGACTACCCCTGCGACCTTTTTGCACGCACGACTCTCGGACCGCATTTTCGTCATGTCTGCCGTCACCATGGAGACGGGATGGAGACGGGATGCGATCCTCCGGGGTATGAAGATGGGGAGATGATTCCAGACAAGACGGAGAATATCGATTCGAGTGATAGACTGCGGTCATCAGTGCGTGTCTAGTGCGAATATCAGACGCGTCGACTGATCATTTCCAGCACGTTATACTTTGTCAGCTGGCCCAATAAATCGACCCCCCCCCCCTCACCGTCACACAAACACACATTTAGAAATACGAAATACTAGAGGGGGGGGGGGCAAATTTCTACTTTTTTGTGGGGTGGAAAACTAGGCCTACCTGTACCTGTGCGATCTCGTTCTGTGAAGAGTATCGGGCAAGGCTGCATTCAGTGGAGGTAACTAAATTTGCAGACGCGGGGGAACTTTCGGGTCCTCAATGAGGGACACAGTGCTATTTGGTCACAGTTTAATATAATTGTTCTTATTTGTTTATCTCTGAAGTCTGAAAGGGGACAACCGTGGGATTTTCAAAGGAAGGGTTGGCTGAGGTTTTGAAGTCCAAGGTTTTTTTTCGGTGATGGGAGGGGAAATTTTTTGAGGCGTGGGAGTAAACACAAAAGGACTCTCAAAGTTACAGCCCACAGGCCTGAAGTACTGAATCCTGATAACATAGTTTGACGTTATGTCAGGAAACTTAAGGAAATGTGGATTTGTCGACAGTAAAATATAAATAATTGATATTGGTCAGCAGGGAAGGGGCCGTTCGCCAACCGAAAAACTTAGCCCCTTGCACCAGGACAAAAGGGTTCCGTTTACCTTCCCAACAATAATGATCTCAATCCCCCCCCCCCCCCGGAAAAAAATGTCCCATGACATTAAATTGTATTTTTGTAAAACATCCGAAAACTTTTTTTTTTCAGGGGATTCATGACTCCAGGTGCACGAAAGTCTTGAGACAAACTCATATCCCGAGGATCTACTGTGAAAACATGGAAAATTAGGGCAAGGTCGTGGTGGAATGGACCAGTTGTACCGGGGGGACCGCTTCCCAGGGAGGTATGGCTCGGCTTGCCGGAAAAACATGATCCTGCATACTAGCTCCAAGCCTGCATATCCCCCGGTCCCTGGCCTACTTTCCTCGACCCATAATTGGCGTTTGTGGAGGAGGAGGAAGAGGAGGAGGAGGCGGAGAGGAAAAAAAATAGGTGAACTACCGAGTTTCGGACATGTACACTTTATTTATCCAGTATGTCATCCGGGCGATAAGCCTGAAGTGTGAGACAAGTGGGGGAGTCTGGCTGTGTGAATGACTTGAGCCAGCCGCTTCTCCAGGTATAGGCTTCGAGGGTCTATAGCTGGCTACTTAACAAGCTGCTGCAAGCCATGAGAGATGATCTGGATAGGACGTGTTTTCATCGGCAAATTGGCCTAAACCGTCTGGGGATAATTTCGCAATTTGCCCTCAAGCTCCAGTTTATTAAATCCTATAGCAGACGCGGGCCAAGTCGAGAGCATAAACGATTACGTTGATGAAACATATATCCCATGTACATGGACATACGGAAACAATATGAAGGAACATGAATCCTCGATCAGAAGTGGAAAAATTATGTTAGAAAAAGTTGAGATGTAACTGGATGATGCCTTTCTCTTAATAGCTACCAAATCACGACCTCATTTTTATTGGGAACTTATTTCTCGTACAGTTCAAACTTTTTTCTTTTGGGGAATTTGCATCAAAACTCGAAAAGAACATTCACGACCCAAATCCTCAAATCGTGTTGATGGTTTTTTTTTTATCACCCAACAATCGCCTTGAAATGCAGGGCAATGACTTTACAATGGAATTCAACTTTATGATTGTGGCCCAGTTACCTCAGAAAAGGGGACAGCGATTGGCGATATCAAACCAGCGGGAAATCGATTCTTGCTCCACATACCTGCTGAGAGATTGTGGAGGCAGGGGGATATCGAAAAGTGAGATTTTGTAATCACCATACAATCGCCTTGGAATTCTGAGCCTGTTCATAATTGTGAAGTTCAATGACAGTGGAATTCAACATTATCATTGTGGCCCAGTTACCTTAGAAAAGGGGACAGCGATTGGCGAGAAATGGATTCTGCTCCATATGTGCCAGCTGAGATTGCGGAGGCAGGCCGATATCGATAAGGGAGCGTTGCCCTCACAGCACCCCTTCAGCCCTGTTCTGATCTTTCAGCGTCAAATGAAGGATCTTTCCGCTGAAATTTAGGTGTATTTCTCATGTTTGTTGTCCCCTCCCCTCCTCCGAAAAATCCACGCCCCCTTTTCGCACTCTTTTTCAAACAAAATATAACACACATCAATAGCAACACTATGCAGACCAAAGGTTATGACCGTAGCCACGGGGGGGGGGGGGGGGGCCGTGGGGGAGGCGACAGCCCCCCCCCCCCCCCATGAAACCTTGTCGACCCCACAGTCGCCCCCCCCCCCACTGAGATTTTGAGTTTAAAAAAAAAATTATCATTGATCTACATGACGCCCCCCCCATGAAATGTTCCAGCCCCCAAGCGCCCCCCCCCCCCCCTGAAAAATTCCTGGCTACGCCACTGGTTATGACAATAGGCATATTTTATAATTGTAAACGACAAACACCCGAATTCTGTAACTTGTAACGCCATTGTTACAATACATTCCAAAACGGTGTATATTCGTAACCACCTAAAATATCTTCAGACAATTTTACAGTAGGTGGAACAATGACTGTTCAGGGGATAGATGGCGGTAAAAAAAAGTTTGTTCCAACACGTACCGTACATTCTCGGCATTTCTTTTAAAAATAAAATCCACATGATGTGCAGTAACTGATCAAAGGTTATGACTGAACAATTTATAGTAAAATGGACCCAAAATAATTTTTAAAAATGGACTCAAAATTCCAAGATCTATTCTAAAATTGCCTTAAATTTGGGGGGGGGGGATCCCCAGATTCCCCCCACCCCCACCCCCAATAGCAGGGGCACGCCTTCACTCAAATATCAACCCCCTGTCTCCATGCGTTTCCAGAATGCTAGATTCACTCCTGATGTGGAGTGCATTATGTGAATAAAACGCCGCCGGACGTAGTACACATCGCTCGTACCCCCGCCCTGCAAACAGGAGGAGGGCGTGGGGTACGAGCGAACATAGCTAGCCGACATAAATTGCAAAATGTAAAGAGAGGGCGCTATGACAATCTTACGGTGGTGGGTGTGTTCGCTCGAGAAAATAGTTTTGAACCTCTGATCGACGGCGGCCGTTGCATGTACACGGTTAGAAGACTGTGATTCCATCCGTTGGCTTGTATACATTGCAATGTAGCCTACATATCTGATACAGCTGGAGATGGAGGTTTGGGGAGATTACCGAAGCCTCACTGATAAAAGTGAGGACTTGACCTCATCAAGTGAGGACCAAAAGCCTCGTCACACTTGCGAGCCTACATGACTATCATAATCAACGCCCAAAATGACTAGTAATCAGTGCCAGACGAAATAACCCAAGCCAATGAATGTTGCACTCAAACGATCTACACTAAGATCCTAGTGTCACAGGCAAACTAGCTCGAAACGGAAATGTCACATTTTGTCCCCCCCCCCCCGGCCCCCACCACCAGGAAGTGAATTTATTTTTATTTTTATTGTGTTTAATCAAATCCTAATGATCAATGAAATAAATCTCAACTTTTTTTCTGATTCGTGGCTCTGGAGGATTCTGAAAACCATCATTTTCCGTTACCAATTGACTCATGCGCATTGGTCATTAACATACAATAGTGTGCATTGTACTTTGTTAATGCCCTAACGCCGTGCCAGTCGATCAGTGTAACCATTACTTATTATTATGCCAATGCTGGCACTCTTCTGAATCAACTGAATCCTATAGCTGCTTAAATAACGAGGTCATTGAGTACAGACTCTTGTATTTAGCAGCCATCTTGGAGGTCCTTTTCTTTTAATTTACAGGCCTATCAATTAGTAGTGAACATTTCACTGTGGAACGAGATCACTCCGTGTAAAGCTCTCTTGTGCATTTTTTGTAAAGGGTGAACTTCTAAGCCTAAAAAGCAAAGGACACACACTTTAAAGGGAATGTACAACATATGCTTTTGCTGTAATTTTCAGAAATAAATGGATTTGGAGGATTAGCATGTTATAGAAAATATTGTTAAACTGACTTGTTTCACGTTTTGGGCTTGTAGACGCTGGAAAAACCAAGAAAACCTATCATGTTCTTGTAGTCTGGTTTCCTGACCCCACTTAAAATGAAACAGAGCAATTAATACACTTAAGGAATTGTAGGCTCAGAGAATCAGTCTAGCAGGCTTGTACCCCTTCACAGGTGTGTAATCAATTGCAAAGAAAAGTCAGAATAACTAAATATGAAAACTTAGGGACAGTTTTTGAAAAAAAAACCAGTTTTCTCCAACGCTGGTCGGCCGACCAGCGTTGGAAAAATACAGTTTTTCTTGAAAATGTCAGCACACCAGGAGCCACGATTTTAAAGGATGATTTGGACTGTCAGTCCCTAACAATTCAGTAAGGTATTTCGTGATAATTTGATCATTTCGTTTTTTTGATGTTTGCAAATGTTGTATCTTCCCTTTAAGCTGAAAGCCTATTTTGAGCATAGGATATGCTGTGAGGGACCCTCGTTACTGACTTACTCAAGGAGACAAGGTGAATCTAATAATAAAATACAGGCTGGAATCAAGGCTAACGAAATATTCAACCATTGTTATTCAGAACTCCCGATCTTGTACAAAAGGTGACCTTATACACGTACAATCGTTGTTGTCAGGAATGCCGTTCAAATACCAAAGTTCAAGAGATCGAGTATAACAAAACCGATATTCCAATTAACCCTCTACATGTAGTTGATTTTTTTTACCAAATACAATTGATGATGCTTCTTAACTGCGAACCCGACTAAATGTATAGATAGAGGAAATAAATACCATTTTAGATCTATATTATGCTGGCACTTGAGTTACTTACGGTACCAGCATGTTTTTGACAGTAAACTCTCTCATGTAATTAATGAATTACCATCTACCAAACCCATTAAAGTTTAGTGGTATCTGTAATGCCGACTTCCCAGAAAGTGTTCTTGATGTTTCCGATACCGCGTGTACTATTACAATGATAACCATCGTATACACAATATAGAATAATCATAAACCTGTCTGCTGTCGGGTGACCTGAAGTAGCAGGGAGATATAGAATGAACGTAATAAAAAAATGCACTAAAGAGTTGTACAAAGTATATATTTCAGTTAGTGTTTAAGTTATTTACTGTTGGTTGAAGCCTGGCAGAGGGTGGTATTATATACGTAAATGAATAACTTAACAAATGAATAATATGAATAATAAATGATTAAATGAATAACTGTAGCCTTCTATACAGCAGTATATAAGTTACAATAGCCTCATGCAATACTGAGATAAAGCCTAATTCAATAGTGCGATAAAACATAAAATATAAAAATAAGTCCTCTTCAACACAAGACAGGAAATGTTCATAAAATAAGTATTAACATGAATATTTCTGTTTTGGCAAGGAGACAATAATAGTGGGGCAGATAGGGGAAATATTTGGGGGAATTGTGCCTTTGCTGATACAAGCATGGCATTTGCCACAGTAAGACTAAGAGTATGTCGTAGGAACGATATTTGGCTATAGGGCCATCGCAGATTTGTCCTACATGTATTGGGTAGAATAACAAGCAATTTTCTATTTTTTTTTCAAAATGGCTGCCATTGCTTGTTATTCTTGTATATTTTTTTCTCAAAGGACACATCTGCGATGGCCCAACAGCCAAATGTCTCTCTCACTTTGTGCCAAATTCCATGCTTGTATCATCAAAGGCACAATCCCGTCACCTATCTGCCGTGCTAACACATGTACTACTAAATGTGAAGTGTGAGCATCCAATTCACGGTGTTTCTGTGCATAGTATATCCAGTATATCGCAAGCCATATCCCGGTGGGCTGACATGTACAATCCCATCTATACATAAATGAACACGTTGTATGGCAGGCTACATGGCTCAATATAAACCCAAGGCCGTTCTCCAATTACCATAATGGATTGTAATAAAGGCACTCTGACTCGTGTGACAATTTGCATACATTCTGTAATATGCGTTCTCCAAACCAAGCCTGAGTAATACTTCTCTTGTGAATAATTCTTTAAATATTGTAAAATGTAGAAACGCTGTACGTTTGATGTCCATCTGTGACCATTCACATTATTTGCTTTTAAAAACAAAAAATAAATGCAAATATTTTTCTATTCTATCTAAGTAGAGTTACTAACTTACTAAAAAGCTCAATGAGTTGCAAATAAAGTATATATACATTGTATAGCAAGCAGTATTTATAAGAGCACTTGAAAATGAAGGATAAGTGAATATTTAAAATATTACAACTAATTAAAACTACAAAAACGAATTCTAATATTTTCCTCTTACTTCAAAATACAACATAAATTTGAAATACTTCAGCACTGAAATACTTATAATGGCGAAATACTTGAATTTCCGGCAAGAAATGCTCTCAATCTAGTGTTGTAATGAGAGGTAGAAGTCCTGTATTAAGGTTTTATTTTAATAAACGTTCTCTTCAGCCAATTAAGCATACATATATTTTAATTAGTCATCGCCTAATACTCGATTGGCTTTTGTAGTTATACGGTTAGGTTCTGTGGAGTATGATTGTGACGTTATTTGGTTCCTTTTATTTCTGCTGTGCTTACATTTTACTCATTAATTGCCTCTTCAAGTTTGAATTTTCTTTAGTATTGAGAGAAGGGCTTTGCTTAAAATGTGACTCACATGACATGACCTGAGGAAGGTCATGTGAAACAACTGCTCCCATCCGAGTTAACATTTATTCTCTCTCGTCGCACTTTCTGTCTCACTTGCCAGCATTTTGGATCACCAAAGGTATAGGATACAGGTCACTTATCCCTATATAGTCTAACCTTTGTGCATACGGTATGAAAAATACTTGGTTTTAACAGGCATCTAGAAATGTTTCTGTGCACATTATCTTCATTTTTTGGCCTGAGCATTGTTTCACTTCTTTCTCTTCGTGAATGTAGTTTCCATGAAACTTCCACGATGCAGATGTTTAATTAACATCCCTTTGTGTGGATTGTTTCACATCTTTGTCTAAACTTTGTGAATCCCCATTACCAGAACAAAATGGATCAGCGCTATCACTTGTGTTATATTCCAGAATTTGTGTAACATTTTAAAACTGACATGGAAAGGCTAAAAATACCTTAAGGCTGCCTATATATATAGCTAGTCCTGAGATCTGTATAAATTGAGGAATCAGAAACAGTAAGAATAATACATGCAAATCTACAGCAAAGACTAGATAAAGACTGCATAATATGCCCATCGATCGCGATGTAACCTCAAAATCTGTGTGAGAAAACCTAAAACTCACTTTTTTTGCTACTTTCCTTAAAGGTCTAAATTTCATGAAGCTGCAATACTGAGCAGCAAGCATGGCTGCATGAGCAAAATGGCATGTAAATTTGCATCTCCTTCAAACAAAATATGTTAATAGTCTGACAATATTATTGCATCATAGTAGATCATGAAATTGGCGACTGGTGATGCATGTCTTGCACCCCTACATATATCAGGACCTGATTTCATGGCTCTGCTTGTCACAGAATTCTGTGCTCCAGATTACAACTCTGAGCTTACAGTACTAGCAGAGCAAAACTGCACTATACCTGTCGGCTTACAATTATTACTTACAGGATATTCATGCATGTATAAAACATTTCTTTCTTACTGGTGAAATATGCTAACAGTAAGCACAACATTTTCTGCTGTAGTGCCGGCTAGCTGCCCCAGATACTGCCCCATACGCTGCCCCACATGCTGCCCCACATGCCGCCCCACATGCTGCCCAAGATGCTGCCCTGTATGCTCAGTCCTGCCCCGGATGCTGCCCTGTATGCTCAGTGCTGCCCCGGATGCTGCCCTAGATGCTCAGTGCTGCCCCAGATGCTGCCCCAGATGCTACCCCAGATGCTGCCCAAGATGCTGCCCTATATGCTGCCCCAGATGCTGCCCGAGATGCTGCCCGAGATGCTGCCCAAGATGCTGCCCGAGATGCTGCCCAAGATACTGCCCCAGATACTGCCCCAGATGCTGCCCCAGATGCTGCCCCAGATGCTACCCCAGATGCTACCCCAGATGCTACCCCAGCTGCGACGTATCTTTTCTGTGATTACTGGCTCTCTGATGCGGCCTTCTTAAAGTACCTCCGGCTTGAAACCTCTCCCTTGGTCTGGGTCAGGACCAACTGGCCCCCACCCACCTCCCTAGTGAAGGTGATATCCCTCCCCAGCACCCGGATGACCAGTTTGGTTCCGTCCCACTCTGCCATCATGGGATGCTCCCCGGCCTCCCACGGTATGGTACTGAGAAACTCCTCCCCGACAACAAACCGCATCTCCTGAGTCCGGTACGACGTCTTGGTGGTGATGACGAAGACACCGCCTTGCTCCTGGGTGATGGAGACAGTGGGTTTGACAGAGCAAGCAGCTTTCCTCCAAGCCCAGGATACCCCACATTCTTTGAGGAAGGCATCAAAGTTTTCCTCTGTGCTTTCCAGCTTCCATTGCCCACAGAATTCGACAGCCATTAGGATCGTGAGAAGTTATAATGGCCGACACTGACAGTCCGTCAACTGTACGCTAACACGTACACACACATTCACTATGGTTCAGTCTACTGTACACAATTCAGCATTGCTGGAAATGCTTACTTTGTTATGAACTGCATCTGTGCACACCACACGTACTGAATACTACAGCCACTGATATCGTAGAATATGGTTCGTACACTGAACTAAAACAGTAAATGTGATGATCATACTATACCGTTCAACATGTCGGGTTTTTGTTCCAAAAATGGTTCGTGCATGTGTGAGACTGAACCAGTGCTTCCCGTGAGGTAGCACAATGCAGATGTCCATGTGTACATGTACAGACAGTACATGTATAGTGAAAGTGCAGCAGCTTCCGGGTTCCCTATGCTGCAATACTGCATGGGTATGCACTGTGTATAGCACGGGGACGTAATCGGTACGGCCCGTACCGCGGCGCGTACAAGAACCTCCGTCGACGCGGATCGGAGTGACCGTGCAGAATGCACCGTTCGCGTGCGCGTGCCACGCACGAATGACAAAACATCAAGTACATGTACAATCATACACGTTTACCTTGCAATATTGTACCGAGACAGGGTTTTTAAGGGGAGGGAGACAGCAACAAGCTGGGAAAAACAATTCCGTGCTGTTGCAGAGCACTTATTTTCTTGGTTATGACTTCTTATGTTCGTAGGCCCTTAATGATGTTTGCTAGTGCAGTAGTGGAGGAAGGAATATTCCTTGCTGAGTTCCTCCATGTTTACAGTAGGCCTACATTTATCATCAGGTCTACGATGGGGAGGGGAGGGGATGCTGGGCGGTCTAACACCATTTGGACCACCAAAAAAATCACGCAGAAAAAGGTTGTCGGCCACTTCCGCTTCGCCCTCGACCGCTTCGCACTCAACCAGTTTACCCATAAGTGCCCGCCCCCCCCCCCTTTGCCACTTCGCCCAAGCTCCACTTGTACTTCGCCCCTAATGCGCCCGGCCCGTTCGCCGCGCCCATTTCGCAGCCGGCCACTCGCCACTTTTCCCATGCCCGGACATTCTAGAAACTAAGTTTTACATTCCCGTATCTTGTTAACATCTGGCTGACCATTTTAGCAGAAATAAAATACTAATTGTTGTATTTCAAAAGTTTTTGAAATGTGTCCACAAGAATATTGCGATCATCATGTTGTCCACGTGTACTCTGTGAATTGCATCCTATACTTTGCCTCTAACTTCAAAATACGAAGATGTGAAAAGTAATATTTCAAAACGCTCAGGGTTTTTTTTCCAAAACGTAGGCCTAGATGTCAATCCACCGTACCCATTATATTGATCTTTCACACGAAGTAGGCCCTACGTGGTCCTAGCCTGTATAAGGTGGGTGGGACCGGTCGGGTTTTAGACCCCTTTTACCAGTTCTGATACTTTCTCTCGCGTGGACAACTTATTAGACAAAGACCTATACGGGTATAATTACCAAGGAAAAGTCCCGATATGCTCGTTTCACACTAGATGTAAACTGAACAATTAACCTACATATCTCTCGAAGACGTTCTTCTCGAAAGTATCCTTCCTCGTCAAAAGTGTTATTCAGGCCACCTCAATACCACTTGACTTGGTTTCGAGTTTGGACAACAAGACGAATCTTGTTCGTCATAACGCTGGACATACTTTGAAAACGTCTGAAGGAATGTACATATAGCAGCCTATGAATGGGGAAGAAAACAAGGTCCACCCACGGTTATCCGCGTGGTTGAGTTCACAGACAGTTTAAGTGTAGGAAGTATACATGAAGTAGGAAAAGGCGCATCCGCAGCCCGTCTTAGGTGTCGGGAAAACACTGTTCTCGCGTTCTCAAAATGAGGTAAATCTCTCTTCCCAACTTTGTTGAATCAGAGAAACGCCGAGGGTTGAAGTCGTCTGGTCGCAAGTGCGTAACACGACGCTAGATTCTCGCTGTCTCAAGTGCTACAAAAGGACTGAGGTGAAAGAAACGTGGGCGGTCCTTTGGATACAGAGAAGCAAGTGTGTGGGATGTTTTCATGGAGTACTCTGTGGCGCTGGCCTTATGGCCTTTTGCTTCGCGGGTTGATTTCTGCAGGTTGTTGGTTCGATTCCAGCCTGTGGGGTTTCCGTGCGTGTGTCCTCATGCATGGTAAGAAACTTTATCACAACATGAATTTCTTGTCATGCGCCGCACCTGTGTACTATGTATATTCCTGTGATGGCGGAGTTAGTTGTCGCGTCTAAATTTTGGTGTTTGCTACTGAAAAAGAGGGGCCTCGTAGCCGAGCGGTTAGAGCGTGGAGCTACGGAGTGGAAGGTTGGCGGTTCGAATCACATTCTGACCAAAAACTGGAAAACTCTCTCTGACGACCCAACAGTAAAATGGGTACCTGATTCGTTCAGGGAAGGTAAGACGGCGAGAGGAGAGGACTGGGCGCCGCCACTCATATGCCGCGCTTAAGACACAGTGGACCTCTAACATCCCACTGCCCCTACGGCCAGTGGTACTAGCTATGGGACCTTTACATTTACCTACTAAAAAAGACGGCATTGAGCTATAGGACCTACATGTATATATACTGCTCTAGGAGAACTGAGACGCGTAAACGGCTTCGTGTTGTCAAGCGCCATACTTGTTCTCCAGGGTACAGCTAGATCCACCATTATCAATAAATCGACATAAAATGAATTTCCTGAAGTACAAATCGATCCGGAGTGTAATGTTGCACCAGGCAAAAAAAAATTACATTTAAATCATGGCAAAGTTAAGTAATAAGCGTACACCACGTACTGAGTAGAGCCCAATGAAGATGAGCATCACTTTTCAAAAGACACGTTTGTTCAATGCGGCATCGGCATGGTTAATATATTTCACAAAAGGGAATATTCCCCATGATATTTTCTCGGGCGTCGCCAGAATTTGAATGGGTTAGGGACCAACAAATTTGCCACCAGGCCATCCATACTGGAAGGTTGCCAGGATGAGGGAGGGGCCTGGAGGGGGGGGGGGAGCATCAGGGACTCTATCTGACAATGGGGGAAAGGTCCTCCCCCCCCCCCCGCCACTTGGCTACCTCGCTGGACAAAGCCTAATAATATCCTCCTCTTTGCCCCCCCCCCCCCCCCGTCGCCCCAACTGGAAAGTTGTCAGTCATTTATTATAAGTGACCACGGTTATTACGGGTTTAACAGAAATTGCCCCACCCCACTGTAACATCCACCCTTTAGACCGTTAGACCCCTTGATTAAATAAAAATTATCACCCGGCGGTATCAAATCTTCCATAAATATAGACGAGGCATATTCTACGATAGGACTGTCTAATTTGTCTGGCTCCCTCACTGTGAAGGGACAATTCGCGGGTACCCAGCACCTCGGAGAGGGCGTCGGGAACGAGCAATCTCTTTTCTTTGCTGTTTTCTTATTACCGGGATTATCAAACTATAGGCCATTGTAATCATTGTCAGAATCAACATCAAAGGAAATCCTGGTATTTTCCGCTGGCGTTTCCTGGAGGTAGGACCTATTTGATTTAATAGTGGGCGTTGCTGATGACCCGTTTGTTCATACCCGGCAAATCCGGCGCCGTAAATTAGGCTCAATGAAGTTAATCTCGGGGTTCAATTTATAATTATTACGGAAGCAATACATTTCTACGAAAGCCCATTAGCGCCACTGCAAGAATATATGTTGCAGATTATGTAATTCGTTATAACGGATTATTAATTCGTTATAACGGATTATTAATTCGTTATTACGGATTATTTAATTCGTTATTACGGATTATTAATTCGTTATTACGGATTATTCATTCGTTATTACGGATTATTAATTCGTTATTACGGATTATTTAATTCGTTATTACGGATTATTAATTCGTTATTACGGATTATTTAATTCGTTATTACGGATTATTAATTCGTTATAACGGATTATTAATTCGTTATTACGGATTATTTAATTCGTTATTACGGATTATTAATTCGTTATTACGGATTATTCATTCGTTATTACGGATTATTAATTCGTTATTACGAATTAAGTCTGATGTTCTCACACGTGGAGAGCACGTGTCCAGGGGCCTATGTATATAGCGCCGCTAGGCGGCGCTATCTTTGCATACGTTTGCTTTACACCAGCACCACTCCTGTGCGAATTAGTAACGAATTAGTAATCCGTAATAACAAATTAATAATCCGTAATAACGAATTAAATAATCCGTTATAACGAATTAGTAATCCGTAATAACGAATTAAATAATCCGTAATAACGAATTAATAATCCATAATAACGAATTAAATAATCCGCAACTTATATACTTGCAGTGGCGCTAATGGGCTTTCGTACATTTCGGCTTTGCATTAAAAGATTTAATTAGGTCTTCAATTTCAGAGGCCCAGGAACATATTCGTCGGACGGATGATGCATCATGATGAAGCCTGAAATTAAACTACAGACGAATCAGAGGTTTTAGAAATGGTCTTCGAGAGTCACTGTATGTGAGGACGACCTGAGGACGACCTGATTGGCTAGATAGGTTTCAAAGGTCTAGGGTGTCGATGTTTTATGACACTTTCTGTCCAAATGGTAGCTGGAAATTCAAATTAAGAATGCGAGTCAAGAAGGGGGTAACACTTTTGTTAAGCTATATAAAGCCTTTCTCCATTCTAGCGTTTTTTCCTCTTTACATGTACCAGTAAGAAGGAGACTGCAGGCAATAATTGTCTTCATGTGTGCCCCAGGACTTTTCTCAAGACTGAACACTTTCATGATGGCAGTCATCGCCTGTCTACTTGTAGACTGTAGAATCGGGAGGGTACCCCCCCCCCCCCCCCCCACACACACACCCACACACACACACACACACAAATCAAACATGTCTCAATGAAGACTGGCGAATGTCGTATAGAATCACTGAAAGATAATTTTGGAAATGAGTGTTGTAATGAATCCGTCATTAGCTCAACAAAAGTATACTGGTAATCTTGTATACCGCCCTCTATTGACGGGCCAGTTTACTAGGTGAAAATTCATCTCAGCAATCTTAGAAATGTACACACATGGTCTCCAAGTGTCAGTTATTGAAGTGCATTACTAACTTTCGATCGTTACATGATGTCAGACTCTAGTGGGACATAATTGTTCTGTTCCTCAATTAACCCTCTAACCCTATAGCTTAATGAGATAATGGCTGAATAGCGCACATTGAGCGCACCATGAACGCACCAAGACATTGCAAACTATCCAAGGTCTGTCCGGGCAAAAGTTCTGTCGCAACTGCTCTACTAACCTTTGTGAACTTTGCCTTTTAGTATTAATCATCGTGGTCTATGCTGTTTCTGATATTTTGTTAAATGTGAGATTATGCATCCTGTTTGTTTATGCGATAACTAACATATTTTGGGATCAATTACAATGTTTGACAAAATAGTGAATAAGTTACTAGTTTTCTTGGTCAAATCTGAAGAGAAAACCAAGTAAATTCTTGTTGAAACACGTACATATTATTGGACGTTAAAAACCCCAAAATCTTCTTGCAAAAGCAGCCCTAACTTCTAAGTCATTAATGACGGGATAGGCCTTGGAACGTATTTTTTCTTGTGTCTCAAACCGGTAACAAAAAGCAGCAGGCCTAGGTAATAAGTTGAATTGATGATTTTTTTTTTTTTTTAAGCATAAAATGTTCACAAAAAGCAATTGTGTTTTTGCATGCAGTCATTCTATTCCAAGTTCGTGTTGCATGTATTCGACCAGTGGCGGTTCTACGGGGGGGGGGGGGGAGCTTTAGTCCCCCCCCCCCCAAAAAAAAAATTGTCTAGCCCCCCCAAAAATTTCCATTAACAAATATAAAATTGTACTAGCAAAATGTAAGGATGTGACGTACATGCGAACGGGTCTCCCCCTAAATAAATAGTCGTGAGAAGGGTGCATTTTGTACACTTTGTAATAGTTAATATAAATATAGTGTGCATGATTGTAGGATTTTATCAGCGCTCCCCATTGAAAAATATGGCACGCCCCCCCCCCCCCCCCCTCCCACCTATTGATTTTCGGAGGCGTAAGTGTCCGGGAAAAAATAACCGGTCTACATTTCAGCACGCGCGCCTCCTTGAAAAAAAATTCTGGATCCAGCCTGCTAGCCCCCCCCCCCCCAAAAAAAATATTGGCTCTAAACCGCGCCTGTATTCGACATGACGTTTGGACACAAGAAGTGCGCCCTCTTTTTTTTTTTTTTACCATTGTTAGATATGCTAACACTTTCCACCACAACCCCCTACAAATTGGACTACAGTTACGTCACTCATTAAAGTAAAATAAAAAATGTAGGCCTATATGCGTTATTTCAGAACAAAATAAAAAGAAGAAAATACTTATTGCGTCAAGGGGGGGGGGACAATGGGTCAAACGCTTCGTAGACCGTTGACGGTGAAAAATACATCCGCGGATGGAGTTGCGTAGAGGAAAGGTGATGATTTTTAAAATTCTATCAACCAGACTATAATGATAGAAATTAATATGCTGAAAACCACACATATCCAGTGGTTAAAATTCTGTATAGGGCCAGGGTGCAGACCTGCAAATGGACTCCCATAGTCTTAATAATAATAATAATAAAAAAACGGAGTCTTATATAGCGCACGTATCTACCAACAATTAGGTACACAAGGCGCTGGATAAAATGTTTGTTATTAAAGAAAGGTAAATGAAGCTTATGAGTTTAATTATGAGACCCATTATGTAGCACCTTATAATGGTTTTCAAGGTGCTGCGGCGCATATTGCAGCCACTTCCAGAAACACCGGGGCAAACCCGTTCTCTTAGCGATAAGTGTTGCTGGGTTCTTTAACGTGCATTACACTACACACGGACCTAAAACTTTACGTCTCGTCCGAAGGACGAAGCAACAATGGTTAGGTGCCTTGCTTAAGAGCACAAGCACCATTTTCCCACGGTCAGGATTCGAACCCATGTACCACGGCACACTGCGAGTCGAACACCGTAACCATTGGACCACAGTACCCCACTTCAGTGATAATTACGCGTATATTTCCAAAAATTATTTTAAATACTTACAACTCTCCAATGTGCTTGACACACCCATCAAATGAAAGCTTATTTCATAATCTTTCATTTTCTGTTCAAGTTTTGTTCCGTTATTGGATAACCTTTGGGAGAAAATTCCATCCAAAGATGATCACCCCGAAAAGTAGTCCTGTGGCCCATCGCCATTTTGAAAAATGATGCCTGCGCTCCATTGCAAAAATAGAGCACTTTTAGGGCGCAAATTCATGAGAATATTTTACAGAAATACGAGCTCACACTCCTGTGCACGGCTTCTTCCTAGGCTTTTTTTACAAACCTGCAATTTCATGGCACACAAAATGCTCTAATAGCAAAGCATTTGAGGGTGCACAAATTGTGAGTTGGCCCTCGCAGGCAATTCTGGACCCATTTACAGGTCTGCGAACTTCCTCTCGATCTCGACTCGAGTCACAAAAATCAGTGACTCGTTACAACTCTGGAGTTAACCAGTTTAATTAGACGTGGGCGTTCATAACAATCACACCTCTAGCAAACTGCCAAATTTTCAGATAGCATAGCCGACCAAATTTTACCGGAGGACAGCCATACCATCGAATGCATGATGCACCAACCTGATGCCCACGTGTCGTTCACGTGCCTTTATCATAAATTCTATCGTCTAAGTTCAGGAACCAAAGATGACTCATCCACATCAAAGTACATGTTAATCACTGATTGAAGTGCAAAACAAAAAAGTTGAATTGCAGGGAGCAGATTAGTGAATTGATTGCCATGTAACAAATAGCTTCACTTTAAACCAAAAAAATCAGGAAAATTCAATATGACTCTGATGTATTCAAGACATATATATATTATGATTGCATTATCGTCGCAGGCAAGAAGTCTTACGTAGTGCATTTTATACGAACAGTTTGGGTCATAATTTCTTAATTCTGTCAGTGTCTGTACTGTATGAAAAGGGATACCTCAATAATCACCTCGAAAGTTTATTAAGAGGAGGCCAAAATAAAGACTCAACGTTTAAAGTGCTTCGTTTCTTTGTTTAATGTATTTCCAGAAGGGTAGGGGCACGAAATGAAAATACTTCGCCGAAGCGAGATAGTAACTCTCTCCGGCGAGACTACGTCTTCGCAGTAGTGGTTTTAACATACCGCAGTGAGCCACTTTTGACCAGATCAAGTCGCCATGTCGCCCTTCTTGCATATTCTTAGATGGTTGCGTCGTGAATCCCCCATGTGCCAATCTGCCAATTAGTGTGTTACCATGACATGTGTGAATTCACCACACACACAGACAGCTTTTCTTTTATTGATAACATCGTTTGTTGTAAGGTAATTAAATTTAATATTCAACTAATCCGAGGAAAAAAATCTCCAGATCGGAAGCCTGGTACATGGGAGATCACACGATTCCTCATTTTTCCTCCCCACAGTTTGCTGTACACACAATTCACCTGATGACCTTACCATCAGGTTACTGCACTCTATCTAACTAGTAGATGAAATATTTTTGTTTTTCAATGAATGACGTCATCGGAGATTTACTCATTGATATCGGAGCAGGATCGTCCGACGTGCCCCACCCGCTCGTTGTCCCTGGCGACGCATTTCGACCAATCGCGTCTCCTCTAACAAAAGCCGCTCGTCCTAGCCGTTGTCAAGGGAACCGGCTATGCGAAATGCTTAACTTGTCTCTCTGGAAAACCCAAACAGACAAATATCTATAAAAGACGGGAGGTTTTTGAGGTGAGAAATAAACTTTCCAATTTCACTTGTCCGAAAAAGTCGTCTGTCATCGCATACAGTGCCCTCGGGAACAGGTGAGATTTTTGGCGTTTTCTCCTAATAATTTTGTAGGGAGCCTCTATCGGTTCTTATTCTTAATCGAAAAATAATTCTCTTCGTGTACGAAACCGAATTCGATGCAGTTCTCCATGTGGATTTCTTTAATAATTATCAATTACGTGATGCAGTTTCTTTAAATCATTATCAATTAAAGAATTACATTCTGAAAATGCGTTACATTATAGCTGGGAGGGAAATAAAAAACGGTTGACAGCAAGGTTGCTTTGCTTTGAATTCTTAACGTAAAGTGCACAAAAGGTGAATCATTTATTACATTAGACATTGATGTGTCAAATCGATGAAATCAACCTCAGGATGTAAGCAATCACTTGGTCCGTCGGTCAATCGGTAAACAATCAGTCGGTCTTTTAGTAATACAGTTTGGCCGGTCGGCCGGTCCGTCGGTCCGTCGTTTTGGCGGTTGGTCAGATGGTCGGTCAGTCAGTTAATTGGCAAAGTCAAGTCTCGTCAGTTAATGTTCACTTATCACTTAGTAGTACGTGAACTTCTTAGTATCAAACACTGACTATAATAGTCTATTCACAGACTCTTGTGTCTGTCTTTACCTAATAGTAATGAGCATGATCGATTGATCGGAAGATGAATTCCATATTTTTTTTTTATCATGGTCATCGATTTGCAATATTTTCAAACTATTGTAATCGTAATGCTTTGGCGTTTTTAACGCAACCTTTTTATCACCCTTCACCAAATTAGCCTATAGTCAGGAACAAAAGATATCCCCCATATAGGACGTTGCACACTTTGTAGCTCCTGTCATGTACCCGGCTGTCAGGCATTCCCGTAGAACTTCGCCGATTTTTGAGGTCATCTAATCCGCTTTATCGGTCGGTCTTTCAGTTAGCCAGATGGTCGGGCAGTACGTTGATCAGGTATAGTCGGTCGGGCGGTCGTCAGTTGGTGACCGGTCAGTCTTTAAAGTTACTCGGTAGCCAGCAAGTCGGACGGTCGGTTAATTGATTGCATCATGCTTGCTGGTTTGTTGGTTGGCTTCCCTTCTCTTTTACACCCCATTTACTCAGACTAGTCAACTATGATCTGTCAGGTGGGAAAGTGAGAAACTCTCATAATAACAAGCCTTACCAGTTAGATCTTATAATTTGAGCTGAAAGCTTTTTAAAATATTACTTGGACAATGCACTTTAACTAAAACAATACACCTGGTAAGCAGCCTAAGTTACTACTTTTTATCTGTAATGAACCATTTTTTTCAACAGAATCTTAGTCAACATGCCAGCCAATTTTAGCGGAACCTGGACCAGCAGCAAGTCAGAGGGCTGGCCGGCCCTCCTTGACAAGCTGGGGGTACCTAAGGAGAAGTTCCCGACCGATCTGAAGGTGACCCACGCTATCACGCAGAGCGGCAACACCATCAACATGAAGACCACCAACAACAAGAACAGCGACGTTAAGAGCGTCACCATCAACGTGGGCAGCAACCATAAGGAGCACATCGTGGGCCACGAGATCGAGCAGACTACGGCGTGGCAGGGCGACAAGTTGGTCATGCGTGCCGTCAGCGGCTCGGGGGGAGTCACCTACGAGATCACCAGCGGTCAGCTGATTGTCACCATTGAACACCAGGGCGTGGTGGCCAAGTCTTACTTTACCAAGTAGACATTGTGTCACTCGAGACGACAACCATGCTCTTTCCTAACGTACATCGTATGATGTATTACAAAAGAAGGAATGGCTAACCGCTTAGAGTTTTGATTTGGTTTATCTAGTATAACACTGTTAGCTTGACTGTGCATTGTTTACCATTTAGCACTACTGTCATTCACATTCACTTCGTATAGTTTTACACGTTAACTTTGATTTTCTGATATACTAGCGCTGTCTTTGAGCACACTGCAAAACCTTGTTTATAATCACCTTTCGATGTTTACACTGAACCACTTCGTCAAATAAAGAATTAAGAAACTGTTGTGGCAATTTTTGAAGTGTACGCAAATGAACTCAAAACACGACAAGTTCTAAGAAGTACCAAATATTGCCAATTACAGGGTTTCGCCTGATGATCTAGCTACACTTTTGGTTTCATCGTTGTTGTTTGACTTTAGGCCCAGCCCAGGTCCCTGATTTAATGCCTCACTGCTCTTAATATTTCCGCCTTAAAGCAAAAGCCGTTCATACTCGGGCGATAAGGACGGACACCAACGCGAATTTGTAATGTCACTCTCGGCAGGTAATATACTCGTGGAACACATTTCGATTTTGCCGGGAAAATTTCGTTTTGAAGAATTGGAACCGGTCGTTCTTTACATCAAACACAATTCACTGCTTCTGCGATCGCTTACACTACTCTTATAAGTTGCTGACAAAACCAGCTAGTGTCATGCCCTCTTCTGTGTGAAGATCTGTGACACATAAAATGACCACCTACTGACGAGCATCGATGCGATCTACTTTGACTAGACCTTGTTCTAATTCTGTATAAAAATGTTCAGACTTTTTTTAGTATTTGATAATCCCTTAGGCTAAGCAAGAACAATTCCCAACTTAAGATGACATACAGTGGCGGATCTAGGAGGAGGTTAAGGGGGTTGCACCCCCCCCCCCCTTCAGCCGCTGACTAATGTTATGATACTAGTAAAATGGGGCAAAAATAAATAAATGGAATCATATGGTAAAGATGATAAATGTATTCTCAAATAATGCAGGAAAAAGCATCGTAGATTTAAACAATATTCGGGGTGGATGCCCCCGACCCCCCCCCCCCCCCCAGCTGAACGTGCCGAACTTCATATCAACCCCCCGTTTCCTGAAAGGTAGATCCGCCCCTGATTTACTAGTTACTTTTTATTTCCCCCACCATTATAGATAACTAGATGTGAATGAGTGTCCCAGAGTTATTTTTCTGGCACCAATATTATGCATTATATTGAAGACGCCATAGTGTCATCCAGTGTCATACATTTACTAACAATGATGTCATGTTCCAAAATCTTCATAGCAAACGAGGACACTTTTCCCCCATAAGTTTCACGAGCCCGTTTGCATTGAATAATAAAGAAAGTAGTAGACTGTCTGTAAACAAAACATTTCTGTCTTTATTATGTGATTGTGCCGTGTACTTGTTTCTGTAAAAAAAAAAAAAAATGGGTGAGTCTTCATTTTGTGTGTGCAATAGCCAAACAAGTTCCGCGGTTCAATTCCAAACCTGAAAGTATTTTCATATTTTAAAGTACTGTTGCTCCTCATCATGAATCGCTTCTCTCTTTGCTCCGATCCTCAGATTTGCCCGTCTGCATTTGCAATACGTTAAATACTTGGTACTTGGTTTGTTCTTCTCCTAAGGACTTCCACAAGGAAGTATAACTAGGAGGCCAGAAACACCGGGGCAAACCCCTTCTCTTAGCGATAAGTGTTACTGTGGTCTTTTACGTGCGTTACGCCTTATACAACACACGGGACCTCCGGCTTACCGTCCCAGTGCCAGTCGTGCTTAGCGTAGAGAAAGCCCTGGTGTATGTCCAGAATTGCCCCAAAGACAATCCAAAATTTGACAATCTTTTTTGGAGAATAGAGTGGGAGATGGAAGATGTGGGTTGGGTTTAGCCTGCGGGATAAGAACCTCCGGAGTCAAAGGTAGTGATTTAGGATAGAATTGATGACTGTATGATTAAGTAAATAAATAGGAGTAGTCTTATTAACTTACAGTGAAACTCACGCAATGAAGAGGAGATAAGCAGCCTGACCTTCTTCAAGGGGTGGGACTACAACCACAGCGCCTTAGGAATCCAAAACATGACGCTAAACCGCATATATAAGTATCTTAATTGGAATCTGCATAAGGATTCGTCCTTAATGTCGGTCCATTTGAGATGTCGATTTTTAGTTTTAATTTCGATATTTAACCAATGTAAATATAGCATTTTGCATGAAAAAGTATACCGGCCTCAAAAAATCAGGAATCAGTGTAGATCATAAAAATATGATAAGATAATTGTGAATAAAATTTGACAAGACATGAGTTCCTTTCTGATAAGAATTTTACATTTATAGGTCATATAAAGCTGTTGGCATAATGGGGAGACGAACATCATTTGGGGCGTGGCTAAAGGGGTAGAAAATAATGTTTCCCACATGAAAACGCACAAAACACTAAAAAGTTTCCTTGTATTAACAACAAATCAGAGGAAATGGATACAATCAAGGGCGTGGACTGGAAATGGATTTGGGTTGCTAAATATTAGATATATATTTTTTTTTAACAGACGCACTTGGGTTTTTCTTTCAACTTTCTCAGACTATTGGTTCCTCTAGATTTGGTTTGGCAATTAATTTTGGCCTCATATTCACTTTAAAGATTTTTAAAACTTAAATAAATAAATTGGCAAAATGTCGCCGGAGGGGGAAGTTTTCCCCGTTGCTCCCACCCTCCCCCTACGCTGGATACGCTATACTGCCTGATTCCTTCCTTTGTTTATGGGATTTTGTCTTCACTTAATCGTGTACTCTGTGATTTTAATTATGGTATAATTCCGTCATTTAAAAAAAAATAATGTCTCATCGTGACGTTGAAGGAGAAATCTAAAAATGCTCAAACCTTCAAATTGATCACCATTTAGATAGATTCTGGTTTGAATTCTATACAGAAACCAGTAAAAAATATTGTATATGCCCAGGATATCGTTAGTACAAAGTACAGGTGACTCGTGGCATCTGACCTTTGACCTTTATTAGACTCCTCCCGCTCTCTCACGGGGTCACCATAGTGCTTCGCTCTGCGGTGTCACTTGTAACATTTTAACCGATACCATCATCCTCATAAATTAGTTATTTTTTAACTCCAAAACGATGTCACACATGCCAAGCAGGCGTTTCCTCGCCGTCATCCACCACTACACTCACAGCCTGTTCACCGGTTGCTATGGGAACCTGCACAGTTAATGTTTTCCCTCATGTCCCTACGGTTCTTCATTAAATAATCTGTACAACAAGATAGTGTTAGGGACATTCAGTACTGAGTTGATGTAGATTGCTGATAACCTTCCCTTCTGTTCGGTCGATAAAGGTGAGATTTTAAAAATGAATTCCGTTTCAGTTTAAGAGTTAAAGATGGCGATATAATGTTGAACATATTTCCCTCTGCATTTAGATGCCATATGCTATGAGTTATCTCGAATCCTTGAATTAATCAGTCGACAAAAAGAGTTGCATGCATGTTTCAGGAATCACCCTTTATAAACCCTCAATGCATCCATGGTTGCACAGGTGAATCCGGTAATGAATAATATCTGCCACACTAGTATAGGTCAACATGATTATGGGGAAATTTTGAAAGACCATCATCAAAACATGTAAACAGTAGAATATATATAATTGGGAAAAAAACGTGTCTGTGTTTGAAGGGCTTGGCAAATGGGGATAAAGTCCACTGTTCGTACGCTCGGTGGCAGTTTCTGTTTATTATTGTTGGACAGGGCCAGGGATTTCGTGTGGTTATAACGATAAGCCTATATATGAACGTTCACAAGGTTGGCATAATTATGTTTATTTGCTGGTACCAAATTAGTTTGTCAGTGATTATTTAGATGTAAGAAATGTTGCTGGGTGCACCAATTTGAACCGACTCAGTGCAACTTTGCGAAAAAGGTTTTCGTTGGCAACATTCGCATAATGTCCAATTTCATTCATTTAATACGCAAACATAACGTTCATGATCAAAAATGTGGCCACATATTGCTTCACCAAGTTTACCACGCCCACTCGGGGTCAACATGCAAATCCAGGTCAAAGTAATATATTAATATATGCCCAGTCTGGTTCCCCAGACCAAAAGATTCTGACTATTTCTGATAAATCTTAGGTCCGGTAACCGCTGGTATCTATATAAAATATATAAATAAACTGCACGCGACAAAAACGGGAGGAATGCCTCCCAAGTTCAGAAAATGTCCGAAGTTTGCCGAAAGCATTTCGTCGATACTCTCGGAGAGCGCCCGGGTATTTCCAGGTGTAAAATAGGTTTCATTTACCTGCCATGCTTATTAAAAATTTAAAATATGAGTTGACAATTAATATTCATTGCTTGCATTGATGTGCATCAAGTATGCACTCGGATCGTACGAAGGGAGGGAAGCTCATAACTAATGCAATGCTAGAAAATTATAAATTATCACACCCAAAAGGCACGTATACACCAACTTTAGGTGATTTAAAAAATATAAACTTGATCGGAACCTTTAAAGCTATGTATGTATTAATGATGAAGCCGAACCGGAAACGAAGCCGAGCTTTGTAACAGCGTCGGGAAAATTGTCAGGTCAGGGAACCAGACAATATCAACCAGACAATACCCCCATGCAGACATTATCAACCAGACAATGCCCCTTCTCAAAAATACGTCAGTTGAGGGCGCACAGAAAATTGTGGATTTTTCCACTTCCGTATTTCAATTGCGAGTGCTCATTGCAAAGGTAGGCTCTCTCTAGCTCATATGATTGAGGGGATAATGAATAATTCGGATATTTAGGGGGTTTATTGTACAAAGACGATGAAGAAAACATTTTTTTCTGGTCGGATGATTGTATCAAGTCGCCTCCTGGCCGATTTGCCCCAGACTTTTGTTATTTATTTACCTCTTCATTATTATTTTTTTCGGGGGGGGGGTGGCTATGGGGGGGGGGGCCCTAGGCGTAACTGGTATATACTTTTACAGTCAATTTTGACAAATCCAAGATGCAAATTTGATGTATGTTTTTTCGAGGTTCAGACCCCCCCCCCCCAATTGATTTCTTTATGCATGCATGCTTTTGGGGGTTTTGGAGCAAGCAGCAGGCAAAACAAATCCCCCCTCCCAAGCTTGTGAAGATTTCTTTCAAAAGAAATCCCGCACAAGCTTGGGGGGCATGCTGCTGGCTCCTAAAACCTCAAAAAACTGCAGTCAAAAGTTTAGTTTTCAAAAAAAAAAAAAAATTGTCAAAATGTTGTCAGTTTATTTCGTCACAATTTTTTGTCGGCAAAACAATTTTTTCGCCCAGATTTGTGTTTGTAAATTCTTATTTTTGTCACAAATTCCTTTTCGTCTACGTTTTGTTTTCGTAAAAAAAATGTTTTTCATCCACACAATGCTTTTGGTAACAAATTCGTTCTTCGTTGAAAACAGACACCCCCCCCCCCGCTCACAACATGAGTACGCATGCTACGGTGATTTTGTGTATGTGCGGAAGCACAACATGCAAATAACTCGCTATCCGTTGCTCCAACAAAAAAGTCAAGACAACCACAAGTGTAGCAAACTAGAGGGATGCCGCGCTTCGCACGGCACCCGCTAGCTGGGTGTAGTCGTTGCACCCGCTAGCTGGGTGGAGTTGTAAAGTGAAAACTGGTTAGATTTAACATGGTATAACGTTGCTGTGAATCTTGCAAATGATGAGTGCGCTCTAAATTGAAGTGTTTTTGAGAAGGGGTTCATTATACAGTTAGGTTCCGAAATGCCTTTTTAGTAGTTATAAAGAAAACGATAGTGTAAAGAAAAGTTCGAAGAACAAAATATGTTGCTCATTTTTAAAATGTAAGTATTCTTCCATTACTGTCTGCTGGGATACGTGTTTCCTTTAAAGTCCTTCAAATTATAATTGATTCCCCTAAAACAGTCGAAAATATCCAACATGCCTGCCAACTTCAGCGGAACCTGGACGAGTACCAAGACCGAGGGCTGGCCCGAGCTGTTCGAAAAGATGGGGGTGCCGAAGGAGAGGTTCCCGGCTGATCTGAAGTTGACCCACGCTGTCACGCAGAGTGGCAACATTGTACACATGAAGACCACGAACAATGTCAACCATGACGTGAAAGTGGTCACAATTACCGTGGGGAGCACCCACCGAGAGCTGGTAGCCACCAGCGAGATCGAGCACACCACGGCGTGGGAGGGCGACAAGCTGGTCATGCGTGCCGTCAGCGGCTCGGGCGGAATCACCTACGAGATTACCGGCGGTCAGCTGATTATCACCGTTGAACACCAGGGCATGGTGGCCAAGTCTTACTTCAGCAAGTAGACATCGAGGCGAACTTCTGCAGTCGTCTTTCATTATTTTTTTCAAGCTCATTATTTGGACAGAAAATCTGGAGTCAGTGTCTTTTGAGTTGAACGGCAAAACTCTATTCTTACAAACTCCAAATTAGATTCTGGATGTTTCACGTCACTGTATATAATTATGCGCACTTCTTTTTTATTTATTTTTTGTTAAATTTTGCACTCTCAGTTGTAATGTGCAGAGAGATGTTGACATGTCCTTGGAAGTTGGGACGAAGACACCTATCGGTTCTGTCCAGTATTTACTTAGATGTAGGTAGATGTAGACGACCAGTTTACCATTTAAAAAAAAAGAAGCTAATAGCCAAAAATAATTGCTGTAAGTTCCGATACCAACATTAAGATCAATGTTACCTCTGGAAATGGTTTCATGGAAATTAACTTCCCACTAATGATATTATATGCTGCTTGTATTTTCACACAAAAGAGGGTGATTAATTATGGTTCTCTTAACTCAGTTCTTGTTTGCTACATTATGAGAAAACGTTTTCATTCTAACTGTAAACCCATTATTTTTTTCATCTGAAATCACGCTTTTTTATGTATGTGCAATTTTGTGCGTTAAAGGTATAGGCTAGATAAAGCTTAAAAAGGCAGAATTACATATGCAGATCACAGATTAAATTTGATGGTGAAACTAAAAGGTTTTGCGAAGTATGTGCAAGTTTCAGGGGCGGAGCCAGGAAGTTTTGCGGGGGTCAGGCCCGTCAGATTTGTTTATGTCCGATTGTTGCGGATAGGTGAACATATAGGTAATATACAGCACATTGTTACTGATGCAGGGGCGTAAATCCCGGGGGTGGGGGTATATATCCCCTCACTTTTTGACCAGGGGGATGGGCTATTGAATCATCCCCACCACTTTTTCGTGATGAGAAATAAATGTGGATTTCGAGGTATTTTTCGAACATCCCAACAACCAAAATGTATTCAATAGCACTGAAAAGTGGAGAAACAAAGTACAAAAGCTTTTAAAATGCGCCGTTTTGACGTAAGCGCGAGTATACATATTGATATACATCTATATCCCGAAGAGCGTCCCCAAGTGTAATGTGGTCCCCAAGTGTAATGTGACTGGGTCTCTTGCGTTGCCAGCTTTAGAAAATGTAAAAGCTTTAAATGCTCGCATCATAATCATACCCAAGGAACAGTTTTATCATCATCAGATTTGATGTTCAGTATAGAAGAAATGGACCCGATATTTTAGCCAGTGTCATGATCCGGGACTTGCAATCATGCATTTTGGAGCCCATAGGCCAAGCTGGATTGAAACCGGCTTTTGCAAAATGGACAGCTGGCCAGCAAACTTGTGATTGGCTGTCTTTCACAGCCTCTCTTCGCTGCATCCTGAACCCTGAACGCACTTTCCGAGCTTTTTATGAATTGATCTTCGGTTAATTTTTAGACAGGGACTCTGATGTCGAATGGATACCCATTAGAGACTGCGTACCAGTATCGAACAGAAACAGTGTTTCCTGGCAACGCGTAGAGAGATTAGCATGTCTACTCATCAGCGTTCAATTGCAATATTAACATTGCTGTTCAAAATGTAGCATTCCGTGTATAAGGTTTTGTCTCACGATGCTACCATGCAGTTCGTGTAAAACAAAGAAAGATCACCGTTTAGTGCAAGGTCTAGGCTATACAGTATTTTTCAGATCCAAGACCTGATTTGCAATATTTCCGTGTTTTGTTACTGTCAGTTTTTGTGTCTGAATAACATTTGTGAATATCCATTAAGTTTTAAATTTCAACTAACATTTTTGTTCTCAACAGTTTACCTCATGAAACCACGTGTGTTCATGTGTATGACTGATGAAGACATTGTCTGTTAATGAGGATTACGTTAAAAAAAACTTTTCAAATTTTAATTTTAAAACAGTAAATCCTGATGCTGTCAGTATATTATTTGATCTTTGGATAATGGATACACCGGCCATTATCCAAAAATCCATACTGACAACATCAGAATTTACTTTTTTAAACTAAACATTTGAGAAGAGTCCTGGCCCCCACCCCAATAAAAAAAATCCAGCGCCCAAAAAGGTATCCACAATAGAACTCATATCAAAATATGGAGTAAGTCATTAAGGCCGGTTTAAAGACATGTAGGAACAATGGCAGTCACTCGGACGGAAACGAACCAATGAGAACATCTTTGCTCTAAGTGGAGAACGGGCTTGTTACTAAATACCCTGTGAAATAATTTCACGTGGTTTTAAAGAGAACACGACCCTGCTGAATGATAGCAATATCCTGATTGCTGATTTAAGGATTTTACACAAGAGGGGGTAGTTCGAAATATTTAATTTGACTTGGAAGTTCTAGCAGCGAAATTCACTGACGAGACAAAACACTGATATGAAACTTCAACATGGTTTCTTCAAATGAAAAAAGGCACAAAAAGTAACTGATCGTAATTACTTAGCACCATTCAGAAACGAACACAAGTCATTTCACACTGCAGGTGCCAAAATTAAAGGGCCATGCAATGTACTCTTTTTTAATGTAATCCTTGAAAATGCACTTTGTGTCCCATTCTACTTTATTTTTAATTTTCCTCGACGTTTTCAAGGGTATTTTGGGTGGCTTTTGGGTTTTTTTTACGGTAATGCGAATTTACATATTTATGAGCAAAAGTGTGATGTCAATCTAGGCAGAAACCTCAATGTTACAGGTATTTCAACGCCAAAAGTTGCCAGAATTTATTATTAATTTTCTTTGGTGATTCTTTGTTGTGTCAGTACATGACAGTAAGCCAATGAGCAAACTGTTTTCAATGAATGAATTTTTGGGTTCGCAATTTAAAGGGTGCATGTAATGAAGTTTTTTTATGCAATCCATGAAAAAGCCGCTTTGTGTCCCATTTAACCTTATTTTCAATTTTCATTTTGCCATTTTAAAGGGCATTTTTATGCCTTTTTTTAATTCTCATGCGAATTTCCATATTCATGAGCAAAAGTATGATGTCGTTTCAGGCAGAAACCTCAATGTTACAGGTATTTCTACACCAAAATTTGCCAGAATTTCGGATATTTTGCAGTCGTATAAATGTTATTTGCTTTGGCGATTCGTTGTTGTGTCAGTAAATGACAGTAAGCCAGTGAGTAACCCGTTCTCACGAATGTTTTCAATGAGCACATTTTGGGGTTCACAATTTGAACAGAAAACCCCGAAACTGAACAGTGCATTCCTAAAATGACATCACAGCAACAGCGCCCCCAGTTGTCAGGAAAAGCATGAAAAAAATTAACATGTTTATAGAATTGCACTTTTCAATAAAATTAACCAAAAAAAGGATGGTAAATAGTTTTCATACATTTAAAAGGAGTATAAATTTGCACAAAATATGTTCCTGGGTTAAATTAACGTCATTAACCCTTTATGTTTTTATTATAAATTTCCACAGCTAACAGGGAAAATTTTAAAAATGTTTGAAACATACGAGAGACGATTAAAATACTTTCAACGACAAAACATTAAAAAACACAACTTAAAGAGAATCGTACTTGTGGTTGGAATCGACATAGGGCTGATCATAATTCCAATGGCATTTATACTCCAACCTATCCCTGATTTTGATGAAGCTTGGCACTAAATGGTCGTCGAATCACGCTGCGCGTTTACGCCCTCATGCATTTACGTCACAATTTGTCCCCATGGTTAATTTAAGCATGATTTAAGAAAGCTATATCACCAAACAGGCATGCACTTTCATTATTCTATTTCAGATACCCACTTATATTATGAAGAACTTGTTTTTGCGTGCAGTGCTGCTTATCTTAATACTTCGGTCATTTCTGAATAAGAAAAAAAGTGAAATTTTCCCTTGCCTTGCAAAGTAGAAAAAATAGAGTACTTATTATCAGAATGATAGAGTATTATGTCAAAATGATCACCGCAATCAAAATCCAATTGATAGCTGATTTCCGTCTTATATGTAAGGATAGGAAGACAAAATGGCAAGATATTTTTCGGGTTTTTTGGGGGTTTTTGACATTTGAATAATGACAAACATTTGTTGCTATACCATTTAGTTTGATTTTTTTTTACCAAAAAAAGAAAGTACGGGTTTCAGAAGTCTTTAAATTATTTCATAATGCAGCACAATATAGAATTTCCAAAAGAACCTCTACTTGGTTAATGAAGAATGTAAAATTGATGTTTTAAGCACAGGTATATGGCAAGGTAATTGACTAATTGTACAGGCATATGAAGTGCAGTGTGGCCTCATTCACTTTATCACTGAGAAATGGGCTCATTAAGAATGGGGGCCATAGTGTTAGCTGTGCGCTAGAATTAATTAACTTCTTTACTACGTCTTACATCAACTTATATAAGGTTTTATATTAATAGTATATACTTCAGTGTTATCTTGTGGATATTTTAATACAAAAATCTCCTAGGAAGCCATTTGTTACTTCTTGGGTTTTTTAAGCATTTTTTTGATTTTACAGATGCAGGAAAACTGTTTGAAAGTATTAACAGTTCCAAAAGTATCCATTAGTTTCTGAAAGCATCCCCCTTATCCAGAAAATGGCTCATTCAATCTTAAACATGTTTGGTATCATTTGATTCTCAATTCCCTGAGATCGGTTCCCTCGCATATTTCAATCTTCTCCTACCCGTTGTATTTGACAGATTGCCATGACTGTTTCCTACATGGGCGGCGATCCTTGGGGACGTGGGCCATGTCACCCACCAATAATTTGTCCCATTGCATGGATAAAAAAAAAGTCACCTTAATTTTATAATATTCGACATTGTTCTTTCAACACCAATTTTACATGCGAGCATACATGTTTGAACATTGTCCCCTAGAGTCATGGGGTGTCCATCCACCTCCCCCTTTTTCGATTTTTGTTTTCAAGGTGTTAATTCCGCCACCCACACCAGAAGTCCCCACTGCTGGTTTCCATTGAGAATGTTAACAATCCATCGGTGCATTCATTGCTTGGTGAAGTAGCTCTTGGCCACCACTCCCTCATGGTCATGAATCACCAGCATTTCTCCCTCCGGTGTCAACTCCCGTGTGAGTCCCCCCGTCCCCGTCACCCGGCTCAGCACCAGTCTTCCTTCCTCTCCCCAGGCCGTGGTGTGCTCGATGTCGTAGCCGGCCGCACGGTCCGTGAAACGTTCCCCCACCACGATGGTGGACTCCCTCATGGTGTCGTCTATGTTGTTGGTTGTCTTGATGTTGATGGTGTTGCCGGTCTGGGTGATGAGCTGGGTGATCTTGAGGCCTGAGGGTAGCTTCTCCTTTGGGATGTTCAGCTTGTCTAGGAGTTCCGGCCATCCTTCTGACCTACCGCTCCTCCACGTCCCGCTAAAATCGGTCGTCATTACGGGGGTTGGTCAGGGGTTCATCCGGTCCACCCAAAACCCTTCGAAAAATTGGATTTTAAAACACTCCAAGAATTAAGTTGTACCAAGCAATAAACAGGTACAATCCGTGCAGGGGCAGTAGGTGGCGCTTTTGGGGTCTGAGAGTGTGTGAAGGACAAGGTGCGTGCGCGCAGTGGTTCACGCGCGTTTGGCGCAGTCTGCATGCGCATTACAAATATTTCACCTTAAAGTGCACGGCTCCTGACTCAAGCTGAAATTGTCCTCATTTATATCTCTTTCCCATCTTTGAGTTGGTGCTTATGCACAGAGTCTACATTTCTACCTTCGAGACCAAGGAATCTATAACAAACAAGTTGCCCTAACGTTTGTTTTCTCAAGACGCAAAGTAAATACAACGTCAAAAGGGGACTCTTTTTCTGTGTTACCAATGTCTATATAAATTATCCATTGTATTTAGAGCCTATAGAGGGCGGTACATACAAAGGACCAAATATTGAGAACGTGTAATTTTGCCCCTACTTGGCAGGAAACTTTCACATTAAGTGGGAAACATAATTTCTGTAAATATAATTTCTGTCACCATTATAATCTGCCGGTCTACGCGGGACAGGCTTGAACACGTTAGGTGATGCATCATCGTGTTGCATAATTGTGGGCAATCACAAAAATCATAGCTGCCAATTTTGCACTCTCGCCAAATGTTCAAAAGGACGATGACGCACTTGTCTTTTTAAGCGAGATATAATTCTTTACGAAAGATTTTACAAACCGATTTTAAACCCATCAGTTTGATCCTACAATGACCTTTAAATTGTATGCTTTTCGACATCTTGAGATTACTGACATGACTTATTAGTTCTAAGTTCCTTAACGAGTTGTTGTTTTTTAATCCATAACACAACACAAATTGTCAACATACGCTGATCGGACTTGCATGAATTTGGAAGGCCACCACACGTGTGAGACTCAGACTCTTTAAAAATGAATAAATCTCGTTTATTACAGCACTTACCTTGATTTCCAGCTTGAAGAAACACCAATCTTGAAACAGTTTTTTTTTTTTGTGGTGAAGGTAACCAACCCGGAAGATTGCAAGAATGCAGTCCCTAATCACCGCTCCTGCCGTATCAGCAGAAAGGAGTGCTCCCATTAGCCGTCAGCGTAATAACAAGCCACGCGATTGGCGGATAACTATAGTCTGGTGCCCTTTGATACTTAGTTTTGGTTCACCCCCATAGTTTCGGCTTTATTTGTTCTGGGTCACGATAACACCGCTGATTACTTTGACCCCATGCAAGGATTATCGTGATGTGAACGTTATGGTTTACTCGACGTGTATCAGCTCTACTACCTGCACGGCAGGGCCCTACTGAACTATAACCTCTATCCCAGCTTGTCCTAGCAAAAAAATAAAATAATTCGAAATACATGTGACCTTTGACTCTGGAGTTCATTTATCATTTTCTATTTTAGCGAGAACAGTTCTGAGCATTCCAAAACCGGAATTATATAGTTTGATTCAGTAACGGTTATTAACACGACCACCCATGCATGATTTTTAAGGATTCAAGTTATTTTACATACTTTTGACAACAGTTAACTGAACAAGTTAAGGCACACCAGGTCTGCGGTGTGGAAATACATACATCATAATGTTCGTCCCTTTTCATTAACATAGTCGAACTCGTATATATACAGAAGGGAAAAACGTGTATAAAAATTGAATTATTTTAACAACTGTCCAGATCACATAAAATAACATCAAGACCGAAACTAAAAGGGGCATAGGCCTACTCAGTATAAATTTAGGGTCCAAAGTGTGACATTTTTCCTGTCCTTGTTATATCCGTATTTTGTAACTTGCTTTTCAAGTGTCATTAAGAATGACTTCAAACGAGTTCTTAGTTGTTCGGTAGCTAGTTTGCTATTCATAATCACTCTTGGGGGACGACTGTGTATTATAAAGGAGTGAATTATATAATCATATGATGTCAGATGTAACAGGTACAGGAAGAAAGGTGGAAGGCCCAATTCTTTTGGTATAAACCAAAATAGCAAACCACTGCAATGATAGAGTGTAGAAAATAAATTATTCTGGTCGTAATTTGCTGGGGGAAAACACACCGATACTAGGGTATTTTGTGTTTTAATCCGCAAACACAGATGATTGCACGTTTGCTTCACGGTGAACAGCCGTCATAGTAGAAGATAGCAACTTTCAGACACGGCTCAAGTTATATCTATCACCAAAGTTAAGCACTTCATGCATTGACTCCAAGGGCCCTTTACGTGTTGAGGATTTAAAAAGTTCCGTAAATGTCATATGATGGCTGAGCTGTGAGAGCTACGTACCGTACGCTCATCTAAGGGTCAAATCTGTAGTGCAACTGCGCATACCAGAGTCGAGATTTGACAAAATGTCAGGTTAAGGATGGGGTAAAATAATAATTTCCACAAACCAAATTGAAGAAACGTGTTCTGGCTCCAAAGAAGCGGACTGCTTTAGAGTATTACGCCTCAACTCATGTATGAATTAATTTGGTCCATCTTCCTTTTGGTTCAATAAAAACATTACAGGTTCGTGTGAAATTGTTTTATGATCCTCCTGTATATGGTTCTATCACGGTGTTGATAAGGTCATTATGGTTGCGGACCACTTTTGTGGCCCTTGCACTTGATGGTTTGTAGAAATAAATATCACATGCGTTTTAAGCTTGTATTTCTGAGAAATCCGGGATGAAAGTTGACCCAAAAGTCGCTCTAGTCTGCAATGGGGTGGAGGGATCATTTTCAAAATGGCGAAGGACTACAAGTGGTTATTTTTTTAGGACAAAATCACCCTAAATCGTCGATCAACCCAACATTAACTGTGAGAGGCTGTGGTGTGAATTAAAAGGCCTTTTATTTTTAAAGAGAGTTAATCAAGCTTTGATTTGAGGTGTGTCTTGAACACCTTGGAGAGTTGTGAGTATTCTATTTTTTTTTTAATGGTGGTACTTTATCGTTTGTGTCTATATGGAAATCTATACACTGGCCTGTGTATTGTCGATGTCAGGCGTTCGGTGAACTTTGGCCAGACATGGTCTAATCCTTTATTTGAATTGCCATGTCGGTGTGTTTGTCAAACACGAGATGTATCAATATAGTCGAGGTATCAATATTGCACTTTGAATGAAGGGTGACCAATTAAACAAAGTCTCCAAAAAGTAGTTGGTACCTAAAAAAAGGTATTGAAAATCTTTCTGAGTAGAGTGCACGTACATCATTTTTTTGTGATAGTTTTCAAGTCATGACTACCCTGCGCGCAACAATATAGCACTTAGGATTAGCCTAATCTTCTACATATATTATCTTTTACAAGTACGCGTATTATCGGTAAACAAGGCGTGTTCTTGCATTGTTTGAAAAAGCGATTCTCAAGCAAGTCCGATTATAGTCGAACTCATAATTATTGTGGCCTTATGTGATCGGCTAGCATCCTAAGACGTATTAATATAGGTTTTCCCGGCTATTTTAAAACGTTTATCATTCCAATTCGCCGTTTCTAATACCGGTATTCAAATTCGTCCAGCGACATCGATTTAGTGCACTTCCAATGTTTAATTTCGTCTTTCGTCAGACAATTTCAAATTCAGTTCAAGCAAATTCAAACAATGAGCACACGTTTTCGTCCCGGAGTATTCAATTTCGTCTCGTCTACGCCAAACCTTGTTATTCAGAAATCAGATTCGTGTAATTGATTTCTATAAGACGAATTCGATCTCTGAATGCTGCCATTCGGCAACAGCTTAGACGAATTTGATCTGTAATGACGAATATTCTCGACCCGGTGACCAATGAGGGTAGCAAACTTTAAAATTGAATGGTAATTGACTGATTTGGTTTTGTTAAAGCGTGTGAAATTTTTCGTGGATGAAATTGAGTGAGATTTGGTGAATTTGAATGAAAATCTTTAGCCGGGAAAACCTAAAGTTGGTCTATAATCACGAGATATCATCTCCCCCGCAATGGTTTACATGTATTCAAAACCAATGGGCGTGCCTATCACTGGTGCCTTGTTGCCTGACTTATGTTTTTACTGAAGTGTTTGCCTGACTTGATGTTTTTTTCTTTAAGTCAAACCCAAGAAACAATATCCCATACGTTATTAAGTATTATTCACAGCAAAATATTCATCAACATGTATTGTAATCAACATTTTTTTCAGTTAAAGAACATTTCATGACAATCTTATACCTGCTCAATGAAATGATGAGGCATGCAGTTTCATCTCCTGACCTCCGTTTATTTGCCTGACATCGACCGAACCCGAACTGTGATAGAATCAAGACTATCAAATAAATTCAGAAGGTTTGCTTTGCAAAAAGGATTTACTGAAAACACAACCTACGTCCCCAGGGTGTCGCGCAGTACGCGCTCATCACTACCTGCTCTCTCACCATGGTATTGGATCATTTGCATGTGCGAGATTTTTGAACACGTATGCAAATGAGGAATAATCTGGTGCCTGCCTGTGTGTTACATTTGCATTTGTTTTTGTATGCGGTGTCTGGGGTAAAACAGAATCAATTCGTTGTAGCGCGAGCATGGCATGAGTTACGAAAATACGATTTTATTTTAATTGAACTGTTACGATCTTAACGAGACAATATGCAGTATCACATTTCATATTAACATGAACAAACTGGAAAGGAAATGAATAATTTAAAGAAGGCGTGGACGAATGATTGCGAAAACACGTACTGCACGTTGTGAATAACAACACCAAGTACAAAATATAAATCCATTTCTAGCCAATTGCGATATCGAATCAGGATACAGGAAGAAAGTTTCCTATCCAGGGCTTACTATTGGAAACACGGTTGGAAATAAAGTAAGCACTGGGGACGAGGTTGCTGAAAACAGTAACTACACTGGTAGAACAAAATAAAAGGACACATTGACACCATGTATCGGAATTTACTTCGCATGTTTACTCAAACAAAATCTGCGCAGCGCCAAATTTCAAAGGTTCAATCATAAACTTTGACTTTTTGGCCAAGGAACAAAATAATAAGGTCACATTTGGTCCTACAAATCAAATACCAATTGTCGAATCTTTTACGTCATTGTTGAAAACAAAAAGCTAATCACTATAGATAACACTATTACAACGTCGACCCTGTTATTTCTAGATGTGTTTCTTTTTCTGTTAGCAATCGGACTACGTCATCAACTACAAGTATATGGATTTGTAGATTATATTAACTTATAAGTGAAAAACATGTACTTGCTGTCCATCAGAAAAGTTCCATGGAGACCCTGTACTTTTAAATTTACAAAAAATATTGAAATGTCCTTATTTATTTTCGGTGACCTTAATTCGGGAGTCTTAGAACAAATGTTTCGAGTTGGTATACAGTGTATAGCACAACCAAAATCCAGTTGGATGCTGAAGTGTTGCAAGGTCTAATTACAAATCTCTGTCAGTGGAATTGCCCATCTCTAGTTACCGTTTTGACCGTAGATGCACAATTTGGAGTGATGTACTATTGGGGCAAAATTAGTAACACTTCAAACAGTAACTTTGTGATTCTCACTGTAATGCAAATGTTGACGGGTTTATGAGACTAGGATGATGTTAAGTTGTGGATCGTCCATGCAGCTCCACGAAATCACAAGTGAGGGATTTTTTTGCAGAGTATCTATTGCTTGTCCCACCAGGTCTTGGCCATCACGCCTCCGATCTCCATGGTGGTCATCATCTGCCCGCCAGCCATCCCCCGGGTGCTCTTGCCCTTGCCAGCTCCCGTACCGGTCAGCACCAGCGTACTCCCCTCCCAGGCCGTGGTGCAGTCAATGGGATGGCCCATCACCGTGTCGGTGAAGTTACTGCCCACCGTGATAGTGACCTCCTTCTTGGCGCTGGGGTCTTTGTTGTTGGTGGTGACGATGGTGATGGAGTCACCACTCTGGGTGATGGTCTCAGTCACCTTCAGGTCGGCCGGCAACTTGGACTTATCCACCTTCATAGCCTCCAGGAGGTCCAGCCAGCCCTCGGACTTGCCACTGGTCCAGGTTCCACTGAAGTCGGCAGGCATTTTTGAGTTAGGATGTACCTGTTAAACAGCAAAAGATAAAGAAAGGAACAGTTAGGCATGTTTAAAACAGCTATTTAAAATTCGGTATTGCGTCCCTTTCGAGAAATTAGCACTGTGTAATAATGGTGCCAAATTGAAAAGAATTATTGTCGAAACTTTACGACCAACAAGGAAACTGGCAAGCTCAGAGGTTTTATCAATACACATACATGTATTGGTTATACAACCCTAAGCAGACTCTGCTTGGATACAAAAGAGAAAATAAATAGGAACCGGTATTCGAAACAAAACAAAAAAGATTTCAGCTTTAACTCACCAGGAATTGAGAAAAGCAGCTAAGTGTATGATACCGTTGGCAGTCGCAGGAGGGAGTGAGAAGGAGGCGCTGAGGCAACCTTTATGTATCCGCTGACCAGCTCAGCTAATGCTCAAGGAGATTACCAGAATGCCTCCCATTGGTACAAACAGGCTGTATCTGGAGGATACCTTGGCAACGCCCACCTACAGTGGTCACGCAGGTATAGGGCCTTTTATTAGAGAGCAGTTACATCACTTTGTTTAATATTGGAGATTATGATGCCATACCTTGCGCTTTGATCAATTAAAGGATTAAATGAAAAGGTCAAAGTCTGGTCTCATATTAAATCTTGGCATAAGACATCGGTATTGTGCCCCTGCACTGTGCGTTCAATCATTGCGCAAGCTGGAAAAGCAGGAATCGGCAGTTATGATTTTGCTTATAAATTGCGTCTTGCATCAAGAGCAATGTTGGGTTTATAGTTCCTCAGCCAAGGAAATCCATTTTGTCGCATTGTCTATCCATGGAGGAGGAAGCAAAATTTCCTCCCATGCTCTATCCGACCATGGAGGAATAAGAATCCTCCATAATCCGACCTTATACAGAGTGAAGATTTCTATGTTTATCCCAGCTGTAGGATTACGATCTGTGGATAACAAGCATGATGGGCAGTAAATATTGACATTTTACGTTAGTCTGTAACCAATGGAGGTCGCGGAGGTCGAATGACTCACCCCAAATTGGGCATGGGTCGAGATTTTAAAACTGATAACTTTAAATATAAATACATTTTCCATTGTCTAACTCGCCTACATAATTCCGATCCTGCAGCTGTGGCATCGACCGTGCACTTTTAGTGCAAAAGGGAACACTTTACTAAAATTAATTTTTTTGCAGTATATTTTGAGAAGTATATGTAGAGAATTGGTAAAGGACAACCTTCCGAAGATTTGTAAGATTCAAAGACGTGATTATTTCCTCTGACCAATATGAGCAAAGCACATGCTTGTGTAAAAACCCTTTTCATATTTCTACTTTTGCGAATTGGCAGCGCAAGTACTGCCCGCGGTGTAGTTCGCATTTGCGCTAGCTTTCGCGTCGAGTAAGAACGCCTTTAATTAAGCGTCGAGGAGAATACGTATAAATGCCCCTCCCCCCTCCCCTAAAAAAAGAACAGTACAGCGCCGTCGAGAAGCACATGCTGTTCTCAAAATATACTGCAGAAAATTAACTTCTCGGGCTGAAAACAGCTTGAAAACAGCTTGAGCTGAAGATTCTTCCGGCTAGTAACGTACATTGTATATGTAGAGGCAAGACTCTCATTCAAAACACATACAAATGCAATCTTTATCACTCCACTTTGTCCCGAAAATCCGTATCAATGCCAATGCTGCACGCACATCATCCACATCCACCGACAAGCCAATTTTGTTCACGTCAGTGTATATCCAGGGCATTTTCGAACATCAAACACTCAGGTAAAAAATAACCCAAAAATCACCAACCACAATTCAACCTGAACAGAATTTTGCCAGTGAATTGCACAGATTTTGCATGGGATTTTTCCCACATATTGTTTTTTTTCATATTCATATCGGACCTATAGGATATGTTGTCTTCAGCTGCAGTTACATTGTAACACAGCAATGTCTGTACTTGTAACATATACTCGTGAACAACTCCCTTTTTAACTTCATTTCTATTCAGAATTGAAAAAAAACACTAAAATAACCAGCAAATGAAGGACGACACAGCAATGTCTATACTTGTGACATATACTTGTGAACAACTCCCTTCTCAACTTCATTTCAAATTAGAATTGAAAACAAACACATTAAAATAATCAGCAAATTAAGGAAGTGTACATTAGAAATAACATAATACCATATTCGAAAGCCCCAGTTTGGGTAATAATAGGTATATCTACCCCAAGGAGAGAAGGTGTTGAACAGTGATAATCACTCAAAATGAAACACAATTTTTTATCTGAAACTTTTCAATCAGTGATTGGTCTTTTAATATGGAAAGGGTCATAATGTTAGTCTGAGTCAGGAACGAAAACACGTAACTGTTACTAGGTTTCAAACATTAAAGGGGATATACAACATTTTCGTTTGCTTTAATTTTCAGAATTGGACGGATTTGGGGGCTAGTATTTTGTAGCGAATGTTGTTAACACTGTTTAAAGTTGTTTGTTCATAGATGCTGGAAAAACCACGAAATAAAGTGTTCTTATAGTCTGGTTCCCACACCCCACTTCAGATGGAACGGAGCAACTTATAGACGTCGAAGAATTGTAAGGTCGGGGAATCAGTCTAACTTTGTAAATTGTGTGCATGGGCAGTATTTGGGGGGGGGGGTTCCAACGATGGTCAGCCGAGCATACAATTTCACTTTTCTTAAAATGACAGCACACCAGGTGCCATGATTTTACAGGATGCTTGAGACCACTATTCACTAACAGTCAAGGGAGATGTTTCACAATAATGTTGTAGTTGTGGTTTTTCCATGAATGCAAATGTTGTTTATTACCTTTAAGGATCAATAGGTTTGGTTTCTTTGTCATTACTAAATGCTGAAGCGATAAAATCATACCGTTAGACAAATCAGACGGGGGAACAAACTTCAAGGGGGCTCGAGGGCTCAGATTAATGACGACATGAGTGAAGTTCGTCGCTGATTTTCAGCTGTTTTGAATGAAGTGATCAGGAGTGCTGATCATGTGACTTGACAACGCCCTGCCGTCGACCAATGAGAAACAATTCAGAGCCAATAAAAGCGGCTGATTGCAGTTCATCAGTCTCTTTGCGGCCGAGCAGCAGATCTTGCCTGACACTCAGACCATCTACCATTCGAAGGTGAGATTTAGTGGTATTTTTGTAACTGAGTTTTATGTTAACAAAAGCCTGGACAAGCCGTGCTAAAATCTGTACTGAACGATATTTTGGTTGTTCTCAACTATACAGAAAAACTCCAGCTAGCTAAACATCATCATGTCTACCAACTTCGCCGGAAAGTGGACCTCTTGCAAGTCCGAGGGCTGGGACAAGCTCCTGAGCCAGTTTGGCGTGCCCCTGGACAAGATCCCGGCCGACATCAAGGTGACGGAGGAAATCACCCAGACCGGTGACAAGGTCGTCATCAAGACCACCAACAACAAGGACGACAAGGTCAAGGAGGTGACCATCAACGTGGGCAGCAATTTCAAGGATACGGTGGCGTCCGGCGTGGAGTTGGAGTTCACCACGGCATGGGAAGGGGGCAAGCTTGTCTTGACGCGCACCGATGGCAAGGGATCGGCGGTCCGTGAGATGGACGGCGCTCACATGAAGCTTACCATAAACCACGAGGGCACCACCGCTATAACCACCTATGCTAAGGCCTAGGCTACGAATCCACATGCAGATCCAACGGCCAGGCAAATAGTGGGATGTCTTAATATTTCCAACGTATCTCATGCAGCCTTGTAAAATAAAATGAGTGCACTATATCCCTTTTGGTATTTCATCGTGTATTCTTTCTTTCTTTTTTTACTCTGATCGGCTGTAACTATCTCATTCTCAACGTAAACCTGCCTGGCCAGAAGATCAGTGGGATTAATTTGTAGTGTAAGTTTGTCATTTCATAGCATGTTGGCTTATAGTGATGCTTGAATTGGAAGTAGGTTTAGTTCATTGTCATTTAAAATATATTCGAGAGCAATATTTGGAACCATTCCAGTTTTCATTCTTTTTTATCCAAGCTATTTTGTGATTGTAAAGAGAAACAGTTTGGCTGGATGACCTACATGTCACAAGTAGAAAAAAATGTCCATGCCATGTGGATAAACAGATGTCACCCTTCGACCACTATAACATTCGGTACTCTATGGGACATTACTAAGACGACAGCAAAGTATCGAGACTGTTACAGCAGAACGACTGTTCCCTCCCTTCAACAAACCAGTGACAACTACTTGCTTTTAGATTATCAGTATGCCAAATCATTTTGACATCACAGGTGGATTAGGGCTTTAAACACTCTTAATTGTGTATTATCAGTTTATGCAAATTTCATTAACGTGGTTTGGAATGGTGGAGAATAGCCTCGTGGTGCCTGAAATAGCAATAAATTGAACCCCACACATTAGTACATGCCCATTGCCTCTGAGCCGCTCTTCCATTCTACGTCACTGGATAGATTTAGCAATTTCCCATTAAAAAAAATCACTTTGCTTTTTTACATTTTTTTTCAGTCCTATAAAGCGCCGAAAGCCTAATGAATATATTGACTTTTTTAATGGATGGAATAAAGTGTGCAATAAGAGCAAAATAATAGAAATCTGAGCGCCCATCTTATTATGTATTGTCACCCTTGTTATAATTTTAAGATAGTACACTCACCCGACAAAACGTTATGCCTACACGTATATCACTGCGAGGATAAACAAAGGAAAGATTGAACTTGTTAATTCCTTGGCTCAACAAGACAAAAATCTACTTTACCACGCAAGCTGAAAAAAATACTTATCAAGATAGCTCTATACTTCTAGTTAACCTCCAACGCCTTTATTTTGACACGGCCTTTATTTGACACGGCTGAGATGGTTTCTAATCAAATTTGAACTCTTCAACATGACGCAGCTTTGATACCTAAGGTCCTGCAGGAAGCAATGAAAACCAACGGGTACGATCATTTTGCAACCCGGAAAAGTACCTCCCGATTTAACGACAGATACCTTGCCCAAAGTGAAGATGGACGGTTACACCCCTATGTTCGGTACCCTATATTCTGACTGGACATATTCCTATTCCTAACCCTAACCCTAACCCTAACCGGGGTAGCACAATCTTATGTGCGTGTTGTCGGAACATAACGGTGTCGGAACAAAGGGGTGTCGGAACATAGAGCAGTCACCGGTGAAGATAGGACTGGTATCAAAAACCCTGTACAATTATTATTCCGCCTGAAATTATATCATTTGGAAGGAAACTTAAATTGAAAGTGCCTTTAAAATGGAGTGCAATCGGATACACGTGCGTTGAGAACGGTATCCAGTGCACTTTTTTTCTGTTTCCCAAAATATATAGTAACTTCAACGGGTTAGCTCTAATACGCATCCACATAAGATTTTTCGGCAATTTTGTTGTTTCAAACAAAATAAAAATGCACAAAAAGCAATAATAAGTACCTTTATAAAGCAAGAGTGCTTTAATAATAAAACGATGCAAGAAGGAGTAAGAAGACAAATCTTGAAATATCCCTGTTTCAAATCGAAGATATAAGGGAGGGCAACATTGGTGGCGGTGTTCATGGTGAAACTTGCATGTTTATGATCCATACTAATCTCGCCCCCATGGCGTCAAGCAGTATACGCACCCACTATTGCTGCTCTCTCCCTGTATAGTACTGGATAATTTGTATGTTCCAAAATCTTGTGTAATAATTACAAGTAGGTATACGGATAAAGTCTGGTGCCTGCATGGCCATGCTATATATCAGTGTTTGTTTTTGTATGCGGTGTCCAGCCTTTTTATTAGTCTGAGTATCACCCGTTATCCACGGAGCAAGACTCCTGTATAACGTCTGATATGTCTAGACATATGCATATATGCAAGCCGCGCGCCAGCCAATCGGAGTCGACTTTACTAAATCGTGACGTCATTTCATTCCTAAATCAGGACTAATCAATTCGAATGCAGTGTTTTGTAATGCAACAACAGCCGGGCGCATTGTCGCGTAACATGATACAGAGCGCGTGACGCAGGGCTTTTTAATCCATTGTCTATGACACGCAACGTGTGAATGACCGAAGACCCGATAAAGAAAGCGCCCGCTGATTGGTCAAAATCTAGGAGGTCAAGAGGCGGGGTCTTGCCTAATTAATCAGCGAATCTGTTCACATATCACAGACCCATGGCATTCGTCATGGGTCTATTACATATGCATAGACTAGCCTTTTATAGGATACAGACGGAATCAGTTCATTGTCGCGTGGGTCCAGAAACAAGATTTCAAAGTAGTCTTGATTTCAGTCTTTACCTTACCAACATGCAGTATTATTTAACTGAATAGTAGTATTTAAACAAGATGTAAATGAAAGGGGTCTTTTTGAGGAGGATTGGACGTAATAATTCACAAAGAACGTTAAAAACACATTTTAAAAAAAATCCAAAACTACACGATATAAATCCATTACTTGCTATAAAGACTGGATCGAATCAGAATACAAGAAGCAAGTTTCACTCCCATGGTCTAGTATTGTCTGGAGGGTGATAGTAGACTCTGGGAACGAGGTTGATACAGTACATAAATACGTACGTGCGCTTCATGTCTGTTCCCAGTTTGGTTTGTGGTAAACTTTAATTGCAGAGTGGCATGGGTGCTCTTTTTTTCTACTCTCGCCGTTATTCGAGTATATTTTAATTAGGGTATGGGGTTTGTAAGATTCAAACAGTGTAATTATTTTCTGCTTGAGTAAAATCATGTTCATACTTCACCCTTTGCCAGTTCGCAGCGTGAGTACTTCCGTGACGTCATAGATGGCTTTTGCGTTTGCTTTCGCGCAGAGTATGAGCGCCTTTAAGCGTCGAGGAGAATACCTATAAATGAGCCTCCTCCCCCAAACAAAAACTGTAAAGCGCCGTCAAGAAGTGCGGCTTGAGTTTCACAAGAATCTTACGGCTAGTAACTATTAGTACACGTATGATCTTCTTGATTCCCTTGTTTTAACAGGCAAGATAAAAGTAATGGCTGATAATAGAAAGAACAACATAAGTACTATATTTGAAGAGCCGTTTGTGGTAACGGTAAAATATGATGTTTACCCCAAGGAGGATATTCCATCTTTAACAACAATATGCCCACACTCCCCCTTCCCCCCCCCCTTCCCCGGTCTTGATGGAGTTAAAAAAGCAGCAGCCGTTTTACTGCTGAACAGTGATCAACACTCGTCAAAATGAAACAAAATGTCCTCTCTGAATCTATTCACCTCTTTTTGAAATTGGTGATAGCTCTTTTGTCAGACTGAGTCAGGGACGACAACACGTAGCTGTTGGTGTTCAAGCATTAAGGATCAAAAGGTTTGATTGTTCTGTCATTATCAAGTGCTGAAGCGATAACAATCATATCGTCAGACAGATCAGACAAACTTTGGGGTTCGATGGTTCAGATCTATTTCGACATTCACGAAATTCGGCGCTGATTTCTCATCTGAGGTGATAGGAGTGCTGAAGTTCGGCTAAATCATGTGACTTGACAACGCCCTGCCATCGGCCAATAAGAAACAGTTTAGTGTTATGGGGTGAGCCAATAAAAGCGACTGATCGCGGTTCCTTGGTCTTCTTTGCGGCCGTGCAGCAGATCTTGCCTGACACTCAGACCTTCTACTAATTCGGAGGTGAGTTTTGAAGCGGGTTTTTTTTTTGGTACCTTTTTTCTCCTTTTTTTAGCTAATGAGATGTGCCAAAACCTATTCAAGTCACACTAAAATCTGTACTTAACAAATATTTGGGTTTTTTTTATACAAACCAGAAAAAATCCAGCTAGCTAAACATCATCATGCCTACCAACTTCGCCGGAAAGTGGACCTCTTGCAAGTCCGAGAACTGGGACAAGTTCTTGGGCAAATTCGGCGTGCCCCTGGAAAAGCTCCCGGCCGACATCAAGGTAACGGAGGAAATCACCCAGAGCGGTAACAAGATCACCATCAAGACCACCAACAACAAGGACGACAAGGTCAAGGAGGTGACCATCAACGTGGGCAGCAACTTCAAGGACACACTGATGTCCGGCGTGGAGTTGGAGTTCACCACGGCATGGCAAGGGGACAAGCTGGTCTTGACGGGAACCGATGGCAAGGGATCGGCGGTCCGTGAGATGGACGGCGCTCACATGAAGGTCTCCCTAACCCACGAGGGCACCACCGCTACAACCACCTATGATAAGGCCTAGGCTACGAATCCATCACAGATCCAACGGCCAGGCACATAGTGGGGTGTCTACACGTGACGGATCTCATGCAGCCTTGTAAAAAAGTGCACTGTCTTGAAAGATCTTGTCCACTTTAGTATTTCATGGTATATATCTTTTCTTTTTTACTCTGATCGGTTGTAAGCATCTCGTTCTCGACGTAAATCCCTATTTTGTCTGGCCAGAAGATCTGGGAGGGAGTTATCGGGTCAGTTTGTCATATACATGTTTGCTGTGACTGATGTTTGAATTGAAAATCGGTTTAGTTAAGTGTCATTTCAAAAAATCTCGAGAGCAATATTTGGTACATGTAATTGGAATCGTTCAATTTTTCATTATTTGTTCCCTATTGTAAAAAGAAACGGTTCGGTTGTGTGACCTACATGTCACAAGAAGAAAAATGTCCATGCCATGTGGATGAACAGTTGTTACAGTTCGACCACTGTCACATTCGGTACTCTATGAACAATAAGATCAGACAACTGTTAGTATCGAGACCGTTACAAAGCGGACGAACGACTGTTTCCTCCCTTCAACAAATCAGTGGCAAATATAGTTTGGTTTTTAATTGTCGGTATACTGTGACATCATATGGATTAGTACTTGAAAAGTGCTTGTGTAAAATCAGCTTGTACCAATTCAATTGGCGTGGTTTGGAATGGTAGATAAGGGCGCCCGTGGTGTCTGAATGGAACCCCACACAGTGCCAATTGCCCTCTGACCCGCTCTTCCATTTACGTCATTGAATATATAGCTGCAGCATTTTCTTTAACACAAACTTCTCTTTGCTTTCTAATTTTTGTTTGTTATGGAAATGTGTCCAATCCAATGATGTAACAAATGCGGAAGACAAACAGCTATGATTTTCAAATGTATCGAATAAAGTGTGCAATAAGAGTTAAGAAGCAGAAATCTGAGTGTCAAGAGTGTTATACTTATAGTTACTTTTGTCACCCTTGCTAAAATGTTAAGGTTGTTCATACCCCGACAAATGTTTTCATTAACCCCAATGGCATGCCAACAAGTTTATCGCTGCACGGCACTGCGAAATTTTGGGGACAACCCTCAGAACTGTGAATTGCAAGGGAGAGAAAATCCAAGGAAAACAGGGTGTGTTATTCCTTCGCTCAACAAGCAAACAAATCCACTTGCTACGCGAGCAGATTTTTTTCTTATCAATTAAGATAGCTCTCTACTACTTGTTATTGTAATAGCGCCTTTATGTGACACGGCTGAGGTTGTTTTTAATAGAATTTGAACTCTTCGATGAAGAAGCTTTCACGTGCACAGACAACGGAATTGTAAAGGAGGCCCCCTCCCCCTCCCCCCGTGCACTTTTCTCTGTTTCTTCAAAATGTATATTATCCACCGAGCTGAACCTTCAACAGGTTACTTCTTATGCATATACCTATGATTTTGAGCCAAACGAACACAAAATTCTTATAAAGCAATAATAATGTGTTGCATATAGCGCTTTATACTCACGATTTCAAAGCGCTTTACAATAATCATCCCTGTTCGTCAGGAATGAGCAAGGGCGGATCCAGGGGGGGGGGGGGCATGCCCCCCCCCCCAAAAAAAACGAAACCAATTTTTTTTTTTATGTGACATCGCAATAAAGGCAGGCAATGAGTACACCACCATCGTTTCCTCAAAAAACATTGGTTAAAGTGTTCAGAAATTGCCTCAGATCGCACCACAGAGCATCTAGAATCCAAAAAAAATTCGGGGCCCTTAAGCAGGCCCCGAACCCCAAGCCGTAATTTTTTTTTACCCACTTTTTTGGGGGACCAAAAAAATTGTTGGCTCCTCCCCCCCCCCCCCCCCCAAATTGTGTTCTGGATCCGCCCTTGGGAATGAGACCATTTTTCTGCAACAGCTCGAGATCAGCGCATTCTGGTCTCTACCTTCACGGGTACCCATTTATACTTCTGGAGAGAGGGCATCGTTGTAAAGTGTCTTGCCCAAGAACGCAAGCACCATGTTCCCCGTCAGAGTTCGAACCCATGTACTACGGCACATGAGTCGAAAACCGTAACCATTTAGACCACAGGTCCCCACAATAACAGTACCTTATAAGCAACTGTGTGCTATAACCGAGATCGATGCAGGAACCAGTCGAAGGAATTGTGATGGACAAATCCTGAAATATCCCGGAATAAAATTGAAGATCGTGGCGGGCAACATCTGGTGGCGCTGTTCATATTGGAACTTGTATGTAAAGATCTATATAATACTAATCTCGTCACCATGGCGTCGAGCAGTACGCACCCACTATAGCTGCTCTCTAACCTTAGTCCTGGATCATTTGTTCAAAAATCTCGTACACTTAATGTAAGTACATGTATAGGTTCGGAATAGTCTGGTGCCTGACCATGCTATAAATCAGTGTTTGTTTTTGCGTGCAGTGTCCAAGGTACAGACGGAATCAGATTGAATCAATTTTATTTTCAAACTTGTAATACCCATCCAACATGCACTAATTAATCTAAATATCATTATAAGCAATATGGAAATAGGAAAGGATATTTTTGAGGACGTTTGAACGTTTACTTTTGTCTCGAGGGTCTACCAATTGTCTCGAGGTCGATAATAGACTCTGAGAACGAGGTTCATACAGTACATTATATATCATCATGTCCCTTCCCCAGCCTTCCTTGAGTTGTAAACTTTAATTTCAGAGTGGTCCGGGTGCTCTTCTTCTCTATATTGGCCGTTATTCAAGGTTATTTGTTACTTTTTTGTTTGGTCAATAACGACACATCCAAAAAAAAATACATATCGTGTTATTGTAGCTTACAATGAGGAGTAAAACTGTGAAAGGAATCTCAAATTGAATACGCACATGCAGAGCGCCCCCTCATTTTTCTTCAGCAGCAATTTTTTAAGAACATTTGGTGCTATTAGTAATCCCACAAACCCAATTAAAGTTTCTCGCTATAATTCCGACGAAAGAATATATATAAACCACTTTCACCGGACATCGGTCAGGAATAGATAATCTGACCATACGTAAAATGTTATAACAAAATTGATCACAATAATTTTTTTGTGGCTCATTTGGGGGAGGGACTGTAGGTAGCCTGGCAAGGATAGTGATCAGAATGTTGATAATCTTGACCTTTCACCCCGGCCTTAGCAATGACAATCTGTCAGGTTTGCTATGAAGGGTGCAACCCTGCAAAAAAATCCCATAGACACTAGTGCTAAATGCGCATACTTCAAAATTCTTTTTAAAATACTCAGAATTCTCACAGGTATACAAGCTGCACAGAAAAATGATGATCAATGTGTCATCTTTCATTTTCTTTTCATTTTTGGGTGGGTTGACCATTGACTTTTCGAGATATTCTCACCCAAAGAAGACGACCCCTATTTTCCCCAAAGCGGAAAAGTAGCCATCTTGAAAAACGATCCCTCCACAACATGGCAAAATAGCGCCACTTTCGAGCCCAATAGCATCCAAAATGATCAGAATTGGAAGCCCCAAGTCCGGGCCAGAGGTTCATTACCATATCTCTTCAATTTCCCAATGTTATGGCTCTCAAAACCCTCTAATATAGAATATTTTGAGGGTATAACTTTTATTCATGAGCTCGGCGGACGGATTTTTGGCCTATTTACAGGTGTGCACCCTAAAAAATCAATCAAGGCACAACTTTTCATAACAAGGCTGTTGAAAATAGTCTACCACAATAAACAGTTCTATGCAGAGGCTAGGTCTTTACCATAACAGGCCTAGGTAATAATGGCTTCGGTTTTTGTGATTTGTTGGGGCATGGTTGGGGAAACCACATTGAAGTAAATTGTTAGAGCGACACAAAAAACGGCCATGATAAAACAATAAAAACAATATTGGAGATCAACCTCCTACACCTCTTTTGGTTCGCCTACAAGGCAAATCTACAGTGGCTTGAATTTTATTCAGTGAATCAGATTGGCTAAAGAGTTCAAAGAAAAGCTAAATAAAGCTGCTCTCACACCAGTGTAAGAAGAGTCACAAGGGGCAATCAGAGATATAGGCAAGCAGTGTTATTCACACGTGACAGTCAGTCGGGGAGGCAGTCAGTCAGTCAGTCAGCCAGTCGGGTGCGAAGCGGGCCCTAAAAAAAAGATACATGTACATGCATACTACTGCTGGTGTTCAACGCTACACCGATGTAAAGTGAAGTCTTTACAGGGGTCGAAAGTCGCTTGACCTACCCTACATATCAGCTAGAAAATTGAACTTTTGCCCATGAGGTGACGCACAAAAAACAGCCATTATCTTCCGATATCGTCTGGAAATTGGTTTCTGGATAGTGATTAGGTTATATCTGGACCGCCCGGTTTCGTTATTAGAACACAGGGACAAAAATCAAGCCACTTTAGCCTAAAAAAGTTACAAACTTTGATCGAGTGGTTCCACTTGTAATACCATGCACAGCGGGTTTTTTTCAAATGTCGGCTGATGACTGCAAATGGTGCCCGAATAAACTTAGTGCAAATAAACGGGAGTCCAGAGAGGCCACGTAAAACTTATACTCGATCGTAACCCCATCTAACAAACACGTTAAAATTGTGCAGCGGCAGGATTCCAGTCAACCAGTGAGTTTGGCGGTTTTGGGACATCATCTTTCATTGAAAAAAAACTTATTCATTTTGCCGACGCGCATGGCTACGGCGACACGCACGCATACCAGAAACGGGAGACTTTTTTTTGGCCTTACTTGCAATTTGAAAAAAACAGAGTTAGGCTAAACTAGAAAATCACGACAAGACACTTTGTAATAAAGTTAAAATGGTTAAAATACCATACCACTGAATGATCTTAATCCAACTAAACTAAACCAGTACATTATTTTGCAAGGAAATCACTTCTTCATTAAGACAAGTTCGAAAAGTCATGAAATCCAAAAAAAAACACCTTTGTTACGACAGGTCAGGGTATTTGTATCATTTACGATTAAATAAAAAAAAAAATGACCCACGTGTTGACTCAATCTGCTATTTAAATTCAAATCACAAAAAAGCAAACAGTGCTTCAAGGGTGTCCTAATTGATTATTTTTCATATGGTCGTTATCGGGAGCCTTAAAGTCCAAGTGCACTGAGAGCTAGGGAAGGGGTCCGGTGGTTGGTCAGTAGTTGACCAATAGGAGGATTTGGCTGCCCCAGGTGGTCCCAATATAAGCAGCTGCTTGCAGAGTTTCTGTCTCTCCCAGCCGATCAGCAACTCTTGCCTTTCCTTCTCCACTCCTTGGTCACGAACAGGTATGTTCTCCATTTAACGTTCAAGTCCTGTTTTCTTCTTCTTTTCCTTAGTAGCGGTCATTGTTATGGGTTGGGGGAGGGTTAGGTAAACAATATGAACTGGATGACAGTAAGGACCAAAACACACATGGGAATTTCCACAGGAAATTGGGAGGCGACCGAATACTCAGCCATCTTAAAGAACCCTCGGGGAGGGCCGGGTACCCTTTCCAAAAGTTCATGAGAATATCTCAGAAACTTACATGGGCCATTTTTGGAGATTGCATTGAACCATAATGCTGGCCCAATTAAGATGCCTGTAAATTGCTTTGAGTAACATGGCCCTATAGGTTTAATTTTGTATTGTTTGAAATTATGTGCACCTAACAGTTCTGCGTATGTTCCTTTCCCATTTGACAGACAAACGCCTACCAAACACCATGCCTGCCGACTTCAGCGGAAAGTGGGTTTCCGGCAAGTCCGAGGGCTGGGACGTCTTCCTGTCCAAGTTCGGCATCCCCGTCGACAAGATCCCGACCGACATCAAGGTGACGGAGGAAATCAGCCAGAGTGGTGACAAGATCAACATCAAGACCACCAACAACAAGGACGACAACGTCAAGGAGGTGACCATCAACGTGGGCAGCAACCACAAGGGCATGGTGGCGCCGGGCGTGGAGATGGAGTTCACCACGGCGTGGGAAGGGGCCAAGCTGGTCCTGCAGAAGGTGGGCGGCAAAGGCGGGTCTTCCCGGGAATTGGTGGGTGCTCAGATGCTAGTCACCGTGGATGCTGACGGTACAATCGCCAAGAGCTACTATGATAAGGCTTAGGTGTATGCAATAAAGACAATCTAATTGATGCAGATCCGAGCCCGGGCAAAAGAGGACGTGTCCTTATATACTGGAGACAAAGGATTCAACATAACGCTGAGACCGGTGCCAGTTGCAAATCCGGTAGGTCAAAACTCGGCGTTAAGTATCAATGTTCACCACCTTTCCTCTAAAATGTCCATTTTTTGCCCGGCCTGTGCGGATCTGAAATTTCAGTAGTTTTGTATTAGTTTGACTTAGAAGTAGCACCAGATTAGAAGCCGCCATGAGAGGCTCATAAAAGATTCTTCATTTGATGACGTAGTAAATTATGTTCCGATAGCTTCAGTTATAGACACTGTTATGTTTGTTTGAGTACAAAAAAATCATGACTTGCTGAAAACCCAGACTATTCGACCAAACTGTTGGTACATATCGCTTCATTCAACTCAAAGCTACTTGCAACAGAAAAGAAGCCACTTTGACATTAGTCATGCGAAGTAGGAATGCTTTCATAGATGTACTTTTTAAGGAGATGGATACCTCTGCGTATATCCAGTATTCAGTCTTCATTAAGAGACAGATATGTAATAATGAAATGTTTGTTATATTACACTTTTAAACAAAAAGTGTTATACCTTCCTCGATGTTTGGAAAAATCGATCCAGATAGAACTCAATAAATAAAATTTTCAAATGTAATCGTTGGTCCTTGGTAATGTATCCACCCATTTCTGTTGTCAATCTGTCCGTCTATCTGTCCGTGGGAGCGTCGGGCTGTCTGTGTCAAGTCTTCACTTCGTTAACTTCTTGTAAACGTTTTGTGAATTCAAATTCCATGTCATTGGATTCCTTATACCAAATACACCTCTGAAGTAGGAAAACATTTTTGACGTAATGTCCCGAGATGACTGCACAATGGGGTCTTTTGACGTTCTAAACAGCAAAAAAGTGCCGTTGAATTTAGCTTCATCTCCTAGTTAGAAATATTATACAAGCCACATTTTTACCCATAAAGCGATCATGACAAGCTTTACAATCGAATTATAGCTCTGTGCCTATCCTTCGTCAGACTATGTGTTCCTGGCCTAAACCATTATCCCGAAGTTGGAATCAGAATTGCACCTTTAAAACCATGGCATTTCCCTTTAAAGACCACGCCAGTTGATCACGAGACCTGTCTACAAGGACGATATTGACCAATGAGAAACGAGCAGGTTGTCAGGCAGCTGGCTATAAACGCACGCCCTGCCGTCGTCTCGTTCTCTCTCACCCCGTCGCTCAGCAAGGATTCACTCGGCTTTTCTCACTTCCAATCACCCGTTCGCAGGTGAGTTTTTGGCCGTCTCAATTTCTGTGAGTTTTGAGTAGCCGGTTGATGACCAAAATGAGAACCGTTTCTTGGGTTATAAAGAGGGTAGTATCAGGGGGTTGATCACTAAATTAGAAAAAAAAGTATTTTGACAATTGGCAATAAATCAGATGGTAAATCAGGGGTGGAGCTAGCTTTCAGGAAACGGGGGGTTGATAAAGGGGGGGGGTAGTGAAGGCATGACGAAGTCACGCCCTGCTAGGGGGTACGGAGGCATGCCCCCCCCCCCTCCCCTTCCTGCACAATTTTTAAATGTGGGCATGGGCGTCGCCAGGATTTGTTTCGGGGGGGGACAAAGCACATTTTTTTTCCACAAAATTCTTGTACTTTCTCTTGCATATTCTAAACCTATAATTTTTTCAAAGGTGGGCGGGGGACACTTACCCACCCACTCCCATTGACACCTCTGCAAACGCCCATTTTGTTTAATGTGTTGTTGGAGGGGGTTCGGGGGTTGGTGGGTTTTTTTTAGTTTTTTTTTTAATTGCTTTTCCAGGGAGGAGGCCGGGGCAAGCGCCCTCCCCCCACTGCCATCCTGGAGACGCCCATGAATTTCTCCTGCATTCTAAGGCAATTTGAGAATACATTTAGGAACTTTAGCATTCTATTATTGTAATTTTGCCCCATTTTACTAGTATCATATCATTAGTCAGCGGCTTGCAACCCCCCCCCCCCCCCTCCCCACACTCTAGACACGCTACTAATAAATGCAGAAGTATTTTGGAGAAACTGTAGGGTATTTTAAGAATGGTGACATGTTTATAGTTGGGTAACTTTGTCTGCAGAGTGGCAAAAAAACACAATTTTGATAAATGAATTTTCAAGGTTAAAGATTTTTTTTCCCAATCCTGGTCACCTTTTCAAGCCTCGGCCCCATATATTTCCCTTCTTCCTCTCCGTTAGACTAAAACTCACCACAGTCACCATGCCTGGAGACTTCAACGGAAAGTGGGTCACGTGCAAGGCCGAGGGCTGGGAGGGCTTCCTGAAGAAGTTCAACATCCCCACCGACAAGATCCCGGCCGACATCGTGGTGACGGAGGAAATCACCCAGAGTGGCGACAAGATCACCATCAAGTCCAGCAGCAACAAGGACGACAAGGTCAAGGAGGTGATCATCAACGTGGGCAGCAACCACAAGGATGCGGTAGCGGGGGGCAAGGAGCTGGAGTTCACCACAGCATGGGATGGGGCTAAGCTTGTCATGAAGAACGTGGATGGGAAAGGAGGTGGTGTTATCCGTGAGATCACCGGGGGGCAAATGCTGCTCACGCTGGATGCTGGAGACGGGGTCATTGCTAAGAGTTACTACAATAAAGCCTAGTCGCCGAATAGACCACGATAAACAAAATGAACCCCAATCCGAGCTTAATTCAAATAGAGTGAGTTCCTCGCAATGAGCAGTGTCATTGGGTTATTCAAAGCCTAGTTTTACAGTAAAGGAAATCTCTTCGAAATTCTATTGGAAAAATAAAGGCTTAAAGCGCAAGCTACGCGAGGTGTTTTAATCAGGTCAGATTTAGTAAGGATTCATTGATGAGTTGGTTTGGGGCGGTTTTTTTTGCTTGTCAAATTTTGATGTGGGTAGATTTCCCCCAAAAAAATTAAATAGAGTTACATTCCAAATTCTCTCGTATGCAATATTGTTTGTAAAGACGGTAGTGTTTAGCACAAAGTAAGCTTCAGCAAGTCTCGTCCTTGGGATGAGTTGAAAATTCATGTTCCAATTACTTGATTCGTCAGAATCACAAAATGTTTGTGAATTGCTGTACTTAACATTCCATGTTGTTTTCAAACGAAATGTACTAAAATATGTCCATATTTGAGTGATAGTGTCAGTGCATAGAGTAGTACCAGTGTAGCCACCCTGAAATTTCTACAGCTAGGCCTGCAGATTTGTGTTTAATCTTCTTTTTTGCTTTTTTTTGCACTTTTTCGACTCTTGATTTCGAACAGATGTGAGTGGCGCACTCATGAGGACAGTAGGACAGATTGCACACCTAAACTGTCTATTGCATTCGTACTTCTACGATCAAGTGAGCAGTTATCGATATGGGCATAAACCGTTTGATTTTTTTCTGAGAACGTTATGCAAAAAGTACGAACAAAAAGCTCCTCTATTTACTGTCCTCGTTGAATTGCACCAGACTGGGTCTTTATTCTCGTACAATTCCTTGAGCCCTTTTCCTTGTGTGAAAAGAATGTTCCGTTAATGCTGGAAATCGCAGGTAATAGTGAGTTGTTTCTGGTTCGGTCCAGTGTCGTCTCCATGCAACATTACGAGGACGCGCCCTCATTGCAAGGCTTGTACTTGTTTTTCTTATATAGAAATGTTTAAATTTGATAAGAGTTTATTAAAAGTGTGAAGCAAAATTATAACTCTCTTGCACGTATCAGCGTTTGCATGTCCGTCTGTCTGTCTGTTTTTTATATTCTTTTCTCAGCTTCCGTTACTGATATGCATACATTTGACATGGCAGCCATCTTGGAGGTACGGTGAAGGGATTTTGTTCCAACAGGGATGTGCTTAGTAGACTGTTTTGTGTTCTAGTTTGACTGGATTAGAATAAAGGAAAACCTCCAAGATTGTTGTTCAATGCAACGAGTCTATTGCGAAATGTATATTCTCCTCATCCGTTCAAATGACTAGCTTATTGTTAAATTTAATTGCGCAAATGTTTTTTTTTGCTGATAATAAGCTGCCTTGATGATCTTTCATAATGAGGATCGAATCGGAGCAGTTTTCCCGACCTCAAACTTGCAAAGAGAGAGAGGGGGGAGGGTCCCTCCTTCTTTAGATAACAAATGATCGGCGAAGTTACTAAATTTTGCAAATAACTTTATTTGATGTCTTTGAACAAAATGTGAAAACATTTATTGCAGTCATAAAAATTTGCAAATAATTTAGTTTAATACTTTAATAGAAAAAGGGGAAATATTTAAATGAAATGCAGCCTCTCAATAGTATTTATCTTTCACAAAATACTTTGTTTTATGTCATAACTGCCTTTGTATACAGCCATGCCTCGCATCCCAAGTGGAACCTCCAATAATAAAAATAGGAAATTTTGCAAGCTTTGGATGGCCTCCCTTCAAACAGGAGCCAAATCAAATCAGTGATGAGTGCAACCGAAACAAAAACACCTGAAAAAACGGCAAATAAATGTTGGAATTCGAAATGTAAGGCGAGGTTCATGGTGTCAAACCCGTAGCCGAGTGAATCTGGCCGCCCCGCCCCCCGCGCGACGCGGTACTTCCGCGCTCAGGCTACCCACGCGACCCGGGTTCAAAAGTGCACTTGTTAAACTATTAATGTGTAACTCCTGAACGACTGAACTTCAAACTACGGACTTTCTGTAAATAGAGGGTCGCTTGGCAACCTTATCGGCGGGGACCCATAACGACAAATTATGAAGATTGGGGCTTTCATTAAAGTGCGCTTGTAGTCCTGTTATTTAAATTCATATTATTTTCTAACTATTACGCGCTTTTTCTTTTGCACAATATTTCACAATAAAAATGTACTCATCGTTGGTGCTATTTTCGAACAGAGAAAAAAAAACAAGTTCTGTACTTTTTATTGAGATATAGAAGTCAGTAAATCGGCCTCGTGAAGTAGCATAATAAGTGCTATATAAATTTTTTATAATTTACGATCCGACAACAATTCGGTTCTGGCATCAGGGGCGTAGCAGGGTCATTTTGATTGGGGAGGGGGAATTTTTGAAAAGGGCACTTGCACATCCATGGTGAAATGTAGACACTTTTTTTCTCCAGACACTTGGCCTCCGTAAAATCAAAAAGCGGGGGGAGGGGGGGGGGGCTGGCACTTGTTCAAACAAAAAAAAGGCACTTCTTAAAAAAAAAGGCACTCTTTGCAAAATATTTGGGGGGGGGGCTAAACGCTGGTGAAAAGGGCATTTGAATGGAAAGGGCAGTCTTTAAAAAATATTGGGGGGTTAAATACCCCCTTACCCATCCCCCCCCCCCCCCGCCACTGGCTACGCCTACCGGGGCATGGTAGACTGGTTCCCGTCCTATCGGTATCGATAATGCAGGAATTGGAAACAAGTCTAATCACAGGGCGGAAAGCAATTATTTAAATAATGTGTATTACCCGCATTTGTTATTTTAATATTACATCGTTGTATTTAACCGATATCTGTTTTAATAAGAGGGTGGTAGTTGATTTCAAAATGAGCATGTCGTCTCTCCATCAAACACACGTATTCCAGTTGGATACGCAGCTTTTTCCAACAATAAACAGACTGAGTGCAATACCTATAGTTAGGTTATGTTGGCATACTCTTACCCCTTTTTTTCAAAATAAATTTACCCCAACCACAATACACCGAGCAAAACTAACACGGAACACGTTATTTATTTGCTTAATCTGTTGTCGGAGGTGGGCTGTACTCTGTGTTTGGAAAGCGTAAATTTATCATTCTCGGCCAGGTCTCGTTTCCTGCATTGACGTGTGTGTTCTTTGTACTCCAGACAAAAATAGCAGGGGGGGATCGTGTAGTGACTTCATAATGAGATTTGTATCCCATAATACTTGCAAGTGAACGCCCCCTAATGAGTGGTGGGAAAAGTCAATAATGAGATGAGTTGAAATGGCGATTCAGAGCAGTACACTTGAAAGGAGTTTTCGAAACCCCGGCTTCGATCCAGTACCGGTTTTAAGAGACTGTTAAAACCTGTGACTTGCGGTCGCTTGAGGGACTCCTGATCAATGTTGGGCTGTCTCCTGGTCATGAACAATAAATCGTATAATGCATTCAATGATTTTAAATGGGTCGGAAGCCAGACATAAAGCCGAAGTTGAAGAGCAAGCAAGCCTAGGTTTCGAAAACCATCGCGCCCTAACCCTCAACATTCAAAAGTAGAAACCTACATTGCAATTCAATTCAAAGTAATATGATGAGCAATTTTTAAAAAAAAATTGTTTTTTCCTAAGCGGTAAACAATATATGTTTACAAGAGGAGTCATCTCGTATTTTAATTTATCCTAAAAACAAAAGAAGAAAAGTACAACAAGAACATGTATTAAACAGCAAAGATATTACATGACCATTAATAAACAAAATTCACGTCTGTATGGGAGATATTCTTCACGTTAATTGTCCGAGAGCTGGCGAGTACATGTCCAAGAAGCCGAGGGTTCGAGTCCCACCAAACCAAACTTGTGATTCTTTCTTTATTTCTTTTTGACAAGCTAGGTCAGTGCTGAGCTCATACAGTGCTTATGAAAATACGCCACCGAGGGACAAACATCCGTACTAAAAGGACACATGTTTTAGTTTATCAAGAATTATCAGCGATGTACCCGATATTTACATCCCCCGGGAAAAACCTACTAATTTTTAATTCTCTATTTTTCACTCCTTTTCCTAACGTCGCACCGTGTGTACATCAACGTGTATTTCAACCATTTCTATAGACCAATGTACTCAACTCGTGTCCAATTTGAATAAATGACTATTATCATTGGACTCTGAAACGGAAGCCAAAAATGGTCCGATCCTGTATAGTTAATAAATAATTACAGGTTTCCCCGCGTTACTGAAGCTTGGGTCATTTTTTTTCTACCCGCAATGTGTTTTCACACAGAGTTGTCTGCTGAAGTCAAAATCAGCGGTTTTTTTTTTGTTCGATATAATTTGTTTCTTATGCGAAATCTAGAAGATGAAAGCTAGTCAGTCAGTATTGTTATCTAAGCACATATAGGATCATTTGCTTTTCATGCATCATTTGTTCGTTTTCAATAATAATATCACTCAAAATCCAACGGAGAATATTCAAAAACAAACCTGTTGGAGTTTCAGCTCAGTTGATCAGTTATCCGAGAAAACAGTGAACAACCGTGTGCAACCTTTTGCACAGTGCACGATTTCATCCACTGCACTGTATTTCCAAAAAAATCTGTTAATTCGTTCAAAATCACCGTCCACTTCTTGATTTCACCTAAATGACAGCAATTTAGACGGAATAATTTTATGGGGTGTTTAAGACCAGTACGATCTTTCATCCAATTATTAAAGCTTTTGATGATATATTCGGTGGGTTACTTTTGGAACAAATGCAAATGATCCTACAAGTTTTATATTAGTTATTGTACAAAACAGTCTCGATACCTGAAAGGGGCTGAACTCGCTCTTTTCACGCTCCGCCATTGGGCATGCAGAGCCTCGATCTGGCAACTTTACACAATAAAAATACCCCGACACGGGAATCACTGAACCGGCTATATTTATTGTGTAAAGTTGCCAGATCGAGGCTGTGCATGCCCATGGCGGAAGTGTGAAAAGAGCGAATGCGTGTACACCGCTCAAAAGATGGACGTAAAAAATACAATTGGTGGAGTAAGAAATACAAAACTATGATGAATTCAGCCCAGACTGGGCGGGGGATCGAGGCTTGCATAAGACGAGAGAGTCGATGTTCTGAATAATCTACACACGTGAAACATAAGGCTGGGTTTTTATTGGAACCTAATAAATCTTTACTGTGTATGAATAGCTTGACGATTTGAGAATTACCCTTGAAATCATTTTTTTAATCATTTTTTTCCCTTAAATTACACTAAGTTTCCGAGTCACTGATAAAAGACCCAAAACTAGGTTTTTTTTTTTTTTTAATAGCAGCCATTATTTCTGGATCTAGGTTACGGTCTCCCTGAACCCACTTTGGACCTAAATATGGGTTTTTATGATACGGTATCTGTGTTAACAAGGCCAAACTTCGAACCTTTGCATACATACAGGCCTGAGAAGAACACCCCCCCCCCCCCCGAAGTGCTTAATTCAAGGTTTAAAGGTCGTCGTGAAAGGTCACACAACTTCTATCAATCTGTCTTAAAAAGCTGCGTGTTATGATGAACTTCATTTTGAACAAAATGCTCTGGAATTCAAATTTTTCGTTTGCATCAACTCAGTGTAAAAAGCAAGTGCGAGTGCACAAGCTCTAGCGAAAAATGCGACACCGATGGCACATATGGAACACCATACCTTTGGTCAATTTTCGGGACCAACAGACAGACCAGCCGACCGACCGACCGACTGACCGACTGACCGACTGACCGATCACCAAGTGGCATGTAGAAGCTCCTGTCAGAGGTTAAAAATCGCACCCCCCCCCCCCCCCCCCCCACCTTTTGGGGACATTTCCTCCTAGGCTGGATTCCGTCCAACCACTACACAAAATAGCGTGCACCTTGTTCGAGGAAGATGTTGTACACATCCCAAGTGCGAGTGCACAATATAAAAGTCTTGCATGAAATCGATCAAAATTATCCCTGCCAGTGCCTGAGCTGAAAAATGCGACGCCGAAAAATGCGACGCCGATGGCACATATGGAACACCATACTTTTGGTCAATTTTCGGGGACAGACAGACAGACCACCAAGTGACATGTAGAAGTTCCTGCCTGAGCTTTAAAAATCTCACTGGAGAATTTCTCATTCACCACGGTGTATCATGATGCCGCCCTCAGTCGACCAACTTCAGATAACTCAAACTGTACTGGCCTTCAACACCAATGATAATACCCTCATATCGAAAAATCAGGGGAAGCTGAAATATTTCCAAGGTGTTTAAATACACACATCAAAGTAAAACTTGGATCACAAGGCGTTCGTATTTTTTTTAAGCGGGGGGGGGGGGTTTCCTCTTTTGGGGGTCAAATTTGATGATTGTTTTGTTCTGAGGGTACAACCATCCTTGATCTCTTGACTAGATAAAGTATAGAGAGGTAGGCCTAATTTGTACGCCATGCTGAGGCCGCGGTGTCCTAAGAGGACAACCTTCTTATATACATGTACTTGGTAGTGTTTTCAACGTTATGATTTACTCATCAAACGTCATTGTTCCAGTGGTATATAATGGGGCAATCCCCCCACCCCCGGAGTTGAGTGGTGACATTTTGCCATTACACCCTTACACCGGCGGCGAATTATTTTTTCCCAAAACAACAACGTATGGATGGTTGTTGAGCGCCCTCTACGATACTTTTATTATACGTACGCAGGTAAACAATGCCATGAATTACGATTTGTTGTTGAGCTCTTCGATGGCTCAGCTGGATAATGCCATGGTTTTGAGATCGGAGGGTATGAGTTCGAAACCACATTTTTCCAATATTTTTTTTTCTCTTCTAATTTGCGGCCTTGGAGGATTCTTCTTTTTTTTAAGCGAAATAAAGTCCGAATTTCGTTAGGTTCGAATTCATTTCTTTTTTTCTTTAATAATTTTTTTTCTCATGTTTTAGGGAAGTAGGCCTACAGTCCAAAACCTCATAGCGTACACCCCATTTGCTTAATATGTCGTTTGGGGAAAAAACTTTCATACACCGACGCGGCATGCAATCACTGAAGCCCATAGTGAACTCCGTCTATAGGTGCAGCCTACGATGTACCGCATGCAAATAAATTTCCCAAAACCATGGGAAAAATTTCGCAGAATTAATTTCTCAAACACTTTGGCCTACCGGCGTAACATCGCTGAAACTCGCAATATATAGGTCCTATACCATGTGACCTAACCCCCCCCCCCCCGCCATCATAATTTTGCCACAATTTGATTATTTACTCCCAAAGCATTGAAAAGTATAACACAATAAATAGACAACTAAAATACTTCATTCTTAAAATTCGTTCGCTGGTACCGGTACCGCAGGCACAAGCTTGAATATATTATAGCGCGTGTCAGGCATGCTCGGAGTTTCTCGTGTCCGACCGGACTAAATTCACCTTTTTTGTTAGCGCCCTCTACCATCGCGACGGCTTGACTGCGTTCAAAAATTCAAATCTAAGATAAGATAAAAATAAAAAATAAAAAAGTTCTATGACGAAAATCACCTCAGTAAAAAGGACTTAATTCTAGTTCACTTCTATCCTATAGATCAAAGAATCCTTATTAGCCTGACGAGTACGAATCGTATATACTCCGTCCGAGTCCGTCACATGTATAGTATACAGTGTACTACATAGACAGAGTCCATGCCTGGGTTGAAATTATCCCATTCTATTATTCCCCACATCATCTGTATACTCCGCATCCCACAAGTTGTAGGACCCAAGTATTTATCCTTACTAGACAGAATTATTGATATGCTTCCTGTTCCAATAGTTCCAATAAATATTTTGAAACTGCTGCCTTTAGACTACCAGGTACATAATGGAAAAATCTGAACAATAGATGGCGCCTTTTGTGCCTACCGCGCATACGAATATTTGTTGTCGATCTCAGACAATGTGACCTTAAAGCTTCCGTCACATAAAGCGACATGCATTGTCGTTCCATTGTTCGGCGACACAGCTCAGTAATTCATCATGAGAACAGGTAAGGTAACAGTCTGAATGCATGTCTAGTCTCTGCAGCAAAGGCTTTTTTTAAACTAACATATCGGATCCTTCAATGCGGAATGGTAGAACTGCCAGTATACTTTAAATCATAGAGCATGGAAACAGATTGACTCGTTTCAAGTACAGTCTGAACACCATTGTCTTACCTGTTACCATAGAGAATGTACTTGTCAAATCCAGAGCCCGGTCAATAATTAACAGAGGGAATTTGCTATTCATGGGCTGCCATTTAGAGGGAATTAATACAGGGTAGCATATTTTGGTTGCACTTTTTATTGTAAAAACTCTTGTCCCTTTGACCATGGATGGTTTCTTCCTCCATGCTTTGACGTCCCCACCAGGTCATCACCGTTAGTATTAATAGCTCAAATGGAAGCACTTCTACAAGACAAATGTCAGAAATTCCATCAGGAAATTTAGTCCAAAAAAGTGAGCCATGCAGCCAATTTTATCAGGATTCACGTTCACAATATCGAGGCCCTAAACCACTTGTGTAAATGTTTCTACGGATCCACATAGCTTGCCCGTTATCGTGATATCGCCATTATTTGTTTTTCGGATACAGCGATGTGGGTCATGTGTCACTCGGCACACTGAGGTCAGTGTGTTAAGCGCTGTACCGTACACCCACTTTACCTTTATCTGAATTTCGTTTATTTGCAGACCCCGTTTTACATGTTATTGGGAACTGTTGTTTGTGCTGTTTGCAGCGCATGCTAGGGTCAAAGGCCCCTCTGAAGTGGCATACGATCAAATGATTTCCATAAACAAGTGCTGAACATTCGGGGACATTTGGACCACAGAGTTGTTTGCCAAATGTCTATTTTGAGTGCACAGGGGAACCATGACCCCGTGGCCGAAATAACACTATGGATATGCAGTTGGTAAACAACAGACCCATAGCTTGGTAGGCCTTATATTATGACATAACAAGCACTAACCTCGTTGTAATTTGTATACCTGGCTGTCATAGTGGCAAAAGCCGGTTGTAAAATCGCAAAATACCGGGTATAGTTCGTTCGATGTTGTATATCGACGTACAGTGGGCTTCAGAAGTACAGACGTGTACATTCGTAGACCCCTTGGCTTGTGATAGTTTGTAACGTGAAGTTTAGTTTTCCGTCGTGTTCAACTGAGTTTCTCTTAGCGCATCCTCAATTCATCACCTAAACTGCTGTAGTAAGTATATGCTTTAGCTAAAAAAAATCACAAGACTGTACTCATTTGTTTTGGGAGCTCGGGCATCCTTTCTCCCTGAAGCAACTGTAGAGCATTGTCTGGGAAAATACAACTCTCCAAGGCGTTCGAAGTATACTTTTCCATCATGCACATTTTTTGGAGGGATGCATGGAGCTATATAGCTCCATGATTGGAGTGACTTTCGGGTGATACTTCAAAGGTCAATCACAAGTCAAGTCACTAGTCAGTTCACAATAGTAGAGGAATTAAGAGAAACAATGGCTTTAGTTCGGCTTCTTGGGTTGCTTTGCAACTGCATGGCTAGACTAACTCTTGTGCTTGACTTGTGGTAACCTGTGGTGCTAGCGTGATGGAACTCTGCCCCTGACTACGAATTCCAAATTACCAACCTTAATTTAATAGGATTTGTGCCATGAAAATACCATGTACATCTTCATCGCAACCTTATCGTGTTCATTTTTGTCTTGGTCATGCAACACTCACAGGTAATACACATCATTTGCAAACAAAATGTGCTTTACCGATGCAAGAATCAATAATACAATAAATCTGAAGTAGGTTATAACATGTAAAAAAAAAATAATAACTTGTCGAGATTTCAGCTCAGAAGATTATCATACTTTTTGACACAAAGCATTGGTTTCCGATGGTTTGGTCCTAACTATCGCGCGTTCACGCAAATGCTTGTAATTCCTCTTTTCTCGAAAATGACAGCATACTAGATGCAATTATTACACAGGATGCTTGATCCTTTTATTTACTCGCAATCCAATAGGATTTTGATATTTTGAAAGTTTCATTTTTGAATGATTGCAAATTGTGTCCATTACCTTTAATCACCTCCGCCAAGGAGGTTATATTGGTTAGTTTGTTTGTTGGTTGGTTTGTCTGTTAACAAGATAACTCAAAAAGTTATGGACGGATTTGCATGAAAACATCATTTTGGGATGGTCCTTGGTACAAGTACAAATCGATAAGATATTGGAAGTGATCCGGATCTGGGTCTGGATGCAGGATTTTTTTTAAGGATTCTTCACCATTTATGCCAGTATATCTTTTGGGAGTACTGACAACATGGCGGGGAATTGTTTAGTCTTGGCGGAGGTTTGTGCTCTCTGAGTGCTTTCTAGTTCACGTAGTGATGGAGACCATACATCCTAAATTTCGCTTTCTATTTTATAACCCACACAGAATAGTGTGTATTCATGCAGCGGGCTGCCTGGCTAAAGGAAAGCCTTAAAGACTGAAGACGGTCATACTTTCCTACCTAGAGTCATGGCGACGGTGAAATCGGCAGCGGAGATTGAGGAGGAGATTTTGGGCAAGTGGAGGACGGTCCAGACGGAGGGCATCCCCCAGCTACGGGAGGTCTTCAACATCGACGAGAGCGTGGTGCCGGATAACCCCCGTGGGGAGATCGACATCAGCAAGGACTCCGAGGGTGTCTACATCATCGTCAATCGGTCCGAGTGGGGCACCAAGCGATTGCGGGTGGAGCTGGGCAAACCCACGAAGGACACGGTCATGGGCCGTGAGATCGACATGGTGACTATCTGGGAAGGGCCACGGCTGGCCACTAAGGTCGTTGGTACCAAGGATAACATGGTGACCCGGGAGGTGGTTGACGGACGGCTGGTCAGTGTTGTCCACATCAACGATTTCGTCATCACTTCAATCGCCGAGAAATATTGATCCGTCATTGCAACTCGCAATTATATAGCTCTATGGGTATAACACGTCTTTCTTGCATTGCATGGATAATTGAACGACCTTCCATTACGAAAGAGAAAAATCGTCAGGCAATCGTTTCGTCGGAAAACTGCACTGTGCAAAATCCATTGGGCTAAACTGAATACAATACAGTTGGAGGACTTGCTGGGGAAACGTTTGAGACACAGAAGGGGTGTTTGTTGGACAAAATCGTCTCATGAATGGATTAAAATTACTTTACCCCTAAGTTTCTTCTTCCGCGCATTATTGGTTGTATACACTGCAATTGGTGGGAGGTTTGTGGAAAGGTAATGCAGAATTAAAGTGTGAACAAGTTTTCATTTTGCGCGCAAATGAACCTGATGCTGCGGCAGCCAAGGGAATGCATCTTTGTTTCCCGGCTATATTTTAACCCTTGTATCAGACACATTCCCTATAAAAAAAAATACTTTAATTTCGTCCCGGAACATCGTCGAGCACAATTCTCAATTTCAATTTCAAAAAGCCATGGATTTCATTTAAGGTTCAGTGTGATTCAAATGTGTAGCATTCCAATTCGTCCTTTTTGTTTTGGTAATTATGCCTATATGGCGATCAGCGTTGAAATGAAAAAGCAAATTCATTTCAAATGAAATTGAGAATTGAGCTTGACGATGTTCGGGGACGAAATGCAACTTATGAAAGTATCTTTATGGGGAATTTGTGTGATATAGGCCTATAAATGTTTAAAAAAAAAAAAAAAAAAAAAAAAAAAACGTCCACCACCGTCACAATTTTACGATAAAAAGAATTCAGCGGTGAAAAGACAATGAAGGAGAGGCTGTTAGTTTCTTAAGACAGTTGTAAAAATGTCTATAGGCTGCTATACGTAGACACGAATGTGTTTGATCTTAAAAATTTAAAACAAATTGCATGCAGAATACCTGAGATTGATGCAGTCATCATCGTGGACTGAATTCAAGACGTATGCACCAAAAGCTTCAGTTTTACAGACTTCGCTCGTACCCCCCGCCCTGCAAACAGGACGCTGGGATACTCTGATGAATTCACGCTCTGATTGGTTGGATTTCGCGTGACCTGTGACCTGCGCGTCAACACGGTCATGACTTTGCAAGGTTTGAAACGGCCGTTAAGACTGATTCATTACTCTTTTATTCCAGTTTAGAGAGATTTGTTTTCGTTGAAAAGCGTAATAATGTAGGAAATTCTTTAAAACTTATCTGTGTTGAAAATTTACAATCCCCGTTACTTGCCCAGGCTCTGTTTCGACTCACGAACGGTCGGATTGCATTATGCGACGCTCAAAATTGTGTCCACATGGTCCGCAATGAAACAGAAATCACATCCGGTATGGAACGTGTGCATTTCTAAGGGAAGTTTTCGGATAGCATTTGCGCACATTGTCTAACTGCGGTCTTGAACAGCTGCAGCCAGAATGCCAGATGCTTTATACATAGGTCATAGGCCACTTCCTTCACAAGATTCTGTGAAGCTCATCAGAGTACCCCAGCGTCCTGTTTGCAAAATTCGCTGTCTGTAAAATTCGCTCGTACCCCCCGTACGAGCGAATTTTACAGACGTGGTTCAGGCCTGGGGGCGAAGCCCCTAAACCCTTGTCAAGACTCTTGTCGAGTTTTGTGTTCTATCAATTGGCACTTCCGAGGATATTAAATGCTACTAAACAGTACTTTATCGAAACTGTACTTTTCCGAAATGCACCCCCCCCAAAAAAAAGATGATTTCCTTAAAATTAATCAGCTTTGGAAAATCGTCTTCTTTTTTATTATTTTTTTATCGGGAATATTTTTTCTGAGTTTGATTTGCTTATATGGATATCCTTACCGTATAACGTTCATGCAAAGGCTGTGTGTCGCTACTTTATGTCATAGGTGAATGCTTGGCTTTAGAAAGTGGCAGTACTTCTACAGTTGCCTGCAGCACCGAACTCATGATCTGCGGGTAATTCTGCAGGTTGTGGGTTCGAGTCCAACCTAGGAAATTATGGTGCGTGTGTCCTTGTGCAAGACACTTTGCTAGTATTCCCTTCTCCCCACCCAGGAGTAAATGGTATACTTGTAGGGGTAGATATGGTGAGATATGGTGAGCTGAGATTGTGTTTGTAATGTTTCATTGGCCCAATGAACAGGAGTAATAATGATGTGGCTCTTTGAGTACCAGTATTGTGGATACGTGCGATTTATAAAATAAATTTAAAAAAAAAAACAGATTATAATGATCATATTATAAAGTTTAAGCCTCAAGATTGTTTTAATGCCACTTGTGAGAGCCGAACCGAAGTCACGGAGGAAGAGGACACAAATCGCGGAGATTTTTTGTTTCTAATTATGGCATTGCATTCGCTCTTCTCATGCTTCCGCCATGGCCATGCAGAGCCTCGATCTGGCAACTTTACACAATAAAAATAGCCGGTTCAGTGATCTGAACCCCGACACGGGAATCACTGAACCGGCTATAAAGTTGCCAGATCGAGGCTCTGCATGCACATGGCGGAAGTGTGAAAAGAGCGAATTGTGGGAGAAGTATATCTTCCATGTCCGTCCTTGCACGACACGTTGCATCTTTGAATGATGATTCGTAATAAATAAGTTAAATCGTATTCAATTAAGTAATGAGAGGTTTCAGTTCATTTCTCGTGAGATCTCATTTTTAACTTGTAATACCTGTAAAAAATAATAATAATGATCCACGATCAGTAATAAAAAGCCGTCTACTTTCAAAGTCTGAAGCCAGGAGTTTTCATAAGGTATTGCTGTTTTTGAGGAAACGTGTGTGCAGATATTACTATGCAAAATTAATCATTTGTATTCTCAGTGCCTTCACATGATTGAAATAGTTAACAATCAAAGATTTATAATCTTTGGAGTATTTCTTCCTTGTAGAAACCTAGTCCTGTCTCTTATTTTCTCAGAAATTTTGTATAATAAACTGATTGTATTTAATGTCACCGTGGATGCAAGGATACGTGTTAATTCACCGACATAATCATCTTCGACTTTTTGTTTGAAGTCTTTCTTTTCCAACAATCAAGACAAACATAAACTGAACGGTTATCCACTATATTTTGATAACCTGCCAAAAAAATGGTGAAATAAAGTATTCCTTAAAGCCCCGTGGTACTGTGTAAGCCATGTTTTTGACTTAAGTTATTGTGTAAGCCATTGTGTTTGACTTCAGTCAAAAGTGTGTAGAAATTAGCTCTCAGTATACTCCTTTTTTTTGGAAAAAAAATATCTGATAATTGTTTGTTTCCAATACCATAATTCATAATTGCCAGGAATAATAATCATTTCCCCAAACTGTGAACATTTCTGTCAAACTAGGCTTCTTTTCAAGAAGATATGATTCCACATTTAAGGGGGAAAGAAGAGAAGAAAATATTAAAAATAGAAGGCTAATTATAGGTTTGATTGTTATAGAAATTGTAGCCTTTGGACCACATCTGTTCGAGATAACATTTGACCTCAAACTCTATTCCAGCGATTTCCAAAGAGATAACTTAAAAAAAATTAAAAAACAAAATCACGACTTACACTCCCAGTTCCATTTTGAGGACCACAATTTTATGCCCCTAAATTTCCTCGCAAGGTAATTACTATTCTGGCTCAAGATCCAAAGATAATCTGACCTAAGATTTGTCAGAAAAAGGCAGAATCTTTTGGTCTTGGAACCAAACTAGGTAATTACACGAAAACTGCAAATTTCCAAGCTATACGTTTATACATGTATAAATGTATTCTGTTTTTGCAACTTTCCAACCATTTTCGTTTAGCGGTAAACGAGTTTTCGAGCCCCAATTGCCGCTTTCTCTCGAAAATACCTCATTAACAAGATGGATGCCTGCATCGCCACAGTGCGCACGTCATGCGCACATACGATTTAATATTGACCCCGTGTCACGTCGTCGTGCAACATTATTCATCCAATGAGAGCTATGAAAAAGTTGATCCTGGGTCATCGGGTAAACAGAAGTCGTCCAATGAGAGCTCAGATGAGAGGTTAGGACGAGCAAACAGTGGTCAGGAATTTGAAACGTGGATACCAGTTGACACTAGGTGGCGCTGTCAATGATTGAAACGTGGCGCTGTCATTAACCCTAACTCCCTAGGGCATGTGGAAAAGCATATTAAAATTGGAGGATTCAGGACTTTAAATATTATGCACACGTACGTGCGCTATACTGGGGGGGGGGGATTCCTTAGCTACTTAAAGCAGTTAAACTTAGTCGTACGCTCTTGATTTACAATGTAAAATAGTCTGGAAGTAAGAAAAAGCTAACAGTAACCAGTCTGACTTTTTGGCGGTATTTTGAATGGATATTGCGGCTTACTAACCATATCATTTAATCGTGATCTTGAACAGCGCTCGCAAACTTGTAAAATCAAACTGGAACTTCCACATGTGGCTCCAGGAATAAAGGCCCTTCACGGGATCGATAATTCGAAACGAAGTACGTATTCGTATATAAATGACCTCAATTCCGCTATATACATAAGTGTACCGATTCCGATCACGCAAGCTCGGTGGTAGAGTGGCAAGACGTCTGCACTAGTGGGTTCGAGTCCCATGCATCCGAGTGATTTTTTTCCAACTTCCACTCAGGAGGTAGCCAGTGTTGGAGTCGTGTCCTCCAATCCGAGTACAGAGTACTCCGAGTACTTTAGGGGCCCAGTCCAGGGCCGAGTCCAAGTACACTGTGACGAGTCCGGGTCCAAAGCACCGAGTACGAGTACATGCAAGGCTGAGTACTGGCCCCGGCGAGTCTGAGTACCTAAGTCCGAGTCCGAGTACGAGTCCGAGTATGAGTCTGAGCACAATACCAAAAAAATATGCAATCCCCAATTTTATCTGAAAGTCCCGAAACTGATGACATATTCAATCATTTATACAACCATAAAGCTAAGAAAAAAAATTGCAATGATGTAGCACATGTGATATACGCAATTGTAATCCAGGTGTACGTGGAAAGGCTCTGTGATCACTCAAAATATAATTTCTGTAAAATTCTCGAGATTTCCCTAGGCAACGGCCAATATATGTCGCTGCCTATAAGGATTTTGCTTGGGAAAAATCCCGAAATGGTAACCGTAAAGTAGCGAGCGAACACAAAAAGCATGGGCTTGGCAGGCTCCCGATTCTCGAATCCTCAGTGCTATGACTTTGAATGATAGTAACATTGGGAGGGCGGGAACTAGATTAGGCTGTTATCATATATCGGCAGCGCGCGCATACGCGCGACCTTACCTGGAGGGTCACGTGCACTGATCTCTATATAAAGACTGGATAGCATACAGAAAGCCTCACAAGAACGCCATTTGACCCTACAATATAGACGTCTTGACGTCGGGGGAAATTGTCAGGTCAGGAAACTAGACAATGTGCCCTGGTCTACATGTGGATTGGGTTTTCAGTCCCTACCTGATTCCGTGGGTTTTCCCCAGAATATTCCTCTGGGGTTTTCCTCCCACCTCTAAAACTGTCATTTCTTCTCAGTGTCTTCTCTCTACAAGTTTCTTCAGGCTTGCGACGGAGCTACAGTGCCTGGGTCATGTACTTTTGAGGAATCCTTGGTTTCATTACCAGAAATAAATAAATAATTTAATAATCGCTTACTTCGTTTCGTATGAAAAAAAAAGGATTAAATGCTTCAGATTTCAAATATGCACTTGTCATTTTTCAAGGCTGGGTTTGGGGCAACCTTGAAATTATAAAGCAAATAATTCTGCGCAAAAAGTACTGCATTTATTAATGTTAATCGCGATTAATTAATATTAACAAAGTTCATAAAGTACAAGTGATACCATGTTCGAATGAATAAAACATGGCATTCGCTTTTACTACCAGTTTTTAAGCATTTACTCGCATATGTATGAATGAACATTAAGCAAACGCTTTTACTGACAACCATTTGCTAAATTCGGAAAATAATTAGTTTGTACCTGTTAGCTTTTGCTACACTATAAGCGTTTACTTCGTTTCAAATGAATAAAAAGAAGTAAATGCTTCATATTTCAAATATTTACTTGTCATATTTTTTTCAAGGCTGGGTTTGGGGCTACCTTGAAAATATACAAGCACATAATTCTGCACAAAAATTACTGCTTTTATTAATGTTAATCGCGAAAAATTAATATTAACAAAGTTCATTAAGTACAAGTAATACTATAGTTCGTACAAATAAAAACTGGCATTTGCATTTACTGCCAATTTGTAAGCATTTTTACTCGCATCTGTTTGAATAATACTTAAGCAAACGCTTTTACTGAATTTTGCTCTTGGGTAAATGGCCTGCTCAATGTAAAGGTTTACAGGTTTATAAGTTTGCAGAAAATATCATTATCGTAACCGAAACGGAAAGCGGCACATGTGTGCGCAGCGCGTACATACTCTGTGCGCATTTCTAGCTTCGCGCGCGTTGAGCTAGGTCACGTGCTAGAGGACAGATACATTATTTGTAGCTGTATGACTTTATGGTTTTTTTTGCGCGTCCACGAGAGACCACAAAAATGGCGCACATTTATCGCACAGATAATGGGGGCGTGTGCACGCGTTGCCCATCTAGTCTTTTTAGTCTACATCTTGGGCCGTTGTAGCATGAATTTAGGTTTTATGAAATACGGACTCATTGGTGGTATTGCGCATGCTCATGCATAGATAATTAGGAGAGGAACCGGTCACGTAGAGGGTTTAACCAATAAAAGGGAAAAAGAGTCCGATTTTCATACGAGTCCGATTTTCATATGACACCATAATACAGACTGCAACCGCGCCGCGCCACCGGGCTCGCGTTGCGTCCAGGATGAGCTATAGAGTCGATTTTCAAAAAAAAGTACTCGATTATTTTGTACTCCCTCGGGTACTGGATTCGAGTACCGAGTCCAAACCAACGCGTCCGTGCCAAACTTCGATTACAAAGAATCGAGTGTGGGCCCGATTCCAAATAATTTTCGAGTACTGGTAGTCGAGTACGGGCCGAGTACTTGCGTGTACTCGAGTTATTCTCAAGTACGAGTACTCCAACACTGGAGGTAGCACACTGAAGGGCAAAAAACCCTAATACTGAATTACATGAGTTGAGTTCATTCAAAGTCTTCGTTGTTAAAAATCTGTTTTGATTAACATGACTTAAGAAAATTAAATATCCGTTGCAAAATCATTCATTGTTTTCGCTAATTTCAATGTTGCAAGGTTGGATCGTTGCTGTAATAAAATCGGCGTAGAACATAATTATCTGTCTACAACTTCTTGAAGTACCGTTTGGTCGCTACGTCCCCTCGGCGAATTGTGACAACCAGTTCCCCGTTCACGATTTCCCTCTCGAAGGTCCGAGGAACCTCGTCGACATCACCAATCGAGGCAGTGTCAGGCACCACTCGCTGTACCAGCTTGGCGCCCTCCCATTCGGCCAACACGCGGTGCTCCCCGTCCCCAAACATCGGGTTGGTCTCCGGGTAGGCACGCCCCAGCGTAAAGCTCGTCACCCGCACACCCACGGGCGTGTTTGTTGAGATGGTGAAACGGTCGCCGTCCTGTCCAATCTCCAGCACAGTAGTCACGGAGTTGATCAGCTTACGCGTGATCCATGCGAAGCCGGCAGCCTTCAGGAACTCGTCGAAGTTCTCGTTCCGGTCCAGCTGCCATTTGCCGCTCAGATCCACAGCTGGAGCCGTAGTTTCGCCAGCCATTGCAATCGCGTCAATACAGGGCTCTAGCTAGCTGAGCTTGCAAGGAAATCCTGCAGTCACTGATTCAATACCATGACCCAAAGTCCAGGGTTGTGTTACTGGAATAAATACAACACGGGTCGCGTCTGACGAAATATTTAATGAGGCGCGTGACTTTGACTCATTTTGGCATAAAGCCATACATGAAACTGCTTTGGCAATTGTTGTCGAAAATTGCCTAATATGGGTGCTCTGGCCGATATGCCACAGTAGACATCATCCAAACAAAATTACTTCAAACATTATTTTGACATCTATCTTAATAGGCTATATCGATTGTTTTATGTGACAGCACATGCACACGGAATCGTTTGTTAATCATTTTTGCTTCACACTACACCATTCGTGCACATCAAAAGAATTTGTCCTTGATAGTATCTCACAAACTTTTTGATTAGAGGATTGTCTGCAAAGATCATTTTCTTTATTTTGTCCACTGCATTGTGTAGGCTATATTACTAGGTTATCACAGTCTTATAACTTCTTGGGCCACTATACCACAAATTGAAATCGAAATAAACGGGTTGTTGTTTTAGAAAGACAATGAATGATACAGAAAAGACGCACCTCGATTTTCTTTCATGTTCTTTTTTTTTTTTTTAGATATTACACACTATAAAAAAAGTTTCATTAAGCATATGAACATTTCACGAAACATACCTCTCTGACAGAATATATACAGCACCCATACGTGCAAAATGAGTTCCCTTTGTTTTCCATAATTTTTTTAAAATATCTTTTTTTTTTCAAGAAGTTAAAGGGAATATACATCATTTGCTTTTGCTGTAATTTTCAGAAATGGAAGGAATTGGGGGGTTGGAAATATATAGCAAATATAGTTACACTGACTTTTTTGAGGTTTTGGGTTCGAAAATGCTATAAATACCAAGAAAAACAATCATTTTCCTGTAGTCTGGTTCCCTGACTCCATATAAGAAGAAACAGAGCAGTTTACATACATTGGGGTATTGTAAGGTCAGGGAACCAGTCTAGCTGGCTCGTACCCGTTCATAGGTTTGTAATCGATTGCAAACAAGTGCGATGGTCAATTGGGGCCAGTATTTGAAAAAAAGCCAGTTTTTTCCAACGCTGATCGGCCGATCAGCGTTGGAAATTGATACAAAAATACCACTTTTCTTGAAAATGACAGTATACCAGGTGCCATGATTTTACAGGATGCTTTACACTGTCATTCACTAACAGTCCAGCAAGGTATTTCAAAATGATTTGGTAGTTTTATTTTTTGATGTTTGCAAATGTTGTATTTTCCCTTTAAGGTTTAAAGTAACCGAAAACCCTTCTAATTGCTGACATCATCTAAACAAGAAAGCTTAACCTTTTTTAATCTCAGTCGACTTACTGAATAAATTTATGACTTTCGAAAATTGGTTTTAAACTTAAAGCAAATTTATAAGCAAATGTATATCTAATAAATTTGATTCACCTGTGCCTTCTGATTCTCTGAAGTCTATTTGACGAAAATTCCACTTTACCGATGAAAATCCACTGTATACTTGATAATAAAAAAAGTTATATCAAATTGAGCCGCACAACAATGATTTCCCAGCGTTTTAGGAACGATAGGTTATGAATTTCATGAAAATAATTATTCGGCCGAACAAAGATTAATATGTAATTTTAAAAATGGTTTACAAACCATGTAATTTATGGCTGCCGAGAGTAATCAGTCACTGTCAAGGAATGTCAACAGCAGAAGGTATACGTTGCAAGTATCTTGCTGGTTTTCTGCGACAGGACATTATTAACTTGGAGGCCAGGAATTTGTTGTAAGATTTCACTCAGGCCAAGTCGTCTTATAGACTTGACTCTATACTGTAAAGCTCTGGCAATGTCCAGTGTCTTGAGACCAGGCAGGAGTCTATACATCTTTCTTCTTGAAGATCCGCTTACAAGACTTATCCCCACGTCGCATGGTGATAACCAACTCCCCGTCAACTATCTCTCTTTCGAAGCTCCTATCTAACTTATCATCTGGACCGTGAACCACCTTCTGGACCAGCTTAGCCCCCTGCCACTCAGGCATCACTCGGTGCTCCTTGTCCCCCCACAACGGATTGGTCTCGGGGTATTCGACTCCCACCGTGAAGCTGGTCACCCGGTTACCCATCGGCGTCTTGGACGTGAACGTGAACACCTCTCCCTCTTGCTTGATTTCGATGGTTGGATGGAGGGCGGTGATCACCTTGCGTTTCATGAAGCCGATGCCGGAGGCCTTCAGGAACTCATCGAAGTGCTCGTTTCTCGCCAGGTGCCAGGTGCCGGCCAGATCCGCGGGGGAGTCTGCATTTCCCGCCGCGGCGTTCTCTGCGGTGGGCACCGGTGGTGTATCTGATGCCGCCGCAGTGTGTTCATCACCGGTGGGACCTGGTAGCGGTTCCGATGCCGCCGCGGTGTCCTCGGTACTAGTAGTAGTAGGGCCTGGTTGTGGGTCTGATGCCGCTGTGGTGTTTTCAGTACCAGTAGGACCTGGTTGTGGGTCTGATGCCGCCTCGGGCTCCGATGACGAGAGAGGATCTGTCACGGTGGGTTCCTCAGTCTTGGCTTCTCCCTCAGTTGGGGGTTCTGATGTCACCGGCTCTGATGCCTCTGCTTCTGCCATCGTGATTCGGTGAGGAAAAGACTTTTCTTTTGGGCGTTGTTATCTTTCTTGTCAGGTTTAGAACACGTAGTCCTGAATAAACCGACGCCACAAAGTTCACGTCTATTGCAAAATACTATCTGCATAAAGAACCCTAGATGAATACACGCATTATTCCATGTAGGCTGCTGTGCGTGACTACAGGTATTCGTGGGCGTATTGTGTTATAGGGGTCAAAGCTGGCAATCGTTTTTCAGCGATACATGTACCATTTTGTGGTTGAATGCGCAACTAGCTAGTACCAGACTATTTCGTATCCGCAAAACAAAGTCTGGGATCAACATTAGCAGAACACGTTCCGTAGACTTGTCACAAGTCCGACTGTTTTTGTGTGAACTCTTTTGCCGATGAATTTGCGCCCTCAACGACGGAGTATTTTATAGTCATGGTAAGTTAGTGAGGCCTTTACTATTTTCATGATCAAGAAGACACCGGCCCAAAAAAAAAACTTGAAATGAAAAACAAACTCCAAAATTAACAAGATAATCAATGACAAATCGACATGGAGGTTCTTATTTACTCCTGTAGGCTTTTCTTTTCTTTCGGTACAGTTGCATTATGAACAGACTTTTGTACGGCTAGCATTCAGAGTTAAAAAGAAGTGTCAATAATGTCCCCTCACACCTCCCCTGCACCGCCTTTCAAATGTCCCGAGATACTGGTCAACCTGATATCTGATATCTGATATTTAAGACTCTTTCCCTTTTGATTTTTCCAAAAAGAATTCAAGATCTTGCCCTTTTTCTGAAACTTTCTTAAGTACTCATGGGCAAAACTCGATGTTATTTTGTTAAGTATTTTCTTCTTTTTTTTCTTCAAATTTGCCACAACCAATATAACTGCCCTCTTAGTGCGTCCGCCGTAATAAAGAAACACTAATTGGGCCACGGGCAATACGTACGCAAACTTAAATTGTGAACCCTACGAACTCATTTCTAAACAAACAACAGAACTGTTAATCGGGCACCCAGAAATATTGGTGAAGTATTTGCACTGTGTCCCGTAAAAGCTTCCAATTACCAGTATTGACGTTTCGGCATCAATAACGGCGATTTTTTTTTCACAGACATGAAGTTTAGAATTTCTTCTTCTGTTATAATTTAACATTTCAATCATACTAGCAGAAGTAAAAAAACAAATGTAGCACTTTAATGACTAACTAAAGAAAAATGTGTGCATAAGCTTTCGTAGCAACAACTACTTCATCAGATGCAATGAAGAAAAAATACTGGTAAAGCTGACCTAAAAGTCGTGGAAAAATCGTTCGAAAATGTCTCCAAATCTTTTTACTAATTCTGAGCATTTTGGATGCAATTGGGCTCGAAAGTGGCGCTATTTTGCCATGTTGTGGAGGGATCGTTTTTCAAGATGGCTACTTTTCCGCTTTGGGGAAAATAGGGGACGTCTTCTTTGGGTGAGAATATCTCGAAAAGTCAATGGTCAACCCACCAAAAAATAAACAGAAAATGAAAGATGACATGTTCTGTGCAGCTTATATACATGTGAGAGTTCTGAGTATTTTTAAAAGAATTTTGAAGTATGGGCATTTAGCACTGGTGTCTATGGTAATTTTAATACAAGGTTGCACCCTTAAAATGATTTCTAACCCTTTTTGACCCCACATGCCAAATTCCATGCTTTTAAAACAAAGTGCACGAATTGGGCCAAAAAATGGACCTAAGCAGCTCCACTATAAACACACCCATCGGAGTCTGCTTGGGCATGGCGAGGAGAATCAACAAAAGCCAACCAAAATCAGCCGGAGAAAGATCTGACCAGTCCCGTAATTTGCAAAAAAGCGTAAAAATGAGGCAAAGAAAATCACTGCTGAAGGCTAAAAAGCTGTCAATCATTGAACTGATTGCTCTGGGCAGGGGCTTTAACTTTATTCCCACCCTTAGAAACCTTAAAGGTCGACCATCCTTCGCTACTTCCCACTCATTCTTTGTAATGAGACTTCGTTTAAAATGGGAGGGAGAGTAAGACCGTCTGACTCGCATCCATTCAAACTGCTGATGCTGATAATAAATCCTCATTTCCTTCCCCTTTAAATCAATTTTAATTCAGGTCGGCAATTTTCTTGTTATTGTCCACCAATTCCCTGATTTTTGCCAGCACGTACCGGTTCTTTTTTGCATAAAACACTTCTCTCTCAGAAAAAGGCAAAACTGGACAAAATAATCACCGGTGGCGGCCCCCTAAAAAAACATCCCCGTCCTTTAACTGATATGACTTGAAATGTATAGCGTAAAGTGCCTGACACGCTGCTTTCGTTACACACAAACTCGTCCGCTGCACGTGCAGCAAGCACCGTTAATACTTATAATTATCTCGTGCGCACGAGATAATTATCTCGTGCGCACGAAATAATTATCTCGTGCGCACGAGATATTATGTCGTGCGCACGAGATAAAAAAAAAATAATTTTGGATGTCCCTTTAGGGGCTCCGTAGATTTCTGAAGTGCATTTAGCAGATTTTGGCGGTGACCTTACGGTCGCACTGGTCAAAAGAATGTCTGAGAAACGCTTGCTGAAAGCCGTCGAAGGAGGAAGTAGGGTGGACGGAAATTCCGTAACAGAGATGTGATCAAGCGACATATATGAAGAACACTGCCATGGATGACAACAACTGGGAGAGAGATGCTCTGGACCGAAGTAAATGGCGCTTCATTGTCAGGAAATCAATTCCAGCAATTGAAGACAAGAGGCAGAAAGAGTATGTCAAAGCCAAACGAACGCAGACATACCATGTCAGAGCAGGCAACACACAGATGCAACTATTGTAGTCGACAATGTCGAGAAAGAAACGGTATGTCAACAGGATTAAAGTAATCAATTTTTTCTTCACACCCTGTAAACTCAACTTTTTCAAGATAAAAAGGAGGGAGGTAACACACACTGGGTATACAGTGTTTATATGTCGGTGAAGGGCAAAAAAAATCCCTAATATTATTGACAGACAAAAAGGAGTTTCGCAAAACCAAGAGTAACTCATGTCACATCAAAAACTCGCCCAAGTCCCGCATATTTCTTTGAACGAAATCGAGCTTAATTTTTAGTTTTTATCTCCAAAAGTGATTCAAAAATTTAAAGTAAATTGTACTTAGGTCTATTTATGCGTATCCTTGTTGAACACAAGCGCTAAAATGCCACTGCTTCCCCAATGCAGCATGACCAGCAATCGTCGTGTGACATGCTGTACAAAAGTTAGCCTAATGTGTTGGATTAAAACGCCAAGAAAAAAATTGCACATCATTGCCGTATCCTTGATTCTGTCAACCGATGTCGGTTTGTACTAATTCTTCTGTTCGCTCGAAAGTAAAACGAAACAACTGTTGATTTTGTGTCTTTTAACCTTTTCCGGGGTGTTTCTTGCTGTGGTTCCGATGACCCAGTATTCGAGATAATACTAAGTTCGGATAGAGGGCGGTATTTCTCATCCCACCCACTTCCAACAGTCATTCTGAACTATAACAGAAGTACAAAGGTTACAAATTCGTGCCTCAGTTTCCTCCACTTATCCCAACAGTTAAAGAAACATGATTGATAAGCAGCGACTATTATAAGTAAGTAATAGTCCTGGGATGCCGTTGCGCTGCTTGAATGGACAAGGAGCTTTCACTGGAGTGATCGTTGTTTTAAAGTACATGTATTTCAATATAAACAAACAAATAAGAGTTAGTTGCTCTCTGATGTCGGTTTGTACTAATTGTTCTGTTCGATCGAAAGGAAAACGAAACCACTGTTGATTTTGTGTCTTTAATTTTTGCCAGGATGTTTCTTGCTGCGGTTCCGATGACCCAGTATTCGAGATAATACTAAGTTCGGATAGAGGGTGGTATTTCTCATCCCACCCACTTCCAACAGTCATTCTGAACTAACAGAATTACAAAGGCCTCAGTTTCCTCCACTTATCCCAACAGTTAAAGAAACATGATTGATAAGCAGCGACTGTTATAAATAAGTAATAGTCCTGGGATGCCGTTCCGCTGCTTGAATGGATAAGGAGCATCCCTTAGCCCACCACTTCTTTCATCCTTGCTTTTTTGAAATATTTTCGGGCCGGGAAATATCAGAATTGTTCAGTTTGAGGACTTTCTGTGCCGAATTAACCCGAAGGCCCCACGGTCCCAAAACCAAGTTTGGTCTTCAAAAGGGAGTATATAGGAAGCAATATAAATCTTTGACTGATCACTATATAAATGACTGATCACTATAATGGACCGATCCAGTAAGCCCCTCCCACTGCGCACGTGGGCAAATTAACACGTGCTCCTCTCCAATGCCACGCTGCATTTTCCTTCCGCGCGCATCATACGCGCGTGCACGCATGTCGGACTTTAGTGCACGCACGTCGGACATAAATCACGGCTGTGATTGGTCAGAACACCATGGGGCGGTGCTTACTGGATCGGTCCATTATGGTTAATGTGTTTAACAGAAATTGGACCCCCTCCCCTCCCCCGTAACATCCAGCCCCAGCCCTTCCACCCCCTATGTGGTCAGAACCCTGGCTATGCCGCTTCCCCGGTAGGCCAGGGTGCATAACAATTAAGGCCAAAAAAATTAAAATACTCGGTCTCTGGTCAGCGCGCGCGTCGATTTTAATCATGCGCGTCAACCTTTTTTTTCCTTCAAATTAACACGGAAGCTACAACAGCGCCCTCTATTACCGCACCTCCTCAAATTTTTGTACCAAGGAGCACCAAGGAATTGGGAAATTGCACCAAGGCAAATGATAAAGGGCACCAAGGCAAATTATGGAGGACACCAATGCACAATGAGAACACAAAAAAGCAAAATAGTACCCACCTTGTCTGTACAATTCAAGCTTGAAATAAAAAGAGCCACAAAAAAAACCGCGTCGCCGCATCAATTCCGGAACTTCAGTCTGACCAGAGACCGACTATTTTTTTTTGGCCTAACCTGTTGCAATATCAGCTCAGTGGATACATTTTGAGAAAACAGAGAAACATGTGCACAAGTAGTGTGCCGCGTGAGCTAATCTTCAATGTTAGTTTCCTTCCAAACGATACTATTTCAGGCGGAATAATTTCATAAGGTATTTGATATCAGTCCTATCTTTAAGTTGATCACTCAGTGATCAAGGCTTCTTTCATCAAAGTGTTAGGTAGGCCTATAACTTTCCAACTAATTGCAAATGATCATATGGCCTACGTGGCTTTAATGTTGTACATTGCAATCATTTTTAAACACAACCAAAAAAACAAACAAACAACAACAACAACAAACAAGCATACAAGCACCCCGAGGGACAGACATAAGTCAGTACACTCGACCAAAATGTATTTACGTACATGACTTTTTGTATTGACAAACAAGTGCATCATGAATATGCAGTTACAATACAGTTTGTGTACACTTTAATGTTATTAGAAAGACTTTACACAGTCGAATCCGGGCACGATATCACTGTTCACGCATGAGGCCCCATTTCAATGCAATTAACAGTGTCCAATGACAGATTATCTGAACAATAGCTAACACAATGCTTTCGCCATTGAAGGGGGCCTACGTGACTGAATTGATTGCGTGCCCGGATTGGTCAATATTCGAAAACTGCACTCACTGATTACATTGTTACACTGTTTCACTGTTAAAAAGGACGATCACATTATCACAGGTCGTTCTACATTTTTACTGTAAAATCAAAATTGATTAAAATCGGTTTCACAACACAAATACTTTTATATATTTACACTCTTGAAGTTAAAGAATCTACAAATACATTCAATAGCAATAATGGATGAAAATTGTATAAAAAGGAAAAACTTTTTTTCATTTTATTGCATGTTAAAACATGATAACTACTAAAAATTTATTTTAAAACTTCACAATCTTTCCAATTCCCTCATACATGTATTATAATTCTCATAGCAAAATGTTTTTCCCACAACGGTGCATGAAATTTAAAGGGCGGGTATTTTACTCCTTATAGATATGTTTTAATTAGGCCTATGAGAATTATATTTAAAATATATACCTAATTAGCCGGTAGACACCGTAACCAATAAGTCCGCAAACAGCAATACAGAGTAACCCCCCAAATATACCGCAGCAGCAGGCCTCTATCTCATTTTGGGGTGTGTGGTACGTGTAACCACTGCTGACATATTTCTTTACCGGGAATTTCTTACGGTACAGCTGGATGTTTACGTCGCATCCTTTCATTGGGTTAAAGTCCAGAGCGGAGCAGTACTTGTTCACGATTTCCGAGTAAGAACCAGAAGGCACAGATTGAAAATCACGCTCCTCAAACATCAGGTCGAGTCCGGCAGGGTCGGCGAAGTCATTACGAAACTGACTGTCACCGTCGTGGTCATTGTCAATGTACAGCACGTGACAGCCAGGCTTGATCTCACGAAGAATGGCCCGCAGTGCGCTCCCTCGACTCCTGTCAGCGCGGAGGAAGGCAGCTGCCGCCGAGAAGGATTTCACCAGGGTGACGAGATCGGCGTCACGGACGAACTGCAGAACATCAGCACTCAGGCCTGCGTCTCCGACAAGGTCGCATCTTTTGTAACTGACCCAGTGTTGACGTGGAAGGTAATAGGCAATGGCGTCCCAAGCCCGTTTCCAGGTGGGGTAAAGATCCAAGACGAGACAGTTAAGCATCCGGGGATAGACATGGCTTTGCTCCAGAAAAGTGGTCAAGCCGACCAGGTCAGACCCAGGCCCCCCTCCAACACTACAGACATTCAGTGTGGACAGATCGCTCCAGTAATCAGAAACTGTTCCTCTTTCCGAGGCCTGCATCAGAGAGTAGAAGACGAGGTTGCAGTGCTGTATCAGATACACGAACACGTAGGCACAGCGGTTAGCTGCTTCCTTCCAGTCCGTGCGGTACCGGAGGGAGGCCGTTGACAGACCCGTTCGGTAATTCTGCGACACGTCTCTCAACGCCGCCTTGACTTTCTCCACCTTTGACGAGCCATCGACTTCACGCAGAAGGTCCGGCAAGATGTTGGACAATAGGCTGCGGAAAGAATTTGCCGCTTCGGCCTGGCTCTTGCTCCCCGTAAAACTCATGTTGTGTTTTTCTGTGAAATAAAAAATATATATATTTTATCTTAATAATATGTGTAAAGCCCTTGATCCGGCACTAAAGGGGGGATATTATTACATGTTACTAATTACTTAGGGTCTTTGATATACTTTGTATAGAAACCTGTAATCAAGTAATCACGTTTACCTTTCCTATAGTTAAAAAAGTGACACGATTACTAGTTTTCCTTTATTCGGATATAAATGTATCGTGAATTACTATCGCGCTAAAATTATCTGATTGGCCTCTTGAACTTGAGAAGTTAGTTTCAAGTTCAACTGCGCAATGTAGGGGAATTCTGGCTGTGACGACGATTTCACAAGGTATTTGTTAGACTTGGTGCCAAGCCGGTAATTGGTTGAGTACGGTAGCCGGTTACTGGCTCCACGCACGCAAACTATCGCTGTGGCTGCAATGCGCGTAGTCTGGTTCCCAGACCAAATGATGCTGAAGTTCACGGACAAAATACGACTATATGACGACTTGTCATCAAGTCTAGGGTTTTTTGTTGGCAATTCAGGGCTTTGGGTCAATTCAATCGCGAGATTTCTCACTCGAGAGTCATAAGGGGTTTTCCCTATATAATAACACAGCGATGTCATCAGGGGATTTAATCTCCTAACAAAATTAATGACGAGCTTTCTCGCGGGGAAACTTGCAAATTAAATGGCGTGTATCCGAGAATTAAGCGGGCAGAATGCTAAGCGCTTGCGAGAGCAATGGCTTTATAAGCAGCTGGGGCCAATTTCAAAGAGCTGCTTAAGCACACATTTTGCTTAGGGCTAAGAACAAAAACACTTGCTTATTATTATCAGGTTACCGGCCCAAACCCCATGCGATGTACATTGCTTGTGAGTTTGTGACTGTTATTTAGCTGTTGTTTACTTAGCATAACAATCGCCTGGAGTTTGTGCTGGTAAACTTATTATATTCAGCTCTTTTTTTTGTGCTTAAGCAAATTTTGTGCTTAAGCAGCTCTATGAAATCGGCCCCCATGGTGCGAACAGGGAGGTCAGTTCCTTTAACCTGTCTATTCCACGGCACAGTTTTTGCTGGACGAAGTGGGCCGGCGTACTCCCCCTCCCCAGCCCAAGTTTCACACAATTTCCCCTAGAATATCCCAACAAGATATAATTGGGCAAATTTTCATTGGTTTCTTCTCTTTTTTTTGGGGGGGGGGGGATAAACATGTCTACGCTGCCCGTATGTGTCTCAAGTTGAGCTCTTTATACGGGACAGCTCGACCGAGATGCTTTATTTACAATCAAAAGTCCGGGGGAGAAAACACAAGACATTAACTCGTACTTTTACATAAATTCTGTACCGATAATCTAATCCAACAATGTCCGTTATAGACCTGTTTTTACTGATAACACCAATGTACTTACATGACTTGTGATGATCTTGCTGGCCCATTCGGAGGTTGTTGTTGGTTGTTGCGAGTCCAACAAAGGAATGAGTTTAAGTCGACGTGTACACGCACCGTCGCAAAGCAAGCCGATTCCGTGGTCCAATCACGATGACTGACTGTAACACGTCATCGACTTCTTAGCTATAGGTACTTTCCCGCCTGTCATCGAGTAATTTTTAGAATATGACCACGTCCCCGGGGTGTCGAGCAGTACGCGCCCATCACTACCTTACTATAGGAAACGAGGTAGGAAATAAGTAAGCCCTGGGGACGAGGTTGAGAAAAATGTGCTAGCAAATTATGGATATCAGTGAAGCGAATGCACGATGTCGCAATCTGGAAGTCCAGACAGTGAGTAACAACTATAAGTTCCAGGCACACGGGCAGTAAGACTTGCTCCAGGAAAAGGACCGATATCGCGCAAATAAAATAATTTAGTTTTAATATAGGTTTTCTCGGTCAATTTCGGCAAATGAGCAGCCAATTTAATTTTCAAGCGTTCGAATTGAAGCTATTTTGCCTCTCCAGTTGTTACTGCGTTTCAAATTCAGAATTCGGCCATTCAATTTCGTTTTGAGGCATTCAAATTCCTTTAGCACTGTGTTCAATTTAGCATATCGTCATTCTTTTTCGTGACACACAATCATCATTCAATTTAGCAAAACTGGTTCGACTGGAGATTTTACTGATTTAATTTTTTTCAATTTCGTAAAGAGGCAATCAATTTCGCTTAAAGAGAATTCAAATAAGTACGACTAAAGAAATACGAATAAACAGATAAACTGTACTAGGCAACTGTTTCGTATCTTCACTTTAATTCAGGCAAACCTTGTTTTCTTTATTTATGCTTCCAGTAGACTTTACATGGGGCCAATGAGGTTTTTTCTTCTTCTTTGTTTTCTTCTTCATTCTTTTTTTTGGGGGGGGGGGATCTTTATTGGTTAACTGACCAAGACCTAAATTTGTATTGTGTTTGAATGGGGTGTTTCTTTATGTTTTTCCTGGTGTTTTATTGTTTATGTTGTTTCTTCCTCAACCATCAATCTGTTGGCGTGCCAGACATCTTGGCATATATGTTTGGGTATGGTTGTACCACTGCATGCACTTTACTTGGGTGATGACATCAACGCTCTGGATGGCTGCTTGTTGAAGGAGATCGCACCTCCACTGCTGCATGTTCATTCCTGCTTGCTGGGCAGCCTGTCTGTCTCCGACACGTTGTTGCCACTCAGGTAACCCAAGGATACGTTTAACTGCAGCCTTGAATGCAGAGTGTGCCATCTCTGTGCTGTTCAGGAATGGGGAGTAGGGAGGGAGGCGCTTCAGCTGGATCATTGGGTTGGCACCTTCAGGGAGTTGGGCTCGCACGTGAGGCCTCGCATTGTCGTATATGAGGTAAATGGGTTCGTCGTCTGGGAAAACTTCATCACACTCTTGAATTGTGTCCGCAAGAAACTCCTCGAATCTCTCTCGCGTCACAGTTTCGAATGCGATTCGGTGGTGCACCAAGCCTACTTCACTAGAAACAGCGAAGGTGACATTGCAATTTCTCCCTCGTTGTCTGTCGACGACTCGTCTTGCAGCGATCCCTCGTGGAGCTCTACCCTGGGAGCGTCGAGTCCAGACGTTATAACCTGTCTCGTCAATGAAGACTAGATGCGCCAGAACACCATGCTGCAGGAACCACTCACCATACTGGACGCGTTGATCAAGAACTTCAGGGGAATTTCTTGCATCAGGGACGTCCTCCACTAGTTTCAGTGTAATCATCATCCCATCCAAGGCCCTGGCTATGGTGGCAGTAGAAACCTGGGGCTTCTCTGGCAGATGCTCACTCAAACTAGCCTTCATTTGTTGAAGTGTCAAGACGGGGTTAGCGTCAAGGATGCCTTGCAGATGGTTTCGCATGTCATCATCCATCTTGCTGTGGGTTGCTCCTCCTCTTGCCAGCGTCTCTCGCCTTCCAGTCCTCAAATATGTTGCAACAATTGATCTGGCTGTGGACTTGTTGATGTTCAAATTGACCGCAAGCTCAAGGTAGTCTTGCTGGTTTCCCTCGAAGGCCTCAATCAACCTTTCTCGATCTACCTGGGCCACTCTAGCGTAGCGACCACGAGCTGCCATTTCTAGAAATATGCGTGTAAAACTGTAGCGAAAGCTCGTCTTCGAAGTACATCGGCAAAGTGACTCAAGTGCCAAAAAGTGAACTGTATTTATGCCTTCAACATTCTTAAGGAAACAAAAATTTAACAAAGCGTTTTTTAGATTGCACAAATTCCAGAAATGACTGCCCAAAAATGAATTTGAATGACTAAACACACGCCTCAAAAAGCTCCTGCGAATTTGAATGCTGCTTTGTTGAATTGTTAAATTGCATGATTATTTTGTTAAATCGAATGACGCAACAGTACATTTGACTGGTCATAAAACGAAATCGAATGACCCTTTCAGTAGCATTTGATTTCGCGCGAAATAGAATAGCGTAGTGGTTAAATTGGCTGCTCATTTGCCGAAATTGACCGAGAAAACCTATAGTAGAGTTGCTGAATTTTGTGTTGATTATATGTATACAAAACATCATGTAATGTGATAGAGTTTACCACGAGGAGATAATAATTGTGTTCAAGTTCACCTTTTCACCATGGTGATGTTTAATCATGAATACTGACCGAAGTATTGAGGCACAACGTCGTGTCGTCTAGAAACAAAATTCGATATAAAATTGAATTTGTAAATTGAACTTGATGAAATAGTTAGTGGGTAAGACACACTCTGAGGTGAGTTAACAACAGTCTCAAATATCCTGTATACAGGGTGAGTCAAAACAAGCGGAACCCAAACCCCCAAAAATATATTTCATATTTAAACAAATATGTAGCACCAAAAATAATAATGACTGGAAAGCCAATTTCATAAGCTACCTTTTTGATGAAAAAATACTGAAATTGGTCAATCCTTTCAAAGAATATCACCATTTAAACACAATGACCCTAAAACCCGTCTCGTACAAAAAAATGCGATTTCAAGAATCGTTCTTCAACATCATCATTCAACATCATCAGCGATAAAATCTCAGTTTAAACGTCAAAAATATTCATCAAAGTCCTTTTGAAGGCCCGTCTTTTAAGCAAAGTAAATTTTATAAATCATAATTGTTTGCCTAAACAGGGTTGTTAATAAAGATATTGTGTATTACAGTTGGTGACAGTTGTTGAAACAAGTATTCTGTACCATTTTCTTTGTTGTTCCAAATAGTCAAACACACAATAAATTGGGAGGTTTTGGGGGTTTTTTTTGTACGAGACAGGTTTTAGGGTCATTGCGTTTAACTGGTGATATTCTTTGAACGGATTGAGCAATTTCAATATTTGTTTATCTAAAAGTAGCTTATAAAATTGGCTTTCCAGTCATTATTATTTTTGGTGCTACATATATTTTTAAATATGAAATATATTGGTTGGAGTTTGGGTTCCGCTTTTTTTTACTCACCCTGTACAATACAAATTGCTATTTTATTTCATGTTCTCATGTCCAAGTATAAGTATACATGCACTGTTCTTCAATGAGATGTAGGTACATGCTTACATATTATAATAATCATTGTAGGCCTATACATGCACCTCGATGTATTCTGAATGGTCTGATGGTCTGATTAAACTTTTTTTCTCTCATTTTAATATTAAATTAAATCAATAAAATGTGTCCTTCCATTGGGAAATTGCCTGAATGTATAGCGCTTCGTGTTGTTTACAAACATTATATCAAAGGTTTAGGTCGCAAATATCCACATTACGTTAATATTTACGGAGAGAATGGTAAAAACGTTTGTATACATCCTATATAGGCCTATACACGGCTGCAATTATGTGAGAAACACGTTATGCAGGACAAAAAGCCGCATTCCGGAGCAATAAATGTCCATTCAAGACAAGGCTTGAATCAGTCACTCATCAGTCATTGACTCAGTCATAGACTCAGTCATCGACTCAGACATTGAGTCAGTCATTGACTCATTCACTGACTCAGTCACTGTCTTAGTCACTGTCTTAGTAACTGACTCTGTCACAGACTCAGTCACTGACTCAGTCATTGACTCAGTACGTCATTGACTCAGTCATTGACCCAGTCATTGTCTCAGTCATTGACTCAGTCATTGACTCAGTCTTGACTCAGTCATTGACTCGGTCACTGACTCGGTCAGTGACTCGGTCACTGACTCAGTCATTGACTCAGTCATTAGAAGATAAAATACTGGCCCTTATTGGGTCTGGCAAAAATAAACCGCTAAAAAAAACGATGGAAAAGGAGTTGGGTGTATGTTTGGTGTAGGTTCACACAGACATAACAATGCTAAAAATATCTACGGTATTATTCTTCTTCGTTAGGTTCCCTAAAGCCATCTGGTTTGGGTAATAACTCATACTGTATTAAAATGGCCTCCCCGGACCGTAGTAAAAGCTTGGCAAAATTAATCGATTCTCCTATTCGGCTTGCGTCGGTTGCGACCACGACGATACCGGTACTCGGAATCCGTTCTCTTCTGGATTCGAAATCCTCGGTAACCTCGTACTTCGCGATGTTGACGGCGGCAAACAGCGCCTGAGTGCTGGCCTCGAAATCACTCTCCGGCGGTAACTCCTTCGTGACTGCCAAGACTTCGTTGAAAGTTGTCTGAAGTCGAAACGACTCTGGGTGATCGATCCCGAAAAATTCCGACTTGTTTATTCGGAATTGGATTGTTCGCTCGATGAAGGCGAGGGTAGAGTTATTGTCTCGTCTCTGCAGCTAATGAGGAAAATGTAAGCAGAATTGTCATATTGGGGTGAAATTCGTTGATTCGTGAGCTAAAGTAGATCATTGAGCAAGAGATTAAGTCCAAACAAAGCCGCGGTTTTAAAAGCTGGCCTTATGATTACCTCGACATTGGTTTTGGTAGCATTTAAACCGACAGGTGTCCAGGGTTCTGCCGCCGATGCATCAGTGAAACCAGCGTAGACGTCAGGGGACCACTGCATTGGGGAGCGGGTTAGCTCTCCGTCATGCCTTATCTACAAAGCATAATGATTAATACAAACGTTAATACAAACAACGAGGGAATCTGATAAGGTTCACTTTCAATCCAGTTTCTGTCGACACCCCCCCCCCCCGGTTCAAATTTCCTGCCCAACTGAATTGAAAAGCGCTGTTGTATAACTCTTTAATCATTCAGCCCTTCCTTTTTCTCGGCCCATGGACTCTCTTCATATTCTCCGAGTTTGCACTCCACGCGTTAAAAGAGCATGTACATTATGTCCAATATGGCGGTGAGGTCACGAAATAATGTGAGATTAGCGGTGTACCAATGTCATGTATAGGGCGGTGGGCACGGGCGAACAAACTCACCATTCCAGCGGCAGACCCATTCATCTTCTGCGCGTCCGTCATGCCCATTTCGTCGCCGTAATATATCAGCGGGGAGCCCGGGAGCATCAGCACCAGGAAGAGCATGGCGCGGCTGAAAGGTTCGCCGTAGCGGGACGCGGAACGACTCTCATCCGCCGAGCCGACCTGATGCAGATGGATGAGACAATAAGATCCACCTGAATCAGTTGTCATGATATGTGGACTGGGCAGTTTGGTTATAGGAAAGTAACGATCACCAGTGGATATGAGGGTTCGTTCTGGTGCCCCCCCCCCCCCCCCCCCCCACCCACCCTTCCAACAGCCGACACCTACATTGTCATGAATCAAATAATTCATATACCGGAGGAAATCCAAAGTGTATATAATTATAAAGGCCTCTGATCTTCGTTCGTGTTGACTTCAACATCTCAATAATAGGCCTACTCCATTAAAAAAATCCTAGACACGTTTTTCATGTAGGCTACATTCCTCACATTCACCTGATGATGGTCGGAGCAAACTGTATCTGAAAATTTCACCGTACACGTAGTTCAAACATTCTGAAAACTTTTTCACGAGTTCATAAAGTTAAGTTGGGCTCATTGTTGCCTGTGACCTGAGCACGGCACTTTGCCGCCACCAACTTTGAAACTGGGTTAATGTTTCATGATGACCGCACGTTGGGATCATGGGGCACTTTGTCTTGATTGAAGGGCCTATTTTTTAAAAGGAAGATAGTGTTTTAATCAAGACAAGGGTTTTTTTCTTGCTGACAGTAAAGGGATCTCATGAGTACTGCGATTAGATATAGATGCGCCTATAAAACGCTCCAAAAGAATGTTGCATGATTATTTATTTAAAAATGATAATTAAAAAAATGATAATTATCATTCGTCTTATGGCGAGTCAAATAATCTCAATGGTACTTTATAGCCTTCCATCTCTTCCAAACACGTCCAGGCCAGAACGTAGATTGGTTTTCAATGCCTACCACATGGTTTCCTTGGATATCCTTCCGGAGTTTTCCTCCGAACTCTAAAACTGAACTTTTCTTTTTGGTCTCCACCTTCCGGGCCTAAAAGTTTTTGGAAAGAAGATTGGTTTCTACAGGCTTCTGGCCTACAGTGCTTAGTACACCTTTGAATAATCCTTGGTTTCATTACAAGAAAAAAAGAAAAAGAAAAACTCTTACTGTCCACAGTCTGGAACTCCCGACAGGCCCGGCGGTCATCCAGCTCTCGATTGCTTTCCGTATCTCATGTCCATTCAGAGGCGAAGCCATGTCCAGGAGCATGGAGTTGATGGGCAGGCTGGCTGCTGCATGCCCAAGGTCTCCCGATTTGTTACTGTAGACCAGAGTTGCTAGGGCAAGATCTTTGCCCGTGTCTATCGCGAGTAATCTTAAGTAAGAAAACAATTTGTGCAATTACTTTAAACCGACCGAGCACTTCGATGCAATCAATAGGCATCGTTAACTAAACACCGAGTGGAATCATTACTTTATATAGAAGACGTGACAATTTGGTTCTTAAATTTGCAGTTATGTTTTATACACACCGCCACCTCTCGCCACAAAAGCGTAAAACCCTTTATTTATCAGAGCATATATAGTTTTATATTGGACGTTTTCATCTCCCTCAAATGAAAAGTTGAAAACACAAACATATGAACGATCCCCGATTCCTTTATCGTAACAATGCTTTCCACGTCATCATTTTAAATTGATCTGCATTCTTAATGCGGTATTTTAATTTGACTCTGTATACTTTAATTATGTTTCTTTCTATAATATTTAACAGCCATAATTGCCGTGCTTAATGTATTCTATATGTTAAAAAAAGTTTATTTTAATGTTTCTGAAGTAAATTGTCTTGTAGTTTTAATGTAAACCAAATCGTATAAATCGTGGACTTCTCATTATTTTGGTGACAGGGTGTATATATTTAACAAATCTGAATTGAATTGGACTGAAACGAATGTTCAAATGACCAAGTTGTGCAGTCCAGGTTTTCGGTTCAGGAGACATACGAAAATGTTTCCATTTTTTTCGTGGACAAAATGTTTCAAAAATAGGAAAAATATAATACAAGGTGTGAAATGCAGGGTTACAATCCATTCTGAGGTAATATTTAATGACACTCAAATTCAGGACTACATAGTAAAATGAGGCTATAAAGTACTATGTTGGAAAGTAACTCCAGTATAATTATTTCGATCAAGATATAGCAAACCGAGTCCTCATTTTAAGTATTGCGTCTTACTTTGAGTTGTCGTGTGTATCATTTGACGCTTCGTATTCATCGAGTAGATGGCGCCACCCAGCGATCACATCTAGCGTCTCCTGTCTTGATTCCTGACCCCCAAAAAATAGACATCGAAGAAAGATAACGAGGAGTAATATAAAATAAACCATATCAACCGCAATTCTTGACTCGTAAATGTTTTAAGAATATCAGAGGTTGACTGAAGCCGAGTTTATAATATTAGAAAACGTCCGTGGTTCATGCAACAAACCAAAAGTCACCCAATTTTGAATTGTTTAAACTTTGAGAATATTTGACGTTCTGGGTTTGCAATTTGCACATCGCAGGAACTGTTTACCGATTATTTTTTTTTAATTCATTTGTTTAGAAAAAAATTAATTTGGATGAAACAAACCTCATTTTCTTAAAGACCTAAATAACTGTACTCCATGATCATTTACGCATGTCTCGGTGCACAGAAAACAACGAGAGAGCACTGTTAAGACTATAAGGGTGTCGGGGTCGATCTTAAAGTGTGATGATGAGGAATTTTGCCCTATTTCATTGACTTTCTTTCGGTAGCATTATGGGCAGGGTCTAAACCTTGTGGTGATTTAAAAGGATTTTAACTTTCTGGCTCTTTCCCAAATCTCCTCTTTCTGCTGAATTTTCTCACGGTCAGCAGTTGTGGTGCGTCAAAAACTAAACTTTCTCCACATCCGAAGAAAAAGAAAATTATCACATACGATTAGAAGTAATGAGAAATAATAACGTTGTACGTGAAAGTTTTCCAACTTTCACTTGGGAGGTATCACACTGAGTATACAGTGTTTAAACGTCGGTGAAGGGCAAAAACCTAATTTAAAGTTGTACGTGTATTATACGATTCACGGTTTACATACATTATTTTCCTTAAACATACCGAGTTTATACTTTCCACCGTGGATGTAGCACCGTCTCCCTGCTCAGTATCAGCGGGGCTATCGGTCACCATCCGCGGTTCCATCAGGCGATCTACGTGGCGCATGTAAAACCCATCCACTCCCTTCTCTAGCCAAAACCTCAAGGCATCCTGAAAATAGAATGTTAGGATATCGGATAGGTGTACTTGATCATTGGACCGATCCAGTAAGCCCCTCCCGCTGCGCACGTGGGCAAATTAACACGTGCTCCTCTCCAATGCCACACTGCATTTTCCTGCCGCGCGCATCATACGCGCGTGCACGCATGTCAGACTTTTGTGCACGCAATCCCCATGTCGGACATAAATTACGGCTGTGATTGGTCAGAATACCATGGGGCGGTGCTTACTGGATCGGTCCATTGCTATACGATTGAAGTTGCACAAATAATTTTATGTTCTTTTTAAATTGGAATGAAAAGGATTTTACAATACCCAATTAATTAAAATTGGAAAAAAATAGACCAGGACGGATGATCCCCGGGGATGCCGGGTACGGTCTTCCTGAGGTCGCAGGTCCGAATGCCTTTCCAGTCATTTCTTTATTCAACCTTGTATCCATTAATTCGAGCCTGCTGGGTTTCCATTCGTAGTTCATTTGAGTTGTGTTTTTTTTTATTTAATTATTTAAAAATGCACACTTCTATGGCACATTTTGCTTAGATATAGCTTTCAAATCAAATATTTACAGTCGAGTCTCGTAAATACAAATTCGTTCGGGCCTAGCCAAATTGTTAAATATATCAGAATTTTGTATTAAGAGGAACAGCAGTCCCATTCATTGTGCCCATAAATGCACAGTCGGGACTAAGGCTTTATGTTTGTAACCAGAATTTTGTATTAACAGAGTTTGTACTAACGAGAGTCGACTGTACTACATTGTACAACTTTACTTCGCTCCTCCAAAGAAACAACACTGGTGATAATGTTGAATATTATTATTAGAACATATTTAAAACATAGGCCTATGCGTTCATCAAAGGCCAATCCGAAAAATCATGATAACTTCGAAAATTCCAAAAGCTTTGTTAAAAGATTGTTAACCATATTATTTCCACATCAAAATTTATATGAGAGCCACCCCTGTATGGTTACCTGTATAACTCCGATGACGGCGGGATTTCGGTAATTCAAATCTGGTTCTTCTGTCATGAAGGAATACAGATACCACTGACGCCTGGTCGAGTCATACTCCCATGACCACTGACCGTCATTATCATTGCTTCCCTAAAACAAATAGATTAAAATACGAATCATTCGAAGACTTGTTGGTGTCTCCTCTTTTGCCTGTTAGGGTACATCGTTTTGCGTGAAATGGTCATAACTGATGGTTAATCTTTGGCAACATTCGACCAACTTTGGCGAGCAGTTCATAGTAAGGCCTAGCCTTTACGGACCAACATGAGGTATGAAGGAGTTGAATAAAAATGACGGAGTACTAGTTTGCACGAAGTCGGACCATTAAAACAAGCTAAACACACAATTCCGATTTAGTAATCAAGGTGATGGTTCTGGTACACTATGCCTCAACGTCTACCACACGTGCGTTCTGTAAAGCTCTGAATATACATGTACGTCACTAAAGACGAGCGTAGGCCTATTGGACGAAATAACAAAGACAGCTTTTTGAGCCCAAGTAATGGTAGAAAGCCGGCCCCATGCAGTAATCACAAATGGGCAATTCAGACTGGAACTGTGGTGCAGTCAAAGGTTTTCGAAATTGTATTTGTATTTCAAAACAGGAACTGTTCTTCGAGTTCGTTTGTGTACCCACATTGATTTTGCATGCACAGTGCGGATTGTGCATCCCAAAATTAATCGTCAAATCCCAAAGATGTGCACACGCATATTTTCAATATCGAACTGCATACATACATAATTTGCCTAAATATAGTCATCACACATCTCAAACATACAACCATCAAAGCATAATGTGAGCAATCAAATCTTGCCCACACTGTCGTACCGTGGATGGTGGCGGTCCACCGTTAGTGCCATCAGCCCAGATGTAGTAGTCGCGGAACTCATTGTCGGTACCCTGTCGGCTTTCCTGAAACCAAGGGTGCTGGTCGCTGGAATGATTCGGGATAAACTCTAAAATCAGCTTCATGCCTATGTAAGTTGGAAAACAAAATGCACTATTAGGTCATATTTTCAAGGTGAAAGCACCCGTCAAGAAACTCAAATTTCATTGAAGCAAACTAATGTGCGTTACATGCAGTCTTGATGATAATCATACAGAGAATAAGGCCTGATATCAGATGTCATTAAGCCGTCTTTGCTCCGATCCTCTGTGATACACACTGATGAGTTTGACATTTTCATTGTCATTGATTGTTTTCACTGTTAATGAATTTGAATAACAAAGGGAGTGAGGGCGCTCTGAGGGGTCTTTACTCAATGTTGTCAGAGAGCTAATAAATTCAAGTTGCCCCGCTTGGGAATCGAACCCACGACCTTCATCTTACAGCGGGCAATCGTCTTAGCCATGTCGACCACCCAACCTCAGCCGGGGTCTATACCGGTTTGGTGTATCATCGTCCTTATGCATTGCATGTATCTCAGTAATATTGCATGTTAAAAAAAATCCGCACCTTTGTCATGCACGGCTTTTACAAGGTTCTCGAAATCCTGTATTGTTCCGAAAACTTCATCGACTGCAGTGAGGTCGGTCACGTCCCTCCAGAGATCCGCATGGGCTGACTGAAAAATCGACCCCAACCAGATGGCATCTACACCCAAATATTCCAGATAGTCCAACCGAGAAATGATACCTGTAATAGTAAAAGAAAGAAAAGGATGTACATGTATACATGTATATTGTAAATTGTTGGCCCAGGAAAGTACTTGGCCGGGAATGGGTAACAGCATCTTCTTTTACCAGGGACAGCAGAACTGGGGCCGGGGGGGGGGGGGGGGGGGGCACTTGCCCCCCACTGATTTTGTAGGCCAACAAAAGTGCCCCTAATGTGCCCCCTCGAGATGAAAACAAAACTGCCCCTCAAACGCACACATGAAAGCATAATGATCGCGCTTACAAATTGTCTCCTCTCTTGTAATGCAAACTCTCTCTCGAAAGCACAAGTACCCGTCGTGCATTAACAAGATTTTGCACCTTCTCGAGATGGAAAACTACCCCTCGAAAGCACAAATACCCCTCTCGTAACAATACAATTGTGCCCCTTTCGAGATGGAAAATTGGCCATCAAAACAACAGTGCTCCTCTGCGATATAACTTTATGGAAAACTGCCCCTCGAAAGCACTATTATTGCCTCTACTTTCACACCGACGGAAGGTGCCCCTTTTTGGTGTTGCCCCCAGTTTGAAAAGCGTTCCGCCGCCCCTGTCTTTGACACAATGTCATGTAACAACTCTATTTAGGCGAAAGGTCCATAGGCTACACTGTAAACACGTTGGGCAAAATGGGTTGGTCAACATATCAACAGATTAAACTCTTGGGCAAATTCTTCCCAAATTATTGGAAAATTTTTACCCAAATTGGGTAATTTCAAACCAATGTTGGGTAAAATTGTATTGCCCAACAGTGTTTTACCCATTATTTTTTTACAGTGTACGCATTCCTTGAAAAGGACTTACTCTATAAAAAAAAAAAAAATAAGTCAGATTTGACTATAGAGACCAGTTAAATTTTACTAGCCATTTCAGGGTCAGCTGGGTGCAACTGAAAATCAGTCAATCTGACTAGATTTTGTCCAGTCAGTATTGAAAAATCGTTATGCAAGCAACTAAAATTGGAGTCAAATCCAACTTCTTTTTCTAGTCATAGTATGCAACTTTTTATCTATATATATAAGAGAGAGTTTAACTCGGCCTCCGAGACGATGTTTGCTCATGAAAGGATCCGAGACCGCGGGCTCCCGCGGCGCCAAAATCGCTCCACGTCCGTGGAAAAATACGGAGGGTGTCTTCCGCCGGGTCGGACACTTCGGGTCGTCCTGATTTTCCCGTACGGACCGGCGATCCTTTTCGTCTATTTTTCGTGACAGCATTTTGCACAGGAATTTTCCGTCGTGTGCGCTTTCACGTTGACTGCCTGGCCGCCCCCTGTGCTGGCTTTTCTGCGAGTCTAGACTGTGCGAGGTCAGCGAGGTCAACGTAGGGGTTTCGTTTACGTGTTCTACTCAGCCGTACTGCCAAAGCGTTCACCAAATTGTGATATGGGGTGACCTTGGTAAAATATTTTTTCTCCATGGTGCGTGGCCACCGAGTGCCCCTATTCTTTCATATGCTTCGCTTGCCGCCCCTGCGCCGAGTGCAACGAATACTCAGAAGGACTACACATTAAGTATGCCTTGCGCGGTCTGACCAATCGAAAGTCTACACTGCGTAGTATATCCGGGCTATGCAAAACTGTCGATGGCAACGCGTACTGCAGCCTGCTCCACACCCTGGAAACGAGGTTGGGTCTACGGTGCTCGCTATTTGCATGATTTGAAGCACAAGCATGTGAGTGACGTGTATAGTGCTCTGTTGCTTCCATCGTGTGTTAATACAGCTCCATGCTTCCACCAAGGCTGAGCGTTGTGAGTTCGCTGCCCGCCACAGTGTTGCGTTATAATTTCGGGGGCCTGTCTGGGATCAACGAAGGATCGATGCATTGCTTCAAACATCGCGATCTTAAACGCAGTCACACAAAAAATCAACGAAAATGTGTCCGATCCGGCGGAAGACACCCTCCACATTTTTCCACGGACGTGGAGCGATTTTGGCGTCGCGAAAGACCGCGGTCTCAGATCGTTTCAGGAGCAAACATTTCTCGGAGGCCGAGTAAAATTTGCTCTTATATAGATGGTTGACCCAAGTTGAATAACAGTTGACTCGACAAGTTCCTCGCAGACAGTCTCGCAAATTGTAAGACGTTCAAGTTTACGTTTGTTGAAGAGTCCAATATACTGAAACTTAATTATGACCTTCTTAATCAGCCTTCGCCTGTGTACTACGGCAAGCCTTTCAAGTACGTTTTCTCACAAATGCCACTGCCTCACAAAATGCCAATTTAACAGACCAAAGGGAACATTTACAGACTGTTGCCATGGTACATAATTATCATGGGCGTCAATCGGTGGGGGACGGGGAACCCCCCCCCCCCCCCCCCCCCCCCCCCCCATTTTAAAGCGGTGGAGACTTTTTTGGTCCCCCCCCCCCACTTTTCTTCCCCGAATAAAAATTGTAACTACTACATGTATAATGATTCCATTACTCAGAATAGCTGATTCAATGACACCAAACTCGAAAATGATGTTTAAAAGATGATCTTCGTTTTCCAAATGCGACTGCCTCACAAAAAGCCAATTTAACAGACCAACGGCAACATTTACAGACAGTTGCCATGGTACATAATTATCATGTGCGTAAATCGACGGGGGACAGGGGAACCCCCCCCCCCCACACACACACACACATTTTGAGGGGGGACATTGTTTGGTCTCCCCCCCCCACACACTTTTTCTTCCCCGAATAAAAATATTGTAGCCTACAATAATGATTCTATTGCTCAGAATACATGTAGCTGATTCAATTACTCAAAACTCAAAACTTTCACAGATGATCTTTTGCTCAATTTGGTTTTAGTGATCAGAAATTGCCTCAGATCACACCACAGAAATTGATATTCTTTAACTGCATGTCTCACCAACTATATCCCCCATTTACATTTAACTCCCCACATTTTCATCCCCAACACTACGCCCTACCCGATCTATGATCGGGTAAACCAGCTTGTGTTTAACTAAATTCCTAGTCCATTTTCAATAACTAGGAAAACCAGTCAATTGACTAAGTTGTTTTTAGAATGTGCATGTTCCTGATGCCAACGTACATACTTTCTGCATAGTCTGCTGTTTTTGCGGTTGAAATATTCTCATAACAGACACTTCTATTTTTAAATCATCTTAAAGAAGAATTAGGAGGAAGTACTGTAATATAAATAAGACGAATGCTTAATTTCAACTTATTACTTTTGATGGAGGTTTTGTGTGGACGGTGATGTAGGCCCCTAGGCCTATACTTCCCTAGAAGTTGAGAGCGGAAACAGATCTCCGAACCGGCCTGTCCACCCGGCAGGATTAGGGCCTATACTGGATGCATTGCAGGTGGGTTCGAGTAGGCATACCCAGTGGCGGTTCTACGGGGGGCTAGGGGGGATTTAGCCCCCCCCCCCAAAAAAAATTTTTTTTTTTGTCTAGCCCCCCCCAAAAAAAATCCATAAAAAAAACCTTGCACAAACAAAATGTAATAATTTGACGAACATGGGAACGGTCTCCCTCTAAATGAGAAGGGTGCATTTGTACACTTTTAGTTAATAATAGTGTGCCTGATTGTAGGATTTTATCAGCGCTCCCCATTGAAAATATGGCACGAGGCCCCCCCCCCCCCCCCCCACGTATTGATTTTCAGAGGCATAAGTGTCCGGAGAAAATAACCGGTCTATATTTCAGCACGCCTCCCTGGAAAAAAATCTGGATCCACCTTGCTAGCCCCCCCCCCCCAAAAAAAAAAATATTGGCTCTAGAACCGCGCCTGGGCATACCAACTTTAAACAGTTTTGACGACAAATCACGACCAAGTTGTCAGGTAAAAAATAACCGTTGCTGTCCCCTCACGTCAAGGGTGGATCTAGAACACCTTTTTTGGGGGGAGGCAAAAAAATGTTGTTCCCCACAAAAAATGGGTTCGGGGCCCGCCTCAGCCTCCCCCAAAAAATGTTTGGATTCTAGATGCTCTGTGGTGCATGCGATCTGCGATAAAAAAAAATGATTCAATTTTTTTGGGGGGTGTGGAGTGGCCTTGCCTCACGCCTCACGTCTGGATACGGCACTTTTACTTATTAATTATACCATGGAAGAAGGAATGCTGAACAGTTACATCAACCTTTTATGTCGCCATAACCGTCTCCGTCGCTGTCCTGAAACGAAGCAGGAACGATCTGATAACCGATGGCAGTGTCGAACCATCGCTCTTGCGTCAAGCACAGACTGCCCTGGCCGGCGTCTCCACGGGCCAACACCACGATACCCGCTATAAACATCGCCAACCACCACGCCACTATCACGCCCATCGATGTCAGGCGAAACACCCGCCAGAAGACGTGGCCGGACCGCACCTTCACGGCGTCCTCGTTCATTCCTACCCATGACGACCGGTAGATGATACCGTCTGGAGCGTCGCCGGTACGGTTACTCAAGCTCCGAGGGATCCGCTGACGGGGCCGCGGAGAAGTGGGCGACGCTGATAGCGCAGCGCTGTACCGGTCCGGTTCCGGACTGTACGAAGGATTGGCCGTTCCCTCCATCTTTACTGCTATATTCACATTTCACCTGTGTGTTTGTAGTGAGTTGAATTGGTTTGTGCCATGGCCGTGCACAAATAAACTCATGACAAAAGACTCAGCGCCACAAAGAAAACAAAATGACAAAGGAAATCGATTGATGGGTGGCACTGAATATTCAGAATAGCTCATTGAATATGTTTTGCAAAAGTCCTTTTTAAAGGGTCGTGTGGAGTTCAGGCACAGAACTGATCTAGATAGAAAATGAATTGAAGCAGTTACCGTGACAACAGCCTCGAAGTAGGGTCACTTATTTTTAAGACAAAAGAGAAAGAAAGTCCCCATTTCCCCTTTTTCTAAACTCTTGAAAGGCCACTGTGCATGGCGATGATAGTCTGCAGAGCTAGCTAAGCAACATACCCAATAGACCTACCTGCACCTATAGGCCTACTGAATATATTACATTCATATAAAACTACATATTCGAATTTGTTGATTAACAAACGCAGGGTGGTCGGGCAGACAACTTCCTTGGACATTGCCTAGTTCTAAGTTTTGAAGACTTTTATGTCCGGTAAAGTGACACTCAGCATTTTCTAGTGGAATCATTCGATTCATTTTGATTAGGAAATCGCGCACAAGCACGGTTCCAACGCGAAAGAATAGTATTCGATTAACTTATCAATGACCAATAACTTAAGAATGAGATATCCCGTGCATTCCATGCTTAAGAATGGCCTAATTAGCGCTAATTATTGACCGGCAATTAGAATTTTGAGCACAAGAGCGAAACCTTCACTAAAAGCTAATTAACGTGACTAGAATGCAAGATCCACTACTTAAGAATGGATATTCCCGTGCATTCTGTGCTTAAGAACGAGTTAAAGTTAAATAAGTTGAAGGTTGGACATCCCCACCTACTTACTGCCAACGTTTTGTGCGCGATATTCTTATTAAACCTCACTGGGCTCTCGGACTATTACATTTTATTTACACGCACACATTACTTTCTGTTTGATGAGGTCATCGGTTAAAAATGTGCAAAGTACTGCAAACTGAATATTAATTTTATTAAGTTCAGACAGGAAACGCACTCAGTCCAAAGTAATTTATCAAATTTTGACCTTAAAAATCGCTTGTCCACATTTTTTTCACATCTTCGGACTAGGTTTCGTTCAAGTTTATACCAGCCGACCAAGTCGCCCACTAACTCCTCGTGAATTGTCAGGGAAACCCTAACCAACATCCGAGACGTACGAGCCCAGCTTCCAATAGTTGCTGATGGGCGCTTTCCTCGAGGGTCCTCAGACTTCACAAGACATTTCAGCATGAGTGTTTGTGTGGTGTTATTAATGAAAAGTAAAGCAGCCGGACTTGAAGACATCCTCTGTGAGCAGATCAAACATCTTGGACCCGTTGCGCTTCAGTGGTTGCTTAACATGTTCAACAACTTGAGGACCATCAGCATCCCAAAGCTGTGGAGGAAAGCCAGAGTCGGCGCCTAACTAAAACCTGGTAAAGACCCAGCCAGTCAAAAGAGCTTCAGGCCCATCTCTCTGCTATGCCATACGTACAAGCTCTTTAAAAGACTCATAATACTCGATAGTGTTGTCCCCTTTGTGGATGAGCTCCTCAGACCTGAGCAGGCAGGTTTCAGGCCAGGAACCGCACTCTTGAACCTCACGTAGTTCATCAAAGATGGGTACGAGGAAGGGCTGGTCACCGGAGCTGCCTTTGTCGGTCTCTCCGCAGCATATGACACAGTGAGCCATAGGATCCTCACTAGGAAACTCTTTGAGATGACATAGCTTCCTCCGCTCCTTTGGACCTCTTGATGGCAGTGCTCATAACCGAAGGATGTCCCTGCGGTCCAATCGTCTTCAAGCAATGCCACACAAGCTTCCCTTCAGTCCCAAGGAATCTCTACCATCAGGTTCGAGTGGGGCATGGCCAACCTGGTCATGTCTTAATCGCCTCAGGACAGGGACTGGACGGTACAAAGCTCTTATGCAGAGCTCTATGTTGGAGTGAACACGTGGCCGATGGTGTGAAGCATTCTTCTGTGTGCGTCTATGTACGGGTGATCAGAATGAATCTAGCTCGATGCGTTTCAAAGAAGCTAAAAAAAAAAACTTAAAAAAAAAAAAACCAGCAATGTGGCATAACTGGTGTACGGCAGTTCGCAGGGGGCGCGGCCGGGGTGTAATTTTCTTGAGGGGACATTCAATTGGTTTTAACAATAGCAAAAGTCATGTTTGCCTCCCTGGAATTCTGAGAGGGGTCCCGCAGCCGATTTAAAACCTAATTACGTAATGGCGCAAGCTGCGTACTTTTTTGTGAAATCGGCTGCAGGTGGTAACACAAACATTATGTGTGTGGGTGGTAAGGCCCAAACAGGGGGGGGGGGGGGGGGTTGAGTATAGAGGTGTTTTTGTCTAAATACAGTTTTTGAAAATACATTTCAACAAATGAATGGATGTCTTGTTAAGGTTTTTTAGATGGTAAATTTGATCTGTCCCAAAATTTCTGTAGAAATCATTCTTTTCTCACTCTAAGAAAGAAAAAAAAACTTTTCTTCGGAAAATCATGTAACCCGCCGCTGTAGGTAATCTACCCATCTTGCCTCCTCACAGTCTGAGCTGTTTCGATACCCACAACTCGATTATTTGCAAGCAAATCATATGTAAGTCTATTAAAGAATCGATTCCCGAACGAATTTAGATGGGTTCCAGGAACCTCCGGCCAAACGCGTGTAATGTTCGTCTGATACCCAGACCACATCAACATGCGTTGCATGCTGAAAGGCGGGAACTGCGGTTTATTTCACAATAACACTCGTTCAGAACTGCGAGAAGGAAGCGGATTTTTTTCTCTTAAGGGTATGTATATTTTTATGTGACCCTCAAAATTAGATTAAGATATCCACAACCTTTGTTTTTAGTTTCTGTTGTGGGTAGGCATGATTTTAATTCCGATGAAAATGAACATTTGAAAAGGAGGCGACGGCTCCTTCGTCATGTTCGTTCGTGATGACGTCGTTGCGTGTATTGGGGATTTCCCCAGGCCAGGGCAAAAAATGTTGCAACCTGGCCTGACGCCACTTTCGAAACAAAAAAGATTGTTTTTGTGCTTACCTTGTACCTCAGAGAGTATACTTTCATGTGAGAACTGTAAGGAATATGTTGATAAAGTCTTTAAGAGAGATTTGTAGGCGAATGTGGCCAACTTAGTGAATTTCTAGTAAATTCTACATGGGATTTTTTTCATGTTTTGGCGGGAAATAAATGTGACGACCATGCCATGCACGATGAATAAGTTAATGATATAGTGTTTCACGGTAGGATGGGATGCCATATTATCACGGTACTTGTCACGTTTCTCGTTCGGAATAGAGATTGCCCACTAACCTTCCTGAATTGCCTGTCCTTTGTGTTGTACTGAACTCTTCCTTTTCAAATTGATATAAAAAAAATCCGACGGTGGTGTGGTTTATTCCGTGTACGATGCCTGTGAAAGCAGACATGCTCGGAGTGTGCGAACGGAGGTGGACTCCCTAATATCGCACTATGCAGGATGTGGTTTTATAATGATCTCAACTTTTTTATTCATAGTTAATGTTTGACTAAAACATCCCCTGAATAAAGTCTGATATTTTCCCTGAAACGTTCAAGTTGATTAAAGACTATATGCCTGCGTGATGATTTCTTAAAACACTGCCCGCCCCTTTCCCAAAAGGAAAACAAGAACGGTGTGCCATTTTATTATTTTTAATGCACTGTCCTTATTTTGATCCCGTAAAAGTTTTTACGATTTCGCGGTGGAAATATCGTCCTTCCCATAAAGGAAAAAATAGATTGTGTCTATTGTGTCTCATTCTTTCCAGCTCGTACTTGAACCTTTTCTCCAGCAAGCATGGCTGACAGGGCACAGACAACCACCAAGAAACACAAGCAATTTGTATCGGAACCCATGGGGGACAAACCAGTGACGGAACTGGGTGGAATCGGCCCAAAGTATGGCGAGAGGTTACAAGAGGCTGGATTTGAAAAGGTGAGATTACTACAACACCTTTGTCTATGGATCAGTAACAGTGAAGGAACAAAAGGCTAGGCCCTACTCATTCCGAACACAGCCTCAGAATCTCTCAAGGCGGATTAAGAGTCTGAATACCAGCTGGTGTCTCGTTGACTGATTGACCTGTGATGTAGGGGTCAACTTAAAGGGAAGATACTACATTTGCAAACATCAAAAAAAGAAATGATCCAATTATCACAAAATACCTTACTGGATTGTTAGGGAATGACAGTCTATAGCATCCTGTAAAACCGTGGCTCCTTGTGCTGACATTTTCAAGAAAAACTGTATTTTTCCAACAATGGTCGGCCGACCAGCGTTGGAAAAACCTGGCTTTTTTTCAAAAGCTTCTCCTAGTTTTCATATTTAGTTATTCCGCATTTTCTTTGCAATTGATTACACACCGATGAAGGGGTACAAGCCTGCTAGACTGATTCTTTAACCTTACAATTCCCCAAAGTCTATTTGCTCTGTTAATATTAAGTGGGGTCAGGGAACCAGACTACCAGAACATGATTGGTTTTCTTGGTTTTGCCAGCATCTACAAGCCCAAAACGTGAAACAAGTCAGCTTAACAATATTTGCTATAACATACTAGTCCTCCGAATCCATTTATTTCTGAAAACTGCAGCAAAAGCAAAGGGAATGTACAACATTTACTTTTGCTGCAATTCCCTAACAATCAAGTAAGATAATTCATGATAATTAGATCATTTCGTTTTTTAATGTTTACAAATGTTGTATCTTCTCTTTAATGTTAAATAAGTACTGCTGGAGAACTTGGCTAATAAAACTACAGGGAAAGTGACATTACCAAGGTGCATAGTAAGATTTCAGGATCACTGAAGGTGTTGCCTATCCTCATTTATGAGGTCAGATCTCCAGTCTAATTTACCCCTATCCAGGAGAAGAAAGTCACCCACCCTCTAAGATGGCTGCAGTGCATAAGGTCTACAGCTCCAAATAACAAAATAACAAACTTATCCAACAAGGCTAGGATAGGCCGTGGACCTTGTACATGTACACCTTTTTCAACTGTGAGAAATAGCAAGAGATTATGCTGCCATGCACCTTTTCTAAAATGCCATCTTAGTGTGACATTTATGCACATTCATTGCTGTTGAGGCTCAGCGTCACACATGGAATGTCCATCACAAATCTTGTTCTAAATAGCAAGGGCGTCAATTGCTTCTCAGAAGTGGGGGGACATACCTTGATCAGCTCTTATGTGAAGCGCAAAGCCCTGACGGCGTGGGGTTCGTTGCCCACTGAAGGGTCGAAAAATGTTGGATTCTAGACAAAAAAAATGTTCTTTAGCAAAATATCTTTTAAACATCATTTTCGAATTTGAAGTCATTCAGTCATGAAGTCATAGCTATTTTGAGCTATAGAATTTTTTATTCGGGGACGAAAAAAGTGGGGGGGGGGGACAAACGATATGATATCCCCCACTTAAAAAAGTGGGAGGACTTGTCTCTCTTCCCCCCCCCCCCCCCCTCCGTCCCCCACTGATTGCACCCATGCTAAACATGACGTGCTGATGACATTCAGAAGCAGTGCGGATGATATCCAGCATAATGCAGGGCTCAATTATGCATGGCTGAACATAAACAATGCTGGGTACAGTCTGCAATCTTGACACCTATGCATCCTTCAAAACCAACTGACACCCATTCAGCCTCAATCCTCCAAAATCCTCCATAATCTTCCGGAGGATTAAGGACTGAGGAGGGTTTAGGATAAACTTAATGTGCATGATCTCAAAACAGTAATTGTCAAAGTATGACATTGCATTCTTATTTCATGTTCCACTCTAGGCCTTCAATGTTCTCGGTCAGTTCCTGGTGCTGAACAAAGACAAAGAGCTCTTCATTGACTGGCTGATGGCAACGACGTCAGCTAATAACAAGTGTGCCAACGATTGCTATAATTGCCTCAGAGATTGGAGTGATGCCTTTATGTAATTGTTGTTTCTGTTTTTATTTTTAACAAATCTATTGTGTCCATTTTACGATCATACCCTGCATGTCGAAACTGTTTATAATCGTAAGCATTGTTTAAGCTTAACTGAAGTGACAAAGCATCAGTAAGATAGATCATGCCAAAGATATGTAGGGAATAGAGGCAGAGAATGCGGGAGGGGAGGGGGTAGTGCACTCAAGGGGCAAGCTTGCTGCTAACTATTCATATTTCATGCAAATAGGAGCATAAATTGTAGGCTGTAGTGCACTAGCAGAACCAAAGCAATGTTTATTCCTTCAGAATGCACCAGCAACTTAACACAGTCAAGTGCACTGCTGGTGTTCAAATTGAATGGCAGCCCCATTTTTTGTTATCGTTTCAAAAAAGGAAATGTAAATTCATTTTTAAAAATTCAAAATAAAATCCTATCAAACTTCTCTTTCCTAGACCAAGTTTCCACAAGGTACGGTATCCGTAGGAAAACTTAATTGAGCACTGTTATTTGTATTATGAGCCGTGGGTTAAATCACTGATCAACTATCCATGCATACATAAAGTAAACTTTGCACTTAATTGGCCCAGATTATAGAGTTTATTCAGAAGGTCCAAGGCTTAAGGTCCAAGTGTGCACGTACTTGGCTCTTATGCACTTCCAACTATACTTATTTCGTGAGAAGAATGAATGCAGATTATGTTGGTATTTCCAAATAAGTACATATTTGCAAACATAAGTTGTCACCACAACATGCATAAACTATGTTCTGTTTTCATGTGGTTGTAGTCGGGACAAGTGTGTTACAATTACACAGGCATACAGTATGTAGATCATGCTTAGTGGGTGAAATTTATGCTACAATCTAATCATTTGATTTGATGATAAAAAAAAATGTGGTAAGTCAGATTTGAAAATGGGTAAGTTAAAGGGAACGTGCAACATTTGCTTTTGCCGCAATTTTCAGAAATAAATGGATTTGGAGATTAGTGTGCATGTTTCACGTTTTGGGCTTGTAGATGATGGAAAAACCAAGAAAACCAATCATGTTCTTGTAATCTGGTTTCCTGACCCGACTTAAGATGAAACGGAGCAATTTATAGACTTCTGGGAATTGTAAGGTCAGAGAATCAGTCCAGCAAGCTTGACCCCCTTCACAGGTGTGTAATCAGTTGCAAAGAAAATGCGGAATAACTAAATGTGAAAAATTAGGAACAGTTTTTGAAAAAAAGCCAGTTTTCTCCAACGCTGGTCGGCCGACCAGCGTTGGAAAAATACAGTTTTTCTTGAAAATGTCAGCACATCAGGAGCCACGATTTTACAGGATGCTTTAGACTGTCATTTCCTAATAATTCAGTAAGGTATTTTGTGATAATGTGATCATTTCGTTTTTTGATGTTTTCAAATGTTGTATCTTCCCTTTAAAATCTGGGAATGGGTAAGTGCTGGGTAAGTCATGGAAGTGGGTAAAAAATTTAAATTCGAGGCTAGTTCCAGCCCAGTCATGACTGGGTGTTGTCTGTAGATAGCACTCACAAAATAGTTGTATTTTAAAACTAGAGAGTGTACATGTACTTGCTATACAACTGTCACAAGGGCGTGCCTCCCTGAAAAAGCAACTGTATTGGCAATTCAAAGTGGTACTCCTTTCTATGTAATTTGACTAGAACTTTAGCAAGTGAAAATAAAAAAATGGTAAAATGTAAACAATTATTTTGCCCAAATTGAAAATGGCATCTTATTGGCACAAGACTTGTAATACAAATTGTATGTATGCCTCTGGTTTTAACTCTAGGGACTAGCACACATTAATGAGTATGCATTGTACCATATTTCCCTGTACACGTGTAGTTTATTATAAATGTGTATAAATTCAACTCAGCATTGCAGAATTGTAAATTTGTCATCATAATTCAATTACAAGTCATCCCAGTCTCTACTCAATTGACAAGCTATCACTCTCTTTAACTGAAACAAGTGCATTTGTTCATTCTTCATGATGTGTTAAATGCAACTTGCTATGAAATTGGGCTTGTCATTGTCTCATTCACAACACTGCAGTGCGGATGGGGTATGCATTGGACAGAAAATGTGTCCAACGACGTGTCCCCTTATAGAACAGTCTCCATGTCACAGTGATTAAGCCACACACACACTTGATGATGTGAATGAATGTGGTTGTTTAGATCCTAAAAAACAAACTTATGTCGCTTCAATATCAATATACCTTAATATCAATTCTCAGTAAATTTGCTCAGCATCCTTATCTGCTTAGAAAGGTCTGTCTGGGATGTCCACGAAATTAAGCATTTTGGCTAAATAACTGGACACTGCTTTCTGCTTATTAAATTCACATGATAAGCATAAATATGCAGAGAATCTCACAAGCAAAAAAAAGTCAACTTATTGCTTTGGATAACTTATTGCTAATAAGAACTTTTCTGCAAAATACTCACAGAAATAGTCACAAGCATGAGTCCAGAAAGATCACATTTTTGCTAAGAATAGTTTTCCGTGATCAGCATTTTTTACGAGTTTTCTCCCGGCATTGGTCTCCTGTTGCCACTTGCTGAGGTACCGATATATAGACCGATTGCATTCACCAGCCATCTTTGGGGTGTGTTTTGTTTTATGAATTCATTAACAATCAATGCACAAGAGGTCAACTCAGGGGCATCCCTATTGAATAAAAACACACCTTAAAGATAGCTGCAGTGTGGCTGCAGTGCAACTGATCTGTAAAATTGTATTGAATCACTTTTAATCGGAATTGACATTGTAAATAATAGTTATGCTGCGGGGCTCTTAATAGTCCGTAATACAACAACTTAGAAGGTATGCTTTATATTGCATGTGTATTAACCAAGTTTGAGAAATTCACAAAATTAATCAGAATTGTTAATTGCTGAAGGACCACATAGAAAAGATACCAATAAAGTTGTATTTTATCCTCGAAAACAAAATGGTTTGCGTCCATCCCAGCTATTTTCATTTTTTTTTTCTCATGATTTTGCTGTTGAAGCTCGTACAATGTTTACAATATCCGTCAATATTGAACAAACCTGTAATAAAAACATGGCAAGGAGAGCTGGGGGGGGGGGATTGGCTCTTTCAGGGTTTTCTTTGCATTTCCTGAGAATTTGTTAAAGGTTTTAGGATTTATATGAAACATATATCTGGATCACCAGTCAAAGAAAAGTGTGGGAGGCCTTTCACGCTTACATATTTGGACTTGTTCCCTTCCATAACGAGTGGGTGGGACAAGGCCAGAGAAAAATAATGGTATTTAAAAAAAAAAATCAGAAGTAAAGGCATTTTTAGTCACTGGTGTTGACATGTCTAACCATTTTTATTACCAAAAATTTAAAAGGTATACATCATAGTTACAGAAAACAAAAAAATGTCCATAAATGACGGAGAAAGCAATAACTTTCTATTTAGAGTTTCCATCAAATAATTTCTTAATATCAAAACTGCACTGAAATTGTGACAGTTTAAATGAACTGATATTAAGGAATTAAGGAACAATCTACATGTACTTTGTTTAATTCATGATTGAAAGTACTGTTTGATGCTCTAATAGAAAGATGTGAGGCATACTGGCAAAATAAGACGGAACTAGGCCCAGGCCGTAGTGGAGAAAAATGCAAAAAAACTGAATGGGTTTAATTTGTTTTCTACGATATTCAAATTGATCGAGATTTGTTATCTTTGATATGTCTACTACACATCTATTAAAATTAAAATAATATAAAAATTGTTGAATTGAAGTGTTGAAGGCAACACAAATACAAAACTCGAAACTTTACAGACTTTTTCTCAGTATTTTACTTTATTTAATGACATGTTGATAAATGCTAATTTGAAACAGCCATAACTTGTCAACAAAATGTCCAATTGAAGTACAACAAACTGTATTGTAAGGAGACTCCATTCTCTTTCCTAATACCTGCAAACCCTCATTTGACCTCTGCCCAGTTCTGTCTCATTTTGCGAGAACGCCTCACAAACACAGAACAAACTTGTCCCTTAATAAAACAAAAAATACATGTTTTGCATGTAGATAATGCATACATGTATGGTAGTTATTGTAAGCATCATTAAAAGTAAACACTTCAACAACAAAAACTGCTTAAATATCAAACTTTTACTCAAATAGAGAATACCCTGATATATATCACAGCTTTATTACCTGTTTTTTCAGCACCAATAAGCCATTTGCGAGTAACCTATACCCTTTGGGATTTACATTTGAAAAACGTCTGGTACAATGACTTGCTCAGAATGCTTGGCACATTTTAACTGTGAATTCTCCAGACCAAAGACAATGTTGCTAATCACATGATTTTGGGCAAGCTCTTGCATAGTTACGTAAGAGACGCTCAGCACCAATACATTGTTCACAATGGGTGAGAATGGCACAAAGACACCAGACCATGCCGGAGCTGGGGGTTGCTAGCATAAGGCTTGCCCCGAATCACGTGATATAGTAACAGTCTCTTTGGTCAGGAGAATGCTAGGTTAAAACGTGCAAAGCATTGTATTAAGTCAGCGTTCCAGATTTTATTCAAATTTAACTCGCAAATGGCTTATTCACATCAAGTACATGTATTATGCCTATGAATATTCAAAAATATCAGTACATAAAGTCAGTACTGAGCAGACGACAATAAGTTCATTAATTTTTACATTTTTTTTCCTGAATTGAAAGAAAAATTAAGTTCTTAGCAGGAACACATTTCTAGGAGATAAAAGTGACTTGAATAGCTCTGTCCATATGAAGTGATCATTTCTGATATGAAAAGGAACACACAAAATGTACAAAAAAAACCCAATTTATTGAAATATGTTTCTGATTCATTCATTATTTCAACTTCATGCAGATTACATGTGCTATATTTAAAACAAAAATGCAATTCAAAATTTTCACAATTTTCAAAGTGACTGTTCATACAAAGAAGGAAAATGAAATCTATTCTTCAGACCTATGTACAATTTCATGGAGATTATATCCATGAAGATATCTTGATCGTTCAAGTAGAAAAAAAGTTAGATTTTAAATGGAAGCAGATCATCATCAGAATTTACAAAAGCTATTGCACTCTTGAAAAAAAAATAATTCATGAAGGGTCCTCCATTAATATATGGTTTCTTATTTTTGTCTTCTGCAACAACTTGTCCACAACTTATACTACATTCAAGCACAAAGCTGCTACAAATGCAACCCACATTTTAAAGGGAATGTACAACATTTGCTCTTGCTGCAATTTTCAGTAGTAAATGGATTTGGGGTATCAGAATGTTATAGCAAATATTGTTAAACTGACTTGTTTCACGTTTTGGGCTTGAAGATGCTGGAAAAAACCAAGAAAAACATTATGTTCTTGTAGTCTAGTTCCCTGACCCCACTTAAGATGAAACGGAGCAGTTTGTCAACTGGGGGGAATTGTAAGGTCAGAGAATCAGTCTGGCAGGCTTGTACCCCTACACAGGTGTGTAATCAATTGCAAAGAAAATGCCAAAAAACTAATTATGAAAAATTAAGAGCAGTTTTTGAAAAAAAGCCAGTTTTTTCCAACGCTGGTCGGCCGACCAGCGTTGGAAAAATACAAGTTTTCTTGAAAATGTCAGCACACCAGGAGCCACAATTTTACAGGATGCTTTAAAATGTCATTCCCTAACCATCCAGTACGATATTTCGTGATAATTTGATCACTTCTTTGTTGTATCTTCCCTTTAACGGGGGGGGGGAATTATTGGGTTTTTGCATCATGCCCAATCATGTGACTTCCTTTTTTAATCTGATTGGTTAACATAAATATCGCATCCAGTGAAATAGGAGTGCTTCCTGCACACCTTTCGGGTGACATTGGATCCGGTGAAATCTGATGCGAAAATACCAAACATGTATGATTTCATCCGCACGGTCAGATCAGT